CAGGGGCCTAATTTTTTTCCCATGCTATATTTTTTTTATTAAACTAGTTAATAATAAGGTAATTTATGCAAAATTATAAATAAAATAATAATAAAAATTAATAAAACCTAAAAAGGATTACAGGGCTTTATAAAAATAAGGTTTTTTTTATAAGGTTATAGTAGTTACTTATTCCGGGTTTATTTTAATATTATTTTAATTAACCACAAAACCTAGGAATTTTACCTCTTTCTTAAAGAAGGTATATTTTTTTAAATTAGTAAATAATTTAGCCTTGCGTAACTATTTAAAAACTTGTTTAATATGCTTAACATGTTACTTAGGGTTAATAAAAAAAATTAAAATATTATTAAGATAAATAACATAAATTTAATTTAAAATATTATAAACTATAAAATAAATATAACTTTAAAAAGTGGCAGGAGCATTAGTTAAACTAAAAGGTATAATAGTATACTTATAGTAACTATATTAATATTAAAAAGCTATTTTTTATTAGTCTTTTTTATAAACCTAGATATAATAATAAGCATTTTTTAAATTAACTTTGGTATAGCGGGTTGCTCCCAAGATTTAGTTAAGAATTTTTAAAATAAAAGATAAAGGGTATTAATTTTTAATTATTATTTTATTTAACCCTTAATAATTAATATATAATTATAAGCCTTTATTTTTTTTAGGCATAAAAAAAATAGGTGCTTCGGCAGGACTTTTAAAAGGTTTAATATAACTATATTAAATATTTTTATTAATATACTAACATAACATGGCTAATTTAATAGGTAAAAAAGGGTAGATTAGCCCATAAAAAGGTAACTAGCCATTTATTATTATAATACCATGCGTAGGTACTAACTTTAAAAATATTATTTTTACACCATGTAAGGAAAATACATCTTAAAATATATTAAATTTAGGTAGTAAATTATTTATTTAATTTAACTTGCTGCTATTATAAACTTTTTTAGGTAAAAAAATAATAATAAATATATAAGCTTAATTCCTACAAGCCTTTATAAACTTATATTATTTAAAAATTTAGTATTTTACTACTTTGTTACTAAATTACTATTAATTTACTATTATATAAATGTACATGGCTTAAATAATTATAATAAAAAAAATAATTAAGTATTTAACTTTGGTTTGCTTAATTTTTATATAAGGCTATTTAAATATTTTTATAATACCCCTAAAATTAGTAACTTTAATAAGTACTTTTTATACTCTTTTTAAATTATCTTGCTAACCACTGTATTCCTTTAAAATAAAATAAGAAAGTTTTGCTTAATTTAAATAAGCACGCTTAATAAATTCTATACTTACTATATTTATTTTTACTTTAGTATTTAAGTCCGCCCTGGTTTTAATCTTGTCCTGCGGAGCTTTTACTATTATTTTTATTTAAAAATACTTACCTATTTTTATTTTTAAATATTAAGCTAGGGTATAAGACTTTACTTTAGCTTTTTTTTTATTTTTTTTTTATATATTTTACTTTTATTTTAATTTATATACTTACCTTCTTGCTAATTATCTTGCTTTTTTTTATAATATTCTTTATTTTAAGGGTTCTTAACTACTATTTTATAAACTTTAGTAGTTTAATTAAGATTTACCGGCTAAAAGTTAGGGTTTTATAATAGTTTTATATAATTAGGTATAATATAACCAGGTTTTCTGTACTTAAAATATATTATAAAAGTTAATTTTAACTAATCCTAATTTAATACTATTCTAGTATAACTTTAAGGGGGTTTTATTATACCAGGAGTTTGTTTTATAGGTATTTTATTATAACTTTTTTTAAAAGTTTATTTTATAAAATAATTCCTTTTTTAGGTTTTTTTACCACGGGTAAATCCATGTTAATTCCCTTTTAAATTAATAGTGTTTTTTTTTTATTTAGCGGGTTTTAATTATTTATTATAATATAAGGTAATGCAAGGTTATAAATATAATATATAAAATTAATACTATAAGGTAAGTTAAACTAAATACTTTTTAATATCTAGGAGTTTTGTATTATTAAGATTATAAATTTTATTTTAAAGTAAAGGTAAAAGCTTGCTAAAATAGTGTTAAATCTATATTTTTTTATTATTTTTTAAAAAATACTATTTTAATATAGCTAAATAATTAGTAAAGTCCCTAGGATCTTGGTCTTTTTTTTAATAAGTTAATTTTAGTTTAACCATAGTATTTAGTAAACTAGTTATTAAACTTTTTAGGATTATAGCTATTTATTTTTTAAAGTATTTTTAAAAAGATTCTTGGTATTTCTTATTTATACCCTTTAATTTATTAGCATGTTAAATCTAGTTACTTTTACATGCTAATTTTATTATAGTTAAAGCTCCTAAAATTTACTATTAATTTAATTTATATTTTTTAGGTACTTTTTTAAAGTTTAATTTTAAAGTGCTAAGCTAGTTAAGGCATTGCTATAAGCTAAAATTAAAATTATACTTAGGTATGTTTTTATCTTTAATTTTACTATAATTCTTTAGTAAATTATCCTAATATTAATATTACTTTAAAGGTATATTATATTTAGCTAATTAATTCTTTAAATATTTAATATACCTTTTTATATTTTATAATTATTAGGTTACTGGCATTTTGCAAGTATTTTAATAGTTTTTTATAATAGTACTTTTAATAATTTTAATAATAAAAAATTATTAAGTATTGGAGGATCCTTCTCTAAAATTATTAAAATAATCCTATTTAAAAATAAGGCATGAGTATACTAGCGGCATAGTACATATTTTATAGGTAGTTAATAAGTAAAAAAGTTAGAACTATAAAAACCTTAAGTAGGCTAACCAGGTATAAAATAAAGTACTAAAAGGGCTATTTAATAAGGGATTAATATTAAGTTTTAAGGCCTAGAATATATAAAAACTAACTCTTAGCTAACTATTTTTTACTAGGGCGTTGGCTTTAAATATACTATTAGAATAGTGGTAATATTATTACTGCGTGTTAAATTAACGTCACCGTGACTCTTATTTTATTAGTTCCCTTATCTTATCGGGGCTTGGCACCCGTGGGTGTGACACTTTATGCTAGTTTATACTAATTAATTTAAATTTATAGCCTAACTACTTATATTTTTATTTATATAAAATATTAACAGCGTCTTGCAATATTTTAATATTTAAAAAAAAGTTAAATTTAACCTAGTATAGTATATTACGCCTAAAAAATACCTTTTTAATTAAAAATAGCTTTTGCCTTAATATATAAGCTTTTTAATAAGTTTAACAGCCTTATATATAATATTAAAAAGTTATTAAAGGTAGGCTATATTTATTCGCGGCTTAATACCATGTTTTTTAATTTTTTTTATTTAAGTAATTATAATTAAAATAACCTTATTTTATAGGCATGTTGCAGGGTTTTTTTATATTATTTTATAGGCTTTTTTTTATAATATATTTATTTTTATAGCGCTAATTTTACTAAGCAGCTTATTATTAGTTTTAGGTATTTTAAAATTATATAACTAGTATAAACTAGGGGATAATAATTATAAATTTAGTATAAGTAAATTAAATAAAATTATAAGTAACTCGCGGCCCTTATTTAAAAAAACTTTTTAAATATTTTATTAAATTTTTATTTGCTAATTTTAAATAACTACTTACTAAATATTTTTATAATAAATTAGTAAAGTTACACATGGTTAAAGTTAAGGAGTTAATACTAGGTAATTAAAAATAAAGTTTTAAAAGTGCGTTTCGCTAAGGGGTGGGATTTTGGTAATAGGTGGGCCGCTCTAGTAGTAGCAGTGCGAGATCAACCACGGAAACAAATCAATAATGCATCTCGGAGAGCCCGGAACCGTGGGAGGTCGACCGAGGCTATTGAGGCCCGATCGTCGGGATTGCTGCTGTTTCAGGGCTGAGACCCCACCAGCCCTAACTCGGTGGAGCTGCACTGTAAGCGAGCGCTGAGTCTGACTGGCCCCGAGGTTTTTCCAGAACACAGTCCACTGTCCAACTGTCCAACAGGATTCATGCTCAGGCTAGCTAGGTGGGTCCTTGCAAGTTCAGAACTGTTCAATGCTCACTGCTCGATCGATTCGATCACGAACGCTTGATCGAGAAGGTCGAGTTGGACTCGGAGCACGCCGGGCTTGTTGGCTGTTGCATGTCTGCAGGTGCACTGGACCAAGCTTGGAGAATTGAGGATCTGTGGTGTCCGTGATGCATCACTCTATTTTGGTCCGGGTTTGCTACAATTCGATTGTCCATGGCATGCCTTGGGTGCATGTCTGTATCGGCTTCCGCTCGACCGGTTGGACTCTGGGGTGCATACGCAAGAGGCAGCTATTCCAAACTGATCTCAAACCACGAGAACCCTGTAATCTATCCGTGGCCTCTTATATCCAGGGCTAGATTACAATGATGGCCCCTCTGTATGTGTAAGGATGTTCCAGGTAGACAAGAGATCGGGCGTTCTTCCCATCTGAACAGTGGCTCCATCGAACCAGCGAACCTTGCAGGCCACAGTCTGGAAACTGATTCTCGCAATAATTGAGTTCCTTGGTTGAAGTTTAACCCTTGCTGCTTGTCGCCACCATGGATCGCCTTCCCACCTGTTGGTTGAGGTTCCTTTATAACTTGCTGCACCCGTGTCTTTGGCGCTGTTCGTCCGGCTCTGCTGCTGCTGCTGCCTGAATAACCGGCTGCAGACATGGCTCGGAAGGATACTGGCCAGGTGGTACGCTCTCATCTCTTCCCATCGCTACGAGCAATCGTTAACGGTCCAGGTGGCCTGGTACATCTGCACAGTCGTCGCCTGCGTCTTCCAGGTCGCCCGCCTCATTACCCGATGGCGCCTGCTCAAGCGCCTCTACGTCGACGACCTGCTCGTCACTCTGGCCGCCCTCTGTCTGATCGGTGACCTGGCGATCCAGCATTACATGTTCAACCTGGGTGCGCCCCTCGCGACCAACCCAGGATCTAGAATCCGATCTAACAGCAGCAGGAATGTCCGACATGGGCCACGCCTCGATCGAACAATCCGTCAAGATGTTGAAGGTACGCAGTCTACTATACAATAACCGTTGCACTAAAGCGATTTCCCGGACTAACGCGTTTTTGCTTTTTCGTTGCAGATGATCATCCCCGGCTCCACACTCTATGTCACCTCGCTGTGGCTGATCAAGGCCGCCATGGTGCTTTTCTACAAGCGTCTTGCCGATCGCACCCGCTACCAGACCGTTTATAACATCACATTGGCTGTTCTCGGCGCAACCTGGCTTGTCCTGTTCTTTGATATCGTGCTCAAATGCTACCCGCCCAAGAGGCAGTGGGAGGGGCTGCTGGATCCAACGTGTATGCTCTACAATCTGCTTGGATGGATGAGGCTAATGCTGTACAGTGGCGTGCCCTGAGAAGCCGGCCACGATCAACTACTGGCTGACGATCCTCTGTATGTCAACCTCGCTTGAGATGCTGGGCGAACTAACAAGCGCAGTCAACATCTTCTCCGACGTCTTCATCATCTGCCTGCCCATCTCCCAAGTCGCCCGGCTCAAGATGCCCCCGCGTCAGAAATGGGGCGTCATCTCCGTCTTCCTCCTCGGCGGCCTCGTCGTCATCACAAGCAGTACGCCTCCCCCTTTTCCCCCATCAGGACTCCCCTAACCCGCCCAGTCATCCGCGCAATCTACTCCCACCTCAACGAGCAAATGATCACCTGCACCGTCTCCATGATCGAAACCGCCATCGCAATCATCGCCTCATGTCTACCCGTCCTCCGCACCCTCGTCTTCGGCTCGCACTCCCGAACCGGCACCTACGGCTCCAACAAACGACGAGGCTACGAGCTCTCCGGCTCCGGCGCCGGCGGCCCAACCGCAAACATAGCCAGCAAGCACCGCACCACCGTCTCCGTGTCGCTCTCGCAGAGCCAGACGGTCGTCGGCTCGCCGGGCCTGCATTCGCCGTACGGGAGTCGCCTGGGTTCCGCGACGGGGAATACGAGCGGGGACGAGGAGCTGAGTCGGCATGAGAGCGAGGATGAGCTTGTTGAGACGCCGGCGAATATGGGGCCCGGCATTGCGGTGCGCCATGAGTACTTTGTTCATGAGGACCAGGGGCACGGCCAGGGGTTTCATGCGCGGTAGGCGGATTGCTTCAGGTCTGCGTGCAGTGCACCATTCTAACGATCCAAGACAGTCATGATGGCGAGGCCAGGCCGGAACAGGGGCCCGGGTGGAGTCCGTTCCCTGCGTAGGTAGGGTCGGCTCTCTAGTCTGGATGGCTGGGGCATTGGGCGCACTGCGACTGCATCGCGGATGGATTTCCTCTTTCTTTCACCTTTTCTTCCTCTCCGGGAGCTTTCATTGCCTGTGGCCTGGGCGTGACTTCCGTTCCTTCATTACTTACCCTATTTCCTAGATACCTACCCTAGATTTCTCTTGTATATACCCTTTCTTCTTTCACGAGCTATGAGGTGATGCGTGCTCGCTATCAGCTGCTTGGTGGTTGGATCAAAAATCGACGTTATTTTCCAAGGTTCCTTGTCTCAGCTTCATGCGGTGGTAAACAAGGGGAGAGCTTTGCCGTTGCCCAGCTGTTAGGGTTCGCCCCGTGGCCCCGGGTGTCCATCCGGCCCTGGGCAGCTAGTACCATACCACAGGGCCCAGGCATGGCTCAGAACCTGCCCCGAATTATCCAGTCCCAACTGAACGGGCACGCGATCTGGCATTACTCAAAGTTTAAGTTTCTTCTCGCAAACTATGGTATCATCGAACCTGTATTTGTATCAAAGACCTGGCTATGGATATGGAGGGTGCTCAGGTGCGCCAAAATCAGGACTCGTACATTAGAACCTTCTTAGTTTCATGGACGGGTATCTAAATATGTATGTACATTGACGAATAGCCATTGCAGAAAACCGGGATATACGCAAAAGCAGCTCCCCGTTTCTACCCTAGGTACCATCCCATGTCATACCCTCTACAAGCATCCCTCTCGATAGTAGGAGGGTATCGTCCGGCATCTCCCTCCAAGTCCAGGGATTCAAGAACCTACCTGTACCTGTGGATACCATCTTCCCTCCAGCACCAACCGTACCCGGTATATCCACCTAGGCAGGCTCAACGCCCACCCAGATACAGCCTCTCCGCACCCCGTAACAACCTGGCACTCTTCCCACCCCCAAATAGACGTCTCAACGCTTAGATCTTCTCGCTGCTGCGGCGATGTTGCGGCCAAGCGCCTTGTCGGCGTTTCGGGTGTTTCCAATATTCTCGTCGTATGGCTGCTCGCGGTCGATATGCGGGTCGGATGGCATATCGTGTCAATGGATTGTCTGCGGGTCGAAGAAGATCCATATGCTGCTGTTGCTGCTGCTGTTGCTGCGTGCGCCTGCTGCTGGGCGGCATTTAAATAGCAATCTAGTTATAATGGGTCTAAAAGAAAAGAATAGGAATGAGAGGGGGGACAACGGACTATGGTGGTACAGCCATACCACGTGCATACCTATTCATACTCAACAAGGATTATCCAAGGAGGAAAATACTATTTCTAAGTGTTCAGGAATGGAAGTTCTCTTTGAGTCCAGTACCGGAACAGGACTTTGAGACGTGGCATGGATAAGAAGACACGGTTGATACTTTGTGGATGTGCCATTTAGATTATATACAGGCTATGGACGTTAGGGCTCTCCGCCCACCCATCCATTGTTAGACGCAGGAGTGTACTGGTTTCAGATATCGTTGACATCTCAAGCAACCTTCCTACGTACCACCTATCCGCTACTCCATCGTTCGGGCTTTATCTACGCGTGCACGCCATGCTTAATGATTCCCCATAGGCAAAGAAATATCCGCCCCCGTTTTGCTTAGGTACAACCCCATGCCAGCTGGAGGGCTTACCCTATTAGGCATTACCCGACTCTACAAGCAACCGGAACAGAGTCAAAGAATCATACCTAACAGGCGGGGGACAACAAATAGCCCTTGGGTAGATACACACCCACCAACCATACTGCCCTCTCTCTTTCTTTGTCAGTAGGTGCCGCCATCCATGTATGACGGGTTCCCTGCTTCCCTGGGCTATGCTGGAACCGGAAGGGATCTCGTCTAGCTGGAGACTATCACTCATGGGCATCCTGTACTCTACCCATAACTCGCCCTCCATTCAATCGGCCAAGCGGAACCCCCGGATTGTCGAAGCAGACATGATAGGGAGCGGGCGTGCAAGAAGCGAAACAGAGTGTGGTTTTTCATCTGCATGCCCTGTGATGAGGTATAGGGGTAAGGACTTAATCTAGATAGGTACAAGCTGGCCGCTCACTGCGGTGCTTGCTGTCTAGGACGGGGAAGCTTGGTTGAGAGATTTTCGTCCACGGGTTGGTTCGATAATGTAGTACTGTAGTTTTATTTATCTAATGGTTGTCATGAGATGCTAATCAAATGCACATATGATTTTGTGATTGCCATTCCTTGCCAAAGGTCCTATGAAGAAAAACACACTGGCGAAAAATTCTAATCTACCTGTGAACGCCATTTCTTCAACGTAGCGAGCATCAGCACACTGTTTAATCAAGCTGTTTTGCCGTTCAAAATACCAAGTCGGAAGGCAACAACTCTCAGGCTTCTCTGTTCGGTGATCCATGGGCCAGGTCCGTCTTGGGGGAAACGACAGTAAACTCTTCGAGTAAAGGAAGAAGGTGAAATGGCCGGTCGTCACTCGCAGCCCGGCTTGGTTCGTCGTCATTCGATCCGACTATGGAGAGGCTTTTCAGCTTCTGCAATGGACGGTCGCCGCGACAGTTGAAGCTTTTCCCGGTGGCACTGGCCATAATCAAGTCAAACCAGGGATCTCTCGCTGAGGGTAAAAGCTCGAGGGTCAGCTCGTGAACGTTCGGGCAGTAGGCTATGATCAGAGCAACAAGCGGGCTCATGTAGCCTGCCGCCAGGTTACCGTCGCTCAGCACTTGCTTTGCGCGAGCCCTCAGACCACGGTCGAACCCGGCTTTGGCCATGACATCGTCAAGGGGGATTTCGTTCTGGTAACGGCGGTAGAGCCACTGGCAATAGATTCGCTCGGTCGAATCGTAAGCCCAGCCGAATTTCTTGATGACACCAACACCATTCAATAGGCGCTGGGCAGACAATATCCCTTTACAGTCCTGGATCATTGCGTCCAGGTCAGTGGCCTCTTCAGGCCTGAACGATTTGTAGCGGTCCCGATTGACTAGAGTCAACTGTCTCACGCACTGTGCAGTTTCCGGGTTGGTGACAACGAGATGGAGAAAGCTCCAGAGGCTCTGCAGCTTGTTGCAATTGCCGTAGTAGCTGAAGCTGCTGTCGAGCTCATTCCAGCTCTTACTCACCCGGCCCTGGACTGGTATCTGACCGGGGGCATGAAAGCTTGCCTCTCGGATCTTGCCTCCCACGACACAATCGGGAATTGAATTGCGGGTTTCGGCCGGGGCCATGGTTTCGGAGGGCACTTCGGTGTCGGCGTCACTTGCTAGGTTGACGGTTCGTTCTTTGATACACTTGAAATTGGAAGTCATGGTCGTTGTGAGTAGGTAGTGATGTACCAATATAGCAATGTAGCGATATCGTCGACCAGCTAAATGCGAGTTATAATAATCCTAAAGTGAGCGTCACCGGGGACTTATATACCCCACCGGAGGAGCTGGCCTTTTGTTCTTTGTTTGTCTTAAGGTTCTTCGTTTGTCCTAAGGTTCTTCGTTTGTCTTGAAGCTCTTTCAATGTCCCTTAGCCGCGACGTGCTTTGAGAAGGCGCTGCCAAGTGCCAAAGTAATTCAAAGAAGAAAGAGCACTCCAAAACAAATGAGTCAAGGTGTTGCCAGTCTAATCAGTCGCAGCGCTAAGCTATAGCGTGAGTTAGCGGGGGCTGTGCTGTCTCTAGGTACTGATGTCTGAGTCATATGGGTGCATCCATGGATAAGGACACCAACGGAGGGTATGTACTGCCAAAAGTCGGCAAAGAACTAGCACTTACTTGTTTGTGCCTACGTTCAATGAAGCTGCGTTTGTCAAAGCAGGCCATTGACGGCAAACGGACCGCACGAAAGGTAATGGCGCGAACAAAGCGACTTTCCCACAGGCCGCGTGAATTGCCACAGTTGCCCATACTTGCGATCAAATACCAAACAGAGCTCTTTGAATGCATATTGTGAGGTTTTCTTTGAGCTATCGCAGGCAACAAAGGGCTTTGGCCTGGCAAACCGACCTGATGAAAGGTAACGGCACAGCTTTGAATGCTGAGCAAAGCAACGCCATACCAGAGACCGCCTGAACTGCCACAGTTGTAATTGAGATCAAAGACCGCACAGAGACCTTGAAGAGCACATTGATTCTCTTTGAGCAATCACTGGCAACAAAGCGCTTTGGACTTTGCTTAGGTGCGAAAGCGAGGGTTTGGCTTTTTCCCCTTGCCCAAGTCCATGTCTTCGCGAGGAGGGAAATCGTCCAATATCCAGATCCACCGCCGGATGTCCCAATATCCAAGAACAAAGCTGTAAGAACGCGGAGAAAGGACTCGCCGAAGTAGACAGCCGTGCATTTATCAACTCAAGCGTTTGTTCCAGCTGTCTCTCCCATATTACTTCGGCAGCTGTTCCGTCCCGAGAGTAAAGGCGGGAAACTCCAGACAGTGAAGGAGCTAAGAAGTCGGACTGTAGAGCTCGAGAGTCGTTCTTGTGAGACACGTTATCCAATATATGATCCTCTTCCACCGAAGGCGGGCCAGTTCGAAATTGCGAGATCCTTGTTCCCTCCGGGCATGGGTATGACGACGCCGAGCACCCTGAACGCAGGTACATACTTGACGACGACCGTCACTGGATGGTGGAGAGATATATATGTTGCGCGCATCAATAATTGGTCCTGCGAGCGGTATCAGTTCGGTTCAAAATCAGACCCTTGAAGGCGATGCAGGAAGTCCATTCCGGACCAAGCGAGAAATTTACTTACTGACGTAAATATAAGACTAGCTTAGCTCTCCCATCTGAGGTGCCTCTGATTTCTCACTTTCTTTCTCGATCATCATCGCAGTCACAATGAGACTCTTCCTCATCCTCGGAGCCCTACTCACCAGCGCCACGGCCTATAAAGCCGTCAGCAGCCCGCCATGCAATGAATATGTACGCACCTACAGCAACCTGCTCTCTCCACACAAGGCCTCGAGGGGAATGCTCACCTGACCAAACAAATGGTCATAGGAAGTCCACAAAGACTGCGGATCCGCCTGCCACCCGACGTGCGAGACGTTCGAGGACGAGGTCAACATCTGCACACTTCAGTGCGTTATTGGATGTTATTGTAGGGATGGGTTCTACAGATCAGAGGTATACCACCCGTTGAGTCCCCGGCAACTCCAGGCAGATGAAGCTGACGAGCATAAAGAGCGGTCAGTGTGTTCCCGGGAATGTGTGCAAGCAAGGCAAGGGCCAGAGCGACTGGGACGAATACGGAGATGACGAGGATTATGATACGTGGTCTTGATTCTGACTGAGTGGAGATCTCAATAGTGTGGGCTGGTTGGCGATTTGCTGGCAATGCATAGGAGTGGGTAGGATGGGTGTAACAAGGGATGGGCCAGGCGGTCTTCGGTATACCTCTCGCTCTGTAGTATTGGTGACAAAAGTATGGTATTCGTTTGTGCAAATCAGTTGCCTCCGCGGACTTTCCTTCTGGCGATAGGATTGCTCGAGAGAGCGATATGGGTAGTGGATTGGGTAAATGAGGGTTATTGCTGCAGGGTTCCATTAATGCCTCGGTGTCTATCGGCATGCGATGCGATGCCGAAGGTGACACAAGGAGATCAATAACATGGGCTGGTGGCTAGATTCGATGGTTGAGGTCCAGGTTTGGTGCGATGGCTTGAGCGGGGTTCTCTACGGGGCCACGTCCTCAAAAGTTTCAGTTCTCTCGAAGTCACCGCCATCTAATCAAAGATGAGGTGGCATCTGTGGGTCTGACCTGAGGTAAAAGGTACGCTGCAGTGTAACGATGGATTCGATTGCGCATGAACGACGAGATGTTTGTGCCGGACAGAATAACGTCGGTAGCCTGAAACGCGCCTTGCCTCTCATTTTCCGGTCTCGAGCCGCAGAGATCCGGGTATCAGTGGTGAGTCTTGTGACCGGGATGGATGCTTGACTAGTGAGGCCAGTGAAGGAACTGATTTGCCTCAGTGCCTGCCAAGTGTAGTGTCAGCTCCACCGAATCTGCAAGGGACCGGTACGCGATTAAGCCCAGAACTTCCACATCTACCTGCAAGGGACTGTCACTAGTGTAATAGAGAAGGCCTAGCCAACATGGCCAACGTGGTGTATTCCTAGGTAGCTGCATACTTGGAAGGTACGGTCTGATAATAACCGATGAGTGTGGTGCCACTGTGACCAGACAGCTCATACACCTCGAGCAAGGGGTCACGTCCGTTGTCTGACAGGGCAGGCATCAAGTTTGACCGCACTTCCACGTAAACTAGTCAGTAATAAGTGTGCGGAAATCAGCCTAGCCGGGAGTATGAGCCTCTCGTAGCGTGCGGTGTCACGCATCAATTGGGACTGTTCGCTTTGGCCGATTTTGAACTCACCGTGCACCATGCATAAATCAGTATTTCGGACACGCCAGATTCCCGAAACGGACATGGGGCGGATCAATAACCGAGTGATCATTCGGTCAAGTCAAATGGACGCTCAATTAAGAACTCTGGCCAGCGGAATTAGCCCTAGCTTGGGCCTGCGATATGTACGATCCGAGGACAGAGATGTCCTCCAGATCACACCCATTGTCTGTGAGAACGGCCAGCTTTCACACTCGCAACGCCTTTGTGAGGGCATTCAGTCTTCCATGAGGAGACGGCGGAACAGGGGTGGTATAAACATCACCGCAACTTTGATAAGCAGCCTCGGCGTGGATTGGCAGGCCATTGTTGAGACTCTGGAAGACTTCGGGTCAAGGGAATTGCCTGAGGAGCCGTATACCAGCTCCTCGTCTTCCAGTTTGTACCACTGATCCATGCGGCCGGTGTCCACGCTCTCTTCATCGATTGACTGCCTTTCTCTCATCTTTGGATCACCGGCGAGGAGCATGATATTCGACGAGCCATCCCAGAGGTGGAAGATGTACAAGCAGAGGCCGTGACTGGTCTTCGCGCAGTTGGTAGGCGCCGGAGATGAAATTCGTGACGCTCTGCCAGGCGTTCCTCTGTATGCTTCCCGTTGTTTCTTCATTTTTTGTTGTGCGATTTCGCTTCTTGCTTCTCTTTCCACGATGAAGCCCCCTTGAACTCAACTATATTTCTTGTAGTGGAATAGGCAGCCGTCTCAGAGTTGTCGGGGGCCACATCGTCGGCGCTGGAATATCGATAGCCAAAGAACGGAACGTCAGAGTGACGGTGCCCGTTATATGGCCATCGAGGGCCTCGTGGTTGGTGAAAGGGCTTCGGCCTGGATTGAGGCGGACTGAAATGTGAGGTTCCCAGAGGCGTCACGGTGTTATGGAGCTGGCGGCAACCTTAGAAACGGAGGGAAAGCCTCGAAAAAGACCTAGATATGTTCTTGAGAGACTCAGGATGTAGCGTGAGAATGCCATTGTAGCCCGTTGGACTGCGTTGCATGCTGGAGGATCAGATCCTGTTCTGACGGAGCTTGTTGCTTTGATGTCCCAAGATGCGTTGTTGGAAGTCGCTCATAGGCACTGATACATCAATGGGCAAAGCAAAGAGCGCTCGTATGGGCACAATATAGAATGCTATGAGAAAGTAGCACTAGGGGACCTGGTTGGGCTGGGAGCAAACGTTGTAACTTTGACCATGTCTTCCTCCACTTCAGCCATCACTTTCCCAGTGTTAGCCAACTTCATCAACGTCTGCTGAACTGAACCATCCATCGTCACTTCCAGTATCAGCTTCGAATCTCCACAATCGTCTTTGGGACGCGTCCACGATCTCTTGATTCTTCACTTCTCCCTCCCACAGAAACTAGTCGAGACACCGGTCCTTCAAACACCATCCAAACAACTCGTCTCAACCAGGGCCGAGAATATCATCGACCATCCCCACGAGAATGAATCATCTAGCTGATCAGGGAGTCGTGGGGTCCCCTTTGAGCCAGGGCCAGAACATTTCTGATGCCATGTCAGTTCTGCCCGTTGAAGCTCTGCAAATCGGCTGAAGACTAACACACCAAGCTCTATCGGAGGTCAGGCCCTGGCCTACCTCAACCTCAACCTCAGCGCCTACTCTTACAGACTTGGGTCCTCCTGCAAACCCCCTTTAGATCTGACCATTGTCAGGAGCAGGGCACAGACGGGCCCCGAGACAAACGTGTGGCTGATAGGGGCGGCGACAGCGAATAAATTGAAGACGAAGGGTTTGACGAAGACGATGGACGAGGGTCGCGGACTCTGCTTCACCGGAACGCTCGGTTCCCTCAACAGGCCGAAGTAGGTCTCGGTTATTCCTTCCCGGTTGAGAGTTTTTGCTTTTCTGCTGGCGTGGCCTGATAACTTTCTTGATTCTCAATTTCACTGGCCAATTGCTAAAGTTAGAACTTAGCAACGATTCGAAAATAAACCAACAGCGTGAGCAACGGGCTATTGGCCAGGCTCTGACCACGGCCGCGATTCCAGTCTCTTCGCATAATCACACCACGTGGATATACATCCGTCTACTATCTCCTCAAGTCTCCTGCAACCTCAACCCCTGTCTGGCCACCTACACGACCAAGCAGCCATCGCGTCCGCCCTCGGACCATTCACCAGTTACATCATATCCACACTCATACCCATTTGCCCCCTTTTCTCATACTCACACTCCACAGGGAATTGCTCTTCGCTATGAAAGTTCGAGGGATCGTCTAGTGCGACCGCCCGAACCGCCAGGCTTATATTACATGCCCAGTCAATCTCGAGTGTCGACGAACGTGACAAGGCGCCAACAGAACAAGCCTCAGCGAGTCATACGCCGAGACTGCTCTGCACCCTCTAGAGTGCTTAACCAAACTTGGCTATCAGCCGGGCAGCCCCGACCCCAGCTCGTCGATTTAGCGGTGCGCCATCGCGTCCAGTTCGGTAAAGAGAAATGTCAGCATTGAACAAGACCGCGCATATCTCTGAGAGATTACGAAGAACATCGTTGCTGATTTCGGAGGGAAGAGTCCTGTTTCAGGTCAGGACTTCTGCGTTTTTCCTATAAGGGGACGGGACAGGAACACGTGCTTACGCGACCCTCCCGGAACGGAGTGGAACTATGGGGTAACGAAGTATGCGCCGTATCCTTCAGACGCGGAGATTACCCATCAGAGACTATCCGCCTCAGCTTCGTGGAGTGAGCATGACTGCAGTGGCTGGCTCGAAGGAATGACAGGCAACTTCCAGACCGGATCGTGTGCCGATATCACAATGACGATACGCGTAACGCAAGCTTCGCAAGAACGTTTGATGTGATGGTGGTTCGATGTGGTGGTCAGTCTAGGCCGATCCTAGTTTGGTGGCATGGCTTATCATTCTAGGGGTCCTATGGATGCCCCGAACGGCTGCACGTGCTTATGCTAGGGATATCGGGTACGATCGATGACAGCCTCAGGACCCAGAACACTCATGGATCGATATGTAGCAAGGGGATTCCCCGACCGTTGTTTTCACGTTCGTGCAACACCGATGAATTGCTGGCAATGCATGATGACGGGCGTCAACATGACCCATCCAGGCCGCCACGGTGGACAGGATTTTTCGACAGCGCCTATAATCCGCGGGGCATATAAACGTTAGGGGATATAAATCCGGACGTGGTCGAACTCAAAGTATCCTGAAGTCTGGTTTCACATCATCTTGGCTGAGCTGTCAATTATCTGGCATTCCATTCCACCCCCACGTTGCGCGTGTCGCAATCTGCAAGGTATGCTGCCGAGACTCGAGATCGGACGTCGCTGCTCAACAGGGAAAGAACTCACGCGACCGGTGGACAGTCGTGCCTGGGCTGCCCGGCGGTGCAACGCTTCCAAGGCTTCCAAGGCGGATGATGCAGTGGTGGCGCCCTCCAGGATTAACCCCCGCGCGTCGGGGCGTCGTTTGGATCTGCGCCCACCAAGGCGGTAGGGGAATCTAGGCTCCGATCTCAGCCAATACTGCTGCACGTGCGTGAGTGATTGGCCGGGAGCTCAGGCAGTTCCGCTGCCAAGTTCGACCTAGGTTCCATCGGATTTCCACTCTAGCAGAAATAGTGCAGATGAATGCCAGAATAATGAAGCCATTCCTAGCGAATGGAGGGAAGATTTGTGCCGGTTTTTTGCGCCTATGAAGGCCAAAGCTGTATCAGTTAGCAAGTAGAGTTGAACCAGCCGGGCAGCCGTCCTGTCCCACTCTGAGTGAGCACCTTCCCAGTAGTCTTTCCACTCTCGAGTGGGACTGCCCTCGACCGTATCAGACGCCACCGTCCTCGCACGTTGCTCGCCTCGGTTTCCGCCCTACCCAGATTATTATTTCTTCGATCAGCTATCTTCTTAACTTATATATTCTTCTTCTCCTGTCCGACAGCTTGGCTTGCATCTTTGATCGACTCATTCGCTTCCAAGTCGGTGACCAAGACCGCCAAAAGTCTTGTCGCACTCTTGTCCCGCACTCTTGTCGGCGGCCAAGAGCCTTCGTTTGCTTCACGAAAATTTCTCGATCGTGAAAAGACGACAGCCAACACCATGGATACCCAGGATTTTGGAATGCTCCACGCGCCGCATGGCGCTGGACAAGATCCTCTGGAAAATATGGATGTGCAGGAGAAAGGCGCGTTCGACGCCTTGATCCGGCCGGACGACAGCTACACCGCGGACGGCACATACTGGGCGGACCTCTCCCTCTTCAAGAAAATTAAGTTTGTGAGCTCATACGATGCGGGGGAGGCCAAGCGGGAACTTGGCGGAATCTGGGAAATGTTCAAGGCCGATCCTCTGTCGCCAATGTCGTATTACTTCCAGAATATGGTCCTTCCCGGTGCTGGTCTGGGCTTGGAAGGGTGAGTGCCGTTCTCAATCATTGCGGGGAATTCCAATCCTAACCAATTGTCCTTCTCTAGTTACGTCCTCTTCTCGATCGGAAACTTGAAACCCCTCTTTCAAGCCGCCTTCGCCTCATGTTGGGACACCAGCTACGAAGGCGAGCGAATCTGCAACACGCAATGGCTCAACGCGATCGAATACCTCGAGATTTGCGGTATTATTGTCGGTCAGATCCTGGTCGGAATCGTGGGTGACTGGTATGCGCCATAACGCGGGCTGGAATTCCGGGACAATTTTCTGACGTCTTGACAGGCTCGGTCGACGATGGGGTCTGATTCAAGACGCGGCGATCATGTTTCTCGGTCTTATTATGCTTACCGCGGCCTGGGGTGTTACCCAAAACGGCTGGGTGATTTGCTACGCTTGGTCTCTGTTTTTCTACGGTATCGGCGTTGGTGAGTAAAAACGCCCGCAAGCGCTGGATCGTGCTAACATATTGCAGGTGGTGAATATCCCATGACTGCCACCAGTGGTATGGAGAACGCCGTCGGATCTGGCAAAGTTTCTACCAAGGAGGACCGTCTGCACCGTGGCCGCAAAGTCACCAGCGCTTTCTTGATGCAGGGCTGGGGCCAATTCTTCAACCAGGTTTTGCTCATCATCCTGCTGCTTTGCTTCCACCACGGCAGCGGCAACCCTGATTACTCTACCGTTTCTGCCCAGTGGACCTACCGTGTTTCTTTCGCGATCCCCGCTGTCGGTACTCTGTGGCTTGTCTACTACCGTACCTACCACATGAAGTCTGCCAGTAAGCAACTGCAGGCCGCGAAGAAGAAGTCGTCTGTGACTGGTTACGACGTGGCCTCGCTCAAGCTGACCTTCCAGCACTTTGGATTCCGTCTTGTCGCAACCACCGGCGCCTGGTTCGCCAACGATGTTTTCTTCTACGGCAACAAGCTGTTCCAGTCCGAATTTATCAAGGTCATTAGCCCTGCGTCGACCTCCATTATGCCCGGTTGGCTCTGGAACTTGGTCAACGTTGGAGTCTCTCTTTGCGGTTACTACATGGCTTCGTTCTTGATCGACAACAAGCTGTATGGTCGCAAGTGGATGCAGATCATCGGTTTCCTCATGGACTTTATTCTCTTCGTCGTCCCTGCCTTCCACTTTGAGTACTACACCTCTCCGGAACACATCAAGGAATTCCAGGCGATGTACTTTTTGAGTTCCTTCTTCAACCAGTTCGGCCCCAACTCGGTTACCTTCCTGGTTGCCGCGGAGGTTTTCCCTACACCCATCCGTGCCACCGCTCACGGTATGTCCGCCGCCGCCGGTAAACTCGGTGCCCTCCTTGCGTCCGTTCTTTACAACTACATCGACACGCAAACCAAGTTCTACGTCGTTCCGTGGTTCGGTCTTGCCGGTGTCGTCCTGACCTTCTTTTTCCTCCCCGACACCACTGGTCTTGACCTCAAGGAGCAAGAGCGCCGCTGGAAGTTCATCCGTGAAGGTCGCGAGCATGACTACCACGGCCCCGCCGTCCACCCCAAGCACCTTTCCCTCTGGGAACGCCTCCGTGGTACGGGCAAGCATTACGATGCCGAGCTTGACTACAAGCAGAAGGTCGAAGAGTACCGCCTCGAGTGGGAAGCCGTCATGTCCGCCAGGGTCTCCGAGAAGGATAAGAACGCCGAGGAGGAAGGCGATGACGAACTCATGACCGGCCACGTCAACAACTACTTCTACCGCACAAGTCCCATGTTCCGCGGAATGGAGGCGAAGCCCAGCAAAGGTGATGACTTTGCGCTTCCTCCTGCTGCGCGGTCGGACGATTCGACGGAGAACTCTATTCAAGAAAACTAGTCGGAAAATGTCTTTTATACCCTTTGTTTGAGTTCCAGGCAGTCAATTGCAGGCGCGGCGATCTACTTAATTCTTCGTTTACTTCAAGACTTGCATGCATTCAGCATTCATGAGCAGGCGGATTGCTTTACTTACATACCCTAGTACATAGATATTACACCTTACTGAACAATTAATTCAGCGATGCATCATGCTCCAGTTCAAATTGACTTCTGTCCATAAATCATGGTTTCATGACCCATCGTCTCACTTTGGCATCCCACGGCTCCATCGCCAGCAAAAAGTTGGTCATCGCCGTGGACCCCGAGCCCATAATTCCGATGATTCCAAGAGCCGAGGCTTCCGTCCACCTTCTGGAAGACTGGAAGGCGGGTCCGAGTCTTAGCTCCGAGATCCAATGGTCTCTCCCGCGTCCCACCGCTAAACCAATTACGGATGTTTTATTCTGCCGCGCTTTCACATCGCTCACCGATAGCGGCGGGCGGGACACAAGGCGGTGTAAACCCACGCCTTCGAGCCGAGGATCAACACCACCTTCATACTTCGCGATGTGTAATGGCATCTGTACAAGGCTGCGGATTTGAAATAGAGTTCGCTTGCTGCGATTGATTATCCTCCCTGTATGCTAATATCAGAATGACACCCGCCCTCTTCGCCTTCGGCTCAAACGGCTCCGGCCAGCTGGGCATCGGGCACGACGCGGACGTGTCCGTGCCGACGAGATGTATTTTCGAGGAACATGGTGATTCTGGGAATACGGTGTCCGAGTCAACGGTAGCAAGTGCCCGTACCGTCTCGCGCATCGTCGCGGGCGGAAACCATACTCTTGTCTTGCTGACAGACGGACGGGTGTATGGTGCCGGATGGGGCGAGTCGGTGTTCAAGCGTGTTATTATCACGGATTCTGAGACGGGATCTCGGGTTGGGGTTTTCAAGGGTGTGGCGGCGACGTGGGAGGGGAGTGTTTTGGTTGCTTCTGCGTCTGCGTCTGCTTCTGCTTCTGCCTCTGTTTCTGCTTCTGCTTCTGCTTCTGCTTCTGCTTCTGCCTCTGTTTCTGGCGCTGGCGCTGGCGCTGAGGCTGAGGCTGAGGCTGAGGCTAGTGAGAACCAAGATGGCGACAGCGACAGTGACGGCGACGTGGTCTTTGTGCTTGGATCCGGCGCAAAGGGCGAACTTGGGCTCGGTCCTGGCGTGACGCAGGTGCCGCGGACTGGGGTCCGGATCCCCGATTTCCCGCCGCCGGGCGTGAAGATTGTTTCTGTTGCGGGCGCGATGGGCCACGTCGTTGCCGTTTGCTCGGATGGATCCGTGTACGGATGGGGTGCGTCGAGGAAGGGGCAGCTCGGTGCTGGACTAGCGAGCGAGAAGGTCGTTTGGACGCCGACGCGGATCGATCTGGGGAGGATGGGTGTGGACTTCGCTGTCTCTGACGCTGTCTGCGGGCGGGAGTTTACGGTTCTATGCGGCGATCAGGAGAGGGGGGAATTTGTTGTTCTGGGCCCTGGCTCTGGTTCTGGCTCTGGTTCTCTAGTCGACAGGGACAGGGACAGGGACAGGTGGGGGATTACGACAGGGATTCCCGCTTCTGAAGATGTTAGGGATTACTTGCGTGTGCATGCTAGCTGGCACGGTGTCTATGTACATCAGAACGACCGGTCTATTCTGGCCTGGGGACGGGATGACCGTGGGCAGTTGCCGCCTGGTGATTTGGGGAGGGTTAGAGAGGTGGCGGTGGGAAGTGAGCATTGTCTTGCGCTGCTGGATGATGGCTGTGGGCACGGGGGCAGCGTCGTGGCGTTTGGATGGGGCGAGCATGGCAATTGCGGGCCTGAGACGGATGCGCGGGGTGATGTTAAGGGTGTGTCCGCGAGAATTCCGCTTCCTGAAAGCGTTCAGGTCGTTGGGGTTGGCGCGGGGTGTGCGACGAGTTGGATTATTGCTTCTTGAGCGACTCTAGCTGGCGAGCAAGCATGAATTTGGATAGCGATTCCACGAGGAAAGGTCTCAGTCGAAGAGTCCGAGTCCATGAAGCTACGGGTGTCAGCACTGCAGATACGCATCGCGAATTACTCACCTGTGACATCCGTTGCGTCGGCGGGATCCCCGTCTCATCGCCGCCCAGGTCCATCTGGTTATCGTTACCTACGTTGGGTTCGATATCCCGCAACGTCGGTCCGAAACTCTCGGGATTACCCTGATACCGTTAGAACGTGTTCAACGAAAGAAAGGGGAAATGGTCTTACCGGATCAGCAGTCGCATCCCAGCCGAGCATATCCTCCGCCTCGGCCTCGTCCTCTTCAGCGACATCCCACTGCCTATCATCATCCGCCGGGACAAACAGACTGTCAAACTTCATAGACGGCGCTGGTTGTGTCTCAGCTGTAGCCTGTGTGCTCTGTTGTGTGCCCCGTGTGGATGTGCCCGTGAGAGGGCGGATAGGCCTGCCACGCGGAGGAGCAGTTTGTCTCGTGCTAGCTGAGGTCCCGTTGCTGTTACTTGCTCGACTCGGTGCACGTACAGGCACAGTCCGAGGAGCAGGAGTTTGCCTCGCCGAAAGCTCGCGTACAGGCCTCGACGAACTGGGTAGATCCTCCGGTCCTGCTTCGCCGGTCGTCATAAGAGTGAATTCCGTTCTGATGCCATCAAAGTCGTATGCGAGTTGCAGCGGCCGGCATGGTCGCGTATATCGCGCGGTTATGAGGACACCGGCTGTTTCTGCGTGTGGTATCACCGCTTTGAAGTCCTTTAGGCTGATGGCGAGGTGGACGCCGTCGTCCGCGAGGTAGTTGTCGAAGTCTGTTTTGTCGATGGCGACGGATGTGTGGACCGGTTGTCGGAGGGTGTCTGGTATCCATCAGTATACTCAATAGAACGGGTTCGGGAGATAGACGAACCCTTTCCAGCTGTGATCTTAGTTGTAAAGCTAGTGAAAATCACCTTCGTATTCTCCGAATAGATGTCCAGCTGCTCCGCCGACGGGCTAAAATGCGCTGCTATCTCTTTCAAGAAGATCGGCTCAATAGTCCATTCATTTGTCGCCAATGTTCGGTCAAAGACTGCATGCTGGACTGTCGTAGACTCGTAGGTGAGCTTGTAGGATTTGATCACACCTGCCACTGTAAGTGATGGCCCAGACCGTCCACGGGTGGACTAACCAAGTCCGCATATCATGCGGATGACAAGCCGGCATTCAGTCTCGTCGGGATCCTCATGGACCTCGAACTCGCAGCGTTCAACTGCGGTGTCTTTGTCTCGCCGACTTGTCCTCCCAACGAAAACAGAGAGTAGCGCCTGGAGTCGTTAGCACGCTCCTCATCGGTAGCTCGGAATCCATACTTTTAAGTACACTTCGCAGTTAAACTTCCGAGAACCGACATTATTGCTTATGCCAAACTGGTACGCCTCAAAGAAGTTCTCTGCTTGAAACACGAAAGACGAGTATGCGGTTTTGCTTGTGTTGAGCGCGCTCAGACGGAGCTGGGTTCGCGGTCAGAGTTGCTACGTTTCGCCTTCTGATTGACTTTAGGACATACCAGGTCATACTCGGCTTCGAAGCCGACGGTGTCACTGTATTTTGATAGGCATACCAGGGCACCGTGTAGTTGGGATAGAGCCTCCGGGAGGAGGGAGAAGGATAGAGTGGTCATCGGGCCAATTAACAAATCCTGGGAGATGGGATACGCGTTCCTTCAGTACCTTGATGTGAAAGTACTTTAATGCCTTGGAAGATTTTGCAATTTTTGAATTGCTTTCTGTCTTTATCACTCGCGAAAAGACAAAGTTGTGCTGGTGATGACAGTCAAGGAAGCGTGGTTACATAAGCAGCGCCGAGGATGGGGATGGACTGCGATGCGAGGCTGCATCCTCACGTCATTTTGTATCTAAACATTATCGAGTTTTCATGGTATACGACATCTAGGCACATTTACAGCACTTATTCAAGCTTGATCTGCGGCTGAATCGTCGCCCAAATGGCTGTGACACTCCCTAGCGAGATCCTCTTTATGGTCCTAGATAACCTAGGAGAAGAGAAGGACTACAACAGCTTATACCAATGCGCACTTGCCTCGAAACATTTCACCGATCATGCACTGGCTGTATTGTACAGGTGAGCTTTAGCCTGACGAAGTGGGAGCCAGCTGTACGAGATCCACGCTGACACCCGCAGGATCTATGACGCCTCACCCTTGAGAGGCGGAGGCGCCGAGGACGAACAGTTGAGAGCTCAGGCTCGAAGAACAGTATATACGGGCTCTAGAGAGGAGCAGAACCCGACTTTGAGAAAATGGATAACGTTGTGGCGATCTATTGTTCTGTCAACGCTGGATTTGACCTATCTACCTTACTACAGCTATATCCGGTATCTGGATCTAGATGATCTAGGGAACCTGCTGGGCACTGGGTCGGCTGTCAAGGAGTATGTGCTGCTCATTTTGGAGACGTGATCTAACTGGAATAGCCAACTCTTCACACCGGAGCTTCTGGAGTTCGTTTCTCAAGAGTACGTGTCTGAAGGGAATAAGCGGCGGCGCTCGCCGAGGACGTTACCTGATAATGAATCAATCAAGGTGAAGTTCGGATCCGGTCAGTTCTCTGTCTCTTCTACCTTTGGCTCGTACTTATTCCTTGAAGCTATCGTCCAGAAAAATGCGATGCTACGAGGAATGTCCTGTGATGGTACGTATTTCGTCATCAGCACGTTAGCCATCTGACGAGCGGTAGTTGCACCAACAATACTGAACGAATGGATCGAGGTATCGCCCCAGCTACAAAGCCTGACCGTTTGGTCTGGAACCGCGCTCTCGCAACGAGCTGGCGAGAAGATCCGTGAGCACTGCCCCGATTTCAGACAGCTGCGGATCTACATATGGTATGGCTTCATGATCTTTCAAGTCTCAGCGCTGACACCGTACCAGGCAAGATAAAGCACCTGCAAAGGCAGAGATAGAGGCGGAAGAGCTCTTCAATGCCCTCCCGCCAAACTCACTGGAATATTTCGAAGTGCTTAGCTTCTCTCATCTAGGTCCTCGATCCATAAAAGCATTAGCAACGCAAAAGGACTCCTTAACAGAGCTGAAGCTGACCAGTCTCACCATCGACACAATCCGCGAACTCCCCTCGTTGACCCCATTACCACAGTTAGAGGTCCTGAGCCTGACAGACTCGGCGCCCGCTGCATGGGACGAGCAATTTGACACAACTCTCGGCGAGGTGGCTGACTGGATTGGGACCTGCCCAAAGTTAAAGCACCTGGAAGTGAGGAGATTCATGAACGACAGCAGGCTCCTGACCAAGGCACTGATGCACGATGAGATCCGTCTCACCGGCCTGTCCTTTGCCGGCTTCAAGTTAGCCGAGGGCTTCAATTTCCTCTACGACCTCAAAGGCCACACATCCCTGCAATATCTTTACCTACGCGGCGAAGGCAGCCCAGACCCGTCGCATAATAATCTACTTGTCGAGAGCATAGCCACCCTCAATGAGCTTCGTGAGCTCGAACTCAAAGACGTATCCGACTGCTTCACCATGGAGCAGGCCGGAGAACTCACCATGTCCCTGCTCAATCTCGAAAGACTCTGGATAAGCGGCGAGGCATACAACGACTCCATCTGGCCTGCATTCTCGTGTCTCTCGAAGCTCAAAAGCCTAGCCGTATACGCTCTGAGTAATTTCACAGCGGACGGCGTCGTCGACTTCATATCCCAGCTTGGTCCTGGGAATCAGGGTTTCAGTTTGTCCATTCTCAACGCGACGTCTGCTTTCAGTTTCCCGGATGAAGTGCAAGCGATGATCCGCGAGATTTTGGCGGGGAGTCTAGATGGCTCTTTCGATTTTGGTCTTGCTCAAGGTGCGATTGTTTTCACTTGTCTGATGCCGGGTCGAAGTGAAGTATACTGACGAGGCTGCAGAGGAATTCAGCGATCCGGATTCTGAGATCGAATTGTCGGACTGAGGGCGCTGAGGATTATGTACGTGGAAGGGGGGTAACGTTAGCATTATCTTTGGTGTAGACAAGCAGATCAAGGTTATTTTGCTGTCTTTTGAACAATTTCAATTGGAGTGTTAAGAGTTAGTTGTATGCGTGGAGTAAACTAATTAACGGGATTGGCGGAGACTTTGTCGCGTCCACCCGCGTCGACACGCGCTTTTCCCGCGTTCTCCATTTACGATTGAGCATCCCTTCCCCAAAACACCTGTTAACCTGTGTGTCTATCCGCTGGTTATTACTTTCATACATACCCATCTCATGCCCTTTATGTTTATGGAATAATTGCTAGCGCGGAATCACACACAATGGCTTCAGCCCGCGCGAAGTTGGCCGAGCTCCGCGCCCTCCGTGCGGCCGGAAAGAAGCGTCTCTCCACATACGAAGTCGAAGAACAGGGCGACATCTACGAAGAAGTTGACGACGAGGGGTACAAGAAAGTCATCCGCAACCGACTTGACGAAGACGATTTTGTTGTTGACGATAATGGCGAGGGATACGCGGACGACGGCCGAGAGGTCTGGAACGAACAAACGGGCCAGTACAGCGACGAGAGCGACGACGACGGGTTACCGGCCAGAGGGAAAGCTGCGAAACGCAAGCGCGAGGAGGAGAAGCAGCGGAAGGAGAAAATCAATAATGGCATCTCGAAATACTTTAATAGTGGAGCTGCGGCGCCGGCTCCGAAACCCAAGGTGAGCGAGGTTACTTGAAAAAGATGGGATTATGGTCGACACGCTAACTTGTACGTTCACAGCCGGTCGCTACGGCTGAGGATGATGCCTTCCTTCAAGACCTGCTAGGCGAGGTCGACACCAATGTGGTCTCGAACAAGGTCCCTAAGCACAACGTTGTCAAGTCGGAAACACGCCGCAAAGTCCGCATCCTTTCTCCTCCGCTCTCTGAAAAGCCGCGCGCACCGAAGCCTGCGATCAAAGATGAGAACAGCGATCCTGTTTCTCCGATTGCTGACGAGCCGACTCCGAACTTTGATACCGACGATGGGCCCCTTGTCGCAGACGACGATGTCCAGATGAGCGACCCGATGCCGTCTTCTCCAGTTACAAAGGCAGTTGAGAGAAGGAATATAGTCCCTATAAAGGAAGAACCTGAAGATGAGGACGATGACATGATGGAGGTTGTTCAAGCCACCGGGCACCACGAAGCCAAGGCGCCGAGTGTCAACATTTCCGGCAGCCGGCCGCCGCCCAAGATCAAGAAGCAGCCCAGTGCGGTCCCTGCCAGTTCTTCTCCAGTGAAGTCAGCAGCAGATGTAAACGCCTCCTGGAACGATGTGCGCAACAAACTGAACGTGCTTAACAGCCCGGCGTCAGCTGAGCCTCGTGCTTTTGGCAAGTTACGGCCTCAGGATGTGGCCGAACAAGACGGGAGCCTACGCTTCTTCTGGCTCGACTATACAGAGATCAATGGTAGTCTGTGCTTGTTTGGGAAGGTGAAGAACAAGCAGAACGGCTCATATGCTAGCGCGTTTGTCAAGATCGACAGCATCCTCCGGAAGCTTTACTTCCTTCCGCGCGAGCATAGGCATAAGGGCGGCCGGACGACAGACGAAGAGGTGGACATGGAAGACGTGTACCACGAAGTCGATCAAATGATGTCGAGGCTAAAGGTGGGCATGCACAAGATCAAGGAGTGCACCCGCAAGTATGCCTTCGAAATGCCGGGAATCCCTAAAGAAACAGAGTACCTGAAGCTACTTTATCCTTATGACAAGCCAGCGCTGCCCATGGACACCAAGGGAGAAACCTTTTCTCATGTCTTCGGCACAAACACGTCATTGTTCGAGCAATTCGTCCTCTGGAAGAATATCATGGGACCATGCTGGCTCAAAATCGAAGAAGCTGATTTCGCCGCCGTCAACAATGCCTCCTGGTGCAAGTTCGAATGTCAGACCTCGAAGCCGGCCCTTATCACCCCGGTCCCTGACAGTGAGGACCTCGACCCGCCGACTCTCACTCTGATCAGCCTTGCTTTCCGAACGCAGCTCAACGTGAAAGAGAATAAGCAGGAGATCTTGGTTGCCAGCGCTCGTGTTTACGAGAATGTCTCCATTACCGAAACTACTGCCCCGGAGAAGCTTCCATGCAAGACCTTTACTGTGATGCGGCCGGCTGGTTCCTCGTATCCTGTGAACTTTGAGGCAGAAGTTCGGAAGCAACGGGGTACGTACATGCTAGAGAAGAGCGAACAAATGCTGCTCAGCAAATTCCTGGCTCTGTTTGAGAGGATGGATCCGGATGTTCTCATGGGACATCAACTCCAGGAAGTCGACCTTAGCATCTTGCTGAGCAGACTGAAAGAAAAGAAGACCCCAGGGTGGCACCGCCTTGGACGACTTAAGCGTGGAGAGTGGCCCAAGAACTTCAACAGGGGTGGCGGTTTCTTCACTGAGCGACACCTGGTAGCTGGAAGAATGGTTTGCGATTTGGCTAACGATATGGGCAAGGTAAGATTCTCCTCTTTCATCGAGAAGACACACTAACATCGACAGTCGCTCATGATGAAATGTCAATCGTGGAGTCTGACAGAAATGTGCGACCTTTACCTGGGGACTGGCAATGGGCGACAAGATTTGGATATCGAGGCGGCTCTGAAGACTTGGGCAACCTCCAAGGACGGACTTGTCAACTTTGTCACTCACTGCGACACGGATACCTACTTCATTGCCGCTTTGGTCCTGCGACTTCAGATGCTGTCCCTGACCAAAGTGCTCACGAACATTGCTGGCAATTCCTGGGCCCGAACGCTGAGTGGTACTCGCGCCGAGCGTAACGAGTATATTCTGCTTCACGAATTCCACAAAAACAAGTACATCTGCCCCGACAAGTATTCGTCTAAGCTGCAGAAGGCGGAAGAGAAGGCCCAAGAAGGAGACGATGATGACGCGGGGGATAAGAAGAAAAAGGACAAGTACAAGGGTGGTCTCGTTTTCGAGCCCGAAAGAGGTCTTTATGACAGATATGTGCTTGTCATGGACTTCAACAGTTTGTACCCCAGTATCATCCAAGAGTACAATATTTGCTTCACGACAGTGGATCGAACATCCTCGGTACGTTGTGTGAACCTTTATCCTCAGGCAATGCTAATTTCTTCAGGCCGAGAATGAGAACGAAGAGAAGGTGCCAGAGGTCCCCGCTTCCGATGCGGAGCAAGGCATCCTACCTCGTCTTATCGCAACTCTTGTCGGCCGTCGAAAACAAGTCAAGAGTCTGATGAAGGACAAAAACGCAACTCCAGAACAGCTCGCCACATGGGACACAAGGCAGCTGGCCTTCAAGCTTACCGCCAACTCCATGTACGGATGTCTCGGATACACGCAGAGTCGCTTCTATGCTCGTCCGCTGGCCATGCTCACCACCTTCAAAGGTCGTGAGATTCTAAGAAGCACCAAGGAACTAGTGGAAAGCAAGCAGCTGAGGGTCATCTACGGTGATACCGACTCCGTCATGATCAACACCAACATGGACACTATCAGCGATGCACTGAAGGTTGGACAGGAGCTGAAGGAGGCCGTGAACGAGCGGTATAAGCTTTTGGAGATTGATATTGATAACATCTTCCGGCGTCTCCTGCTACACGCTAAGAAGAAGTATGCTGCTATCAACATGACCGAAGTCGATGGGAAATACGTCGACAAGCTTGAGGTCAAGGGCCTCGACATGAAGAGACGTGAGTACTGTGCGCTGTCGAAGGAGGCTTCGCAGCGGCTCTTGAACGAGGTCCTCTCCGGCGAGGACCAAGAGCTTGTCCTGAATCGTGTCCACGATTACTTGCGGGAGCTGGCCGAAAAGATGAGAGAGTTCACAGTTCCTGTCCAGAAATACGTGATCTACACGGTACGTCTGCTGCTTTTCATTGTTGGGAAAGTACTAACTTTAGCAGAAACTGTCCAAACGTCCAGAAGAATATCCCAACAAGGAAACCATGCCTCCAGCTCAAGTTGCTCTGCGAGAACTAGCCCGCGGCAAAACTGTCCGACCAAACGACGTTATCTCCTACATCGTCACGTCCGGCGACTCAGAAACATCCTCCCTCCCTCCAGCCAAACGCTCCTACACCCTCCAAGACGTCATCAAGCCTGACTCTGGTCTTAAACCTGACATCGAATTCTACCTTCTCAAACAAATCTTCCCGCCCATCGAACGTCTCTGCGCCCCCATCCCCGGCACCGACGCCGTTCGCCTAGCTGAATGTCTCGGCCTCGATGTGCGCAAATACCAAATCAACACCTCCTCCACCAACACCGCCCAAAACACCGAGATCTTCCCGCTGGAGTCCCAAATCCCCGACTCCGTCCGCTTCGAATCAGCCGCCCGCCTCACCCTCACCTGCCGCCACTGCAGGGAACGCTCTGTCTTCGAGGGCCTCGCAACTTCAATCCACATGTGCAAGCCGACGGGAATAATCTGCCCCAACCCGTCCTGCACAAAACCCTTCTCAACCCTCACAATCATAGCCCAACTCGAAAGCCAGATCCGCGCTCAAACCTCCCGCTACTACGAGGGCTGGCTCGTCTGCGACGAGTCCACCTGCGGGAATCGCACGCGCCAGATCAGCGTGTACGGGCACCGCTGTCTTGGACCGCGCGGTCAGGCAGAGGGGTGTCTCGGCCGCATGGGCTACGAGTACACCGAGAAGCAGATGTACAACCAGCTGCTGTACTTTGCGTCGCTGTGGGATGTGGATAAGGCGCGCGCGGCGGCGGAGAAGGAGAGCGGGGAGAAGAAGGATAGTGTTGCGGCGCTGGTGGAGTTTAATCGTGTGCGCTTTGGGACGGTGAAGGGTGTTGTGGATGCTTATTTGAGGAAGTGTGGACGGCAGTGGGTTGAGATGGATGGGTTGTTTAGGTTTATGTTGGCTTAGTCTTCTACTCCGCCGCAGTCTTTTGTGAAGTGCTCTGTATATAGGATGGTTCTGGTGATGGATGCGGATGGATAGGGCTTTCGATTTCTTTGGTTACCATGCACGCATGGATGATGCATTTTCCCATAGTATGTATCGGCGTTTTCTTTTCTGGCTTTTCTCTTGAATGACAGGATGAGATTGTTTGATCAATCAACTTAACTTTTGATCTGGTACTTTTTCTTGATCAAGTCGTCTTTGACGTTCTTCAGTATACATTACGCAGCCAATCCCGACTCCTTGCCAGGCCTCCATCAAGGCTACTGAAACATACACGCTGGACTAGATAGACTAATAGTACTCCTACATCTTCGTACTCAGTTTTCTGGGGTTGAAGTAGGATGTTGTGCCCACCCCCGGCCATTTACTATGCTGAGAAAGTGAGCTAAACCCTTTCTGGCGAGCCCCACCATTGCGTCTTCTCCCCGAGCTTGTCATCGAAGCGAGCAACAACCTACAGAAAGTCCTTTGGCCTGGATCTCAACTAGAGCTTGTGGTTACTCCGGAAGATAATCATTCGTAATGTCAATTGGGCGTGTCCTGGTCATTGCGGGGTCCGACAGCTCAGGCGGCGCGTATGCCACCCCGTCCCCTCATTGCCCCTCCAGATCGTCTGCTAATGCGCTTTCTCCGGGTTAGTGGTCTGGAGGCTGACCAGAGGGTTCTTACTGCGCATGGCTGCTATGGCCTAACAGCAACCACTGGCTTGACGGCGCAGAATACCCTCGGAGTGCAAGACATCTTCGTGGTTCCCGCCGAGTTCGTCCAGAAGCAAATCAAGGCCAGTCTAGATGATGTTGGCGCCGACGTTGTCAAGCTCGGTATGGCCCAATGATTTCTTTCTTTGATTATACTATGGCTGTCATTTGTCCATGGGTACTGATCTCCTGAAGGAATGCTGTCGTCCGCAGAGACTATTGACATCATCGCGGAAACGCTCACATCGTATCAAATCCCTTCTGTGGTCTTGGACCCGGTACTTTACCAAGCCTTTCTATTCTATATGAGTTGATCTGACTCATTAGGACACAGGTGATGCTTTCGACCAGCGGCTCGCAGTTACTACCTGAAGCTGCCGTACAGGGTCTCCGTACAAAATTACTGCCTCTGACAACTGTGCTCACCCCCAACATTCCAGAGGCACAGCTTCTTCTGAAAGATGCTGGACATGGCTCTGCCGATCCGGAGGACCTGCAAGGACTCATCAGTCTGGCAAAACAGGTTGCTGCTCTGGGTCCTAAAGCTGTCCTGCTAAAAGGCGGCCACTTGCCACTCACGAAAGACCACAAAACCGCTAAAAGCTCAGAAGATGCTTCGCGGGTTGTGGACGTTCTTTACGATGGAGAGGAAGTCACTCTATTCGAAACTGAGTACTTGGTTTCCAAGAACACGCACGGCACTGGTTGCTCTCTTGCGTCCGCCATAGCCGCGAATCTCGCGCTTGGAAAGGACCTGAAGAGAGCCGTGCGCAGTGGTGTCCGTTTTGTTGAAGCGGGGATCAAGACCAGTTTCGATATCGGAAAGGGAAGTGGTCCAATTAACCACTTTCATTCCGTGTACTCTCTGCCGTTTGCGCCGTATGCTTCCCTCTCGTCCAAGATGAATCGGTCGCTTGAACGCTAACCAATCTATAGAGGGCGATTCCTGGAGTACGTTCTAGATCGGCCCGACGTACAATCAGTGTGGAAGCGATTTACAGAGCATGAATTTGTCTCCGGCCTGGGCAGCGGTACGCTTCCCGTTGAACGCTTCAAGGAGTATCTGTCTCAGGACTATCTTTATCTCGTATTCCTCACTTTGTTCTCGTTTCATTCACGAACTAACCTTTCCTTTGTCAGATTCAATTCGCCCGGAGCAACGCGCTGGCATCCTACAAGGCCAAGGATATGGAATCAATAGCTGCAGTAGGTTGTTATCAAACTTGTTTCGGGGTTCGCTTGCGCTAATTACTTTGCGTTGCCAGTCAGCAAAAATCGTTCTTCATATCCAACAAGAAACCGCGCTGCACGTTGATTACTGTGCGTCTTTTGGCCTCTCCAAGGAAGAAATGGAGAAAATTCCAGAAACCACAGGTAGGTCACACATATCATGTCTCCGTGTTCGCAGTCAAGTTCTAACCGCTTGCTATCAGCCTGCACCGCGTACAGCAGATACATCCTCGACGTAGGCCAATCGGAAGACTGGCTTGCGCTACAAGTAGCCCTGACTCCTTGCCTAATCGGATATGGGGCTATTGCGCAGAGGCTACACGCGGAGGAAAAGACTCTCCGGGAGGGCAACCGATATTGGAAGTGGATAGAGAACTACGTTGCGGAGGATTACACGGAGGCTGTCCGTCTAGGCTCCGGTAAGGAACACAAGCTCCCTCATTGTGGAACGCGTGAATTACTGCTCGGCGTACAACTAACGGTTCTTCAGAGCTGCTTGAAGGACATATGAGAAAGGTCTCGCCGTCCCGGATGGAAGAGTTGGTCAAGATCTTCGTCAGAGCCACCGAGTTGGAGATCGGATTTTGGGACATGGGACTCGGCGATGGGCGCGACTAATGTCGTTAACAAAGACATGCAATGCTTGTATATAGATGGGTATACTTCTAAAAGTCTCTGGGCTCTACCATGGCTTTTTGTCTGGATACAAATGAATGGGCGCTATTACAGGACCTCACATTGTCGTCCTGTTACTAAGAACATAAGCCCAATAAACTTAGGGAGCCCAAGTCCTCTGAAACGCCTGTTCAATGAAGATCCCTGGGTTTACTATTCTTGCAACTCTGGTTGATTCATCTTTGTCCGGGCGAGCGCCACTGGCCACTGAGCGTGCTTACATAACAGCGGCGGTGTCGAGATTTTCTAATTTTCTCCTGCGCTAAACCCAATCGGGCCCAAACGTTGCCTCGCAGCGCCTTCCTAAGTTCCAGAGTCCTTCACTATTTTCCTTTTTCTTTTCCTCCTCTTAATCCCCATCCTCACCTCTATTTCACTTTCTCCCCTTGTCTTCTTCTTACTCCAAGTTCTGTTTCTATCACATCTGTGTTGCTTCTGATTCTCAGCTTGAGGATCTCAGTTTTATTCTCCGACAACGCAACACAACTCCCTTTTTCTCATCATGTCTTCCTACGGCGGCGGCGGTGGCTACCAGCGCGATTCTTATCGGTAGGTTGATCGCTATCTCTATCGCAAATCATCGAAAATGGAGCCTTGCTGGACTGGTTCGTGATGCTGATGGGAAATGCTCTCGCTGGCCTTTCTCGCGTTTGCTCACTGTCAGCCCGGAGTTTTACTAAACCCGCCGGGCTTACGAACTCAGTCATCAACACTCACTTTTTCGATGAATGTTCCGCATCTTGATCACAAGCTAACATATTCTTTCAGCTCCGGCGGTGGCGGCGGCGGCGGCGGCTACTCCAACGGTTACTCTAACGGCCAGGGAGGTGGCTATGGTGGTCGCGGCGGCGGCTACAGCGGCGGTGGTGGTGGTTACGGCGGCGGCGGCTACAGCGGCGGCGGTGGTGGTTACGGCGGCGGCGGCTACGGACGAGGTGGTGGTGCCGGTGCCGGCGCTGGCGGTGACCGCATGGGAAACCTGGGTGCTGGCCTGAAGAAGCAGGACTGGGGTAAGTTGACTTGACGATCGATGTGCCTCAGCATGAGCTAACCTGATTGTAGATCTCGATTCTCTCCCCAAGTTCGAAAAGTCTTTCTACAAGGAACACCCCGATGTTACCGCCCGGTCTCAGCGTGAAGTGGACGAATTCCGCAAGAAGTGCGAGATGACTGTCCAGGGACGTGATGTCCCTCGCCCCGTCGAGACCTTCGACGAGGCTGGCTTCCCCCAATACGTTCTGAGCGAGGTCAAGGCACAGGGCTTCGAGAAGCCAACATCTATCCAGTCTCAGGGTTGGCCTATGGCCCTCTCCGGTCGCGACGTCGTCGGTATTGCCGAGACCGGTTCCGGAAAGACCCTGTCTTACTGTCTGCCTGCCATCGTTCACATCAACGCTCAGCCTCTCCTTGCTCCTGGAGATGGCCCTATTGTCCTCATCCTCGCCCCTACTCGTGAATTGGCCGTCCAGATCCAGGCCGAAATCAGCAAGTTCGGAAAGTCCTCTCGCATCAGGAACACATGTGTTTACGGTGGTGTTCCCAAGGGTCCTCAGATCCGCGATCTGTCCCGTGGTGTCGAGGTCTGCATTGCTACTCCCGGTCGTCTCATTGACATGCTCGAAGCTGGCCGTACCAACCTTCGCCGAGTCACTTACCTCGTTCTTGACGAGGCTGACCGCATGCTGGACATGGGTTTCGAGCCTCAGATTCGCAAGATCATCAGCCAGATTCGCCCTGACCGTCAGACCTGCATGTGGTCTGCCACCTGGCCCAAGGAAGTTCGCCAGCTTGCTAGCGATTTCCTCAACAACTACATTCAGGTCAACATTGGTTCAATGGACCTCTCCGCCAACCACCGTATCACCCAGATCGTCGAAGTCATTTCCGACTTTGAGAAGCGTGATCGTATGATCAAGCATCTTGAGAAGATCATGGAGAACCGTGGCAACAAGTGCCTCGTTTTCACTGGTACCAAGCGTATTGCCGACGAAATCACTCGCTTCCTCCGTCAGGACGGATGGCCAGCACTTTGTGAGTAAACCCAACGTGCAATTCATGAACAGGCTTGCTAACTTTTCTCAGCCATTCACGGTGACAAGCAGCAACAAGAAAGAGATTGGGTTCTGAACGAGTTCAAGACGGGCAAGAGCCCAATCATGGTGGCTACTGATGTGGCTTCTCGTGGTATCGGTATGATAAAATCGCGCCTCCCCCTCCCCTCCTCCCTTCTTCCCCTATGTCTTCCTTCTTGAAGCACCCCAGCCCTATTGAGGTCGTGCGGCAACGGCACAGTGCTCAGCTCTCTTTAAGTGCCCATGCTGGCAAACTTGACTCGTCCAGGCTTTGTCGGGTCTCTTGATTTGGTTCTCAAGCCAAGAGAACCTTGGACTCACAGTGCAGTTTAGCAGACACGTAGGATTCTTTTATTCTTCTGTTCTGATGCGCGTCTTTTTTCTGGACCTGCTTGGTCGAGAAGCGCAATGGCTTCTCTTCTAGCCTGTCAAGCTGCATTCCAAGGTTGCTCTAGGACCTCGATATCTGCCCGATATCTGCCAGCATACGGACTGACCCCTAACGGATCTTGTGATGAAAGTCCGTGGAAGAGAGTGATGCATCTAGTCTCACACGGCTGAAAGGGCTTCCATGCCACGCTGCTATCCTTCACTAATGCTCTGTTTGCTAACCTGAATCTGTCTGAAGATGTTCGCGACATTACTCATGTCCTGAATTATGACTACCCCAACAACTCAGAAGACTACGTTCACCGTATTGGTCGAACCGGTCGTGCGGGTGCCAAGGGTACTGCCATCACCTTCTTCACCACTGACAGTAAGTCTCGCCTCATGGTCATTACAATATGATGCTAACGATGTTTTACAGATGCTAAACAGGCTCGTGATCTGGTCACTATCCTCTCTGAGGCCAAGCAGCAGATCGACCCCCGTCTCGCCGAGATGGTCCGCTACAGCGGTGGCGGCGGCCACGGTGGTGGCTATGGCCGTTGGGGTGGTCGTGGTGGCGGTCGCGGTCGTGGTGGTCACTCCACTGCTTCCAACTCTGCGCCGCTCGGTAACAACCGTCGCTGGTAGACCCTTGATGCCCTCTGCAGTCATGAGCTTGTAACCCGACTTTCGACGGTAGACGATCGATCCTTTCTTACACTTTTTCGACTTGCGCATTCTCCGTTGTTCTTTGATATCTTTTCGTAACTCACTATGGGCGGCGTTGTTCATATTCATGATAGACTCGTTATGTGTTTACTCGAGTTTTACAGGTTCCGGATTGGGATGATAACCGTGGTCATTTCACGCACTTACACGGATACATGTTAATTCTTTTATTCTGTCGTTAAAAGTCCCTTCTTGGCTTGAACAAGATGGCTTCCGATAGGTAGCTCAGCTAATTCATCTAAGCATATAGTTTACTTGTGCCTAGTCTCGTAGCTTGGATCTTTTCAGCCACAACTACCGTATCATATGTCTAGCGGATGCATTAGGATGATTGTGGACACTTCGCGCGCTATTGACTTGAGGTGCCACAGATTTTCGAGGCACAAAAACTTATCAGATCTCGCGGAGTTCTAGAGGTGCAAGGTGTCTCCTTTTGTCTGCCCGTCCATGGGTCGAAATCGGCTTTACTAGGAGTTTCTATGGACGTCTGTCTGCTTGGTATTAATAGTCATCCCCTTAGCAGGGATATCCCAGTTCTCTTCTAATCCATCGAACTTCATGATCATCCTACTACACAAGTAATCTGATGAAACCCAATATATATCTCCGGGCAATTAATCACTCTACATACCTCCGTAGGGGACCCTCCATATTTCATCCAGTAACAGCCGCCACGCTTGCATCATATAAGCCAAATCACTTCAACCAAGCTGACAGCAGTTTCGACCATCCCATCCCAGGTATCGTATCCTACCCCCTCCACCCCATCAACGTCCTCTCCAACCCCTCCGCCAGAATCCCATGAACCGCACTCGTAACATGGCCCGAGTTATACCAGAAATACGTATCCAGCGGTGTCGGACACCCGTACTCCCCATACGCCGTCCCAATATCCGGCTGGTCGTATCCCGGGCAGAAATCCGTTGTGTTGAGGATCCCGTATTGTTGCGGGAAATCGAGGATGTGGGATAGGATGGCGTGTGCGTTGAAGACTAGGACGTTTGTTTCTGGGTTCTTTTCACGGAAGTGTAGGGCTTGCGTGGAGAGGGCGGAGTTGAATTGTTCTACCTGTGTGGCGGTTGGTGTTGGGGTTTCGTTGCGCAGGGCGCGTGCTTGGTTTGAGGGCGTGCGGTGTAATGGGGGGAGATTGAGGATGATGTAGTTCTTGTATCCTAGTGAGATCAGGGGTTGGAGAGAAGAGAACGTCCTTGACAATAGGGTGGTGTAGAAGTCTGGGAACGAAGCGATGGAGGTATTTGTTGCGCTGTCGTTGATGTCGTTTATCCCGATCCAGAGGGCTGTTAGGGTTGCGGAGGGGTCCACGATGGGGCTCCCCTTTGGCGAGGGCGAGGTCAGGACGTCGTGGGCGTAGGTCGTGAACTGTGTGATTTGGTTGACGAGGGAGATGGTGTAAGCGTGGTGGAGGGGGATGCTGGAGTACGTAGGTATGTCAGTTCTGGGACTATATGGTTCGGGCCGTTGCAGCTGGAGGAATGACAGGAGGATCATACATACAACTCAGCCGAAACGCCTGCCCCCGCGAACGCGAAATCCCACAGTTGCTTCGTGCATGAGATCGGGGATGTCAGGCCCTCTTTTAGGCCGCAGCCTGTCAGGAATTCGACCCAGTTGGGGCCGCCGGCTGATGTTCCTGTCTGCGCGTTGGTGTCTACTTTAGCAAGAGGTGCAGAAAAGAAGCGTTCAGGGGCGGATGAACCTGATTCTGCACAATCTTGTCCGTCAACAGCGTATGTGCATCGTATGCGTAGTTCAGCTGGTCGCCGATGAAGCTGTAGTTTGGGTATCCGTGGGTTCCTTGGACGTATGTATATGAGTCGCCGAAGGCGATTCTGCGAAGTATATATTGTTAGCGTAGCCGGATTGATGGGTATAAAGTTGTAGCTCAGCACATAGGGTCGCGGTGAGGGTCAGTACTGACAAATGCCGAGTTGAATCCCAGTCAAATCCGTGTCTACTTCGAGCCTCTGCATTGTGTCTAGATGGCAGGGCATTTGTTAAGGGAATGCCACTGGCGAGGGCTAGGGTAAATGCTGCGACGAGCATTGCTCAAGTTGATTGATATAGATTGATATCTTCAGGAAGGCTAAGCTATTGGGACTAGATGGTAGGGCTCCTTGGCCGTTCTAGGCTGCTGGCGTAGCCATATATACCTACTCGAGCTCATCTAACTCGAGTACAGGGCTCAACGGAGAATTTCCAGGACAGTTATGACGAGTAGCTTCCACGGAAGATAATTCTCCGTTGTCATTGACTGGCTGCAGCCATTACCCGAATGAGAGGAAGGAGATCGGCATTTTGCCTGATCAATCCAACTCATGATGGCTTTGGTGTATCCTGCTGTCAGCCGGTGGATTGTGGACGTCGATGTTGACTCGAGTCTTGAATCTGGAGTCTTTGTATGTAGACACCTCAGGCACAAAGGCACTTATTCGCCATCGTCGTCTTGACCGGATAGAGCGAACGTGAAACAAGTGAACCGGAAAAGCAGCGAGTCGAAGAGGCTGAGAGCGGGGAGCTCATCAAAGTGCAGCAGCAGTGGAGCAGACAAGAATTCAGCCGTACTTAAGCCGACGACGGAGCCCGAGAACCCATGGGTCCATCGTGTCGAGCACAGTCCAGCTTCAATCTGAGTAGCTCAGAGTCTCACCGATGAGACTCATGAGAGTCGCAATCAAAGTCCACGGAAAAGCCGCACCGCAGGCCGTAGCAGAGTGGGACGGGGCACGATTCCGGCCGAAGGAGGGAGGGGGGACTCGACTCCATTTTGTATCCCAAGTCGGCCTTGTGCAGCATCTGTATTTTTAAGGTTGACGGCGGCCCTTATCAAGGCAGGCAAAGACTGCGAGATGCTGAGTCTGACAGCAGCGTAACAAAGGCGTATGACAGGAAACCGACGCTAGTTTCGAGACAGTACGCCGCTATGCTGCGAGCGGTTAGCAGGAAATCTATCTGGCCCGTGGCTCGGGAAGAGCACGCTAGATGCTGGGCTAGCATGCTTAGGGGTTAGGCCCATGTGCTGTTAGCTTTCATAGTCGCGGCTGCTGATAAACTCACGAGGAAGCTGTGCTGTCGATGCGTGCAGGTGGTCGGGCAAAGCCACGGAGGCCGCAGCTAGAGCAGCCGTAGAATCTGCATGGAACGCGAGGGGAGACGTCCTAGAAGCAGCAGTACGGAGGAACTTGAAAGTCAAACGAGTCCTCCGCGGACATTTCCCGTCATTCTCCGTCACTCAACGCATGAATTCAATAGAGATAGAGCAGGCCCGGAGACAACTGACCCGACATGACTTCTGCCAGCTCCGTACCTGCCTAATTGGGGCGGAATCACTCGCAATCTCGAATCATGAGGTCTTGGCACTCTCGCTGTCGGGGACCGCTGGCCAATGAGCACCATCGCAATCACAGGCATCCTCCTGAGCAGCGCCGTACCTTGGGCAAGCGAGATTCAGAGTTTCGAGTATCAAATTTCTATTCGGAATCGATATATTGAGGTGACATTTGCGCCTGATGGCGTTTTCCACGACGGAGCTGTGCCGAGCCTCCGATATATGGCTTGATTTGAGTTTCGAGGCCGGGCCACCTGTTCGACCCATCAGCCCAGCATGAGGCATACGCTGTAACTCCGTAGACACGGAGTACACCGACGCAGCGTGGGCATGTCGGATAATAAAGGATACAGATTAGCTATGCGAAGCATCGCTACAATGGCAGGATTGTTTTCCTCTAGGACTCATTGGCTGGGATGTGATAGGGAAATATATATTTATAGACATCGATCCGAGAGTCAAAACAAGGTGCGCTCTAGAGACGTCAACAGCTGGCTAGGGGATACTAAGGCGCTCCGGTGCAGGCTACAGCCAACGACCGTCGCGCCCACGTGGATCATTTCCGGCACCAAATAGCTTATGCATAAACTATACGCCTACACGATGCAAAGTCGATATATCTGTTTGCTACCAAAAGGGGTCAAGCCTCAGAGAGCCGAGACAATGCACTGCAGGTTTGTCATACATATGATGAGGGGAGGATGGTTACCAGCATGATCACCTAACCCCTTTATGCAGGGGTTAGGAACTTCCACTCGTGAGTCGTTCAGCGAGGCCTCATGTCTCGAGAATTTCGGGCAGCTTCCGACTCCCGAGACAGATTGACGGCGGCTGCGAAAATACGGAGAAGGTCCTTCCGCCAGGCGGCCAGGTTGCAATTCAACCATATCTCTGCAATTTGGTATTATTTTTTGATCGGGTTTCTTTCTTCCACTCAGAAGCCCAGCAGGGAACTCTCACCGATATCCAAAGAGTGGGGATGCGCGGGGTACGGCCAATCACCGAGCATATCAAACCACGCAGCTGAATTGTCCTTTCACTTTCAGCGCCGGGCCGGGGCCCAGAGGGACCTTCTGCGCTGGAGAGTAGGAAATTGCAAATATCCGGATTGCAACTTGCAGTATGGATATGGGCCTCGACCTTGACCGTCACCGTAAGCCGGTATGGTGTCTTTCGCAGTCGCCGCGGAATCTGTCACAAGTACGGAGTGCCCCTACGCGGCAGTGGGCACTGGCCGGTCGAAAATACATACTGCCAGCAGCCGTCGAAATTGAACCAAAAGAGGCTCAAGAAATGATAGATGTCCGTGCTTCATACTTCGTTGCTTGCTGGTCGCCAATCACTGGAGACGATCCTATCAATAGGTAGCATAAAAAGAGCTCGCATCGAGTGAGCGGCAGCCGGCCAGAGAGCTGATGCGATTGCGACCTTTCGATGCCCTTAGCTTTATCAGGACTCAGGAGTTGCAGTGGAGTGGTACTTTGGACAAAGACAGTCAACAACAACTCAGAGTGCTGACTGTTTCCATATTTGTTCCCCGACCTCACTTTTTGCATCCTCGTCTTCCAAGTTCCGACTTCCAAGCTTCAGTACCGACGGAACTCCACAAACCCCGCTCTTTCAAATTCCCTTGTCGGGTTGTCATGCAATGATGGGGAACTTCCAGCTGGAGCCTCTCACAAGAGTCACAAGTGCAACTCGGGTCGCACCTCTGATTGACCTCGAGAAACAAAGGTTCGGTCTTAAGTCGCCTCAACTCCATCGGTCACTGACGACTTACTTGTCTGTGATCAGAGCATCAGTTTTATACGGACTCAGGAGGCAGACTGCGACCGATATTACTAACTGTAATGGGCAATACCCAAAGTTAATTTGTCAAATGGCCCCATTATCTCGTGCTACGATTGGTTGAGGGCATTTTAATTCTCCACTGCAGCGTTCCTGACTTGTGCGAAACGAGCATAGCAGGACTCCGGTGTCGGGCGCCCGTTTATCACGACTTCACGTTGTCTTCAGCTTCAATATCCAGATGCCAGACATCGAAAGGCAGGGACGATGCTCAGGACGAGAGTGAGATCCAAGCTCTGATTTGAAGGGTGTTGAGATCTCCACCGTCGCAGCCATCCCCGCCCCATTGGCAATTAAGCCTCGAGCAACAGGTGACCATTGCAGGACCTCCTTTTCCACCAACCCCATCAGCATGACCGGCATTAGCCGCCTCCGGTGCTTGCCTATCAGTGCTTTTGTTGCTGAATAGTTTTCATAATCAGTTGATATCACCGCTTCTATTACGTAGTATGATTATCACTGCCCGTTGCCCGATGTTCACCATCAATACCTGTTGAGAACGAAGAGTTTGTAGATCTGCAGTCAAGCGAAACTGTGTCTGTTGATAGTGATATATCATATCTGTCAGCCTCACCACGGTCTAACCCCGACCTGCGCTACAGCCCCTTTTCGCCTAGCCCGGCACTATCTCGCTTGCTCCCTTGGTGTACCGTTCCAGCCGTTTCTCGGGCACGCCATCCATAGTCTATCGCCTAGGCCATGTTTTAACCTGCCAGCCCACACTGTCGACCAACGAGGTTGCGCTGGAATCGCGCTAGGTTCACGACCGACTCGCAACCGACGCGCGCAGCGTCCAGCCCAAATCGCGGGTAGGCTAGGTAGCCCATCCAAGCTCTAAATCCCTACCACAGTTGTCTATCAACCTACTCTTGACCTCATGTCTTGGTATGCGCCCTGGTTGGATTCGCAATCACCACCAGGAGCCCAGGAACAGGGTTGCATAAGTATGACTCGCTCCTTGCCACCTACTCCTGAGTGCTTTTCGCATAATATAATAATAATCCCAGAAGGAAAGCTTAGCCGGGTCAGGTTGGCTCTCTCATGAGAGTGAGGGGAGAAGTGTGGGCCAGCACGGGGCCGTCGCCAGAAAGCGACAACGCTCCGCCCGGCGGGCCAATCAGCGCCACGTCCCCGCTGTGACAATACCGTACACAGCCCCCCTTTCCCGTAATACGGTCCTTACCTCTGGCTTTTCCCTTCATTTTTTCTCTTCTCTCCATAAATCCTTTTGCCTCCAACTCCTTTAGGCCCACGCCCTGCTCCACCAACTCGGATCCCACGAGGTGCTCTGCCTGCCCTCTGCCTGCGCTGCGCGAGTCCTCAAGATCAGAACGAGGGCGCGGAAGCTTTAAGACGCGCCTTTCCTGCTCCAGCCTGGTCCTGCCGGGTCGAGTCAAACCATCTTCGCTCCGGTCGCTTTTAGGGTGATTTTGTGCAACCGCTACTCCCACAACTCGCCACTGAGATCGAGGCCTTGACTCCTGCGCTATCACTCTTTCGAACTGTGGATTCTACTCTATTATTTTAGCCCCCCTTCTCGTATAGTTGTGACGGGCTTCGGCTTCCACTTTTTTTGCTTCCTTTTTCTCTTCGCGCCCTGCTTGGCTCTATCGCCAGTCCAGTCCAGTCCACAGCCCAAGCTCTTCCCCCCTCTTCTTCCCGCTGGCCCTCGTGCTGCTGTGCTCTCCGCCACCTGCAAGCGCCAGGCTCCGTCACCCTAGACTCGCGAACTAAGCGATTAAGCATCGCGATCCAGCTGCACCTCCCGACTCGACTGCGACAACTCGCATACTTCCACAGCTTGTGGTAATTTTTAATCACTGTGTTGGAGTGTGGGAAAGATTCGTTCGCGACCATAATTACGCGTCGATCCTTCCTTTATTTTCTTTCCTCTTCCTTATCCATCAACCACCCCCGGCATCAACGTGCAGCTTGTTGATTGTTCACCACCTCCTCACCCACACTAAAGTACGTGCCAACAAGAGGGGATCTCCAAGCCTTCCTCGACACGGGATCACACTAGGATCTTGCCCCAATCCAATCCTCTTGTTCCCCCCATACCTACTATTTCTCGCTCCGGCATTTCCCTGTCACTTTCTTTTCTTCCGTCCACAAGCTCATTGTGTCCTTCGACGCGTGTTATCAACAGGCACGCGAGAGACTATTAGCTTGGAGGATCGTCAGGGATATTTCTTCCCGGTAGCGACCACCTTTTCTGTATTATATGGACAACAGGCCTGCTTCCGAGTACGCGCAGTCAGGTTCGCTCTCACCGTATCCAACGTCTACCGCGACGCATTCTGAATTCACAGCCGCAGACCAGGCATCTGCTGCTGCCCCTGCTCAATACACTCCTCAGCCCGAGTCTCGCCCAAACCCTCAGTATACGCCGCAACCTGAGGTTCGACCCGGCACTTCCTCCAACACGCCTCAGTCCGACTACAACCTCAACCAGCCTCCTCCCGCCGCGCGCTCGCCCGCATATCCTGAGTACCTGGCCCGCCCGCCTCAATACCACCACGCGCCCAACTCTCAACCCGGAGGTGCGCCAGGTATGGCTCAAGCCACAAGTCCGTCCATGAACACCCTGAACGATGGGCACCAAAATGGCCATCGCAATCAGTCGAACGTGAAGTCTGACGGAGACGTTCCTATAGATCCCTCGATTGCGGCCTCAAGCCCAACCTATCCTCCTCCTTACTCGCCTTTCAACCCTCAAGGCCAGGAAATGGCCGCCGCTCATTATCAGGGCCACCCGCCCCCTCCGCCTCCACAGATGTATGCGCGTCCAGAATGGTCGCATGGCTATCCGCAACATCAACACGCTCTTCCGGGACCTTACAGCTCCCCTGCCACAACGGTTGGTCCCGCCTCCCCTGCTGCCACCGCAGGGCCGCGCCCTGGCCAGGTATGTTCTTGATGATTCTGGCATCTGTTTCCAAAGGCTGCGCAATTGGTTTGATTGTTGTCTTGGGACGCTCCCCGATGTCGGAGCTGCGGTCGGGCTACCTCCCAGGACGTGGAAATGCGGGCGCATTCTTTCATCATCATTTCCCTTACTTGTGTTCTAGTTGCTGACACGGGACATTCCAGGTTTACTCGTTTGTTCCGATTCCCGGTGCTCAACAGCATAAGCGACCTCGCCGTCGTTATGAGGAGATTGAGCGTATGTACAAGTGTGGATGGAATGGCTGCGAGAAGGCATACGGCACACTCAACCATTTGAACGCCCACGTTACCATGCAGTCTCATGGCCAAAAGCGAACTCCAGAAGGTGAGCAGTCTTCAATTTGTTTTTTTGTTTGCTTGCAGCTGTGATAGTTTGGTTAGTGCGGGCTGCCGCACGCGCTAGTCGGGTTACACAGCCTTAGCGTTGCGGATCGCAGTAGCGTGCCAACTTTCCGAGCGTCCGGTGATAAGCCTGCATCTCAGGTTCAAGTGCTGACTGGTCATCAGAATTCAAGGAAATCCGCAAGGAGTGGAAGCAGCGGAAGAAGGAGGAGGAAGCCCAACGCAAGGTTGCTGAAGAGCGCGAGCGTGCCGCCGCCGCCGCCGCTGTTCAAAGCCAGATGGACGCCTCTGGCCAGCCGGATCTTTCACAGGGCGGCCAGCCTCCTCAGTACCCTGGCGGTGTCCGACCTCAACTACCCCCGATCGGATACCAGCCTGCTGATGGCCAGGCTCCTGGTCAATACGGCGCTGGTGCTGGTGGCATGCCCTACCAGGGTAACGGGCAAGTGGGATACCCTCCGAACTACCCGCACTCGCCTTACGGGCAGAGCGGTCAAGTCTATCAGCAACGTAAGTAGCCAGTCCTCCTGTCTTTGCGTTTTCAGGACCAGGCCATGAGCATGGAAAGAGGGAGGACAGCCGCCAGACAACGCCACCATCACGAGGAAGGTCCTTGCGCCGATTGCTATGGGGTATGTAGCTGATCGATGATGGCATCGCAGAAAACCAATCGACCAGCTACCCGCAATAGATGTCCCAATACCCTTTTTCTAGGCTTCATGTTCTAATACCAATACCCCACTAATCCCCCGTCGTCGTCTCCGAGTCTAATTTCTTGAGATCTTGCGCACATGATACCATTTCTGGCCTTGGTTTGCTCCAGTCAAAAACGGCCTTTACTTGTCTCTGTCACCTTTATGTTTCCCTTTTTTTCTCTATCATTTTATGTCTCTTCATGTCGAACTAGATGGTCGGACGAGAAAGAAAAGAAAGTTTCGAGTCGGGACTTGTTTTTTACGCCATCTGCAGATGCTTGGTTCTGCAACTGCGATTTGGGATGTCTGGCGGGGCACTTTGCATTGTCTCTGGTGTCTTTCATCACCTGTGAACTACCTATCTTGTTCCCTCTACTTCTATGACCTGTGCCCCTCATGTGCAATAACCTCTCCGTTTCTGTGTTGTTTCAAGGCTACGCTCCAATGCCGGAGCCTTTTGTGGAATCTCCATTCAATTATCCTCTCATACTCTATCCTTGGGCTTCTTCTAGCCATCTGCTAAAATAGGTACGGTCTGCCGAGCTGAATCAACACATCGAGGTTTCTCCGCGTTTGTTTGCTCTCAACCCTCCAGTTCCAGTTCCTGCAGTTCCTGCATTAGCAGCAGAACTATAGCCCGTTAATGCACGGCGGCTGCTATCTCCAAACTGCCGCTACTCCTATCTGGATCATCTCCGATTCGACTGAGAAAATGACAGATCACCAGCATTAGTGGTGTGACTCGAGACCAAACTAGAGTGTGTCGACTATCGCTCTAGTGGTACTACATTGAACTTGGTCTTACGTACAGGAAAAATTGTACGTGCTAATGCACTATGCATATATGTATGTATCTCTCCGTATGTGATCTGTCTGTACTTTGTATGTATGCTTGGGCCGCCCGCAGCAACGCTAGTCAGACGCCTTACTAGTCAATACATGGCCGTGCAGCCTTCTTCCAATTTTTCCGGGGGTGGCCAAACTCATCCGTCCATCGGCCAAACTTAACCGCAGCCCTATCTAGATACCCTCCGGCTAGCCTAGCCCTGGCCCTGGCTCTGGGCCTCAGACGTTGGGATCTTGGTAGACTAATCTCTAGTCTACTAGTCTAGCATCGCCCGTTTTTAGTTTTAGGGCCAGGCTCCGGCCCGCTGGGGGGCGTTGGCTTTGGCGCTGCTGCCGCACAGTGCTTAGCACTAGCACTCACTGGGACTAGGTTTGTGTGGGAGGCTTTGACTTCGACACTGAAGATCGGATCCTGTTCCTGCCTGCTTGGATAATGATTTGGCTGAGCGTGGGCGTTGGTGGTTCTGGTTGGGATGGCGGGTGGGTTACCTAGTGCTTAATGGGGTGGACTTTTAGTTGGGTTTACTTTCTTTTCACCTTTCCTTGTAGAGACCGGAGTGAATTCTCGGGGCGAGCGGATATCTCTAGGGGCGACGTGATGAACTTAGATTCTATCATACTGGATATCGCTCGTAAGTTCTCCCAGTAAACTGGGTCCAGATTACGAATGAGGGTGAGAGATTTGTATGGGCTGGATTTCTGCTCATCGTGGAAATCAGTGCCTTACGTTTCTGCCTGAAAGAGGCTAGTCACGTGCTGATATGGAATCTCCGTTATCAGACTAGTGATTTCGCCGTCGCGATCAAACATTTTTCTCCGCAGCTAAAGTTAAACTCACCTCTTCTTCTTCCTAATTATAGGGTATCTGTGAGAAATATCCGAGCAGCAACTTGTTATTCGGCACTCAAGCACTTCATCCATTTATTCGCCACCTCGAAAATATCCGGACCCCAACCGTCGCATTCATTTGTTCGACGAAACAGTCCCTACACTCGATCACACGGAGAGCCCATTACACCTCCACCCTGCATTTCAAAGCTTAGATGCTCCGCTGTCGCAATGCCACTGCTATTCGAACGCAGTTCTCATCAAACATAGCCTTGAGAACTGCCTTGCCGTTGAGCTCATCATGGGCCGGAGCTCCGCACAGGACTCTTCCGTTCGCTTGCGCAGCGGCCGCGCGAGCACGAACACCATCGAACGCCGCACATAGCCTCGCGACTAGGATGCCTAGATCAAGACGTGGCGGCGAAATCCCTGAGAATTTTACCTCCGAAACACAAATTCCGTCAGATGAGGCCATCGCATCAGAAGACCTCGCCGGTCCGGATGAGGACATGCCACAGCGCTGGACGAGCAGGACGCCCCGCGAGCGCTCGGCGAAGGCGCCAAAGGAATCCCCCCTGATGCTGATTGCCATGAACAAGGGACCAACAGTCCAGAAGAAGGCGGTTGAGATGGAGCTGGCGTGGTTGAAAGATCGCACGGTGCTGGCCGAGCGGGTGCAAAGGTTGCTCAGGCAACATGACGTTGCATTCGCCGTGGAGCTTGTCCGGACGGCGCAGCGGCGAGGATATGATACCCAGGGAGCGTGGAATGCGATTCTGGCTTATTCCTTTGCGCAAAAAGATGCCAATGCCGCGTTTCGGTTTTGGAATGATGTATGCTCGGTTCCTTTAGTTATTGGTCTATTTGGACCATGCTGACTGGCTTGGTTGATAGATGAAAAAGCGCGGCTCTATGCCTAATTCCCGGGCCTATACGACTATGCTGCACGGGTTTTGCAGTGTGGATAGAACCCCCTTTGTCAATCCTATGTCGATGGCTCGGTCGATTTACCAAAGTATTCTCGATCCCGACAGTGACATCGAAGTTAATCTTTTCCATCATAATGCCATGCTGACTGCTTGTGGGCACCATGGGGACATGAATTTGCTTTGGGAAATTGCCGGTTCTCTGCCTGAAGACGGACCAGGCTCGCCGAATGATTTCACGTACACAATCATTCTGAGCGCTTTAAGGAGGAAAATTCAGAAAGAGGCTGAAACGCTTGGAGCCCGCGAGTACGGAGCGGAAAAGACCTACAACATGCGGCTGTCGCTGATTGCGGAGGGCAAAAAAATCTGGACCGATATTGTATATCGATGGAAGAAGGGCGAGTTCGCGATGACGAATGAGCTTGTTTCAGCCATGGCCGGTCTACTTTGGGAAGGTCCCGGTGATTGGCATATGTACGAGGTGCTCAAGCTCATGAACCAAACTACCGGTATCCCTATCCTGACGGAGGAACCATCACGCGATCTCGAGGTCAGTTCACGCCGTTCACATGCAAAACAAGGCACCCCTAGAAAACCCAAAAAGTCAGAGGAGGATGTGCCGTTTGTGGACCGACTGGGCAGGCATGTCAGAGAAACGGCCCGCCTGGAGGCTGCCAAGGATCTGGAGGTCGCGAACGAGCTGGAGACGGAGCTGGAAGATGAGGCCGACTTTGAGCATCTTTTCGACAATTTCCTACCGGATGCGAAGCCTTACTCTCAACCCCCACCTTCGGAACCAGAACGCTTCGAAGCTTCACCCCGGAAATTTGTCTTCAGGCGACCTGCATTTCAACAGCCCGAATCTCAGACACCAGAGCCAGCCGGGGACGAAGTCAGGGGCCCGAACTACGTGCCTATAGGCAACCGAGAGCTCTCCATTATCATGGAGACGTGCCTGCAGATGACTAACGCTGCGAAAGCTGGAAAGGCCTACTGGAATCACCTTACGGAAGGCGATCACGACTACGTGGTCACACCAGACCGTCGCGCGTACATTGGGTATCTTCGTATCCTTCGTATAGCTCGTCAAAGTCGCCTCGCGATTAAACTCATCCGCGACAAGCTGGTCCCACAAGGCATCGAGTCGGGCCTACCGTTTCACCTTGCTATGAGCATCTGTCGCCGTGATCGCAACAATTTGAATGTCTTCAAGAACGCCAACGAGCTGCTGAAGCTCATGGATGAAGGCCTCATGCTCCCCGACTACCGAGCCATATCCAGCTATCTCTACCTCCTCAAGAGCCTGCAAGACAACCCGCAGCTCCTCCTGTCTCTGAACGGCCTCGACCCGGAGAAACAATCCAAGTCCAACCTCCGGCAAATGGGCAAGGAACTTGTCCTCAATCTCCAGACAATTGCAGCAGACCACCTCCGCCCCCTTGTCACCACGCTTGACAAGGCCATGGATGCATCACGAGCGGGCAAACCCGACTTGTCCGGCCGGCACGGCGTCGATATTGAAACCGTTAGATTGCAGAAAGTACCAGGCGAAGAAGCCGTCGCTGTCGCGGCCCGCGTAAGAATGCTGCTTGTTGAGATCCTGTCGCCTAAAAGGGAATACCCTCTCCCCAAGAAGGACCGCAAGCGATTCGAAGCGGATGAGGAGTTTCTCCGCAAATACACTAAAGCCGACGTTATCGAGTCTCTCCAGCGAAGGATGATCTACCCGACTGCTGAGCAGCAAGACCGGTATTACCGGCGCTTTATGCCCCAAAATGAGACCATTTTTGATGAGGACGAGGCCCTGACTGTTGATGATCCGCCGGCAACCAAGGATAAATAGGGCGGGTTGTTTCGCTTCTTGACCGTTTGTTCTCTTCACTCTTTCTCTCCTGTGTTGGTATACCGCTAAGCATACTGTGGCGTTGGTTTGATTTTCCGGCAAAGATCTGTATAATATACTACACGTGTGTAATGCATATACTAGATGGACTACTAAACATCCTAAGCATCTCTCAACAAGCAATCTTGGCACATCCTACTGCAGCAAGTATAGAGACGTCTGGGGCTAGTCACCGCCTTTACTTCTGCCGGAATGCGTACGTAATGGGCGGAGCGGAAAGCCACTCTAGCCTCTCTTTGAAACAGGCAAACAGGAGCAGCACGAGGGCGCAACAATCCTCCGCATTACATCTCCTGCAAAGTGGAAAGCATTAACGACATCGTCGCTGCAACCTCTGCTCTCTGGTAGGGCAGCTTACCTATGCATCAATAGCTTCGCCAACAACAGCACCAACTAGCTCAGCAATCACACAGACGCTCCGAACCCAGCAGACCATATCCATAACAATGGCCAGCTCCAGCTCAACACCCTACTATGTCCACGATGACCATGACGATGAATCAATACTGGATGACGGCGTGATTGAGGCCGATGATGGTGAGCTGCATCTACCTTCGCAACCCCTTCAATTCCTACTTCCAGGAAGCTGATTGACTAACCACCTACTTCCTCAGCAATCGACGCCGACGACCCCCTCCACGAAACAGACCGCACCCCCCTCCGCGGCAACATCGAGCCCGACTCATCCAATTCCCGCGGCGGCGCCAGCACCGGCAACAACATCTCCGGCGGCTTCCTCACCTCCCGCATCCCCGGCGAAGACCGCCGCGCGCCGCAGAACACCATCGACGAGACCGTATGGCAGACGCTCTCGCGCGACCTCCTGGCGGTCTGGGAGAAGATGCGCCAGGTCCTCTACCCCAAGTACCTGATCGGCGGCATGTTGCAGCGCGGCGGGGGCGGCATTGGGGCTGCAGAGCGCGGCGAGGCCTCGGGCTTTGGAGGCGGCGTGAGGAATGTGCTTGGGCGCTGGCCCGATGCGGATGTTGTGCTGCAGGGGGGCATGAGTGAGGGGTTGAGGGATTGGGATTTATGGTATGTTTATAATCCTGTGGCGCGGAGGGTTGGAGGGAGTTGTGGTTGGGATGTGTGCTGACTGGTGGTTACTGCAGGGGCCCGCTGATCTTCTGCTTGCTGTTGAGCATGTTCCTCTCTATGGCGAAGGGCGACCAGTCGGATTTGGTGTTTTCGGGGGTGTTTTGCCTCGTCTGGATTGGAGAGGCGGTTGTGACGCTGCAGATCAAGTTGCTGGGTGGGAATATGTATGTTCAATCTTCTCTCAGGTGGTTTCCGTGCTAACTTTCTGGCGCAGTTCGTTCTTCCAGTCTGTCTGTATCATTGGTTACACGCTCTTCCCTCTTGTCATCGCCGCCCTTCTCAGCGCACTCGGTCTCCCAACGATTGTGCGGATACCGGTTTACCTCGTCTTGATTGCCTGGTCTCTGGCTGCGGGAGTGAGTATCCTTGGTGGCTCTGGCGTCTTGCGGAACCGTGTCGGTATTGCGGTATATCCGCTCTTCGTCTTTTATATTGCGATTGGGTGTCTTTGCTTTATCAGTTAAGCAGCCGTCTAAGCTCAATATGAGGCTATTGCCGCTGCACTGCAATCGTGCTTGGGAGCGTTGAAGAGGGTATACAGCAAGCACAGCAGCGATTTGATTTGGGTATGGGTATATCTCAATGCGATTCAGCTTTATCTTCGTTCGTCTTCTTCGGTCCATTCCCTGTAAAGTACTAGATTCTTGTACCACCGCATGATATCCAATGAAACATATATAGCCTTCATGTTATGCGTAAGGGTTAGCTCTGGGCGCTTGATCTACGGAGTACTAAACCTTGGGACTGGGACGTTTATCTGCGGGGCCGGAGCGAGCGGTGACCGGGTGACGACTCCAGCAGTCCAGCCAGCGACAACACAGCACAGCAGCCGCTGCAAATCGAGATCTTCGCTTCATCCCACCTATCTTCCTCTCTCTTTTCCCCCTCACTTGTATGTCTTGCGAGGGCCTCCGTTTTGAGTAATTATACCTACTCCGTACCGACTCCGAGTCCATACTCTGCGATTTGGCACGGCTTGCAATCGTCATTTTGTTGAGCCGCTGAGCTCTTGACTCGACTCATCCCACGACGCACGGCACCGCTACCCACCTGATCTCCGATAGTCGAGCATCCTTCTTGAATATACTCTGTTGATATACTTCGTGCCTGGGATAAGACTGCGGGTCTAGTTGGAGCTACGGATTGACGAGGTAAGCACTTTGTTTGCGTCCGCCCATATCCTCGCTCGGGCGAAGAGCTTTGCAGATGCGATGGTGTTTCGCTCTGAGCTCAAACAGTGATACTCGAACTTGCTGAGCTACTCATTACGTTTGAGCTGCTCGTTTCACTGGACTTATTGTTTTTCGTAAACATTGACCGGTGGGCTGATACTGCAGATTTCGTATAGCTTGCATCGCTGATACCCAGCGCTTATCTATCTCAACTCTCACTGTGCATGCGCTACAACTCAGTTATTCCCTTGCGCCATTGAGGTATAAATATTAAATTTCCTGGAAAGATTTTCGACATGGCGTCGGAGACTCGGAAAGATGAATTAGAGGTTCAGAATGGTGCCGTGGATCAGGGTACGTTGAGCCCCATCTTCAAAATTGGTGATTTCTGGACAATGAACCAAGTCAACTAACAGCTCTGGTTAATCTAGCACCCGCGGACGACTCCCAAACCTCCGATAACGATGGCGGCGAGCGTCCGGTTCGCAACAAGCTAAAGGAGACGACCATCACAGCAGCTCCAGACCAGCAGGGCGATTCCAGCAGGGCAAGCAGCCGCGGCAGAAAGCGGTCGTTTGACGAGGACGAGGAAGAGAATGAGGACGATGCGGGTCACAGGAGGAAGCGGTCGCGGGACTCGAATACGGAGGAGATGGCGGACGCCGCGCCGGCACAGACGACAGCAGTGACGCTCAAACTCGACGAAGATGAGGGCCAGCCGGAGTTGCTAAAGCCGCAGCAAGAATCAGCAGGCGCATTGAAGAAGAAGAGGAGTAGGGATCAATTGGACAAGGATGAAGAGATGGCTGAGGAGAAGGGGGAGAAGGCCGCTGCCAAGGATACTGCAGAGAGTGGTGCATCGACGGCAAAGGCTGCGATTGAGTCTGCGGCCACCGCTGAAGGGGAACCAGAGAAGAAGAGGCACAGGGACGAATCTAGAGAACGGGATCCGGTATGTATAAATGCGTCGGCAATTGGTTGAGGTGGCTGAACTGACTGTCTTGACAGGCTCCCCTTCCCAGTGCGTTCGCAAACACGTCATCGGCATCTCCATTCGCAAACACATCGTCCACATCGCCATTCGGGTCAATCGGGGCCTCAACGTCGAAGCAACAGGAGGAGGCTAAACCCACCACGTCCGCGTCTGCATTCGCCTCGTCAAGCTTAGCTGGCTTTGCCAGCTCTGAGCAATCCCCATTCGGCTCTCTCGGCGCGTCGACACCATCTGTTTTCAAATCATCGGCCGAATCAACACCTGCGGATGCAGAAAAGCCCGCGGCTACCGGGTTCGCTGCCGCGGCTAAACCATCGGGCTTTGCAGGGCTGGGAGGGGGTTTCTCTGGCTTCGGCGGCGGCTTTGGAGCTTCAGCCGCGAGCTCAGGTGGCGGTCTGACTAGCTTTGCTGCCCCCGGTGGTTCTGCTATTCTGGGTAGTTCTAGCGCGAAGCCGCTTGGCGCAGAAGCTGATTCGGACGACGAGGAGGATAAGGACAATGAAGAAAGTGGGCCGGCTGAGTTTGAGGAGGATAAGACAGACGAGCGATTCTTTGAGCGAGAGAGTAAGCTTCCAATCGCCTTTTTCGTCTAGGGCCTCTTTACTAACAGCTTCACAGTCCAAACCGGCGAAGAGGCAGAAAAGACATACTTTTCCTGCAAAGCGAAGCTCTTCCACTTCTCAGATAAGGAATGGCGAGAGCGCGGCATTGGCACTTTCAAGGTCAATGTCAAGACCACGGACGGCGTTGAAGACAAGAAGTCTGCGCGCATGATTATGCGCGCTGATGGCGTCCACCGCGTTATGCTGAACACGCCGCTGTTCAAGGGGATGACGGTTGGCGATGCCAAGGGCAGCGAGCCGAAATCTACAAAGCAGATCCATTTGGCCAGCTTGGAGAATAGCCGCTCTGTTCCACTTTTGTTGAGGGTAAGTCATCTCATCTCTTACGGGTCTATGTGTTCTGCGAACAGAGAGACTAACTTGGTTGTCTAATAGACGGGGAGCGAGGAACAAGCTAAGGAGCTATACCATACACTCCAGGGCCTGTTGAAGTACCAGTAAACTGGAGGCCAACCGAAGATCTTCATGCCCGTGGGCAATGGACAGTTTGTGTATGCGTATCCTTGGGATTGGAAGATGATAGCGCTGGTGCAGGCGGTTTTTTGAATTGGGATCGCGGACTGGGGAGTACGTCGTGTCATATAGTAGTTGGCCAGCTGGATACTACTTTTCTAATTTATCGTTCTCTAGTATTTACATATACAAGGACATTCTTAGGTACTCTTCATCGCTTGCCCTTGTAACGCACTATTCCGTAGTTGGTTATATAGAGGCAACCTGTCCACGTGACTTCGCGTTTGCCTCGGCACGACTCCAGAGCCGACTTTTCAGCGCTCTTCTCTTGTAGACTTTCAACACGCTTCTTATCGACCACAATGGGGCGCTCAGATGGCTGGACGAAAGACGAGAAGTACAGCTCCATTCATCGAAACTGGATCGGCTGGGAACCGAAGCCACAATGAACAGGCTGGCAGCCAACAAACTCCGACCACCAACGCGTCTACTACGCCGCAAGTGCTACAAAGCCCAGAGCAGACCGGGACCACGAAACCGAAACGGAAACGAGCTGCAACTACCGTCGGGACTTCTAACCCTCAAGATAGCGCTGATGGCATAGTAACCGCCAAGAAAAACGGAATAGCAACGAAAGAGACCACCAACTCTACAAACGCACCAAAACAACCCGGCAAGAAACCCAGAAAGACCACCACGGGCACGAAAAAGCAGCCGCCGCGCAAACCCTCTGCTCCATGGCCGGACACCTTCAAGAACCTATCCCGTACCCATCGCGCCCTGAACATTGTTTACACGTTCTGCTGCACGAGGAAGCACTTCGCCACGACATTCGACAATATCAAGAAGGCGGTACAGGCGCAGAGCGGCACGGAACTTACGGTAGAGGATATTGCAAGGATTCGGGTTCTTATTCCGAGGGCTGTGAGGTTTGAGTATGTGGATGAGGCGCGCTTGGATGTTTTGAGTGCGGGGGAGAGAGAGGAGGTCAAGGGTTGGGCTGTTAACCCTAAAAACGGGGATGGCGCTGAGTCGGCAGAGAATGGGGAAGGGGACGGCGTAACGCATGCGTTGCTCTTTGAGTTTCTAGATGGGGATCTCAAGAAGGAGAGGAAGGGGGCCGCTGCGTCGCGGGACAAAGACGAGGACTTGAAGATGCCGGTCTACAGCCAGAAGCAGATGCTCAATCTGATTGAGAAGCGGAATGGGAAGTTTGCGGACGCCGTTGATGCATTTCTTGTGAGGTGTGAGGATGAGGGTATTCATCCTGTTGAGTCCTTGGAAAAGGAGAAGAATGCTTTCGCTCCTGTTCCTCCTGATTATGAGGTTGGACCTGGCTCTGGGGTGCCAGCGAAGGTACAGGGACCGATACCGAAGGACCGCAAAACGATGGCTGAGATAATTAACGAGATCCGGACCTTGGATTGGTATACGGGGCAGATTGTACCTGATGGACATAGGGCGTTTGATGCGCAGCCGGCTGTTTACGGGGACTTGAACTTTGCGCTCTCGCAGGATCTTGTGAATGCGTTGTACAACACGAAGGGGATAACGCGGTTTTATTCGCATCAGGCGGAAGCAATCAACCGTCTCCACGACGGACAGAACGTTATCGTCTCGACATCGACCAGTTCCGGAAAGTCGTTGATATACCAGGTTCCAATGCTACATGAGCTCGAGCAGGACTCGAACAGCCGGGGTATGTATATCTTCCCTACGAAAGCCCTTGCACAGGACCAGAAACGCAGCATGCAGGAGCTCCTGCAGTACCTGGACAATTTACAAGGTACGATGGTGGAAACGTTCGACGGCGACACACCAATGGAAAGTCGCAATCTCATTCGAGATGAGGCTCGAATTATCTTCACAAATCCAGATATGCTACATATCACGATCCTTCCGCAGGAGAGCTCGTGGCGGACATTCCTCCAGAACCTCAAATTTGTCGTCGTTGATGAGCTTCACGTCTACAATGGTCTATTCGGATCTCACGTTGCGCTCATCATGCGCCGTCTACGTCGGATCTGTGCTGCTGTCGGAAATCGACATGTCCGATTCATATCCTGCTCGGCAACAGTAGCTAACCCCGAAGAACACATGCGGGCCATCTTCGGCGTTGACGACGTGCAGCTGATCGATTTTGACGGATCGCCCTGCGGCCGAAAGGAGTTTCTCTGCTGGAATACACCATTCAAAGATCCCGGTGACCCAACATCCGGACGAGGCGATAGCGTCGCCGAAGCTGCGCGACTCTTCTGCCAGCTAATCCTCCGAGGCGCACGCGTGATAGCCTTTTGCCGCATCCGCAAGCTATGCGAGATTCTTCTGCAAGCCGTCCGAAACGAATGCACCCGTCTTGAGCGGCCCGAGGTCGGGAACATGATAATGGGCTACAGAGGTGGATACAGCCCACAGGACAGACGAAGGATCGAGGCCGAGATGTTCCAGGGCCAATTGCTCGGCATCGTGGCAACCAATGCCCTCGAGCTAGGCGTTGACATCGGCTCTCTCGACGCCGTGATCACGCTCGGCTTCCCCTACTCGATCTCTAATCTCCGGCAACAGAGCGGCCGCGCCGGTCGTAGAAACAAGGACAGCCTTTCCATCCTTGTCGGTGAGCGCTATCCAACAGACCAGTACTACATGCGGAACCCGGAGGAGCTCTTCTCCAAGCCGAACTGCGAGCTGCAGGTTGATCTTACAAACGAACTTGTTCTGGAAGGACACGTCCAATGCGCTGCCTTCGAACTCCCCATCAAACCAGACGACGATCAGATCTACTTTGGCCCGCAGCTGGCCGAATTCGCGTCTACCCGGCTTGTTCGTGATGTGATGGGCTTCTACCACTGCCACGAGCGGTTCAGGCCTCAGCCGTCGCGGTGCGTTCCGATCCGGGACACAGAAGACCAACATTTCGCCGTCATCGACACAACAAATGCTCGCAATGTCGTTCTCGAAGAAGTCGAAGCCTCACGCGCATTCTTCACCCTCTACGAAGGCGGCATCTTCCTCCACCAAGGCCAAACATACCTCGTCAAAGAGCTCAACCCAGATCGCTTCTTCGCGCGCGTCGTCCGCGTCACGGTCGACTGGAACACCATGCAGCGCGACTATACGGACATCGACCCCGTCGAAACAGAGCACATGCGCCTGATCACTCCTTCCACTCCTTCCATCGGAAACACACCTACACTCGCCCCTACAACAGATCTCGAACGCAAGGAAGAAAAAGAGAAACAAATCCACGCATTCTACGGCCCAATCCGCATTCACGCCGTGGTTTACGGGTTTTTCAAAGTCGACAAACGCGGCCGCATCCTCGACGCCGTGGCCGTCGATAACCCACCCATCACGCTCACCACAAAGGGAATGTGGCTCGACGTCCCCAAGTCCGCATTGCAGATTCTTGAATCCCGACGCCTGAACATCGCTGCTGCGATCCATGCCGCCGAACACGCGATCCTCTCGCTCTTGCCGAGTTTCGTCATCTCGAGTCCCGGCGACGTCAGGACGGAGTGTAAAGTTGCGAAGAAGGAATTGGGCAAGGATTTGAAACGCGTTGTTAGAAATGGGAGTGGTGATGATGTGCCGGTTCTCCGGCCTCCGCACCGCCAGCGTCCTGCGCGGTTGACGTTCTACGATGCGAAGGGGGGATCGTGCGGGTCTGGGATCGCAAGGAAGGCGTTTGAGTTTGTGGACTCGTTGCTCAAGCGTGCTGTTGCGCGGATAGAGGCTTGTGTCTGTGTTGAGCCGAAGGGGTGTCTGGAGTGTGTTTGTGACGAGCGGTGTAAGGAGATGAATTCTGTTATGAGTAAAGCGGGTGCAGGGGTTGTGCTGAGGTGTTTGCTGGGTTGGGAGGTTGATGTCGAAGCTTTGCCTTGGGGCGAGGTTGATGAGGATGATGGGGGTGAGATGGGGGAGTTGGCGGGGGGTCTGGAGACCGTTGTTTTGGCGAGGCAGGTTCCATTTAGGGCCTAAGGCAGGGCGCTTGACTACTTATAAAAGGTAGAAATACTGCTGTTTGGTGTTTGATACCCGGTGCGGACACCAGAAGTGTTCGTCTAGAGAACATTGAAAATTTTGTATATATAACGGTTACAAAGATGTGGGTATAATGCGTCGAATCAGGAAAGATACAAGGTAGGTAGAAGGTGGTCGAGCGTGCGACCGAGCTAGGGTATGGCTCGAGCTGTCCTTGATAGCTCTCACTTCTTAGATAACGTAACCACGTGGGAGAAGCTGCCAAAGATGCCCGCCGTGCAGGCCCTAAGCACTATATGACAACACACCTAGTCTCAAGATGCGACGGTTGCATCGAATGGCCACTGTCAGGCCACTAATTCGAGGTCGTGGGATGCGGGACATCTGTAGTGGAAGCCGGGCTAGTTTCGCTCTCCGTGTCGTCAAGGTTGAGCTTCCCAAAGACGGCTTTCATATCGCGCACACTTTCCCGGTAATCATCACGGGGATTGGTGGTTCGTTCAGCGGTCATTTCGCGGACCTGACGGATGATTGACGGATAATCTTTGCCGTCTGGAAGCCACCAATCGTTGATCTCCGGCAGCTGCCAGATGGCGGCAAGAGCAGCTCGATACTTGGCTGTAATCACATAGCTTGATTGCCTTCATTAGCTTTCATATTCCATGTAACCACCTTCACTGATAGCTTGACTCACCCATTTTGCTCCAGGGTGGCAAAGCCCCTCCTGGCCCAATTGAAATGCCGATCATCCTGTGGAAGAAACAGGCTTGCCAAGGTAATGCTGTTCTTGAAGGCAAAGATGTAGCCATTTTCCTTATCTGGCCAGCGTTCAATTGTCTCCATTAACCGGATCATTTCATATGACAGAGCCAGCAACTCATTCATTGAGCCCTGTTGCGTACTCACGATGAACTGGAACTTGAACATGGCTCGGCATGCATAATAGTCAATCCAGTAGAAGTTGACATCCCACAATGGTCCGTAGTGAAAGCTTCCAGGTACATAGGGATCAACAAGATCATCCCCTGTCAAGGGCTGCTGGTTAGGGAAGGTTTCCACAACATATTGCCCAGCATACTGGCTCAACGTGTCCTTCATGCGTTCCAAACTTTGACCGAGTTGCTCATTCTCAATGAGAAAATCACCATACTCGATCATGCCGCGCGACAGCTTGGCGTACAACGACGCCAACTCTAAGCCAAAGCGACGGCCAATTGAGGATACCATGGTCATGTGCTTTTCAATGTCATCCGGATTTTCGGCTGCTTCCTTGATATCGTACTCTTCTGTTTTGACGTACCATTCTCGCCCAAGAACCAGCTCGTTTCCGGAGACGATACCAGCTGTTATATCAAATCGTGCATACCACTCGAAAAGATGCCTATGAGCTTTGTCCGAAGAAGCAGATTCGGGCGATATGAGTTGGCGAATCAAGAAATGGGCGGCCTGATGGTGATCTATCAGGTTAACCCAGTCACCAACAAATTCCTGTATGAGAAGAAAGTGTGAGCTAACGTGTGATGACAAGGACAAACAAAAACAGCTAATCTGCACATACCTCGAAATTGACAAGCACAAGGACTGTGGCTAGGGTCGCTTCGCTATACGGTTCCCCGGACCCTAGCGACCTCCGTAATAGTGATAGAGCCTTGTTGTAGTATTTGAGAAAGGAATATAGATTACCACCCCCGGTTTGCACGACGTGATGGTAGGCGGAGAACCCGACGATAGCGTAAAGCAAAGGTTCATACTGCAAGGCATATTCGACGATGGTTTGTTTGACGAAGTTGTTACTGCGGGAACGCATGAAGTAGTGCCGATAGTTTAGGGAGTCCTGGTGATATGAGAGGTAGAACCGGAGATCCTCGGGTAAGTGGGCCGTATTCGGGTCTCCGACAGTCTCGAACAGATGAAATCCAACACTATCCGATCGTGCACTCAGCGATCCATACCGGGATGAAGTCTCAGTTGAAGGCGAGCTGCTATCCTCCTTGCGATTGGGGTCTGCCGCAGGCACAACCTGCTGCTTCACTTTACGACGGTGTAAAGACTGAGCACTCTTCTTCTTAGACAACGTAGATTTCAATCCAGTTGGAGCGGTGGCCCCGGTAGCTGTCGGTGATTGATGGGTGCTTGAACCGGGGCTACCTTCCTCTTCCTCGTCCGCAATTGGCGCTAAATCGAAAGTACGAGTCTCATCGGTGTCAACACTAACAGGACCCGATGAATCACTTCCGCGGGACTGCGGCCGAGAAGCCTTAGCCTTTGCCACGGATCGAGGTGCGGGCTTTGACGCCGGGCCTGTTGTACTAGGGTAGACGCATTCCCGGTTACCCTTTCGACATCGATCGCAAACAGGACGAGTCTCGTCGCACTTGATTCGGCGAGACCGGCAGGTAAAACAGCCGCTCCTAGTGCGTTTGTGCTTTTTCTGATCCGGCAGGGGCTGGAGGAGAGACGGTGTTCTCGGAGTGGCTGGGGTTAAAGGAACCGCAGGAGACTGTGACTGCGGCTGTTGCGGTTGCGGTTGCTGCGGCTGCTGTGCGGACCAGAGCGCAACGCTCTCTGGATACTGGTTCTGACCCAAGATCGAGTATGCGGAGAGCGGGGGCGGCTCTTGGATGTAACCTGCCATGGAGGTCTGAGGCGGGTTGAAGGAATGAGCCATGGCGACAGAGGAAGGCTGCACTGCATCCACAGGGTACTTAAGATGGAAGAGGGGAAACCCGGCATAAGTTGAGGGTGGGAAAGAAAGTAGATTTAAGGCGAGAGGGGACAGAAGTAAATAATATGCTGCATCCTTGGTTGCGGCGGAGGGGATGCGGTGGCGGGACGCTGGAAGCTGGATGGGCGGATTCGAAGAGCGACAGAAAGAACAGGCGGAACGACAGAAACGAGAGTCAAAGTTGGATCATGAACGAGATGAGGATAGGGGAGAGGAAGAGATGAAGAAGATGAAGATGAAGATGCAGTGGAAGTTGAAGGGTCAGATTAGATTTGGAAGATGGGGGCAGATCTCCGGAAGGGGCAAGAGTCACATCAACCCGTCCTGGACTGCCATAAGTCTTAATGGGCCCGGTTATTATTATCCGATTGAAATTGTTATGGCATGAATTGCCTTTGTGTTTTCGACTTTTTTTTTTATTTTTGAGACCGCCTGCGATCAACCCTATTATGGATCAGCGTGTCATCCTAGACCGTGACATACTCTACACTTCAGACTACAGCAAGCAAGCAAGTCGTATTAGCTTCAGACGCGCGAAGAAATCACTCAACTCATCATGCAAGCCTACTCGGTCGTCTGAGTCAGTGCAGGGGACAGATCACTCTCGATGAGGACAACGGCAGGCGCAAACAGAACAGTAGCCCAGCGTCTGAGTCCGGGGATGGTGCCTGATAGAAGGCCCCGACAGGGCCGAGATAGACTGGCATGGAGGGGCAGCTAATCCTTAAGCAGTTAAGACTCCTCCTTAGTGGCCCTTCCGGGTGGAACTGATCAAAATGACGGTGCTCGGTCATATTCTGGGAGACTGAGCTAACACCCGTTTCCTCGGAGTCCTTTTTCATGATTCGACCCCGAAGAGCTTATGATGAAACAGAGGAGGGAAGCCAAGCGGCCGGCTCCCTGTTCATCTCCGCCCTTATTCTTGACCACATTGTAATATTAGGTGCATCATATAGGTGAGTGGATGGGCCACAAGCCACCCACGGCATTCGACGAACCACAAAGAGCGGTCTTGAGTTTATGCTTGGGAGTTGGATTCTCTGAGCAAAGGATTTGACCACTTGACGCCGGATCGAAATGCAACGCTGCAAAGTGGGTAACATCGATGGCAATGTCTGATTAGGCAATATTAGACGGGATACTTGGAAATGGAGTCGAGACCATGAGTAAGATTTGAAAGTGCTCCATCCCCCGGAGTAAAGGAGGACCCTATGTCATCCTAAATGCCGTGCACTCCCGTCAGTCGGACCTTCTAGTCTAACTCCTGACTCGTGATCCCTGTGCAAATCATCAGAAGTCTAGTAGTGAGTAAGCCCGGAGCATGGATAGGCTTGTTAGTTGGGATGCTTGTACACAAGAATGAGGTACGGAGGCCTCCGGTCTCCTAGGTCTGCTAGATGCCGGTCAGTCGATATGGTTGCCGAGATTTCTCCAGCAGGTGGAGCCGGAAAAGACCTGAGCCTCCAGTTCAGATTCTAACGTTGTATATGTACTCCGCAGCTGCACAAGAAGTACTAGTGTATCACGAAAGGGACTTCTAAATGCAGCGGAAACCCAACATCTTCGCGCATGGCGCGCGGAAATTGGCACTTGTTGGACACTCCTGATCGTCGAAGGGATCTGACAGCTCGCAGAAAGCATTCTCCGTCGGACAATTCGTAATCGTATACATCTTCTGCATAGCAAACTCAGTAATATTTTGATTGGCCTCCATGTCGGAACTGACGGCTGAATTTCCAGGATCTCGTGTCAACCACGGTCTATCATGCCTCGAATCAAACTAGCCACGGGCAGCACGGACGTGGAAGCCTGAAAGGTGGGAACTCGTACCTTGGTCCGTTCTCCGTTCCGCAGTTTATTTGTGGATTCCAGGATGTCACTCGATGAAAGTGGAGGTGCCCTTTTTGTGTGGGAAATTAAGATTCACGTTCATGATCAAGATGCGACTGCTAGCGGGACCGTGGCAGGTCTTTCAGCCCAGGATCTTTAGCCTCGTCTTAGCATGTCAGCAACCAATGGCTCGGCGGAGTATAGAAAATACCCTGGTAATACTCTGAAAACAGACCTAGAATGAAGCAGGATGCGCATTTGAGTCACTGATGTGCTCATGCAACGCAGCCAACTTGTTCCACTCGCCCAGCGCTAATGCTTCGCGACAACCTAGGTAGTAGGACAGACGTCGTCGTGGACAGTGAGACAGATGGAGAAATTGCTGCGCAGCATGATAATCCCTGCCTGCTCCTCGAACTGAAGGAATCGATCCTTGTCGATGATTGAATAAAATGGTTGCTTATACACCGTATTCTGATTTGATTGCAGTATAATCCTTAACGCCGAAGCACAGTTTAGCGCCGTTTATCGGGCTTGCTGATTTTTGAGCTTGGGCCTCGGATTGTGGCTTCTTAAGCTTCGAGAGCGGTTCATGAAACGATAGATCCCCCCGTCATTCAGGGGCTCCTGCTTGTTCGTTGAACCCAAAGTCGACGGATAAAATGGTCTTGGGGGTCGAGACCGGACCAAGATTTGCCTAATAAAACTAGTAGGGGTTCGAAGCCCCGAACTCGTTCAGTCGGTGACCACCAACCTGGGAATCCATATTCCAACCGCAGGATCGGTATCCTGGTAGGTTTCCGGGACGCATTCCACCTGATGATATGAGGGGTCTATGACGAGGAGGCCGATTGCCGACTAAGGTTATTTGTGGGATCAGGATGCCAGCCATCATCCTGTTTGAACGGCGGAGAGAGATCCGCTGAGAGTCCGGGACAGTCTAAGGCTCGTGCTTGCATTAGTCGGTGACAACATATTATCTCCGTTCTCGGTACTTTCGCCCGGGCTCTTACTACTGACCTCATCGCGAAACTATCCCAAGCCATCGAGCTGGCATGGGCCAGTGTTGGCGTTACCTTGCAGTTGCAGCAGATGAACAGTGGCTTTCTTGACTGGCTGGTGTTGGAAGACATAAACCTGACCGACAATCAAAATGAAACCACTCCTTGAGGATCATGACAAATATTCTTTGATGTCGTGGACGAGGAAGTTGCGAGGCCGCCTCTGTGATCGATGTCTTGGTGAAGTTGAATTCAAGGATTGGCTTGCGGCACCCCCAGTCCCACAGAACACAGGTATGCTGTGTGCTGTGTACATGCAAACCTACCGGGAGCCAAATTGCCAATATCCACCCTTTGTTAAATATGCACCGTGGATAGCCGCAGGTATACCTCTAATGGCCATTGTTCATTGTCTCATTATGCTTTGATATCGACTTGATATACTCTATAAACCGTGTCCTAGCAAGCTATATTACAAATTGGTATCATGATGCTCGTCATTTTCACTATACTTGCCTCCTTGGCCAGAACGTCCCGGTCCTATGATTTCGCCGTCCCCATCTCCTCAATGGTCTTCTGTAACCCCTCAATGACAACCCCCCACTCAATCTCATGCACCTTTTGCTCGAATGCATGCAGATCCTCATCAGCCCCCTTCACAAACGGTATCTCCTTTACAAGGATTGGCTTCCCCATATCCACCTCTGATATGACATTATGGATCATGACCCCCGTCCGCTCAATCTTACCATCGAGCCATGCCTGGTGAGCTCGTTCAATGGCATTCTGCATGAGTCGATCAGCAGCCAGACGTGACAAAACAAGACATACCAAACAACTTACCGCTCCGTTGAACTCGCCCGGCAAGGCCGGATGCAAGTTCACAATCCTCACACCCTTGGCCTCCAAGGGTCCCAAGAAACCCTCCGAGAGCACATGCATGAACCCCAAGCAGGCCACCAAATCCGGCTTATCCTCTAACACCAGTCTCGCGAGCTCCGCATCGTACTCTTCTCTCGCACGCTGTACACCCTCTGGCGTCGCGGGGTGTTGCTTCTTGTACTTCACGAGGTTGTGGTACTGTGTGGGGATGTTGGCGCGTCGAGCACGTTCCAAGCCAAAGGCGTCTTTGCGGTTGGAGATGACCCTGACAATTTTTGCGGGGAGTGTAGTGTCGTCGATAACGGCTTGGAGGTTTGTTCCGGATCCGGATATGAGAACTGTCAGACGAATTGGGTCCATTTCTTCTTCGGTTTTCGGCTTTCTCTTCAGAATTCGTCGTCGTTGTCTTTCAGGTTCAAATGCGGACTTTGGAGGTGGTAGATCGGTGTGGTCAGAGGCTTTCTCAGCGATTGAACACGGTGGGCTTCGGCCTTGATTGTTGCCCTTCGGTAACTATTTAAGATGGGCGGGCGAACGTGTGCCTGTCTCTGGGAGGTCAATTGAGTGAAAGGGCGATGTGAAGGCCTTATCGAAAGTATTGATGAAGCTCCGATCATTTTGAGCGCGGGGCAGATTAGCTTAGTCAGCAGAACCAACGTGGGGGCATACATCCATATATACTGGACAGTAATATCGAAATGCATAAGTAATCATTCAGGTCGCAAGGTTTCATAAGTTATGGAATTCAATGGACGGTCTAAGACCTGCTGAACTAAGCAAAACGCTCTATGCTACCAGGGGAATAATACAGCTCCATGCTAAAACCCATAGCCCAGACATCATGAAAAAGGAAACGTTAGGATATTCCAGCCGAATCAAAGTATACAGTCAAGTTCGTGTGCATCAATGATACAACTCGACCTAGAACCCAGCCATGAAACAATGATCTGACATGAACGGCATCCTAACTCTGACGAGCAAACCCAAAAGAACGCGATGCAGCAATGGATATCCGAGGTGAAGGACAAAAGATGCAAAGATATAGTAAAGCTGTTAGAAACAGCGCCATGCTAAATACACTGACAAAAAAAAGTCGAATTCGTATAGTAGTAGGCCGTAAAAAAAATCAGGCGGCTGTTGCGCGCGGTGTGTCCGATGGTTGCGGTGGTTCGGTGCCCGACTTGTCAGCGACACCCTGGCCCCGACACAGCGGACAAGAGTTGCGACCTGTAGTTAACCACTAAGAGAAGTTAGTTTGAGCACGAAACAACGTCGCCCATTTAACGTACCTGGTCAATACAATCACGGTGGTAAAGATGTTCGCATTTGGTCAACTGCCGAAGCTCCTCCGCCGCTTCGTACTCACTGAGACAGATCAAACAGCGCTCGCCTTCAGAAATTTGGACAGTAACACCGCCATCAAAAGCCTCTGCTGACAAAGAGCCACCGTACTCCACCACACGAAACAACCCTCCTGCAGAAGTCAGGTCTTCCTGGGTAGCGACTGGCGGCTTTACAGGGCCAAGAAGTGATGACAGTAACACCATATCCTCATAGGTCGGGTTCTGCATGCGACATTAGCAACTGTACTCATCAATGCGAAGTTTTCATTACTTACATCAGTGAACAAACTGGGAGCCGCAAAGGCAGGGTGATTTTCGGAGAGGTTGGTTCCAACGACGTAAATCAGCCAGCTTCTCCCAGGTGCTGCGTTATGATTGTCGGGCTCGACAACGCCGTTACGCCTCGATGCCCCGGAGCCTAATTGCTCGCGGTGGCGCGCAAATTCGGAGTCACTTCGGCGTCGCTGACGAGTCGCGGTGGTTGGGAAACCCTCATCCGAAGTATCCACTGTAGGCTGCATGGAACGGTTCGCATTGAGCTGTGGCAGGACGTTCGGGGGCATAGCGGACGTGGTAGATAGTCGGCGGCTGGGAGTCGAAGCGCCAGACGAAACAGCCGACAGTCCCGGCTCCGCCGGGGTGGATGGGGGTGGATGAGGGCCCGGGGGACTTTCAGATACAACTGAGGGCAACGATGAAGGTCTGCCACGGTTACCGGCGTCAGACAGCCGCCGCGCTGCGTTTGACGATCCCAACTGGGATGGAGTATCATCACTTGTGGAAGACGCATTAGGTGGCGCGGGACGACCGAATACATTTGTCCCTGGTCGTGACCCAGCACGAGATGGGAAAGCTCCTGGCGTGAGGAAAGGGAGTCGGAGGAGAGCATCCAGGCCACCAGGGAGTCCCGCAGGCTGACGATCACCGCCATTTCCAGTTGGAACAGACCTTACTCCAATCACGACAAGTGTGACAGTTCGGCCCTCGGATCCTTCAGGTTGGTGATCGGCCTCCATGGATTCGCCATGGTTAGCAGTATTGCTCGAGTCGGTCCTTGCGCGATTTGGTGTGTCGGACGATCGAGAAGCGTCAGAATTGGCGAACCGAAATACTCTCATGAAGTTCACCGGGGTCGAGGGTCGTTCCTCTTCTGCATTGTTAGTTGTATCCCCGGGTGCTGGCTGTCCAGATGCAGCACGTTGTAAACTCTGGATAAAACTCTCCAGAGAACCATCCGAACCTTCGTTGCCCAAAGATGGGATATTGGGCAACGCCGGGCCAGTCCCACCTGAAAGCTGAGTAGCAATGTGAGTAGCCGCGAGTTGAAGAAGACGCGACAGGGGTGTTTGTTCTTCTCTGCGCAAAGCCCTTGCTGGCCGTGCCCGTAGTAAACTAGGAAAATGCCGCGTACTAGATTGACTTTGGGGAGACAGCATGGTAGAGGAGGGCTGGGGTTCTGCTACTGCGGGCTCCACAGAATCAAGCTCGTGGGGTGTATCGAAATCCATGTGGCCATCAATGGGCCCAGGGTGGGGGATGAATCCGACGGGGTCGGAATCGTGGAAATGATAAGGGTGTTCGGCACCCTGCTCCATTGCCAAATCAGAAGAGGGCGGGCCAAACATTTGAGCGATAGGGCTTGGTAGAGAGTGTCCAACCCGACGTAGGCGAACAGGCCGTCGCCAATTCCATCCAGTTTCGGCTGACCCCTCTGTCGACGAGCCGAAGAGTCGCGAATGGCCGTTATTGCTCAAAGCTGCCTCGCTCCGTGGAATAAAGTAGGGGGCGCGAAGTGATCGCCGTCGACTACTGCCCCGTGAGCTCAAAGAAGCGAAAGGACTAAACCTACTACTGCTTTGATTGACCTCCGATCTTGGTATGGTCCTGGAAACAATACCGTGCCGATGAGCGTGACCTTCCGCGGGAGTCTCCTCTTCGCTATTCAAGAGTCCTCGGATGACAGAGTTTGGCAGAATCCTAGAACCCAGTCTCGACATTGTAGAATGCCTCCTTGCCGCTCGAGCGAGGATTGCAGATTGATAATCCTGCTGGCTGGCGTCAAGATGTGACCCAGCCTCTTCCTGAATACTCCCCATTTGTCCTGGGCTGTCCGCGCTGCCAGAATGTGTCATCAAGGACTGCAACGGGTCTTCCATGGAAGTCGTGATACCGGAATGCGTCATCTGCACATCGCTGTCTATTTCCTGTCCCGCCTGGGAATTGGAAGTCCCGGCCCGCTCCGTACTTTGACCGTTATTCATGTCTTCATCCCTATTACGGCTATGGCGTCGTTGACGAGGTATGTATGATTCGTTTGGGTATTGTTGGCGATGTTCTCGTTGAGTAGAGGAAGACTGTCCCATAGTAACATCGACGTGAAGGATAGGAAGTGGCGAAGGGAGCTTAGAAACCACCTAGTGCCATTCGCAGGACGATGACTAACAAGACGTTGAGATTAGTAAAACCCAATAACAGTTTAGAAAAAGAAGTAATACAGAATGCCGGGAACAACGTCGAAACAGGAGTGCAAATCTGCTATGGAGCCGATGACGGAACACCGGAAGCTGCCCACTCCACGACGCCACCAGTACGGAATACCCTGTCACTAAGTGACCGAATAGCCAGTAGTGCACTTACCATTGGATAGTTCAAGCTAGACCAGACTCGAGCCTCAGAGGTTATGCAGAAAGTATTGTTCGTCGTTGGCTAGTTGCGAACCTGTGTCTCGGCGGGCTGAATAGTAGGTTGGCAGGCCACACAACGTTTCGGTTGTCTGTGCAAGCGGTCTCTAATGAGGGCTTAACGCCGCAGGGTCAAGGGATCTCGGGAATAGAAACGTAAATTCCGGACTTGATGTCGAAGCGTAGGAATGAAGCAGACGCCGGCAAGATGCGCCGAGTGTCAAGGCGGACGAGAAGTGAGTTATAAGACCGCTACAACAATGATGAGTCACGGAAGGACAACAGAAGCGCGAACAAAGGAGAGTATAAAGTCTAGGTGAGCGATGCGGAGGAGGGGCGAAGAAAGCGGAAGGAGTTGAGAGGAGGGAGAGGCTGATGGACGGCAGATGATGTGACGACGTCGATGGAGGCAGGTGAGCGGGCGATAACGTCTCCTTTGCGGTCGGGTGCTGACAGTGCAAGGGCCGATTATATGTAGTACCACGTTGGTAATCCCTACTCGATACTTCTACAAGAGTTCCAGGATCAATTCGGTTGGCTCATATGCCTGATCCCAGGAATATAAATAGCTTGGAAGTGACCGGAGCCGTGAAAAGGAGTGGTTGAGATACCACAGCGGTTTCGGTTCTTCGGCTTGGGCTTAGTTTCAAACGGCCGCCAGGCTTGTATATTAGTAATTTACTCCTCAGTAAGTCTGAAGCAAATCCCTGACAGCGCTAGCATGTTTCCAGCGCGGTACCTGATGATCATGTGATAGCGCCATTGAGAGCCTTCGCTTTGAAGCCTTGATGCCTTGAAAGAAAATGTATCGGTTTTCTCAGTAGGTTGTCTTCCTGTCCAATACGCATCTCAACCAGTTGCTTTACTCTGCCTTCTACTCAATAATCAAAGCGCTGTTTCTGAGGTTGAAGGAGATAATAGCTGATCTAACTCTCTGGACGAACTGAAAATCCTTGCCAGATGATCCATTAGTCAACACTCGGGGGTAGTGTTACAGCTCCCGAGGAACAGGTTGTTAGATATCTGACAGCTCTCATGGCATTTGTTCCCTCAGCATCAGCTTTCTCCCTACCACTTCGTCCATGGCAGCAAAATCGCAGCCTCCGGGTTACCCGATATGAGCCTAAAAAGCGCAAGATCAGCGAGGACGCTCAAGATACTCAGACCGAAGGGGATGAGGGTGAAACAACTGACGCTGTGTCAGACCTCGGTCGATCTGTTGTTCTTTCCCCAGATGAGGCACATCAGTATCGTGTAGCGGGTCTTTCAGTCAACGAAGAATTGCCTGATACTAAGTACTTCCCCCATGCTCCAGTCAAGGAAAAGGTTCCTGAAGACAAGGAGAAGGCCTCTAAAGACAAGAAAAAGGACAGCAAAGTCAAGAGAAAGGATGGGGAGGTGGAGGATACAAATGGTGGAGTGAATAACCGCCGCTCAATCCCAAAGCAGCTATCAGAGCTCTCGCCGCCAATATATGCGCCTCAGTCCGCAGCACAGCAGGGAAACCTCCGGCTTCATCATCTTGCGGTCCTTACGTCTGTACTTCACCGGTGTCTTCTCGAGGGCGATTACATCCGCGCTGGTAGGGCATGGGGCCTGATCATACGGGAACAATTCGGTGGCACGCCTATAGACGTGCGTACTGATGATCGATGGGGTATTGGTGCCGAGATATTGCTGCGGAAAGACCGGCAAATCTCCGACGAACGCCTTGAAAATAGAAAAACCGACAACGGCTCGCATGACGGAAGCCCAAGACTTCTCTTTACTAGAAAAGGGTTCGAAGACGCCAAGGGTTATTACGAGATTCTTATTACCCAGTATCCTTTCCAAAAGACCGCGCCTGAACTCATCAGCGCATTGCATTTCTACCCGGCTATGTTTGGGCTGTGGATATATGTCGCCCAAGAGGAGAGCACGAATGCACGGAGGGAGCTTGAGGAAAGGGACCCAACTTCTTGGGACGAGGACGAGACCGGGTCTGGGTCTGGGTCTGGGAACGACGGACAGGCTGATTGGAAGAAATACCAAAAGCTCGCAGCTGATATTAGAGAAAAAGAAAAGGGCGAAGCTAAGAAAATCGCTGAGGCTATGGACGCCATCCTTACATCGCCGCCATATTCAGACAGTCCTGGGTTACTCGAACTACGAGGTATGGTGTGTCGGTGGTTTGCTGATCTGGTCATCTCTAGCCTGCCTGGAACTAACGACACATATGAGCACGACGAGAACTATGCTAGTGATGACGGCGGTGGCGATATTTTCATGTCCCAGTCTGGTGGGCTTGAGGCGAGACAGGAACGGCGAAGAGCCATTGAAATAAGACAAATGGAGATACAGAGGTCTGAAGAGTTCATGGAAAAAGCTAAAGAGCGGAAACAAGGCATTTCTTCCAAGTTCAAGACTATGGACCTCGACCCAGACTCCTCTCCCCGGGGTCAAGACCCGGACTCATGAAATTTATAGATAGCACAATCGTGTTTTGTGTACAGAATACATCTCCGGTGTAGCCGAACACGGTATTATTTTTGACTAGAATCAGAAATCGCCTCCACAGGGCATTGTACATTAGTATCAGAAAAATAGAGTGGCGATGTGGTAGTACGTGGTGAACATGAGAGTAAGCCCCGTCCGCCTGCGTGCCTGAGGATCCAACGCGTCTTCGCATGAATTTCCAACAACGCCCGTCAAGGAACAAACTCCCCAACTCCAACCTATCCACACAAGCTTAATTGGCAGCCATACGGTTCCACCTTATCAGGTAAATTCTGCTATAAATTTATTCCCGCAACGACGGCATGCCAACCGCCTTTTCTCCCCGCCTTCAAGCTAAACCAACTTAAACATGGGGGTCGGGGACTATGTGCACTCCAAAGAGAATCGCCAGCACCAGCCTCGAGCAATTGATCCGCCGAACCAAACGAGGCAGGCTCTCGCTGAACAAGCTCGTGTTGAGGTTCCCCCAACAACTCTGGTTGCACCGGTACCTATCCCAGGCAACCGGCAAGCGCCAATAGATCGATATGGCACGCCGTTTCGAGATCCGGCAGCCGAACGGCCTGTTCTCAGAGATGCCTTTGACACTGATGTAGAGGGGATCGACGAGTCGACTATTGCCGCGACAAGCGTGATTGGTATGGATGAAGTCCATTACAGATTACCACCTGCTGCGCAGGTGAATGCAAATGCAACTGCAAACGGGCATATGAGCCCTCAATATGAACCACAACATCATTCACCACAGTTGCAACCACAGCAACAGCCGTTGCCATCTCCTACACGCCAGCTCCGCACGGGCCGTCGTGCTAATGAATCAAAGTGGTACGAAGGTCTAGGCGATAGAGCGTTAAAGTCAGCGGGGTTCGACTCGGACGACCTAGAAGCCGCGAGCCAACATACTTCTACAGCTGGTGATGACGAGCAATCTAACGAGACCGACGACCAGCGCTTTGTGTCTAGGTACCGCGCAGCAGAAGAGCCACTTAGCAGACGACTCCAGAACTTCTGGACCGCTAGTCGGCGGACGACCTATCAACCTGATACCGTAGAATATACAGAGCCAACAAAGACGCAATCTTTCATTCCAGTCGCTTCCACCACCAAACCTCTCCCTGCCAATAGCAGGAAAGTCACGCTCACACGAAGCATGACAACAACCCCTAGGACTAGATTCAGTCCGCCAAAACCGTCTCTCCTCGACCAGCTAGACTTGACCCCCACGCGGCGCAGTCCCGGTATTACAAGGACACACTCCAGAAAGGAGAGAGAGCGCGAAAGAGAGAAAGAGGCCAGCAGAACAGCCGACGACACCATCAGAGGCACAGACCAAGGCCTCGGCCTATTCACCGACACCAACCAGGCCCGCGCCGGCGCAGACGATAGCTTCCAGTCGCTAAACGCCTTCGACATGACAAACTTCGACGATCTTGAAAACGACTCCTCCATGAACGACCCCTTCTCGCGCCGCGCTTCAATAAGATGGGTTGGACCACCAGAAGCAGATACGCCACCAACCCACACCCCGACACACGTCAGCACAATGGCAAACCCCAAGCCGTCTCTAAAGAAACGCCATCTCGAACCCGACTACCCGCCCGAAATCCTCAGCACCAAATCCTTCACAGACCTTCAAGCCGAACCCTTCGACCGCACGCCCAACCCCAAAGCAGCGGCAGAAGCCCAGCCCCAACGACCTCCCGAAAAGGGCAAAGACGAGGACAAAATCTCCTTCCTCCTCCGGCTCTCCGAGCAAGAGCGCGGGGAGTACTTTAGCAAACTCTCCATGGACGAATGGGAGGGGTGCGGCGACCTACTGATTGAGGAGTTTAGCAAGTTGATGACGAAGATGAAGGACCTGCGGCATGCGCGGCGCAAGACGGCTGCTGTGTTTGAGGCTGAGGTCAAGAGACGGCATGATGTGGTTGAGGAGCAGTCGGGCGAGATCTCGAGCAAGTTTGAGGAGATGAGGGCTGGCGGCACGGAGGTTCTCCGTGGGCGTTCGCCTTGAGCCGTTGTTGCGGCCTGGGTTATCATCTTTTACTTGCGCGTATGACTGGGTGTTTCTGAGACTTTTATGGACGAGTATGATTACCCCGTCCGTTTCGAGATTTCTCGCAAGTCCGGAATGCAATTGAGCTTGTTCTTGAGATATAAGCGTTTTGTTCGATTGACAATTTACAGCTATACCTCTGCAGCACCTTTAGAGCATGGCCTGTTATTCATGTTTATCTGTGTTCTTGTTCTCGTGGCACCTACACAAGACTCATCTTACATGTTTCAAGTTCCCTAAAAAACTGCTGGTCTGGGTGATTTAAACATTGTAGGTTTAGTTAAGCTAACATTATCTAGAGTCGTAGCAGCCCTGAAGTAAAACAGAAATGCGATGATTATCATCTATTATATAAAATTCACCGTAAGAAAAGAAAAATCTCAAGACTTTTGTCTATTAAGACCTACCAATCATGCACATAAGAATACACGGCTCTCTCATAGGCTCAGAGCGCAATAAGCAACATCAACATTAGGAAGTAATAGGGGCAGTAAGAGCGAGCAATAAAATGCTAGACGCAACACCCCCTGTACAGCGCAACAACAGGAAGTTCATCATGAGGAGGAGAATGTCAGAGGAGAAAAGAAGGGAAAAGTATGCATTAGAAGCTACAATCCTCATTCTTCATTCCCCTCTACTGCAAACTCAATAGCTTTGTTGGGCTCCGAGGGAAATCCAACAAGACCAATAGTTGCCGTGACATTTATTAGGGGAAATATGGAAGAAGGAAACCGTCAACATGTCCGAGCGCATCCCCGAACAGGAATGCAAATACACCGTACCGTCATCTCATCAGATAAGAGGGAGAAGTCGTTCAATCCGCATCTATGAGCGGCCGTATCTGGTCTTTCCAAAGGAGAAAGGCACGTAGCGGTACTTGATCATGTGCTGGATTTGGCGGCGCACTGCATAGTCGCGTTAGCATTTTCACTGCCTCTTCCCCACAACAACCGATTTCAACAGGATCAAAGGAGAAAGGCGGTACTCACTCGTCAGAACAAACAGCAAAATCCAGTAAACCACAAGAACAGGCCAGAAGACCGGGATATCAAAGACAGTGAACCAGGTGCAGAGGAACCCGATAGCGAGCGCGCGGGTAGCCGAGTACCAGAACTTGAACTCGGGGAGTCGGCGGATGAAGGGGCGGAACTCGTCGTCCTGCTTTGTAGGGAGGCTGGGGGCGCCGGCATCGCCGTCTTCAAGGCCCTCGTCTTGGGTGAGAGAGGGGTCGAATTTAGGCTGCAGGAAGAGGAGGAAGAGGTTGAGGAGGTAGATTCCGACGGTGTATGCGACTGCGTTCCTGTATTAGTCATTGTCGACGGATATCGGTTCTAAAGATGAGGAGGTACATACCAATGTACCAGCCCTGAGCGAGGACGATGCGCAGGAAGAAAACAATGAGGAGAACAACTGTGCCTGTCCATCGGTAGGCTGTAAATGGTGTGGAGGCGTCGAGGTAGGTTTGGTATTGCTGGAAGCCATTAGCTGCTGTTTCACTACTCCATTCATTCTTCCCCCAAAGTTCCTCATTTGTCGTATAAAGAAAGAAATTGATACATACCCTAGCAAGTTTTGAGGTCTGCGCGGTGACTGCTGTGAATGGCGTCTGCTCGGGCTCAGGGACGTCCATTGCGGCGGTTCAATAGGGTGCGGAAAACGAGGAAATAAGAGTCAAAAATGTTAGGAGAAAAGGAGCGCACTCTCAGCACCAGCTATACGGCACGTTAGAAATCCTAGGGTAGTCGTGAATCGTGATGGAGGCTGCTAGGCAAAAGTTGTCCACTTCCCAACACCGGCGGACTGCGTACGCCCGTCCTAGCCACAGCCGAGTGCTGCGCCACCAAGTCGGATATTTGACTGCTTGGCGGCTTATGTGAGCGGCATATATCACGTGCCGCATACTGCATAACCTCGGAACTGCGTATGCGGCTTGCATCGGCTGCGGGGAATCCAAGGTAGCTCCGGAGTATCTACTTGACCTCATTCTTGGACAGCTCCAACCATTACCATTGATTCGATTTACTACTTTGTATACTTGACCTCTTATCACACGCCACCATGTTTGCCCGGCAATCTACTCGATTTCTCTCCCCAAGAACCACAACCATCTTCGCGCGCGTCCGCTTGTACTCATCCGCTTCTCCGAGCTATGAGCACATCCTCACCTCAACCCCAAAGCCGGGAGTTGGTCTGAGTACGTCAACAAAAGAAGCAGTTCTTGTATTCTACGTATCATCTCAGTACTAATTGCTCGTGCCATAGTCACTCTCAACCGTCCCAAAGCCCTCAACGCCCTTTCCAGCCCTCTCTTCAAAGAACTAAACGATGCGCTCTCCAAATACGACGAGAGCAAGGATATCGGCGCCATCGTCATCACAGGAAGTGAGAAAGCTTTTGCGGGTATGAACTATGTCAACCCTAGCCTGACCACATCCTATCAAGAAGCAATGCTAACGGATATTCTTCATTCGCAGCCGGCGCCGACATCAAAGAAATGGCCCCCCTAACCTTCGCCTCCGCCTACAGCAACAACTTCATAGCCCCCTGGTCTCACCTCGCTACCTCAATTCGCAAGCCCGTGATCGCCGCGGTCTCCGGCTACGCCCTCGGCGGCGGGTGCGAGCTCGCCCTGATGTGCGACATCATCTACTGCACAGCCAACGCCACTTTCGGACAGCCCGAGATCAAGCTGGGCGTTATCCCCGGTGCCGGTGGTTCGCAGCGCCTCACGGCTGCAGTCGGCAAGAGCAAAGCGATGGAGCTTATTCTCACGGGTAAGAACTTTAGTGGGAAGGAAGCGGGTGAGTGGGGGGTTGCGGCGAAGGTTGTAGATGGCGGCAAGGAGGAGTTGCTCGAGGAGGCGGTTAAAACTGCTGAGACCATTGCGGGATATAGTCGGGTTGCGACTGTTGCGGCGAAGGAGGTGGTCAATAAGAGTCAGGATTTGGGTGTTAGGGAGGGTGTTGAGTATGAGCGGAGGTTGTTCCATGGGCTGTTTGGCAGTCAGGATCAGAAAATTGGTAGGTCTCCTTTCCGCTCCTTGTATCTTGAGATTCGTACTGACGAGGAGTAGGAATGACTGCCTTCTCAGAGAAGAAGAAGCCTGAATGGTCTCACGAGTAAGCAGCTGCACTCTCAAATTAGTGTATACCATCAAATATATGAGAACCACATTGAACCTGTCCCGGTTGATATTATTATTATATTCAAAGGCATCATTATACAGTCGTTGCCTCGTGACGTAGTATGTACATTCATTAGTTGATATTATTAGTTCGGTAAAGCAGCAGCTGATCGTGAGGGAACGGCTCAGAATACGCTGGCGGCTTGTCTCTCTGGATCACCTGGGTGCTCCTTCTGGCTTTGGTAGTTCTCGACCACTCTGCCCTCAAAAGTTTCATCGAAAACATCGACCTGAGTGCTAGCGAACTTGCGGGCACTAACTTTGCGCTCAAAAAGAACGTCCAGCTCGGCGAATGTACGACCCGCGGGCTCGGGTACGCGGAAATATGTATAAATGATGCAGAGAAAGCAAATCCCTCCCCAGAAGAGACCAGCAAAGTTGCCCCAGTCCCAGGCTGTGGGGTTCACCATATACGGCGTCATGACACCGCAGACAATAGCAACTATGTTGTACAAGATACGACCGAGAACGACGGTCTTGATCTGTAGACGACGAGTCGAAATCTCCGCGACAAGGGAATAGGCCACAGTCCCAACGGTTAATTGGTAAAACAACGCCCAGATCAGCATCATCGACCCGGTTGCAAGGGATGATTGTGTCCGATGTTCCTCTGGAACAAGACCAAGGAATCCCATAACCAACAGCATCACGCAGAGACCACATAGGCCGTAAAGATAGAGTTTTCGGCGACCAATACCCCACGACATGAGAAACCATGCTCCGAAGACACCGGCCATGTTGATACCATATTGGCCCATTGCAAAAGAGTACGCCTGCTCGTCACCGAGTCCCGCTTGTTGAAGGAAATAGGTCGAGTAGTTGGAAAAAGAGTTGCCGCTGAGGTTCTGGATAGCCCATACCATGCAGACAATTTCCGTGCGCCGCAGATCCACACCCCTAAAGCAATCTAGATAGCTAGCGCCGGAGGTAATCTTCTGTTCCAGAGCGGTGGTGTGGACCATCATGGCAATTGTGTCGTCCGCATTGAACTCGGTATCCCGCTCGGGGCTCGTCAGACGCTGCAGGGACTTTTTGGCCTCCTGTGTTTTGCCCTTTCGAACTAGCCACCATGGCGATTCCGGTGCTAACCAGATCCCAATGAAGAGTGGAATCGGCCACATCCATTGAAGTCCGTACGGGATCCGATAAGCCCATTCGTCTTGTCGACCGATCATGGCCCGAATCACGCCGACACCGATGAGTTGTCCCACACCCCAACAGAAATTGACGTAGGTTGTAAGGTAATTCCGCAACGCAACCGGGCAGACTTCGGAGGCGTAGGTGACACATAGCGTTTGGAAGACTCCCCAGGGGATACCGGCGAGGATTTCGGCGGCCAATAGGGCTTGGACATTAGGAGCTGTGAAGAATATTGCTGTCCAGGCCGTAATTAGGATAAGACAGGCCATGACAGTGTACCGATATCCAAATTTTTCAGAAGCCCAACCATTGAGCAATAGGCCGATAATTTCGCCAACATAAGCACCGTTACTCAAACCGGATTGCCACTAGAAGATCGACCAATTATCAGCAACAAGATATGTAGTTCAAGCACGCCAAAACTTACCCGTGCAGGAACCTGATACTCTCCGTTCGCTCCCAACTCGCCGTACTTGCGATTGAACTGCTCAAAGGCGTAAAAGTTGTTGACCAGAGAGATATCATAACCTTCCATGACAATGGTGGTAGAGATGATAATACTCCATACAATGGCTTTAGGATAGAGTTTGAACCCCTGCAACAGGGTCATCTTCTGCTCCTTTTGAGCAGCTGCCTTTGCATTTGCAACGATCTTTGCCATCGGCATTGCCGGATCATGATGAGGACTTGAGGGCTCTTCTTCTTTGAACAGACTAGGAGTAATCACATCCTGAGTTTTGGAGGACTCCATTTTCAGGAAACCCTGGATTGCGGGAGCATCCGACACAGGACAGGGGGCAGTTTTGGCGTCAGGCAAGCTGTTTTAAGAGCCAGCGAGATGGATCGGTAGAGATTTATATCCGCGGCGGGGGCTCGGGGAGGGTCCACACTAACCCACTCTCGCAAAGATTTCTTCCGAAAGATGAGCGGCCGACTGTCCAGAACGAACTGAAAAGCACGCGACGCTAGCACGAAGAGAGCATAACGCACCAGAAGGTGACATTTTCCAGGGCTGGGGTTTGTGGGGAAGTTGGGAACAGACCACTGACCATGGAGTGTTGCGGCCAAGCCCTGAGTAGTGGTGTCAGGATTCACGGGCCAGGTCGTTGGGAGAGTACGGATCGTCATTGGGTGTGTTTTTGCACATGGTTTGGCTGTCAGAGCGAGCAGACTCGAGAGCGTGACCATAAATCCCTGCTTAAGCAGGAGGGAGAGAAAATAAGAAACGTTTTCCATTTCGGCAGGTGGTCAGCAGCGCCATGGCCGGATCGGGAACCCCAACAGCCCTGAGGTCCCGAGGTCCAGCTGGAGCCCTCCCGCGTCCAAGGAGCAGGATCTTGGCCTCTTTGAGGTCCCGTCCCGTCATTCTTGAATGCTTCCAATTTCTTTGAATAGATGTTTGAAAAAGAAGGGGCCGAAGCTAAACGAATGTCGACGTAGTAGTGCTGTGGTCTTGACATCCAAAAGCCAACAAACTTCTTATGTGAAAAGCTTACCTACCCGAGCCACGACGCTTGTGTGGCAATGGATGCTTGGGTTACAGTTAGGAGGAGACTTGCCAATGCCCTGCTTGCCATTGGTCTCCCCGGATTCTAGCTGCGCAGTTGGGGTTCAGCATCCTTTACCGACTGACCCCTTAGAGACTTCCTGTTAAACTTGACGAGCCCTTCTCCGCATGGGTATTTACTCTCATTGCGAATACCTCCTGAAGAGACAGTTCGTCGAAAAAGGCCAGACCACGCTCATGGAAGATGCTGTAGCTCGTGCGGCCCTAACAAGTTGAAAGACTGCTAAGTAAAGATCCTTTTGAGGCTTGAAAAGCCCATAGACAGAAGAGGGGAGTTTGGGTCTATCGCAACTAGTGAGCCGGCCATTCGACCATTGTTCGGTCCGGTGCTGACATGAATTCAATTTCCAAAGCAAGCATCTGCCACAGCCCACCGACGATACTCGAAGAGGATACCCGGCACCTGAAGCTGCAGGAGTCATATTCTTCAAGCCATCCCGGCAAAGAAATGTGCTATCGTGCATTGCGCTCGGCATGGTCTGAAACTCGGTAGCAGAGCCGTACTTTCAATTCAGGGCGCTTAAGAATTATTTTCAAACCTCATTGCCGGAACTAGTATCATCCGGTTCCTATGCAGGGGGAGAGAGTACGTTCTGGCGTCGTTATAAACATTGAGGTCGAAGTTCCGAAGAACGAATGACCCCGTATATTCATTGTTGTCTCACAACCTTCATGATTGAACGACATGCGATACCGGCGCAGGCTCGAGCCAACAACCAATATGGCAGACTGGCGATCATTGGCTTTTTACAATGATTCATCCCGCTGTGTTAAGCGCGTAGATCATAACGATCGAAAGGGCCTCGAAGGAAGACCGGCTCTAAGCATGCCTAGAGACAAAGATTGACTTTGAGAACTAGAGACTGATAAATTCACATTCCTTGCTTTGCTCGGCAAACCACCCATTGAAAGTGAGTGAGTGACAGACTGGCATGCGGAGCCGAAATCTGGAGATGCGGAGAACGTTGGCGGCGGTGGAGCTGTTAGTCAGTGGAACAGGCCAGACAGTCTGATTCAAAACTTGGAGAAGCACGGCTAGAATCAGGCGATGCGTGAGGAGAAAGCTGATTACCAACAAGGACGTTCTGGTTGGGGCCGGCGAGCGTATGGATTTGTTGTCCATATCGGGGATGATGCGAGGTCGGAACGGCTCCCGGTCTCGCATTCCTTGGAAGAAAAGAGAAAGGCGATGCGACTAGATCGACCTGTGCAAATGTGGGTGATTGAATTAAGCCGTCTGTCGTTGAGGGAATCAGGCTGATTATAAAGATCTCGTAACCAATTCCTCTCCAGTTCTGTCTGATATGCGATCGAGATAAGGAAGGTCGAAGCGGAAGCTTGCCGCGGAAAGCTCCGACTTCCGAGGGAAAGTTGGCTGGCCATGGGTTCCGCCGCGATCTGTCACGTTTGTTCCGCGATTGCTGGTGCGGGGGAAACTGAAGATCGCATGGTTTTGGGGGGTGATAATCGGCTGTTTAAACAGCAGAGAAGCCAGAAAGATGATCGGAATGGCCTTCCGTTTCGATGGTGGGGCACTTTTGTTGACCTTTTCAAGGCACTTGATTGGCCCAAGCTGTCTATATAGATTTTTTAGTGCGAAGCAGCAGTTTCAAATGGTTTATATTATTTGGCGTTGCTCTCCCCTCACGCCCTGAGGAGTCCGCTATAAAGTCCCCGCATCCCCTCCGGCCTCCCTCTGTTCTCAATCTTCCTCGACTTCAATTAGCGCTAGCATTGCTTCATTACCGTCAAAATGGGTAAGGACGACGAGCAAAGTAAGTCTCTTCCCGCACTTTTAGCTTCTGGATTGACTCTAACGGCTCTCAGAGACCTACCGTTACAATGAGACTCCTGTCTACACCACATCCAATGGGTGCCCTGTACGTCGAGCAGCCGGCAATATGGTAGAGACACACTAACAGCGACAGGTAATGGACCCCCAAGCGTCCCAGCGCGTGGGCCCCAACGGTCCTCTCCTCCTGCAAGACTTCAACCTCATCGACATCCTCGCTCACTTTGACCGTGAGCGTATCCCCGAGCGAGTGGTCCACGCCAAGGGTGCAGGCGCCTTTGGCGAGTTTGAGGTCACTGACGACATCAGCGACATCACCACCATCGACATGCTCAAGGGCGTCGGCAAGAAGACCAAGACCTTCGTCCGCTTCTCAACCGTCGGAGGCGAGAAGGGCTCCCCCGACAGCGCCCGCGACCCCCGAGGTTTCGCCTGCAAGTTCTACACCGAAGAGGGTAACTGGGACTGGGTCTTCAACAACACGCCCGTCTTCTTCCTCCGCGACCCCAGCAAATTCCCCATGTTCATCCACACGCAGAAGCGCAACCCGCAGACCAACCTCAAGGACGCCACCATGTTCTGGGACTACCTGTCCACCCACCAGGAGGCCGTCCACCAGATCATGCACCTCTTCTCCGACCGCGGCACACCCTACTCCTACCGCCACATGAACGGCTACTCCGGCCATACCTACAAATGGATCAAGCCCGACGGCACCTTCAACTACGTCCAGCTGCATCTCAAGACAGACCAGGGCAACAAGACCTTCACCGACGCCGAGGCCGCCCGCCTCTCAGCCGAAAACCCAGACTGGCACACGCAGGACCTCTTCAACGCCATCGCCCGCGGCGAGCACCCCTCCTGGACCTGCTACGTGCAGACCCTCTCCCCCGAACAAGCCGAGAAATTCCGCTGGAACATCTTCGACCTGACCAAGGTCTGGCCGCAGTCCGAAGTGCCCCTCCGCCGCTTCGGCCGCTTCACCCTCAACAAGAACCCGGAGAACTACTTCGCCGAGGTCGAGCAAGCCGCCTTCTCCCCCTCCCACCTCGTCCCCGGCGTCGAACCCTCCGCCGACCCCGTCCTGCAAGCCCGCCTCTTCTCCTACCCCGACACGCACCGCCACCGCCTCGGCACCCCCAACTACCAGTCCATCCCCGTCAACTGCCCGCTCCGCGCATTCACGCCCTTCCACCGCGACGGCGTCATGAGCGTGCACGGCAACCACGGCGCGAACCCGAATTACCCCTCCACCTTCCGGCAGCTGCAGTACAAGCCCGTTAAGGCGTCGCAGGAGCACGAGAAGTGGGCTGGTGCCGTTGTGACGGAGCAGCTGCCCGTTACGGACGAGGACTTCGTCCAGGCCAATGGGCTATGGCAGGTTCTTGGGCGCCAGCCCGGGCAGCAGGAGAACTTTGTTGGGAATGTTGCGGGACACCTTTGCAATGCTCACCCGAGAGTGCGCAACGCGACGTATGGCATGTTCCGTCGGGTGAATGCTGATCTGGGAGCAAGGATTGAGAAGGCTACTGAGGGTAAGGTTACTGAGGCCAGGGCTCGTTTGTAATTTAGTTCGTGCTTCATTAGATTGGAATATACTGTCATGTTAGACGATCACTTTAATTTCTACTCTACGAACATGAGAAAAAGGCCAGGTACGAGCGTTGTCATTGGGCATGGAGGACAATCATGAGCTTCTTGTTTGCTATACCATTGATCTAATGCTATGTATGATAAACAAAAACGGCACTGTCTAACCTGGAAACTCGAGAGTCGGTACTGATAATAGAGGTGTTGATGTACCGATCGTCGTTGTATTCAAAATAGCAAACCAAACAATGTAACCCTAACGCCCGTCGGAAGAACGCCAAGTCCGTGGGGGAAAAACCAAAGGCTACCTTAAATACGCCGGATGTGTAAAAAATTGCATGGTTCGTACATGGTCGTAAGAAGATGTCTGGAGGGGGGTAGGCTGACCTCAGAGATCGATCGGGAGGACTGGCGCTGGTGTGATGACGTGGCTCACCGCGGTCTGGTCGTGACAACCCCAGAAGAATCCGGGGGTTTCACAGGTGGAAGTTTGCGGCGCTGAGGTCGAGGTTGTTGGTGATGTGGGGTCCCGACAGCCAAACCATCCTGGATCCTTGCAGGTTGTGGTTGTGGTAGGTGCCTCAGTGGTGGTTGTCACCGTAGTACTTGTCGGATCCTTGCAACCGAACCAACCAGGAGTTTTGCAGGTAGATGTTGTTGTGGTGGTAGTTGTGGGCAAATCGGTAGTTGTACTATCATCCAGACAACCCCACCATCCAGGAGTCTTACAAGTAGTCGTCCTGGTTGACGTGGTTGTGGTTGTAGACGTTTGTGTTGAGCTCGTCGTTGTGACCTCGGAGCCGTTGCTTCGGAAAAACTTCCACAACTCACAGTCATAGCATTCTTCTTCTGGCGCGCAATGCGGCACATCATCATATACCTCGATGACGTCTGAGATCACGGCTCTTATGCGATGCGTACCAAGTGCAACGCGCCACCCCTTGTCTGCGACGGTATCGTACACGCACATTTGGCCAGTGTGGCAGGCGGACTCCATGGCATAACCACCCCATGTGCACACGGAACTTACACCGTTGCATGTTCCCATGTAAACAGGATCTGCCGTATGGCCAAAATGATACGCCCCTGTGAACTTCCTCGCTTGCGGCAGGGCTGGGTCATTTCCGGGAGGACTCGGTAGGCCGAGTCGAGCGGCGGGAAGTGCTTCCGGTACAGCTTCAAAGGTGACGACAGGTAATCCGAATGTCAATCCAAGTAAACTAGCCATAGCACCTCCCAAAGAGTGGCCCGTCAGCCAAACGTTTGCTTCCGGGTACAGCTCGGTGACGTTGGAATACAAGTCGAGTGAGGCACGGTAGTATCGATTCTCGTCATTCATAGCCTCAACGATGCAAGTCAAATTGGCATTGAACGCGGATTTTTGGCAGTCACAGACCTCTCGCCACAGATAGGACCCGCCCTGGCCACAACAGCAACTGAAGAAAAGATTGTCGTTCACCTTGTCGTTGGTAGTTGTCCCGGCTCCGTCGAACAGGGCGGGAGACGTTCCCTTGAGCGATATGACGATGGTGCTGTTTGTGTCATCTGCGTAGATATGGCCCCGCAACCCATCGTTCTGCCAACCAAAACTCCTAGAGTAGTTGAGTTTACCATTGACATCCTCCCAGTCCTCGGTCCCTGGTACTTCGATGTAGTCATTTGCCGTCATCTTCGCAAAGGTCAAGACTGTCTTTTTATCAGTAACATTAGGGCCGGCCACAGTGTCCATGGCCCATTGCGATGATTCAAGTGTGACTGCTGACCCGGTAGTTCTTGCGGCCGCTAAGTGTTCCTCGATGACCGAGAGACGCCGGTCTGCTAGTCGCTCGATGGTGATAGGCTGGGAGGATGCAACAAAGGGTATGTTGAGAGCTGCGGGCTCGAAATCTTCTATACCATCCTCCGATAAGGTCCGTAGTTGTGTATGTGGTTTAATGTCTAGTCTCCTGTGTAGTTCGGGATATTCATAAGCCCCTCGCTGAACGATGTGGCGAAGGGTCTGTGGCATGTCAGCACCTGCACCATCAGTACGACACAGCTGAGCATGAGGCTTACAAACTCATGCGTCCCAGAGAGCGTAGGAGGATCAGCTAAGGGGACTTGTGGGGGAATGAACGGGGATGAGTCCTGAGACCCATAGTATACGGGCTGCTGATAAGCGGAGACGCAAGACGGAAGGGCAAGAGACATGAGCAGGGTGGTGACGCCCATGTCCATCAAATGCCGTTTCCTCGTCCGCTTGTGACGGTCCATGGTAAGAGATGATGATATCGATGTAGACACTAAGAAAGGAGAAATAGAGCGAGCGCACGGCCGATAGACTCGATAGAGAGAGGCTCACCTGCGAGGCACTACTTATCGGTGACGCACTGCGGAGAAGGACGATCACGTGAGGACCACCGTAGCCCGCGTCACCGGACCTGGCCTGGGCTGGCCTTACAGAACCACACCCGTTTCGGCCATCCAGAGTCCAGAATGTGTCCCGAGATGTTGGAACCTGCTCAATAACTTGCTATATGCTTTTCTCTTGCTTTTTAATTCTGCCTGTAATACCGGGGGCTCCTGGGTATAATTTCCGACAGTTATCAAAGCTCCGAGCTTGCGGGGCCAGCTCGTGAGCAGCTGCTGCCATGTCTTCCGACACTGGCCCAAAGCCCCGTCTCCATACAACACGCTCGTTCCCTCGAATGGACAATGCAGAAATCAGTCCTTTTATTCGTTCAAGGGCGAAAACCGTACAATCGATTCCGGAATCGGTGCACTCAGACGCACTCCCTTTGAGTCTTACGGAGAACCAAAACAGTCAGGATGACGGCCCGGACGTGTTCGAGAAGTCTGGTGCTTCACCATCATCGGAACATGGTCCAAGCGAGGATACTTCGGTGCTCTCACGAGGCATACCGAACCAACCGGAGGAGCTCCCAATTGAGCTGATCAGTCTTACTGACCGGTACGGAGTCTGTTGAGTTTCAATATCGGACCACAGCCGCTAATTCTCCCCTGCATAGGTTCGTCAACTCGCTGAGTGCCCGAGTACACACGTCTCCGCCGACCATAGATAGAATATCTACGCTTTTCCAAGACTTTTACCTCCGAGCGGAATCTCATATAACCACCCATATCTCTGCGCTTGCTTCTCGAATAAATCGCGACCCCTCGCCCTATGCACCCGATAAGAAGGACACAACCACGCCCAGCCGCCAAATGTTGACGGCATCTGAAGTGACTGAGAAGCGGATGGCTCGAAAGCTTCTTGCGTCCAAGCAAGTCGATCTCGAAGAGGCCGTGGAGCGGAGAGCCTGTGAAAGCGTTTATGACAAGATCTGGAGGCATAAAAGCACACTCGATGAGATCAGGGATGAGAAGTTGCGGTCAAAGACGGCAGCCTTGCTCTTGGTTGGAATTAACCTAAAAGAGCTCGGTGTCGACATCGACATCTCTGCGGTCGACGAGAAAAGTCAAAAGGACGCAGAGGATTGCTTTTCGGCTGCCCGTGACTTCCTCATGAAGATGAACGAGGAGAAATATCCATTAGGAAAATTGCGATATCTTGCGGCAGCGCACAAGGCAATTGTTGATGCCCTAACTAAGTTGCTGCCTTCGTCGTCGTCCGCTGACGAGATTCTGCCAGCCCTCATTTACACGCTGGTCACTTGTCCACCCGAGGGCATGAATGTCATAAGCAACCTTTTGTTCATTCAACGATTCAGAACGAGTAATAAGGTCGATGGTGAAACTGCATATTGCCTTACCAATCTCGAGGCTGCAGTGAGCTTCCTTGAAAACGTGGACCTTTCCGAACTTCGCGCGGAGGAAGGACAAGAAGGAGAAGTAAAAGCTTCCAAGGGTGATTCGGCATCAGTTGCCGAGCGCATCCCCCCTCCCCAGCCTACTCCCGAACAGACCACATCTTCTATATCATCTGTAACTGCCTCTGCTGAGCCTACGAAGCCAATTGGAACTCAGCCGTCTGAGACATTAGCAGCTGCGACACCGGCTCAGCAAGGCCGATTGAATACATTCTTGCAACCTCCTGCAAAGGTTCTCGGGGCCGCTAATGACGCTGTCCGCAACACTGCTGATCAAGGGCTGAAGAACATTAGCGCAACGCTAGATAGCAGCTTCAACTTTTTGTTTGGTCGTCTAAAAGAGCTACAGTCCAATCAACCACGAGGCAAGGATGGAGCAGCGGGTCCTGTACTGCCAAAAACTCTCGCGGAAGCTAGACGTCTGGTTACTTCCCCGCCGTCCGGTGGCAGTGCTCACTTGGATAAAGAAGACCCTCCAAAAGAGCCTGCGGCCGCCGAGCCATCCCGATTAAGACGTATTGGCTCCAAGGCAGAGGATACTTTCACCGGGCTAGTTGCGGGACAGCGAACTCCGCGTGATAGAAGCACGGACAGTGTACGGACGTATGGCAGCTCTAGGGCATCAATAGCCACGAACGCATCTAGAGACGAGGGCCGAACCTCTACCACAAGCTCCGCCTTACCAACTCCGACGCTAGAGACGGTTCGAAGTTTCGGAAGCACCATCAATCCCCTAAACCATATTCCGGGGATGATCAGGGGCTTTGGCCGTGCTACACCCGAGTCTCCCGCATTACCTTCTCTTCCAAATCGAACTAAATCACCGGCGGGCGACAAAACGAAGGCTGATCCGCCCATCCAACGTTTCCTTCAGGCTCAAAATGCAAACGAGCTTACTATTGGCGATGTAAGCGTCTTGCTTGAGGACTACAAACGTATATCTGCACTTCTTGTGAAGCAAGGCGCTTTGCCAAGATAATCATTATACTCCCGTCTATCAAAGACGCAAAGCTCAATTTGGGTGTTTCTTTTTGGCGGCATCTCTTTTTCGTCCATGGGTCGGTATCTGAGTACTGCTGGATTCGGTGCTCAGTGTGACTGTCGCAATCTAGGAGTTGTTCTTCTTTGGCATAAATTGGAGTTTAAAGTTATTCTATCATGCGGGATTACATATCGACGTTTTACTAGATAATTAGGTAGCGCAATTGACCATACCTGGATGATCTTGGATGTCTACACTCTCAGGCCTGCATGCATAAGCAAAGCCCACATGACATGATAGCCGCTTTGTACGGCCATGGTACCTAGCCTCGATAACAGGGCAGAGGGTGTGCAGTGTGCGTGTCATGTGTATATATATGGTCTAATGATATTCATTTATAACTATAATTCTAAAAGACATCTCACATAAACCAGGCGCAACATGGAGCCTCTCAATAATCAAGTTCCCCCCGGTGCACCAGGCAAAATGTGCAAGAGGGTATATTGCTTAAATAAAACGGGTTTAGCGTTGAAGAAAAGAATCAGGGTGTAGTTAGGTAAGTTTTTAAAAACATGAAGGTGCGTAACGGATTCGGATTCGGATTCGCCTGCGAAACCCATCGACTGGTACCACCTAGATCTCCAGGTACTCAACGCTATTCGAGCGCTTATCGTTCGCGGGGCGTTCGAGTTCCCTTGTCTTGGTGCAGATCCAGGTTGAGGCGTACATGTTCACACTGTAAAAACCACTAATTAGATGCCTCTGCCTCATTGATGCTAACAGACGGAGTAGGATTGAGACATACCGGTCAATGCAAGTACCCGAGAAACGGGCTCCAACACGTCTCGCCGAGAAGCCGTTCTCCTCGAAGTTCTTGATATACCACGGCTCGATGCTGGCGGAGCGGAGGAGGATGCGGCCGTCCATTTTGAGGGCGTGGTTGAATTTCTGCGCTTGCGCGGTGGCGTCGGTGCCTTCGGGGTCAAACCAGTCCATTGAGTCCATGATCTGCAAGGTTAGGGTTAGTATGGATCTAGAAGTAAAGGTGGTTCAACAGTAAAAGAATGACGTACTACGGCGATTGTGAGGCTTCGAGGCGTGATACGTCCGATGACTTCATTAATTTCGTCGGTGTGGATGCGTAGGCCGTCAAAGGCACCGGGAGATGATAATTTGACGTGGGCTTGGGGTGTAAGGTATGCAGGGGCGCATCTGTCAAGCCGTTAGTTGAATGTAAATAATGAGGAACGATGGATGATCACCTTCTTGAGAATTGGCCCTTCAAGCAGAGGTAGTAGAAGTAGTTGTCGTTGCCGATCATGGTTTCATTGACGACAGGGTCCAGCGTGTCAACCACGTATTCCCAGATTGACTTGCCACTGATGTCTTTAGTATTCTTCATCTCTTTTGTGAGACCATTGCGTTTGAAGTAATCCTCAACGATCATGTTTCGCTGGTTGCGAGGAACGCCGGCGGCCTTCCATGCGAACCACTCAGTGCTGACCACCGCCCAGTGGAGAGGCTTGCTCATTAGGACGGCCCGGATCCGTGGCCAGATCTTACGCTGCTCGGCTAGGGTCTGTGCCTCGCAGAGCTTCTTCACTTGACCTGCCAGACCGAAGACCTTGAAGATGTAGCGGATCATCTTTATGGCGTGGCGAGAACCGCCGGTCTCATAGAGACCTCGGCCAGATTTTGAGGTGAAGACGTGGCTGTGTTCAAGCCAGTACTGGAACGCCTGGCTGGAAAGGTGAGGACTCAAGCGGGAAATTAAAAGGTCTCGGAACTCAGAGTGCTTCCCTTCACCAAAGATTTTCCAGACATCTCGGTGGCCGAGAGCGATAAAGCTGGCAACCTTCAGCTCAATGAGGTGGTTCTGGTTAGGATTCAAGTCAACGGCGTGCACGCGGCGCGGGCTCTTCTGCAGATAGTCAAGGATGTTGTCACCAGCACTTGTAATAGCCAGAATAACGTCGTCACGCTTGATATTGAGTAGTCGGTGGTCAACCCGGGGGTCTTCCCAGTTAAAGGCATAGATATACTCATTCTGGAACTGGGTGTGCTTCGGAAGGAGGTCGTTGTAGAAGATGCGGTAATGGTGGTTTTGGTAGAAGGCCGCGGGAAGGGGAAGGTTGGCGCTCAGGTTGACAACAGCCGACTCGTATGCTTTGGAGTGAATCTCCTGTGTGCTCTTGATAATGGCCTTGTCCATCTCCTTACGATGGTTGGCAGGAGACAAATATGGTGATTCGGTGAAAGACGCGTCCAGCTTCTCAATAGCCTCCCGACTGGCCTGGTTCGGGGAGATATCTTTTTGGCGCCCGATGAAGATGTAGTAAGGGATGCCTCCTAGGAGGTAGTTTCGCTCACTAGCAGAAATGACTGTTCCAAAGCGATATTCCAAGTAGTCTCGCCGAGCGGCATCGAGATTCACACGGTCTGCCTCGAACCACGCGCGCCAGAATGCACGCCCTAGCCAATTGACATGTCGGTTAAAAGCACCGCCGATATAGTTTCTGGATGAGACGTCGACAATGCTTTGGACTTTCCAGGTATTAGACCCTTTACTCATGGTTGTGGTTATCTTGGAACTTACCATAGAAATCGCAAACACCTAACAGACCGGAGGGCTTAACCAAATGACCTATTGAGTCCACCACACTGTAATAATCTGTTGCTGTCAGTGGCTATCATGATCAACATGAAACCTCCTTACCTGGGATCATTGACAAGCTGTAACTCATTGTCACCACATCGGCACCAGCTCCGACAGTCTTGATGGGATCGATATTGTCCTCCGGCAATCGGAAGGAGCGAGCATCCTGACAGACAACGGTAACATTCTTCCACCCTAATCTTTCAAAGCGCTTGCGTGCAACCTCGAGTAGAGAAGGTGAGAGATCGACAAGGTAGACGTGGGAGAAGAATTCGGGAACGGACACGAACGCAGCCATAGCTTCGATATTGTATCTAGGGTTCTGTCAATAATGATTTATTCGTGCACGTAGCTCGATCCTTACCCAGTGCCGCCACCAATCTAGACCATCAGTTAGTTCAATCCGCGTAAGCTCAACGTGAGTATCTTACATCAACCCAGACAGCCTTGCCCTTTTGAAGCTCCCTGTTCTCGACCTTGTATTTGAGCTGAGCAGCAACGAGACCGAGCATATCCTCCCGACCACGAAGAAGGCGCTTTCGGGTAGCATCGTACACAGTAGCCTGTGAGACTGTCAATTGACATGCCAAGAGGTAGCGCAATAGACTAGCTCGTACTTGAGTGGAATAGAAGCTCTCCAGCGCATCTTGTTGACCGCTTCCGCCCTTGTCATGGGGCTTCAGAAAGCTGGCGTAAATGAACTTGAGGTAGGTAAAGATTCCGTTGTTGTAGTCGACCTTGCTGCGCTTCTGCGAGGCCGCGAAGAGGACAATTGCAACAAGCGCGCAAACAAAGAAGGCAGTGCCCGCAATGGACACATAGAGACGGTCAAGACCGCTCTGGAGGAAACCAGCAGGGCCACTGGCGAGAGAAGTCATGGCACAAGAGGACAAGCACGACCAGAAGGACAGAAGTAATTAGACTGCCCCAGCTCAGGAATTGAGTCGGGAGGGGCGCTTCTTGAATGAAATACCCCTCCAACGCCGGCCGGGCATCGGGGAGGGGAACTGAGCTTGCCTCTTTTGGCCCACTGGGACTGCTCTGCCGACAACGCTGGGTCACACATTGGGGACATGAGGAAGTGTAAAGCACATGATGCCCTATCAGGAGCACACATGGGCCTGGGGCGAGGTAAAGACATCGACTGGAAACGAGAATGGATCCATAGCAGCGGAAGTAAATAGGCGGGCGATCCTAGATCCATCCTCTTGCCATTGGCCCCGTAGCAGAACCGGGGGTGGGGGATATTCAGTGATAGAGCCAGTCCGATGCAGCGTGCACGAGGCAAGTGGTTTTGGGTCTGTGGCGCAATTGGAGGCAATCTGCAGCGGTCCCGAGGACCTGCAGACTAGTGCACGGGCTTGAGGACCACAGAATAGCTGGCAAGTAGGAGAGCACCGTGGAGACATGTGTGACAATCGGGTGTGAAGAGAAGGAGGAAGAAGATCAACGGTCGGAAGACGTTCGGGGCAGCGCTGCATCGCCAGTAGATGCGGGTCAGCCAATCAGAGCTCCGCATTTCACCACACTTTGGCTTCTTCATTCTGTAGGGCCAACGCCCAGGATTTGCCATCACGACGAATTTAAAGGATTCTAGTGGAGCAATGATACAATAAGGTCGACGTATCATTGACTCTTGATAAAGAGTGCTAGACTATAGAGGGATTAACCAGATTATTAGACGTACGGAAGTATATATATAGTAGAAGTACTTGTAAATTTGTCAACAATACTGGATTATAATCACTGATTATCAGATTATGAAGCCCTGCAGTGCCTACACGAAGTATTGTTTCCATTGCTGCTTAGGTTCATAGACAACCTCTCTTGCAATGTATAACAAACGATTAATCAGCAGTCAGGATTGGCGCTTAGGCGCCTAACTACTAACACATCCCTGAGTCACATCTCTCTTCCTTTGTTCACCCTTCCATACAGCCTGCAGAAAGCTTTGCCAGTCTGTCAGTTATGGATCCCTTTGACTGCTTTCCTGCTGAGATAATTCATAAGATCATTTCCCACACGGCTGATTTTGTAGGCATTGAAAGTCTTCTAACAGCCTCACCATGGGTCGATTCCATTTTCCAGGCACGGCCTCAAATCATCATGGTCGACTTGATAGCAGCAAATCCAATTACCTCAATGCCGGAGATCAAGCAGCTGCTCCGAAATGTTGCTATCATATACAGTCCCTCGACTAATTGCTCGAACCATGAGCAGTATCGACAAATATGCTACGTGCCTGGCTCTGACCGCGAGCTTCCAGACCAAATGACGGCAGCTGAATCATTGCAGATCCTTCATCTTGCAGCCAGAATACAGCGTCTAGCATGCATGTGCCTTCACAGCATGCAACAGAAGTTTGTTACTGCAGTAGAAGACTCTCAAGGGCCTCTTGTAGCTGCAAAGGCAGCTGAACCCACTTCTTGGATGGAAGAGTTCCGCGTATATTGGGTACTCTGGCATTTACAGCATTATTCCGCTTTTGTGGAAGTCTCGAAGGCCCGTTGGGCATGGCCAAAGGATTACATAGAGGACGCGAAAGAAAACTTTACCACCTTGAATCGTGTCCCTCGTATCCTGACAGAACAGGTATGGACGGTATCGGCTATACTGGCGGACATGGGTCTACGCCCACTGTACGGACACCCTAGAAGCCTTCCACCGTCATTCCGAGAAGTTAAAGAGGAGCAAGAGGAAGAGTCCTCGAAAGCTGGGTGGACATTTAATCAATACTTCGGTGCGGCACGACTACCACTCTTCGCGTCATTGGCTCTTCCACCGAATCATCATAGCTATCCAGTCTGGAGCCCACCACCGATTCCCAGTGATAACTCACGGATCGAACGAAACTGGCAGCGTGCTCCGCGGCACCGCATGAAGGAGACATTTGCATCAGCGATGATTCGCCCCATTGCTGGGCGGACCCATCAATATCCTGGATTCGCACAGGCTTCCCAGGACTTACGTCAGATACGCCCCTTCAGGCGTCTCGGGGTGACAATATGGGACAAATGGCGCATGTATTCTGTGGGGCTGTTGCAGGATACGGGCCAGACGAAGAGATACATTCAAACTCCGGACGGGGAAATCATTGAGCAAGGCGTCGGCCAGGTGTCGCTGTACTTAATATGCTCAAGGTGGCTGGCTCTGGTTGGCAAGAGACCGCCATATTCGTGGTCCGCATTCGATACTGAAAAAAGAAGTGAGCTGGTTTGGTAAGTAAGTGGTGCTGCTCCCTGTACCTGCGCCATCATCTCTACAAAACTGCCGAGCAAGTACTCGAGGCTGTCTAGTCTACTGCTCCTTTGACGGTCCTTTCCTACAGACTTTCTATCATGAACTGTCCCAAAACCTGCTAAGAGCAGACTTTCTACCATGAAGAATGTTGGAAACGGCCTGTTATGCTTTTTGATGGAATGTCTTTGTCGCCCAAAAATTTTGTGAGCTCACTCTAGATGGAGTTGCTCTGCCAGATCAACAAGGAAAGCTCCCGAGGAGCGCAACTACTAAGCTTTGTAACAGCATTTCATGTTGATCATGATTCGTTTGCCTCCCTATGTACACACCGCAACTGTTCGACACCCAAGAACTAATACTCCAATCATTCCGGAATCCGCATCACAGCCCTTCCTTCAATCTCAGACCTCCCGAGCCGTTGAATCACATCATCGATCTGGTCGAACTCAAAACACTCAATGTGAGCCTTCACCTCCCCAGCTACAGCCATCTCCATCAACTCCTCCATCTCCCTTGCCGTACCAGCTGAGTTACCCACAATCGTCAGACCTGTCCAGTGTTAGGCTCTGATTCATGTACCACCAAACCCAGAGCAAAATGAACAGTGAATGACGCACCCTTAACAATCATATCAAACGGCGTCGCCGGCAATCGAAATGGCACATTTGGTATCCCCACGCAGACAAGGACACCCAATCGCCGAAGTAACCGCATACTCTGCTCGTAGGCAGCCTCGCCATTTGCTGTGCAAATCACGGCGTGAGCTCCCAGGCCAGAAGTTAGCTGTTTTACGGCGCTTTCGACGTCGTCGGTCTTGTAGTCGAGGAAGGCTGTTGCTCCGAGGGAGAGGCAGAGCTGTTTCTTCTTTTCGCCGCTGTTAAGTCAAGGTTAGCAATAAGCATCATAATGAGCATTGCATGCATATGGCTTGATGGTGCTTACCCGTCAATGGCTATGACATTTAGACCTTTCTTGACGGCGATCTGGACGCCCCTGGCAAACTATATCAGTGGTTGGTTACGATACATGGAGCGTGGTCTCAGCAAAGTGGGAGACAGAAAAAAACACACATGTGTCCCAAGCCGCCTCCGGCACCAGGAAGAACGATCCAATCTCCCGGGCGAGTCTTCGTTTTGATGATGGACGAGTACATGGCAATTCCGGCTACATCGCTTCTCGATTAGGGCTTCTAGCACGCTGGGATATAGACGACGTACCGCATAGTAGCGGTGCAGCCTCATCAGGGGAGAGCTGCGATGGAATCTTCGTTACGTGCACAGCAGGGCTGACAATGTACTCTGTGACAGATCAGCATCTACCATGACCTAGCCACTTCCACGAAGTCAGGCACGGAAATCGGGACTGCATACGTTGAAAAGTCCCCGGTACATTCTGCCCAGAATTAGCTTGAGTCTATACGTTGCATCAACGTCTAACATACCGCACCGGCGTTCTTCTGATTAGGGCATGCCGTATTATTCCTCTCGCAGATCTCGCACTCCAGGCATGAGCTGTATAGCCACCTATAGATCAAGCCCAGCCCGTTATCACCAGTCAATGAACGTTCATAAACCAGAAACATACCTAATCCCAACCCTCGTCCCCAGCCAAGTCCCTTCATCCACACCCTCACCAACTAAAGAAGTTTAATCAGCCCTGAATTTCGCCGTAACATATCTAGACATAGGGTACCTACCCTTAACAACCCTGCCCACCCCCTCATGCCCCGCAACATCCGTCAACATCGGTGTCTCCCCACGCACACTATGGACATCTGAGTGGCAGACACCCGAGAACTCAAGCTTGACGAGCAGTTCGCCTGGTGCGGGGACTGGAATCGGGCGGTCATGTCTGATCTCGAGGCGGCTGGTGAGCGTTGCGCCGGTGGAGGGAAGAACAGCCGCGGTTTGAGTTTGAGGCGTTGCCATTGTGTCTGGAACCGCGTAGGGTCTTGGATAATTTGATGGCCCTGGATTTTGGGGGTTTCGTAGTGTTGGTGCGGGGTAACAAGATATATGGAAGTTAAGTGCGGGGAGGTGTACCACTTCTAAGGCCTGACGAGGGAGGGGGATGGAGACGGAAACTGAGGATTATTTATGGAGTCGGACGACGACACTATTGTATACCAGTAAGATTGCGATGGCGCGCAAATGGGACGTTACTATCTCATGATACCCTTGCTGATAGGGTCCGATAGGGTCTCCATGATAACAGCTCTGGTAGACAATTAGCATTAGTAACTCCTTTGTCTCCAACTCTGTTCCAAAGCTTGCTTGTAGGATAATGCAGTTCAGGGCAATTATACACCTGGGTGTTCATTCACGCTTTCTAAGGCTCCATAACCAGTTCCAATCATAACATATCAAGCCAGGCTCCATGCCATGCCAAACATAAGAAAAGCCAAAGCCAAGTCCAACCAACCGACACTCGAATCAATTAGGATATTATGCTGATCTCAAAACTGCCAAGTCAAAAAGGTATACTGTATAACGACATATACTCCGGAGCTTCAAATGCCGAGGAGGGGAATATTAAAAGGACTCTATCGCACGACAAAAGACGCCAGCGCTCATGCGTTTTCAGATTGAAGAGTTTGCTACGGAAATGTCAATAGGCGGCGGGTTAACGAGGAGGGAGGATCAACGTACCACCAACCAGTCCATACCCTCGTTCAGACCCTTACCATCAATTGCCGAGCAAGCCACGATGCTCCAGTTCCTATCCCGCAATTCACCGAGCTTAAGAGCTTCTGAGATCTCTCCAGCGCCCTTCGCACCGGGCTGATCCTGTTTGTTGGCGAATACTAGGAGGGCTGCCTCGCGCAGTTCTTCTTCGTTTAGCATAGCGGAAAGCTCGTCTGCTGCCGTGCTGAGTCGTTCAACGTCTGTGGAATCAATTACGAAAACAACAGCAGCCGTGTTGGCGTAGTAACACCGCCAGTAAGGACGGATAGATGTTTGGCCTCCAAGATCCTAGACACAAATTGTAATGAGCGGACACGTTCGTGGTTTAGCGCGCAGTGCGGTACATACCCAGACGTTGAAGTTGAGATTTCGGTACGTCACCGATTCCACGTTGAATCCGATGGTAGGTATCGTAGTCACGACCTCGCCGATCTACAAAGTCCGAGAATTAGAGAAGATCCTGTAGCTATATGCAGTAGCTATGGTTTAGCGAAGACATACCTTCAATCTGTAGAGAAGGGTGGTCTTTCCAGCATTGTCCTGTGCGATCGGTCTCAGTTCCGTATTTCCAAATATGCTGTTGGTGACCAAGGCCGTTGACGTACAAGTCCGAGAATAAGAATCCGAATCTCCTTCTTTGACCAGAACAAGGACCAAAGCCGCGATAGTGACCCTCCCATGGTTGTGTTTGTTGGTGGTGGTTGCGGCGAGATGCGGTGACAGCTTTCAACGGAGACCGATATAGTATAAGCCGGCTTCGTCGTTTCGGTGGGGAATCGCAGCAAGCGGGGAAATATGATGTATTGGATAGAAGATGCCTGCGCCCAACAGTTGACTTAAGAGAGAGAGAGAACGTGCTTTGTGTCAGCGGAGGATGATCGATGAAAGTGACCCAAACCCCAGAACTTCGAGGGAGCTGACTAAATCGCAGGGGCGGCTGATCAGTTGGTCAAAGCTTCTACCTCATCTTCAGGGCCCTGGGAGTTTGCAGTGAGTGCTTCTGTTGCTAGACAAGATAGAATGTGTGGTGGTACAAGTAAATTGATTCACTGTTTGGTTTCTCTTCTTATTACTTGTAGTACTCGTTGGTATAAGGGTTGTTGAATGACTATATGGTGCACCTTGTATACTACCTTCACGCTATACCTCTTGTGGCGATTCGCCTGTGCTGCCCGGAGAGTATGGAGAACGGACAGTCAGTGCCGTAGTTTGTCTTGGATGACTGCAAGAACACTCTTTTTCTCTTTATCTGTACCTCCTTATCCTTGACACTCTTCCACTCCCACCCTCCTCCATCGGATTTCGCCATCTCCTCATCATTAACAGTAATTGAAACTAGATTCTCTGATACGCGCGAGATCCCTTGACTGTCCCCAATCAAGCTGGTCCGATCTCCGGCGCGAAGCAATTCAACCAAGATTGATACTGCGCGCGCTACGAGCCATACACGATGGTTGGCAAGAAGTCTGGGAAGGCGCTCCTGCGAGATGAGGGTCAGTCTTGCAATTAACTCTTACTACTCTCGCTGTTGCGCTGTTTCATGCCCTAACTTCTCTGTTCCTAGGTCTCGAAAGGACGGATAACAATATGGATCTCTCCAGCTGGCCTGTGATCCCCGCAATCAACCAGAAAAACTACTACACGTTCGTACTCTGCCCCTCTGTTCCGATAATTCTCAATCCGCTTTTCGCTAATTGCATGTTCACCTGGTTCACAGTGACTATCTCAAGCGCGACGATCAGTACCTGGCGTTCAGACTACAAAATGAAGAAAACCGGAATCGGATGGCCAAAAAGGCCAAAGACCGCGATCGCGCTATGGCGATGGAAAAGACGAATGACCTAGGGATCCCAGAGCCGGAGGCAGACATGGACGGTGATACGAATATGGACGACGCCGAGGCAGCCGCTACGGAAGCGATAGGGTCGAAGGTCGTCGTTATCCATGTCGGTAGCCAGAACTTGCGCATTGGTTTATCTAGCGATGCACTGCCCAAAACTCTTCCTATGGTGATAGCGCGAAAGTCAACAACCAACGAGTCCGAAGACCAAGAGGAGCATCGCCCGAAGAGGTTGAAGCTGGATGATGGCTCGGAGATGGAGCCGGAGAAGAAATTCGGCTCAGAGGTATGCCTTGGACAACTCAATTTGATACTTTGAGTACGTTACCTAAACATTTACAGTTCTCATCGCAATACACAACTATGATGGCCGATCTCAAGACGCACATGCGACAGAACAAGCGCCGGACTTTGCCGAACTCCAAGGAAATGGTGGTCAACTACAATCGTCGAACCGTGCCGGAGACCATCTCAGAGCACAATGATCCGATGCGAGTTGAATGGACCGAAATTCCAGACCATGCACCTGAGTACATTGTGGGACAACCGGCTTTACGGATACCGGACGAGTCAAACCCCCGTTATAAACTTTACTGGCCGATGAAGTATGGTTGGTGTAACGAGCAGGACTATGATAACAAGAGACTTTTGTTCCTGGATATTTCGATCATTCTGGAGGATGCAATCAAGACCCAGTTAGGACTCACAAGCAAGAAGGATTGGCCACAATACTCTTGCGTATTTGTTATCCCGGACCTCTTCGACAAGGCATATGTCACCCAAATTCTTGAGATGCTCATGAGGGAGTTCTCGTTCGCTCGGGTGTGCTTCATACAGGAAAGCTTGGCGGCTACCTTTGGCGCTGGGTTCACATCGGCCTGTGTCGTCGATATCGGCGCGCAAAAGACGTCAATATGCTGCGTGGAGGAAGGCATGTGCGTGGAAAACTCGCGAGTAAACCTGAAATACGGTGGAGCCGATGTGACTGAGCTGTTTATCAAGATGATGCTTTACGATCACTTCCCGTATGAAGAGATCAACCTCTGGCGCAGGTATGACTTTCTGCTGGCAGAAGAGTTGAAGAAGAACGTATGCACAATGAACGAGGCCAGTGTTTCAGTACAAGTTTTCGATTTCCATCTTCGTGTCGCTGGTCAAGACACTCGCAAGTACACGTTTAAGGCATACGATGAGGTGCATCTCGCCCCAATGGGTGTCTTTCAGCCGTCGTTGTTCGACAACTCGATGAAGCTGAATGGACGGAGAAAGCTGATTGCTCGTTCTGTGGACATCTACGACGGCCAACCGAATGACCCAACATCTGCCGCCCAGTCCGAGATTCTAACAGCACTTGCTCCCGCGACCTCTGGCAACCAAGTCAATGGCGAAGCGCAGACGAGCATTCCAGATGTACAAGCAACTCCTAGCCGCTCGCAACAGGTGAATGCCCTGAGCCGTGTGCAGGAACATGAGGCCACTCCTCGCTCGTCCGTTGCTGGCTCTCCTGGACCCGAGGGCACTCCGCAAGCTGGAGGCGCCCTCACTCCTGCACCCGGCGGACAGAGTCAGAACACATCTCAACCCCGCGCGCCCACTGTTGAGGAACGGGATGATATCCTTCCGTCGTTCCCGTTGGACAAGGCAATCCTCACGTCGATCATGCATGCTGCTCGATCCGATGAGCGCAAGATGCGAGACTTCCTTGGAGGCATCATGGTAGTCGGTGGAGGCAGTCTGGTCAGCAATTTCCATCTGTTCCTGGAGGAACGCCTTCAGCTTCTTCAACCGGGCTTCGCCAAGGAGATCATGATCGGCACGCCTCCTAGAGACCTTGATCCACAAGTAGTTGTATGGAAGGGCGCCAGTGTCTTCGGGAAGCTCAGTGGGACGAACGATAGCTGGATCAGCCAGCTAGAATACGATCGTCTTGGTCACCGTCTGCTGGCGTACAAGTGCATGTGGGCTTACTGATTTTAGAATGATTTATTGTTATGGGTGTTCTTGGGCCAGGGATACTCGGAAACTAGAAAGTGCCTATTTATGACTGTACAACCTAATTTATCTTTGGACACTTCCATTGCTATCCTGTCTACATACGGAGTAGTTGGCTTGCGAAAGGTATGAGATGTTGTGAATGGATTCTTAGTCAGCGAGCATAAAACAGCTGGCAGAACATTGTCCACAATCTCCAGGCACCTGTGCACTAACCATAAACCTCAGGCGGTCAAACACTGCAGAATGGCTCCTCTCACCCCCGGTAAGTTTGCGCGATGTCCAGCCCCATTGTTAACAAGAACAGCCAATAATTTGTGCAACTTCTTGTACAGCACTTTGCACTTGACTCGGTCAAACCTGCCGCTAAAACTACGGACGAGACTGTTATACGGGACTTAGAAATCCCTCCAATTGACCTTCCAGCTCAGAGTATGTTTCTCCACAAGCTAGCTCTGGGCATCAAATACATCGCGATACTAATGCTGGGTTCATAGTTTGCACTCCGCCTTGCTCCCAAACTCAACAGGTCGCTCCAAAAACCGACGCCGAAGACTGCGAAACCGATATGTCGAAGTCAAAGGACGGCGGCTCCTCTGGGGGCTTCCACCAGGAATACATAGCTTCTTTGCGCTACCGAAATGACCTTCCTCCTCCTGATATGCCTCCAAAGTTCCTTGACATCCCGCATGATGGCCTTGAGAGATTCCTCACCCCTGGCTTTGCCTCTAACTTGGGGCGGCGCGAAGAGCTGAACATCGACGTTGATGCCGAAGGTGGTATGCCAATTGACTTAGTTGGTATCCCAGGATTGCATTTAGGCGATGAGAGTGGTACGTGTATCTTTGCGAGCTGAGCAGCGGGACTGCGTGCTAATACGGTTTTGATCATAGCGATAATGGCGCCGGAAAACCCTGACCCAATTGACCCCGCTGACCTACCGCTTCTTCTGACCCTCGATCAATTGAGAAATCCGGCACCCAAAAACGCCAATGTCAGTTTCCTGCGTCGCACTCAGTATATTTCCGCCGGCATTCGCGCCCCCGATGGTCCTAAGGTCAATACACCTATTCGCCCTAAACGCCTCGATAAGAAGTCTCAGGATGACCCTACATATATCAAGAAATACATTATGAAGGGATTCGACATTGCCTACCCGGACAGTAAACATGTGGGCGAGGATACGTCAAGCCAGATCAAAGGACATGCTCCGACGAAGCTTGAGGTGGACGCATGGGCTCAGCCTGTGCATCCCGATAACCCAAAGCTAAAGCCCGTCGGTTACTACCCGCTTGTACCAGACCTACAAGGATTTCCGGACCCTGGTGGGTTTGTGCAGTTCAAGTTCGATAAAGCGCCCGTGCAAAGTCCCGGAGGCAAACGAGACGAGCGCATGGACGTTGCGTTGTTACAACCGTCCGACCCAGAGGAGCGCATTATGCAGGAGTACGGCACGAAGAAAGCCTTGCATAGGTCCAATCCCAACCTGTACCCTGACCCTGGACCTGTTCCGTATGATTACAATCTATTCCTACCTGAGAAGAAGGACAAGGAGTCCGTGAAACGCATCCGAGCAAACCTCCAATTATCAAATCCCGACCGCGACGATGAAAGCCTCTACACCCACGAGGGTGCCGACAATACGAAGTTCCATCGCTATGACCGCCAACGGACCTACGCCACCAACTCCCAGACTCTCGGGAACGCCCAGAAACAGATAGATATCGCACTAACACTCTACGACCCCGCGGAAGCAAAGAGCGGCGGGGCTCCACAGGCCCAGAAAGCTGCTTATTACTACTCGATTATCTCGAAGACGCGCCTGAAGCCCGAGCGGTCACGAACTATCGCCCAAGCGGGTCTCGCCCCTACGCAGCCCACGTCCAAGGAAGATCAGGTTCACCAGATGCAAGTCGTGGCTTGCGACCCGGATGAGGCTGAGGCCTACAAACGCTCCACTTACCGCGGCCTCATCGACCCCAAGTTCGCTAAGACGATGCCTCCTCCCCCTGAGCCAGCTGAAGAGCCTGAGTCTCAGGAAGTCGACGAGGCGAACACCGGTTCACAACCCCAAGTAGACGAGGACGATGATGCGGATAGAATGAGCGACGAGTAATCTCGTCATCTTATGTTCCGTTTCATCTCCGTGCTACACCTATCACGGCCAGCAACCATCCTGACGATCTTCACCTGCCCTTGTATCAACATCTCTTGGCACTTGACTGTCTACATTATTATTTGCCAATTGGCGTCGGGCGGCAAAAACAGGCGTTTTGTTCGTTTGAGTGGTATCTATTCTATCATTTTGGGATATTGGAGTTCAGCGAATATTCTTGCTCTCGTTCCATGTACCAGTAGTCGTCCGAGACTACTTATATCTACGACCTGACTTTACGTTCATATATCGAACATAACAAAGCAATCATACCGATACTTCCTCTCATGTATCCATTCTGCCCGTTCTATACCGACCGCCCTCCCACTCTCCACATTTCATCCCAGGCGGTGACCAGCAGTTTCTCCGATTCGGAGCCCGGAGGTTCAACGGAAGTAGATTCACATCCTCGGTTACAGCCTCTCGAGAGTTTGGTAGTACGAGTCCTTGATTGGATTTGACTCTATTGCTTTTGCGCTGAGAGAGGTCGAGTGATTTGGGCCAATTGATGCAATTGCGCTGGTGAGTCGTCCTGGAGACTGAAACTTCCTTTGGGTTTTCATCGGGTTGGGTGCGGCAAAGTCGATATGCGTTGGCTGTCGACGAACTTTCGCTAAGGTTATACTTCAAAGGTCCTGAAGTCAATTGGTGATACCGGTTCCTACTAGAATCCGACTACACCTACGTATATAACGAAATAGACGAAGCGAAGCGAAGCGCCGGCGCAATGGCTACGAACTCCATCCGAAGAGTTACACTTTCGGGCGTCTCCCGCCTCGGCGGACGTCGCCCTCTTACACCGTTTTGCAGACAGTTCCCAAGATCGCAGAGCCTCCGATACGCCTCCGACACCAGCGCAGCAGCAACAAAAGTAACCGCAGAGGCCACGGCCGAGACAGCGAAGGAAACTGTCAAAGAAGCGCCTAAGAAGGCTGGCCGGAGTCTGCGACGGACGGTTGTTGGGACATCGTTGGCGCTCACGCTATTGATTGGGTATGTGTATGGAACGGACACGCGGGCGAGCATTCACCGGTACGGCGTTGTGCCGTTGATAAGGCAGATTTTCCCTGATGCGGAAGATGCGCATCATATTGGTGTTGATGCGCTGAAGACACTGTACAAGTATGGGTTGCATCCTAGGGAACGAGGGGATCCGGATGGAGATGGGGTTTTGGCGACTGAGGTGGGTTGTTCGTATTATTTTGCCCGGGACTGGGTGGAAGCTGCTTGGGCTTGCGCTTATGCTTATGGTGGATAGGTCTTTGGGTACACACTGGCGAACCCCATTGGTATTTCGGGCGGACTTGACAAGCACGCTGAGATTCCTGACCCATTGTTCGCGATTGGTCCTGCTATCGTCGAAGTCGGGGGCACGACACCGCTACCGCAAGACGGCAACCCGCGTCCTCGTGTCTTCCGCCTTCCCTCGCAGAAGGCCATGATCAACCGGTACGGCCTCAACTCCAAGGGTGCGGATCATATGGCGGCTATCCTGGAGCAGCGCGTCCGCGACTACGCCTACGAGAACGGTTTCGGAGCATATGAGGCTGCTGAGCAGCGTGTGCTGGACGGTGAAGCTGGTGTGCCCCCGGGCAGTCTCCAGCCCGGCAAGCTTCTAGCCGTGCAAGTGGCTAAGAACAAGGCCACGCCTGACGGCGACATCGAAGCCATCAAGCGTGACTATGTGTACTGCGTTGACCGCGTTGCGAAATATGCCGATATCCTCGTCGTCAACGTCTCGAGCCCTAACACACCCGGCCTCCGCGACCTCCAGGCCACTGCGCCTCTCACAGCTATCCTCAAGGCCGTCGTCTCGTCCGCGAAGAGTGTGGACCGCAAGACCAAGCCCTACGTCATGGTCAAGGTCAGTCCTGACGAGGACTCGGATGAGCAAGTTTCCGGGATCTGCGACGCAGTCCGAGGCTCCGGCGTTGACGGCGTGATCGTCGGAAACACAACGAACCGTCGCCCGGACCCTCTACCCCAAGGTTACACTCTCCCGGCAAACGAACAGGCAACATTAAAAGAGACCGGCGGGTATTCAGGCCCACAGCTGTTCGACCGCACAGTTGCCCTCGTGGCTCGGTACCGCACCATGCTAGATGCGGAGTCGGAAACGGCCGGAAGCGCCAGGGAGCTAGCAGCGACTGCTGCGCAAGCCGAGCCAGACTCGGAAAACGTTCCTTCTGTGGAAGCGCCAAGCGCTTCGCCGCGCAAGGTTATCTTCGCTTCGGGAGGTATCACCAACGGTAAGCAGGCTCGCGCTGTTTTGGACGCAGGGGCCTCTGTTGCCATGATGTACACGGGTGTTGTTTATGGTGGCATTGGCACTGTCACTCGTGTGAAACAAGAACTGCGCGAGGAGAAGCAGTAAGATACCAAAAGATTTGATAGAATACAAAATAGAGTCGGATTTGGCCCCTTGAAAGTGATTAGCCAGTTACTGCATGTGCTTCGGGGCTATGGTAGCCTCTCGACCGATCGTGCGAAAAGTACCATGTACGGTCAGCCCGAAGTAGATACCGAGTAGATTGTCGTCAAATATGATGTGCGGATGGTGCTGAGAACGGGTGGTATTCCATGAGGTTATCTCGCATTCGATACTGCAGCATGGCTTGCATATATCGCGACCACGTTCCTCTAGCGGAGAGGAAGGGAAAGACGCGATTAGAATAAGATCAAATTATGGATTAGTCTATACAAAATTGGAGTAACGTGTGTGTTTGATATGCCGTAAATATGGCCCGTTCATGAAGCGCGTCTATAACTTCCGCCTGCGCCGTAAAATGCGTTGTTTGATTGCATTTGCTTGCAAAGTGGGCTGGAGCTTCAAGTGAGAGTTTCCTCGACTTCACGAACGACCTTGCGCACACCCTCGATCTCATGGGCAAATCGACCCAGAAACATACCGTCAACAGCTGTTCCCAGACCTCCCGGGCCCCACAGACCGGGTCCAGCACTGCCCCCGTACAGGATACGGACATCTCCGGATCTCTGACCGATCAATGCGCGAAGTCCATCTACAACGGCGGAAATATGATCCACGCTGGCGGGCTTAGGTTTTCCGATGGCCCAGACAGGCTCGTAAGCAAAGATGACAGGTGCATCGGTTGGAATGGCATTCAATATGGCACGAACAAGTGGTTCGCATTCGCGCACTGCAAGTCCAACTGCTGCTGAAGCCACTGGTCCAGGGGCACTAATTTCTCCAATGCATACTAAAGGCACCATTCCCTGTGCACAGGTTGCGGCCGCCTTGCGTGCTGCCTGTTCGTCTGTTTCCCCGAAGATGGAGCGACGTTCCGCATGAGCTAACTCGACGATGGAGACACCCAAGGAGCTAAGCGAAAGTGGTGAGACTTCCCCGGTGTATGCTCCCAGTGATTCCCAAAAGCAGTCTTGTGCACCCAGAAGTAATGGGGCGGGGAGCGATGGTCTATCGTCTGATGATAGGGTAGAGGCGTATTCCTTAATGATTTCCGCACAAGGATAAATCGTGAGAAAGTCCGGGATTAGAGCGAGAAGAAGTTTAGACCGATTCTCCGGGCGAATGATGTCGTTCTTGGGGTCGAGAAGAGCGTGGCAGTATTCGAGGGTTCGGGACGGCTCAAAATACATTTTCAAGGAGATGAGCAGTAAATTCTTCGGCAGGACCGGGTAGGTCTGCTTTGTGTTGGTAGCCATTTTTTCGGGTATCGTCCGCAGTCCGTGTTTTCTCGATGCGAAAGGCTCTTTGTGCCTGCTTGCTGCCGCCGATTTGACTCTGTTGGCCTGGCTAGATATGAATTGCTGCGGGGGAGCGAAAACAATAACGATAGCAGGAGAATGATGACGAAATGAATCGAAGGTCGTTGGACCCGGGTCAGGAAAAAAATTGCCAATCACTGCAGAGTGTCCGTTAACAGACCATCCCTTGCTGACGGCAGATAATCTCATTGGATACTAGCAGCACGTCTTTGAGGCCGAGGGAATGGAGTTGCACTCGGTGGACTTACCTAGTAAGAAGAGAAAGGTACATAGATCGTCCCACGCAGTGCATGCACTTATCCAATGAGGCCAATTCCCGGACAGTTGTGCTCCGCTCCGCGATGAGCGATGAATTGATGAGTCGATGACAGTCTGGAGAAGACGATCCGGGGATTAAAATGGAGAACAAAATGGGGAGGAGAAAAGTGGACGGGCGGGGCGCTCGGGGTCTGGGGAACTTCAGTGTATTTGAACTGCCAGGCAAGGGATGGAAAGATCAGAGGATCCAGAGCGCCGATGAAGAGGTCATGAGACTATTGTACAGTCGGGGCCGGTGAGAGATAAATCAGGATATAGGATCCGCGGGATGAATGAGGTATCCCGGGTTGTGCCTGGACTGCTCAACCGGAGGTGCTGAAAGGAGCCTCCCGTAAAGCTGCTGTAATGTTTGCGAAAGATTACGGATAATGTGTCTCGCGAAGGTCAGAAGCTCCGGTCACGGCTGGTAAATTACATAGCGGGGCAGACTCGGGATGGCAGGTGGGGTAGCTCGCCGAGCCGAACTGACGGACTCCAGCGTCACGGTGGGTTTACCCCATACTCCATATCGAGGATACTTAGTGTGGCTGGTAGTAAAAGTACTTCGATCTAGACATCTCCCGGTGTACGGAGTCAATTGAACGGTTAATCCAATATGATACTCTCAGCAGGCAATGTAGCTTAGAGTAAGGAGTGCGGGGCCTACGTCATTGAGCACGCAGCTCTGCGGGCTAAAGTGAGTTTCGGTGCTATTGGAACCGGGATCAGGATTATTGCCATGGCCTCGAAAAACAGACCCGATGCTCCTCGAGACTAGCGTTTCGTCCTATACGACTGTCGAAACAAGCTCCACCTGCGTCCAGGCAGTCGAAGGATTCAAAGTGCGTGGTGGCGCGATTGAACAGATATTCTCGACGCTTTGCTCCTAAAGCCTCCGAGTGTCTGATCATGGATTGGTTAGATGCTATGCATCCCCCTTCATAATGGTGGCTCTTATTAAAGCAAGGTTGAGAGACTTGCCAGCTCGATGTCACTTTCATCCATTCATGGATAGTAACAGTGGATCTCTGAACATCAATCAGAGCACAACACTCATACAAACCACATACAACTGGGCGTGGAAGATACGCCGAGCCAGCCATGACGCCAACGTGGAGACAACCAAAGAGTCGCATGTTTGTTGCTGGAAGTAGCCGGATTGGACCTGATGAGGCACGGCTGCTAACTCCGCTCGAGTCTGGGGGTATCAGCAAGGCCAGCGATGATATAAAAAGCCTCTGTGTTCCCATTCTTACGGGTCTCATCTTCCCTATCCACTTGAACCTCCACCAACCCCATCTTCTGTGATCGTCACTGCATACTTAGGGTCTTTGATCGATCTTCTTTTGCCTTTACTTTCCACCTCCATTCACTATGTCTCAGACTCAGAGCCTTCGTATTGTCTTTGCCGCCGATGAGGCTGGCCAGCCCTACAAGGAGACCCTCAAGGAGGTCCTTGGAAAGAACCCCAATGTCAGCGAGATCCTCGATGTCGGCGTCAACTCGACATCTGACAAGACTGCATACCCTCACCCTGCCGTCGAGGGAGCCAAGCTCATCAGAGACGGCAAGGCTGACCGTGGTCTCTTCATCTGCGGCACTGGTCTGGGTGTTGCCATCTCCGCCAACAAAGTCCCTGGCATCCGCGCCGTCACAGCCCACGATTCCTTCTCTGTCGAGCGTGCCATTTTGAGCAACGACGCTCAGGTACTCTGTTTCGGCCAGCGCGTTATTGGTCTCGAGCTAGCAAAGCGTCTCGCGAACGAGTGGGTGACCTACAAATTCGACCCCAACAGCTCTTCTGCCCCCAAAGTCCAGGTCATCAAGGACTATGAGGCCCAGTTCGCTCAATAGATGCCAACCGAATGGTCGAGACAGGCTCAGGCGGGGGCCCCACTCTTTCGACTATACAAATCGGACCGACGCCGACTCTGCTGCATGACCATGTCAAAGGGACTTGTTTGAAAAGTCAACAGTGCTCGTGACACCATACGGACTCACAGACTGTTCGAGAATTTCTGATCACCGTTAATGCACGGGTTCAGGCCAGACCAACCCCTAGCTTGCTCATGTTGTGCTTTTCTTAGCGACGATCCTTTTTACCTTGCGCAAGTCATGATACCACACAAGCAGGATGAATTTGGCGGGCCAAATAATCTTTGTTATTCCTCATCTACTGCCTACAGGGATAGAGATAGAATAAAATTGTTTTCATCTGCTGCCATTCAACTTCTCGTGCATAGATGTAGACTCATAGTACTGCTGAGTCAGATATGATTCTGTGGGGATCCATTGCTTTCGATCCGTATTCACAACACATTAAACAGCACATAATTTCAATGTGAAGATGGCTTTCATACAAGGGGCTTCTCCTTTCTTTCAAACCCTCAGGGCGAAGACTCGCTACCACCTGTCTGTTGATTGAACTTGCACTTCCGGATCTGCTCGAAGTACAGCCCTCGAGACAGAGTACTCACTACGGTACTCAAACGAACTGCTGTCAGCCTTGGCTGCGTTTGCACCATCTTAGCTCAGGTTTATCTGAGAGATAGTCTACTACTGACTCAACATTGATCGCTCCCCACAGCATCAAATTGAGGTGCGCGTGTCTGTCGCCCCTGAGACTATCTATATCCAGTATATCCGGCTCGGTGGACCAACCGCCCCACCACCTGCCCGGAATCCGCTGAGCAATTCACGGCAGTTCCTGACGCTCTTGAAAGAGTAACCCGGGCGTGGATTTCCCATTTCTTCACTTCCGAAGCAAACTCCCTGGTGACCATGTCAAACGATCCACTCAAGAAACAGGGCGACGCTGCCTACAAGGATGGCAACTACACTGAAGCGGAGAACCTCTATTCCCAAGCGTAAGCCCAACTTGTGCGAACAAATCTTTCCCTGCAAGACTAAGAGGTGGCGCATTTACAGAATCACAAAGAACCCCCGCGAGGCAGCAATCTTCGCGAACCGTGCCCTCACGCGAACGAAACTCGAGAACTGGCCCGGCGTTGAGCACGATGCGCGCGTTGCGATTGACCTCTATGGACTGAAGTCGCCATACAGCCTGAAGAGCTGCAACTACCTCGCGCAGGCGCTACTGCATCTCCAGCGACCCCAGGAAGCGTACGATGTCGCTATCGATGCATACCGCGCGAGTCTTACCGTACGGAACACCGACATAAATGGAAAGAAAATCCCCAGCCAAACGGAGAACCTGTCCAAGACTGTACTGCGCGCTAAGCAGCAGATCTGGGCCGCCAAGGAGACTGCGCGGCTGCGCGAGATGAACCAGACGCTGGCGACGACGGAGCAGTTGGTTGAGGCGGACCTGAACCGTGCGTTGGGCGATCTACAGGGACAACTGGATCGGGGCGAGATTGGGCAGACAGGGTTCTTGGAGAGTCAGAAGGAACTGCGGGAGGATGCGGAGAAGAACATCCAGAATGTTCGAGAAGCATTCCGTATTGCCTCTAATGGCGAGGTGAAAGAACGGGTAAGCTGTACAACCCTAGTCCACTATCCCGCAGATACTGACGGACCAGGTCGTCCCCGACTACCTCGTTGACGGAATTACCTTTGAAATCATGCACGACCCGGTCATCGTACCCTCAGGAACAAGCTTCGACCGCATTGGGGTACTCAAGTACGTCGAGCAATCTGGCGTGGACCCCATTACCCGGGCTCCCATGGCCGTCAGCGACCTACGTCCCAACTATGCATTGAAAGCAGTATGTGAGGAGTTTTTGACCAAGAACGGCTGGGCCGTTGATTGGTAGTCTTTTGGCAGTCTGTTACCTTTCTTTCCATCTTGTATATTTGAATATCTCTTTGGCCGTTTAGCATTACCGGCGTTGGTGGATTTGAATGCATCACATAGAGCCAGCTTGAACTGTGTGCTTAATGGCGAACTTGGCCCCTTTTTCTCGTCAACATTTCAGAGCACCAAGATTACCAGCAGACAACATTGACTATTCCCTGCGCGCCACTCATTGCCGGCCAGGTCACAGAGTTTCGGCTTCCCAATCCCACGGTTGAATGTAGGCTCGGAAACTCCGTTCCACCAACTCCATCACGTTTCCCCCCAAATAAACTCGTGTCTCCACGTTGAGTTGACATTGTTCCGCATGCCTCTTTCAAGGCATTGCATTGCCAACTCAATCTATTATCCTTTAATTTCCCATCTTCCCTCCACCCGTGGACACCACTCCGCTCGCTGCTTCCCCCTCTCAACAATCCACTTTGAATGGCAGTTCTTGTCTCGCTCATTGACTTCAGGCTACTGGGGATAAATACCCAGCAAACTATGGTGTCTGTGGGCCATCTCCATTATGACCGGGGCATCGGCTGGTTCGGCGCATCTCGCATCCGACCTGTAAGTTCTTCTGGTCAAATGCTCCTGGTGCTTGATTATGAGTGATGCACTGACAAGCTGGATCTAGAATTAGTAAATATGCATGCCCACGGACAAAATGGAGGACGCTGTCCAATTCTTTCTACCAGCACCGCATAATAAGATCTATATACCCTGGAAACCTGAGATACTCAGACACTACAGTACTGGCTGTACATGCCTGCCTCAATTACCCTAGACTCTCCAAGTACATTCTGCGGCATGCCTTGATCGTCCCAGGCTTAGGCGTGTTTGTTTATTGGATGTCTTTGTACCCCGGGTATTCTTGCGTGCTGAAAGCAATTGCCACTGGAAACAATGCCACCCTGACGGTCACGGGCCTGCCTCTCCCCGCAGGGGACCTTTTTCTTTCTTTTCTCGCTATTACAAGGCAATGACAAACAAACGAAGCAGAAGCCATGTAGACAATCGTCCTTAGCACTCAAGATGAGGCTTCCACCTCTATATACCATATTACTTCGGCTGAAAAGCCATGCTCTGGATTTCGATTTCACGCCAGATACCCACGGCTTCGATGTCAATGACTACGTGAGTTGGACGACCCCTCCCCAGGACACAAAGAACACTTCTGACAGCTATCGTCTACGCAGAAACACCTTCCTCTAACGCTCGACCTGGCAACTTCCCAGCGCGCCGTGCCCTCCGCCGGAAACTCCTGGTGGACGTCCTCATACATCCGTACCCTAGACGACAGATCATATTTCATTGTCTCGCATGTCGGTAACCCAGGCGTTGGATTCTACCGGTACAGCATCCTGGACATCAATAATCCAGAGTACTACCAGCAGTACGCATACACAGGCACGACGGCCGATCCCGTATCCGCGCATATAGATGGTGCGAATGTAACCTTGCCAACGTACGGGTTTGAGGCTATAAACCCGGCGGATACACTAGCTGGCATGCGGACATGGAGCACCTCGGGCTTTGAATTCAACCTTTCGTTTGAGTTCTCGTCACCTGTTATACTCAATGGCGGCTCGGGGACATTTACCTGGGGTCCGTATTCCACGACTGAGTGGTCTCTTGTTGCAGGCGTCACAAGAGGAAGTTTCGTTGTAGATAATGTTCAGCTGACCATTGACCCCGAGCGTTCATTGACCTGGTATGACCGGCAAATCGTCTGGATACCAGCTGACGCTGGCCCTGCAGCATCACATAACTGGACTTGGTTCCAGCTGCATTTTGACCACGAAGACGGGCACAGAGGTGAAAAGACCCGGCCCTCCAAAATCTCCGCCTGGATCTGGGACTACGCGGATAATCCCCGAGTACAGTTTGCCACAACGCATAGCTCCTCGGCAGGGCAGCAGCAGGTCATGCCTTTGACGGAGTTCTCGCCCTCGAATTCCAGAACATGGACGTCACCTGGGTGCGGAGGTACATATCCTCTTGAGTGGGACATTGCGCTCGCGGATGGAATGAGATTGCGCATTGAGGTTATTAGAGACGAGCAAGAGTTCTGTAACCCTGAGCAGCCATTTCAGCCAACGTATGAGGGCTTTGTCTCTTTTCACGGGATAGATGGGGATGGAAATGAGGTTGGCGGGTTCGGACTTGTGGAGGTTTGTTTGGAGAATATTTAATGACAATACGGGAGATTCTTGGGGAACCGGTAAGCTTGTTGAGATTGGTTACCAGGTCAATATGCCCGGTCAAATAACCTGACCCTGACCTCGGGATATTGCTGTTGTCATGTGCAGGTACCTTGAGGTTGATATGGATCAGAACTAAGATATATCTGAGTCCAATTTGCTCCGAGACAAGTCACAAGACACTCTCCAGCCTCGGGACTCATCAAATCATCCTAATATGACGTTCATAGGTAGCTAGGTAGCCCAATCCGGCGCAGAGTAGCAGTACGTAGAACAGAGCTAGCCCAGCTACCCCACCAAACAGCAACCAACACCCCACCATTTTTCCGAACCCCTCAACCATCTCTCACATTTCCCCATCTTCACAACCCAAACCCAACTCAAACAACCACGCACACGCATACCAAAATGTCCGTCCCCGCCTTCACCGCCGCCCTCACAGCCTCCCAAAACAAGGAGAAGTTCTCCGCCAAGGTGCAACAGCTCGCCGGCGCCATCGACGCCTCCGCCCTGAGCGCCGCCATCGAAGCCATCCTGGCCGGCGGCGACGATGCCTCCGTCTCCGACGCCGAGCAGAGCAAGGCCCTCACCGCAGGCTTCGAGTATGCGACTGAGCTCGTCAAGGAGCTGAAGAGCTCGCCTGGGAACGATGATAAGCTTAAGGTGTGTACTCCCCCTGCGCCGTGCACCGAGTTTAGCTTGGTGTGTGTGTGTGATTTGCTGTTTTGCTTGGCTGGGTTGGCTTGGGAACACTGCGTCTGCGTCTGTTGAGTCTGGATTGTGCTAATATGTTGTTTCTTTTCTCTTTTAGCTTTACGCTTTCTTCAAGCGCTCCAAGAACGAGGAGCCTGCTGCGCCGGGCGCGTTTGCGTTTGAGGTGTGTCCTTATTTCCCATTTTCTTTTCATTCCTAGAGAGGAGTGAGTAGGCGAGCGAGCGGTGGAATAACAATCAGCAGGCCAAGTACAAGTACAACGCGTGGAAGGAGATCAAGGACATCAGCCAGCAGCGCGCCGAGGCTCTGTACATCCAAAAGGTCAACGGTCTCCTCGAGTCGATCGGCACCAACTAAGTGTCGGAACATGATGAGGTACAGGAAGAATAGGGATAAATGCTGCATTGGATAGGGTGATCTTTAATATCTATATATGATGATTTCCTAATCCTTGATACAAAGACGGTAATTGACCATGATGATGCAATGAGGCTATGTATACACGCTCTGATTGTCAAAACCCCTTGTGCATGCTGCATTTCACTCTCAACTAGTCATGCACCATCCACGTCTGTCCAAGCCAGTCAGGCTCTGCATGAGACATTGTTGCACACCACGGCTCGTCCTTCGCACTGTACAAGGTCAAAGGTAAGTCGTACGGCATCCGGAACCCAACCACCGCTGCAGGCGCTGTTGTGTCATTCTCCTGCAGTGGTTCTGGCTTGTCCTTCTTAAAACACGGCACCATGGTCACGGATCGCGACTGCGACTGCGGCTTCGTAACGAACAACTCCGGCCAAACTAAAACCCCGATCTCATAACTGCAGATGCGCACTTCACCACTTTTATTAGTGGTTGCTCCCCAAGCCTGCGTCGAGAGGTTCGCCGAAGTGACGAGCGCCCAATCAATCCTTTTCATATCCTCGTCTGTAAATCGTACATAGGTTTTTATGTGTGGAGCTGCGCGGCGACGGCCAGCGTCTTGTACGCGCGTAGGGTAATTATTCGAGACATCTCCCGCCCAGTGCCGCATGTAAGGCCGTAGATACTGCAGCTGCTTCTGTTGTGCAGCGGTTTGAAGCTTCATGTGGATTGACCCGCCGGAGCCGTAGCCGTTCAGCGAGCGACGAATTTCTTCAGCCGTTGGGAAGATTATAGAGTACCGTGGTTGTTGCTTTTGCTTCGCTGGTGTAGATTTGGCTCTGTCTGGAGCGAGGGCCTCGAAGAAAACGTCTTTTAGCCATTTATCTGTTTGCCCTAGGGTTGCGATGGAGGACATCTAGTTCCTGAGATTAGCTTCGAATCATGGGCTAATTAGCTAGCTGAAGCCGTACCTGAACGACGATATGTGGCGTCGATGTCGTATTCCCAAAACTCTCGCGCAACGGGATCCTCCGCAGAGCGTCTTTCAAAGCTGGCCATCCCCAAATGGTCTTGCCATCACCATCTCCGTCGCTTGAATCTTCGCCAACCTTTAGTTTAGAAGGAACACTCGCGATCAACTCAGCCCTTACAGCGCTAAAATCGTACTTTGCAAGCTGTTCAACCAAAGGACCCGTCTTCTTCACACCATATGCCTTCAAATACGCCAGCAAGTCCCTCTTGAATCGTGACCCCGAGCCCAAAGCTGCAGACTTCTTATCTTGACGGGCATTCTTACCAAGAGGGAGAAGAGGCGAGCGCCATACTGCCTGCGACATGTTCGCCCAGTCGCCGGCAAGCATGTTTGCAGTGTGGATTACGACCCTATTTCGTCAGCTTATCGACCTCACAGTAAGGATCAAAAAACATACTGAGCACAGTCATCATGCCTCAGTAGAATCATCATCTTCGAGTGATGCGTCCCAAATGCCTCAGGCATGTAAGCCACAATTGGTTCGACGTTTGAATACCGCGCACATGCTTCCTGGCCATCAATCAACTTGAGCTCCTAAATCGCACTTCCAGCCAAACAGATACTTACCTCAATTCGTACCCTATTCTCCGACTCCCTCTTCCAAGACCCATGCACTACCTTGACCGTCACAAAGCTCCTAACATCTTCATCGAACTGATTCATGAGAAAGTCCACATCAAAACAATAGTTGAACTGCCAGCATTCGCGGATGAGCGGGTCGCCGAGGATATCCCGCAGCTTGACAGTGTCGTCATTGTTTCTCAGTGAGTCGCTAAAGTCGCGAATGTGCGTTAGCTGGATCGGAGAGGAGATTATCTGAGGCCCAGCATTTTCCTGCTGGGGAGTTGGAGTGTGGTTGTCCTTTTTCTCCGAGCTGTGCGGAGAACCATTTGGGGCAGCACTGCTGCTGGCACGTCCGGAACGCGTTGTGGGAGGAGTTATGGAGCGGCGAAGGGAGGCGAGAGTGGAAACTGAGGGATTCTCAGATAGATCTGGCCCTGACTGGGATGATCGCTTAGGGCGTTTTGCTGGACGACCGGAATCTGGCTGGTCGTCCATGATTGCGTAGTTGGAGAAGGAAGAAAGTGCTGTGCCGGTGCGGAGAGCGATAAGATAAAGCTGGAGGCCGGCAACACCTGCCCTAGTTCCTCTATGTGCACGTAGACCAGAGGTGATCAATTGGTACATTGGTCGTTATTAGAAGGAAAGAATGATTGCGCTATGCTGCCTGATTGGTCTCCGACTGAGTCCGCTCAGAACATTGCATGGGCGCGTCACCGAGCCAAGCACTGTTGGAGAATAAAGTGAGCCAAGGCTCTTGAGAGAATTATACGAAAACATGCTCAAGATCTAATATACAGTCTATGATAACAAATTAAGATATCTATACATCACCACAGGAAGCGCTGGATCTTCCCCGGCTCCTGCGGCCACTCAAACCCGCCCCGAAGGAACAGCGCCCCGGTAACCACATTAACAAGCAGAAACCACGCGGTCTCCAGGAACAAAGGGAAATTGATTGCAAGCCGCGCCTCAAGATCCTTCTCGTCGCTGGCCCGGCGGTAAACTACAGGCGTCGGAGACGCTGGCAGATGAAGTCGCCACATCACCCAGGGGATAATGAGGTATCGCGGTTCGACAAGGGGGGCGGTAATGAGTGACAGAGCTGTGGCAGCCAGCCATACAAGGACAAAGCTGACGCGGGAGGTCTCGTGTTCGAGCCGTTGACGCCGTCTGATGTGCTCTTGAAGGTCGGCAAGGACCTTAGGGTCGATAGGGGCGGGAGCGGACGAGGCTGCTGGTGTTGGCTTCTTCGATCCTTTTTGCTTGCGCTCCGGTTTCTTTTCCGCCTTCTCGGTTGGGTTCTCTGCCGATGACGATGGCGCTGTAGGTTGGGCTTTGACGACCGAGGCCAGTCCGGGAGCAGCCGTGACGGGTGAAAAGCCCATGGCGGAAATGATCATCCATGCGCCGAGGAAGTAGACAATAGTAGCGGCATATCGTGTGTAGGGATGTGAACCCAGCAGGATGCGGAAGACATAGAAGACGTAATGACGGTTATCAGCCAGTGTAAACGGATGTACAATGGTGTTGTAATGAACCACTGCCAACATCATTGGGAGAACGATGAACACAGTCAGGAGCTTTGGCAGCTTCCTGCGGGAGGCCGAGAGACCTTGGTTGAGGAATTTCGGGAGCATGAACTTCGGCAGAATGATGTTGGCCATGGGAGCTAGAAGAAGAGGCCACGAGAAGAAGAGGAAGTACGGCCAGATATACAGCATCTGGGCTAGGTGCAGACTGGCTGTGTGATACTCCTTGTGCCCGAGAACAACGCTGCCATTCCAGAGAACGAATCCTCCAAACGCAGCCAGGATGAGCAGGTACGGCATCAATGCATAAAATACAGCTCCCAAGTTGTTCAAAGCAACAGAGCACAGTGAGACGGCGGTCTTGAAGTAGTCTGCGCCTGTCAGTTTAGACCTTAGCAAAAAGTAAGGGACAGTACGCACCGGCCAACGAAGCATCCAAAACCACAGGATCATACAGCTCATACTTCGACCCGGCAGCCACAATATCAGCCACATTGCTCGACTCGCAATTCTTCGTGACCCTGCGAATCCTCCTAACAACCTGCAAGCCTCCGAAGAAAACCGACACCCAGAAGATGTTAGTCTGCCTAAAAGCCAGTGCCACGACCCCAAGAACCAAAAACACAGCAGTTTCCAGCGGCGCCGCTTTCGGAAGCGTGCGGCTGAGATCCCAATTATACGCCTCGACAACCACCAGCAGCGCCAGGACATCAGTGTAGTACAGTCCGGATAAGAAGAACAGCGGCGGGAAAAGACAGATGTTCAGCACCGTATGGCTCAGCCAAGCTCCAGAAGGACGAGTATTCCGCTGTCTGCGCACCGCATCAAGCGCAGTTTGCAGTCTCAAAGGAAGCAGCACAGCCGCTGCGGCGGCGTTCGTTGCGCGGAGAGCCGGGGGGTCAAGTTGCTCGGGGGAGCCGCGGAGGAGCAGAATCAGGGCGCAGACGACGTAGGAGAAGATATAGAGGCCCGGCGGAGTCGTGATCTTCGGATCCCATTGCGTCCACTTGTGTGCCCAGTATGCCTGGGCTTGCGGGATGTGGAATGCTTCGTCGAGGTACGGCTCGGGGACGACGTTGTTCACTTGGGTCATCCAGATGGGGATCAGGAGGAGGCCGAAGGGCACAGCATAGCGGGCTGCCAGGGCCAGGCCCGACCTAGGTTGGGCATTCATTGTTCCTCAATTGACCATGCAATGGACAGAGTTGTTCTGGGGAGAAAATAGTTGCGACTACCGCTTGCAAACAGTACAAACTGACCTTCGACATTTCAGCTTCCACTGCATATGGTCGAACTACGACAACGCCAGCAAGGTACGGAATAAAAGTGCTATGCATGCTTGAAAGTCGATTTTCCTTATCTGCTCCTCCTCTACCCCCGCTTCACATTTCCGGGTCAATGGCCTTCCCCCTCCCCCGGGGCATCACGCCCCCGGAGATCTCCTTCCTGGCCGAAATGGAGCTGGTCACAATCGTCCCTCGGCAGCGACTAGAGGGTCTCGAGCTGCTAGGCGTGCGTCCTCCGTATACACTACCTGCAACCTAAAGCACCCACTGACAATAACTAGGGTCCCGTCCACCCCCTCATCCCACCCCGCCGAACAAACATCCCCCTCTGGCTCGCCCTCCTCCTCAAGCGCCAACGCCGCGCAAACATCCTCCCCCCACCCTGGCTACACCCGGAATCCCTCAGTCTAATCCTCGACATCGAGACCCGCGACCAAGCCTACCAGCACGCGTTCTCCCCGCCCCCACCATTACCAGGCCAACCCAGTCTCCGCGAACGGAGCTACGCAAAGCCCACCGCGCGCCCGCGCTACACGCCCGAGGGCAGCAAGTACTACGCCACGCCGCCGTTCCTCCCGCAAAATGTGGCGCAGGATCAGGCTGAGGAGAACGAGCCGCCGACGCTGCCGTTTCATTGGCTGGAGGTAGGGACGATGTTGCTGGATGTTGCGGGGGATGATCTTGTTGATCCGGATCAGACGAGGAGGTTATTGAAGGAGTTGAGGGAGGTTCGGTCCGCGAAGATTCGGTCTGGTGTTGAGGTGCTTGATGATGCGGCGGGGCCCGGGGGTGGTGTGGCACTTACTGGGGTGGGTGCTATGGAGATTGGAGAGGGGAGGGGGTTCATTGGAGGAGTCGTTGATGGGCTGAGGTATGTAATTTCGGATCCCTTAGTCGTGGCACCTTGCTTATGTGTTTGACTAGACGAATTGGAGCTTCGAAAGAGCAGGCTCGTCGGGAACAACTAGCGGAGTCTGCGACGAACGGTGGGTACGACGGCACGCAAGACTATGACGACGAAATGGAGTTCTGATCTTGAAATGGCTGGACTGTTTTGCTTCTATCGCGAGTTGGATTGGAGTTCCGGAAAAGGGATTCAGGCGGCGGCATCTTATACTCGCCTATGATGGATTTCAAATGTATATATACCCAACCTGTCTTTCCCGTTATAAGACGCAAACGAAATGATTTGATCTGATTCAACCTAACACCATGAGCATGCGACGCTGGGCTGTAGAGTTCAAAGATGAGGTAGTCCAGTATGGATATCAAACATAAAGATGAATATGCAAAAATGAGAAGCAAAAGTGAAAGAAAGATCGAGGAGCTTAGGCAGAGGTCAACTTCCTCTTTAGTTAAGTACAAAGCCGCAACACCATGCAGACAGACAAAGTTACCAATCAAAGTCCCAGTAATCGAGCGCGCAGCAAAGTAGGATGTCAGAGCCAAAGACCCGCCAGACAAGACATTCTGAATCGAATTACTCACAGATGTAGACAAGTACCACCGGATCCGTCCGTCATTGCGCACTCTGCTGCTTAGCCTCCATCTTCCTCCGCGCCGCCAGAATCATTTCATCTCTCCGCTTCTGGAGCAGACGCTGCCGTTCTTCCTTATTCTGCGACCAGCCTCCGCTTGATGATGGCTTCGCATCAGATCCGGACTCAGACTCTACTCCGCTGGCCTCGGCAATCTTTGCAGAAAGGTTATACCGCGAAATCAGGTCTTGCCCGCTGGATTTTGAGGGCGTTGGTGAAGCCGCAGGCTGGGCAGGAACACCGGTAGGCGGAATCGCAACGAGAGGTTGGAAAGAGGGCGGGGGCTAAAGCATCAGACAGTCATCAATTAGCATGTTATGTCAGATCAGAGAAAGTAGCACATGGTAGGGCGGCGCGACAAAAGTGCTAACATGAACGTAGACATACCGCATCCAAGCCCCTGCCGGAAAGAACTCGCTCCGTTGTCGCAGCCGCATTCCCGCCATTCCGCTGTAGATCCCACATGATCTCTCGCGTGCTGAGTTGCGGGAACATTTGAGATATCTGTTCGACTTGTGCCGGGTCGACGACGTTTCCGCGGGCGCGGCCTCGGGAGCCACCGGGCGCGCTGCTGCCGTCGTTACTCTTGAAGAACCATCGGATTACGAAAAAGGAGACGACGGCGAGAGTGAGGAGGGAGGGGATGTTGAGAGAGGGTTCCTCGTCGGTCATTGTGGCGATTGAGCGGTGATCCGCGGCAAGGTTCAGGGGTGATTGACAGTGGTCGAAGTCAACTCGGAAGGTAGTCGAGCTATGATTTGTTGGTATTTTAAGTGTAGGTAGGCGTAGGTGTTCGAATCGATCGCGCTTCGCGGAACAGTTACTGGAGCGGTGTTCACGGCTGTCGCATGAGCTGTCTGTGGCGTTGTCGTGGTAGGTAGATCAAGGAATCCTCGAGGAAGTAAGAAACAAATGAGACCGAAAGGATAGTAAAGACTGAATATAGGACCGGGGTGTGGGGAGAGTTAGGTTGAGAAAGCAGAGGGGATGGCAGAGGCAAGGCCGCGAGCGGGAGACGATGACGGCGAAGGGCCGGTCGGAGCGGAACAAACGGGTACCTTGTCCTTATCGCCATGAGGCCTCAGTACGGTCAGTCAGCATCATAAATGAAGCTTTATGTTTCATTATACGTAGATCATCAATCTATCAATAAAATCACAGTCGCAATGCTAATCCAGAACATCCATACACATTCTCCAGAAGAACACCAGCATTAGCCCAGATGCCACCATGCCAACCCGAGAGTAACGGAATAAATATCAACAAGAAAAAGCAAGCAGTCACCGAGTCCGAGTGGCTGTGGCTACCTCAAGTCCGCCGGGGTGAGGGCCTGTACAACACTCGTACCTTCGCTGAATCTTGTCCGGAAGATCCGATTCGCGTTCTGGAACATGCCATCCTTCAGCGAGACGACGATGAATTGTGATCCCTTGAAACGGGTCTTGATCAGACGACCGATGTTCTGCGTGTGTGACAAGTCCAGGGCGGCGTCAACTTCGTCGAGAATGTACATTGGTGCCGGCTTGAATTGCAGGAGGGCCATGATCAGGGAGAGGGCAATGAGAGACCGCTGACCACCACTCAGTTCTGTCAAGCTCTGCTTCCAGACCTTACCCAGAGACACCTTGACCTCGAGACCGTCGGTGATATCCTTGCCCTCGGGAGGATCCAACTTGGCGAAACTGCCCGGCAGGAGCTCCGAGAAGATTTGGCCGAAGTCGGCGTTGACCTTGGTCCATGTCTTGTGCAGAGCCTCCTTCTTGTATTCATTAAGGTTGATAATTGTCTCCTCAATCTTGCTCTTATCACGAATGACAGTCCTCATCATGTTCTTCAGGGCAGCTTCCTTCTTCTCAACGCTGTCAATCATATTCATGACCTTGGGGTTGATCTTCTTCTTCATGCCCTGGAACCGTTCCGTGACGTTGCGCAGCGTAGCCTTGCACTCGGCGATGTTCTGGTTCTTGAAGTCGTATGGGGTGTTGGGACGCCCAAAGTTATCCTTCTCATCCGCAATCCACTCGTGCTCTTCTTCAAGGTGGGCCACTGCCTGTTCAGCAGCGCTTTGCTCTTTCTGCAGCTTTTCCAGCTGGTGTCCAAGCTTCTGCATATCCAACCCCTCCTCAGTAATCTGTGAGTTCTTGGACTGCATCGTTCGGTCCAGATCTCGGAGCTCGTCGTCAAAGCCAGTCAGTTTCGCCCTCTCGTCGTCGAGATGTGCTTGCGCGATATCGTGAGCGTCCTGTCAAGCATTAGTTATGAATATTGACTTCATGGAAGAGGCAGTACCTTGATCCGAGTCTGCTCTTTCTTCAGCGAATCCACCTCCTCAAGCTGCGCCTTCAGTGTGTTCTCGCTTTCAGCATGTTGCTCCTCTGCTGCAGACAGATCACTTCCGACCTGCTCCGACTCGAGCCTCGAGGCCTGGAGTTCCTTGTGCAAGTTCTTCACTGACGTCGAGTTCTTGGACAGACTCTTCTTCAGAGAGTTCAGAGTAGTCTGAAGTTCTTCGAGCTTGCTGTCCTTGTTGTCATTGAACTCACTCATATCTTTCTCTATCCGTTTAATATCCTTGGATGCCTCGCTCTGGCGCACCTTGGCGTCAGAGATGTTTTGCTTCAGCTGTTCGATGTTCGCTTTCATCTCTTCAACAGCTTGAATGATCTGGTGGGGTTAGCCTTGCCGCTATAGAGACGCGAGAGCAGACTTACCGATGATGATGAGTTGCCACCAATTTGTTCCTCTGTGAGCTTGATCTCGTGGTTCTTCAGATCCAAGTCTTGTTTGATAGAGCGGACAGCATCAAGCTTCTTCTTCTCCTTCTTCATCGTCTCTTCCAGTGTAGCCAAAACTCGCTCTTTGCTCCTGATCTCTCTTGTGATTTCGTTGAGTTTTTGCAGGGTTACAAGCATGCCGCTAGAGTTAGGCGCGCTACCACCGGAGAGTGTACCGGATGGATCATAGACATCACCATCTAGAGTCACGCTCTTGATACGAACAGCGGGATCAAAGGTCACCTTTTTCGCTGTCTCTGCATCGTTCGATATCAGAGTGTTGCCGAAAACGTAGTTCATGGCCGAAGTGACTTCCTCATCATATCCAATAAGCGACAAAGCTAGGTCAACCTTGCCTGGGGCGATGTTTTGGGCTGCCCCAATCTTCTCCGCAGACGCCTTAAAAGCAGAGATCTTGTTAAGGGGGATAATGGTGACACGCTTGCGAAGCTTTCCTTTTTGCAGCAGCTGCGTACCGGTATCAGACGTGTCCACAACAACGTTGTACAAACGACCACCGGCGCAGATTTCTAGAGCGGTGGCAGCCTGGAGCTTCTCCTTGTCAACAGTGAAAAGCTGCGCAACCAGACCCTTGACTTTAGATCTGTCAAAGTTGGGGTATGGGTCGGAGTAGTTGAACTCGATGTTGGCAACCTTCCTCTGGAGACCATCGGCCCTTTGCCGTAGCTCCCGAATCTCCTTCTGGAGCCCGGCCTGTTCTTGATATAGCTGTTCCTCACGGCCAGGCTCAAAGCCGAGCCTCGACAGCTCGGATTCTAACTTCTTGGCTTGACTCTTGAGGCCTTCAAGTTCCTTCAGAAGTCCCGAATTCTGCTCCTTCGCCTTCTTCGCCCTCGGCTCCTCCTCCTTGATCCTTTTCTCCAAATGCGCAATCTTGAGCTTTGCCTGCTCTTGCTCTGTAGCGGCGTTGCTCGCACGGTTTCGCGCGTCCTGTAATTGACCCTGGTAACCGCTCTCTTGGCCTTCTTTCGAAGCGACACCGGTTTGCAATGTCTGAAGTAACTCCTCCTTCTGTTCGACCTCTGCTGTCTGAGCATCAAGCTCCGCCTTGGCCGCATCGTACTGTGCCTGGAGTTTATCGTAAATCTTCTTCTTGTCCTTGAGCGCTTTCTCAAGGTCCTTCACCGACTTCTGCAGCTCCTTGCCCTTTTCTTTCTCTTCTTCGATACTTGCGTTCTTCAAGTCGAATACAGTCGTCAAACGAACAAGTTCATGGGAATGGGCCTTGACCTCGTCCTCAAGAGCCTGGAATTTGCCTCCTTTGCGCAGCTCCTTATCCCGAGCCGCTTTGACCCGCTTCACATCCTCCTCCATGTGCGCAATTTCGCTCTTGAGTTTTGACGCATTATCCTCCAGCGCCTGGATCTTTTGCTTCTTTTTCTCGCACTCCTCTCCAGAAGCCCGGAGACGGTCGCCGCTCCTAAGATAGTCGTGTGCAACAACAAGTCGGGTCAGGCGCTCCAAGTCATTTTGTGTCTGCTGGAAATCAAGGAATGCTCGCTTCTCAGCCCTGAGTTTTTCGAGCTTTGGCTCAATCTCTTCCTTCAATAGGCCCTCGATTTCGTGTAATTTCAAGTCCTTCTTGGCCATGGTCTTCGCCGCCTTCTCCCGCCTATCCTCGAACATCCTTGTTCCAGCCGCCTCCTCAATCATGGACAGAATTTCCACCGCCTTCATGTTCAGCACCTTCGTAATCCGACCCTGCATAATCAAGAAATTCGGGTTGTTGATATTCAGCTGCACACTCTGGAACAAATTCTGTACGGTTTGTTGTTGCGCACGGTGGCCATTGATGAGGTATTTGCTGGTTCCGCCGAGAACGATCTGGCGCGTAACTGAGATGGTCGCATATTCTTCGAATCCGATCGGCGATTTCGCGGTATCCCTATTGTCGAAAACAATTGTCACGCTCGCTTTGGTCACACCGGCCTGACCGCGCTTGTATATAAGATCTTGAAGATTTTGCGCGCGGACTGTGCTCATATTCGTGATACCGAGGACGAAACAAATAGCGTCGAGGATATTCGATTTACCACTGCCGTTAAGGCCAGTGATTGAGTTGAACGACTCATCCCTAGAAGCCAAATGTCAGTGGCGCCATACTATTCGCAAAGTTATGCGATAGTAGAGAGTTAGTCGGCGGCACACACCATCCTGAAATCACCGTACGCACAGCGTACGATTTGAAGCCCTGCGACCGGGTCAGCGCGCGCTCAATGACACTGACTGAAGTTCCCGGAGAGTGATACTCACGTCAATAATGATTTCTGTGATCCTCATGGTTCCGGAAGCAGACGGGGCCCGTCAACTTGAGAATCGGCAGCATGAGAGGGATCCGGAGAAGGCTGAGTTGTTTTGCGGCCGATGTTTTGGCGGGCGGATCATGTGTTTATGCATTCCCAATTCCGGCTTAGCGTTTGCTGAGATAAGGAAGGGACTGAGGGGTATCACGTGCTGCACAACTTGGATTCATCAAGACCAAGAAGTATAACAGAAGTATAACCAACCATCCCGTTTATCTTAAATAGACAATTGACCTTGATCTATTCAGCGCTTCCACAATGCTTCTGAAACCCTAAGTTACGCGATTTTGGTGGTGGAGTGCTTATAGCCGCCCACGCCTTCTTTAGACCTCCAGCCCTAAGTCAGAGAACAACACCCTGCATGGATGGCCCTAGCATGCTCTCAATTACGGTAAATCGTACCTGTACTCTATGGGGGCTCGCTCCCGACTAGTCAATACACTCTTAGCCAGCATCAGTATCCGTGCCGTACATCTCTGCGCTGGATCCAATCATAGACGAGACCATTTCTGGCTAGTTGACAAATATGGACTTTGCCTCAGCTGAACACCAGTGCGGAGAGTTCTCGGAGACTTACTCCAGAGTAAGATGTCCATCCACCAATGGACAAATCCAACATATCCTATTAGTATATGTTCGAAAAGGCATATAAGCTGCTCGAAATGCCTTTCGGTTTCCTCACCTCTAAGCTTACAGTCCTCTTTTCTACTTACAAACTTTTTTTAGCTCTCTTCAATATATATATTTACCCCCATCTGCATACATTCTGCCCACAACATGACCACCGAACTCACAAGCCTCTTCAAAAACAAAGGCTTCTCTGCCCGCTACAAGCTCGCAGAGCAGCTTACCGGCCTATACGCCCGCCCTCTTATAAGTCAATCTGATATCGCATCATACCCAAATCGCCCCGTCGTCTTCGACAATGCCTGTGGTACAGGCATCATCGGAAGCGTCCTTCACGATACGCTCGGTGAGCGAGTTCGACAGAGCTGGGAATTGACCTGCGGCGACTTCTCCCAGGAGATGGTCAACTATACCCAGCAGCGAGCTGTGGATGAAGGATGGCTTAATGCAACAACGAAGGTTGTGAATGCTCAGGAAATGGATCTACCAAGCCAGCATTTTACGCATGTCTATACTGCTTTCGGTGCGTTGGCTTCCCTGCTCCGTTTACATGGAATCAGTGTGGTATACTAACATGTTTTGCTGTTATACAGCATATCCCATGATCCCTGATACCCCAGCTGCCTTGAAAGGCAAGTAGTCCTCATGAAAAAGCACCACCTATCTAAAACTAACAAGTCTCACATAACAGAGTGCCTCCGAATCCTCAAACCAGGCGGAATATTCGCGGCAACAGTCTGGAAAGATGGTACGTACATACCCTACTCCCCAAGGAACCAATTCTCACACACCTATACAGTCCCTCAGATATCTATGACGCTCTCCTCCATCTCCCCTCTGCAGCCAGATCTCCCACTCCCCACCGCTTCAGAATTCATCCCCCAGCTCCTCAAAGGCTGGGACTCAGAGACCACCGTGCAGTCTGAGCTCGAAGCAGCCGGATTCACGGACATCAAGATCACGCCTGTCACCGCTAAGGTCGCTATGCCTATTGCGGAGTTCGTGGAGCTGAGTAAGAGCATGGTTCCTGCGTTCTTGGGCCGCTTTTGGACGAAGGAGCAGCGTGAGGAGCATGAGGGACGTGTACCAGAGGTTATGACGAAATGGCTGGAGAATGAGTTTGGGGTTGGTGGAAGTGTGCCTCTTGAGCCTACGGCTCTTGTTGTTACTGCGCAGAAGCCTGAGTAGTGGCTTCCTTTAATGATAATGTTTTAGTACCTATGGACAGTTCAGGTATTAAAGCTAGGGACAGGGAAGAATGAATAGTGCGTTATGGACATTCTGTCGAGTGTGATGAGATATTTAGCCTTGTACCCTCACCTAGCACGAAGCAGATGCTATTGGTCGTAAAGTAGATATGGCTAACCTTGGAGATAAAGCAGGAGGCTTAGTGAGATCTATATACACAACAAGCTACCTATCAAAAGTCCGAACCCCCGTGAGCCTCATGCAAGAAAAGAGCCTTGAACCCATCCACCAGTCGCTGATACTGCTCCGGCTCCAGTTCCCCTTTGCCCAACTTGGTGCAGACCTCGTAGAGATAGAAGTCATCGTCCTCATCATCGGTATCGTCCTCTTCCTCGTCTCCATCATCATTGCCCTTTTCTTCCTCTTCCTCTTCCGCTCCCTGCTTTTTATCCTCCAGTTTGGCAGCCTTGCCGGTTGAATCATCTTTCGCGGTCTTTGCTTTAACCTCCTCGAATATCCTTTCAATGATGTGATCCGTACAAATGGGGTCATCAGCAGCGATCTTCAGATTGTGAATGACTAGCGAGTCGTGCGCCAGCTTTCTAGCTGACGGATAGTCTGACAGTCCGGCTATAATCTCCTGGTACTTTTCTCGGTAGGAGGCAAGTTCGGCCGGCGAGTTCTCGTAGAGAACTGAGTTCCTGTCCTCAAAAGCTGCGTCATTTGGAGTAGCAGATATGGCGTCATCGTCCTTGCTATCATGGTCCTCTTTGTCGTCGTCCTTTACACCAGTGTCTTCACCATCGGAAACTGTTTCATCGTGGTACCTGTAATTCATCGCATCCCAATCGCGAGTCAACCAGCTCGGATAGCTCTCATTGCCGAACATGCACTGTGGGACAGCAATAACACCGTCCCAGTCTATAAGGCTGAGAAGATGCCCGTCCGTCTTGGAGACAATGACATTCTGTATGTCTAAGTCGGGGTGGACCAGAACAGACTTAATTTGCTCTTCATCCTCTCCTGGTTGGCATTCTCGCACTGCAAGGTCAATGAAAAGCTTCAGCAGCCGATGCATCCCCAGGCCAAACTCATCAGACTCAGACGGCAGCTCTCGCCGGTCCAACACGTGCGTGAAGTATGACCTTGGATCGGAAAATGGCCCAACCTCGTGAAAGACACTAGAGCCGTCATAGTCTTCGACCTCGCGTGAACGGTCGAGCATGGCGCCCACGTCCACCTTTCTGAACGGGCCAATGTCGCCAGATACATGGCCATCAGCATCAAATAGAACCATGCCAGCTTGATGGAACGTAAACCTGTTCAGTTGGACCAAGGCTTCCGCGACGTCGCGCAAGGCTTGTCTGCGGTGTTGCTCAAGAACCTCAAGAGAAACACTCTGCTCAAACCAAGCATCGTAGAGGGGCCGCCCATCAACATAGTTCATGAGGATAAACGGGCAGTTGAGGTCGTTGTTGCACGAATCATCGAAATCATAGACCTCTGGGACAGGGATCGTGGTTTCTCTGCTGATGAGGCGCATTGTTAGCGCCTCCGACCTGAGTGCGCGAGCAGACATGTCATCGAAGGCACCGTGGTAGCCATTGGCAGGAATCTTCAATAGCCAGTGTACTCCATCGGTGAATACGATCCGAAAGAGAATGTTGTGGGATCCGAAGAGGGGCTCGGAAATGACTTTGCAAGACCGGGCTTCGCCGTCTTGGGAGAAGCTTTTCTGGCGAAGGCGAGAAGCGAAGTCGGGGAGCAGATCTAGCCTGAGAGCAGCGCGTACATGGCGAAAGACAGCAAGATGCTCGTCATCTTCGGGACCGGGAATACTAATCGAGTCTGGCATTACTTGTTCCTCTTTGGATAGACTTGAGAGGCTATACCAAGGGATAATGCGGTGTGGAAATGCGCAGCTGTTAAATAGTCGCGCCTTAAAAAGACGCTCAAAGGCGCGCTGACAGGGAGCAGACAAGTTAACTTCTTGAAGAAGGGGGAAACCCAAATACTGAGCGGGTCAGGTCTGTGAATTAAGAAGTGGGAAGTCGAGGGAAAGCTGCGAGCTCATATGTAATAGCACTTAGATCCCCCCTGTGGCCGAGCATGTGTTTCTTCTAAGGCTGATAGCAAGGGCAAGGCCACGATACAGAGAGATAGTGCCCAAATTATGTCTGTCGCAAGCCCAATGCATTTTGATGGGTTCCGGAGCCAATAGTTGCAGGGCTGGAAAGGGTTCATGCCTGCTCGACCTTAGCCTTATGTTCGTCAATTCTGGCCTCTTCATTCTTTGCAGTAGCAATGGATACAGCACACTATACACCAAAGAACGAACTTGGATCGAATAGAAGCCTTGTAGCAAGTTCACTGCATAGCAGATGCAGCTCGGTGCCACAAGGCCATGAACTCCATTCAATTGGTCTCAATAGATACCCTATGTAACCCCATCACCACATGATACGTGAGAAGAGAAACGCCTGTTCAGCAAGCAAGGTGACACCCTATCCGGATAACCATGAGGAAACCGCCAGCCAGGAAGTGAACCAAACGCCGTTGCTGATCACTGCATCACCATACTACTGATCCTATCATAGTGCCACTCCAACTCTTGAACATTTATGATCCATGTTGCGGGAACGCCACTCGCGATAGTGTCCGGTTGAGTTCCATTCGGTTGTCCAGGTCCTCGTAGCGAAGAAGAAACTCGCGCTGTAGGGAAAACAGTGAGCACGCGACCATATTTTAGAAATTCCAGAGTACAACTTACCCTGACTTTCTTCCACGTTGCGGGGTCCCATATTACGTAGACTCCGCGCTCGCTAATTCCCCGTTCTACATCAACGGGGCCAGGGTACCCCTCGTCCCGCGTTAACCAGCAGCGCTCGATCTTGTGATACCGCCATTTTCGCTTCATGAGCTCTTCTGCAGCAACCTCTTGTATAACATCTCGAGGCATGCTGTAAAAGACGTAAAAGAGAGTCTCGTCGGCGAATCCGGGGAGCCTTGTCTGCAGGGGTTGAACGTTTGCCACACTGTAGCAGCTTGGAAGAGCGAAATTTTGCTCTAGCGGTACACCCGGTAGTGAAGCAACAAAAGGAGAGACAAACGTTGAGTGTAGAGGTCTGAGGTGAGGTTTTAGCGCTGGTATAGGGTTGGGTACTTTAAGACACATACTCTGGCTGGTTTAGATCCAACCCCAATGTCATTAGATCTTGTCCGATTGCAAGGCTGGCGACATCGGCACTATCACTATGGATCATCCGAAGAAGGCCCGCTAGTCCAAACCTATCCAGCTCACTCATCTCCGCAAGTGGCTGTTGCTCGGCTCCGTTGGCATCCTGCGACGGTCGAGTCAAACCTGGGGCCGCTGGTATCGACTGTTGCTGGCTCGACACCGCCGCATTTATTGGGTCCTCTTTTTCTGGCCCCGGAACACCGTTGGTTGTTTGATTGACTGGCGATCGTGACGATGCAATCCCTAAAGAGAATAATTAACCCCATTTAAGAGCATTCGAGATTTGTGCGCTCCTACCTGACGAGCTCGCTAACCCCGGTGACGCTATCCGTTCTTGCCCGCTTACCGAAGTGGCCATCATATTTCGACTTTGCGGTTGACTTTGGTTGACGCCCGTGAACGACAAGTTGGTACTGAACGCCCCGAAGCCGGCGCCTTGCATCAATGAACTCCTTCGATCTTGACCAATCTCGGTAGGCATGTTACGACCAAGAGGAGGGAATTCCTCGATGTTCCCAGTCTGCGGTTGCGCGCCACCACCCAATTGCCCACTGATTCCCTGGCCACCGTTCCTGTAGTCGTCTAACCGATTGGCAAACTGAGATCCGGACGGGAATACGTCATCGTGCGATGGTTGGTTTTGCTGTTGCGGAAGTTGAGTTTGCGTTTGTGGCCCTCGCGAAGGGGCTTGCGAGGTGGGAAGTTGCTGTCTTTGAACGGGGGTCTGTTGCACGCCACGCTGGCTAGCATTTGCCCACACTAGATGCGCCTGATTTTGCGCTTGCGATTGCGAAGGAGCTCCGGATAATGAAGGGAAGTCGCTAAACAGATAACACAGGTACACGTCAGTGCCGATCTCGGTAGAGCATGAGGTTCAATATGATCGTGTCAGACTCACGACAAATCCAGCGGCGTAGCAGGTTGCGATCCAGTGAGGCTCTGCGCGAAAGTCCCCATGGCCCCGATGTTACGTTGTTGGTTACCCTGTATCCCCGGTGTTCCACCCACGGGCAGGTTGAAGTTCCAATTCGCTCCGCTACCTATTGAACCCACCGGCGTCAGTCCCAAAGATGTACCAGTCATCCAACTGGGCAAGTCATGGCGTAGTCATACTGATTTTTCCGTTGGGCAAGCGTGATGAAGCCAGTGTCGCATTTCGAGCTTGGGCCGGTTGCTGTGCGGGGAAACCTGACATTGCTCGTAGGGGTTGTGGACCTGGTCCTGGGGTATCAGAGACCGTCAGCGAGGAAAACAAGGCGACGCAGATGTGTTGCAAAAGCTTCAGAAAGAGAGCATATGTTTCAATCAAGACCGGTGGTGTTCAGTGAGGGAAGTTGTGCGAAGTGCGTCAGGCGCAAGAGAAAGAGCATTTTCAAGACGGTTTGCAATTTGCAATTGGGGCGAACGGAATGCAAAGATGCCTGTCTTCGCACCAAGCCCCACAGGGACAGATAAATTGCTCTCGAAGCCAATGCAACAGGAACCCGACACAGACGTTCATGGCCGAGCCCACATGACAAGGAGATGAAGGGAACCTTCGAGACTGACGAACCTGGCCTATTCATGGTGGGTTTCGGCCTTTGAGGCAGTAAGATATTTCGGAAGATCGAGAATCAAGGTTAAGATCGCAAACTGACATCCGATAACATCGAAGATCGAAGTGGTTTCCAGGATGTCTCGTTTGCCCACACTACTTTGTTGCGGCGGCTTTGGAAAGTAAGTGGAGTGCGTGACCACAGCCGCGCGGCTATTGTGGCTATTGTGTGCACGGACCTGGTGGCCACTATTATCCTCTCCCTTCAACAGGCTGTTATGGAGTTGATTGAATACGGTTTCCTATTGTAAATGATTCCCGTTGAGATGCTGGACTAATGGACAACATTGCAGTTTACTATACAGTACGACAATGGTATTCTATATTGTTCTGTAGCAGAACGCCCTCACCACGAATCACCAGATTCCAGTCCAAAGTAACCAAGTAGCTGTAGAACACATTTCAAATTTCCCTTCCATGGTGAGTAGTATGCTATAGCCCGATCAGCCTCATAAGCCCCAACTGCAGTGCTCGCTATAGTATCACCACTGTGAGACGTTGTTGACATGGCACGTGATCTAGCCGCCGAAAAGTCAACTCCCGCAGGCCGAGAACCCCGTTCTCAGCCTTCCAGTCCGTCCGACCAGATCAGCCCGGCTTTGTGGTCACCGATTCACCATGCATCGCCAATCCATTGTGCGACTGGCTCGCCAGTACGGATCCTTTCCGCTGGCCGAATTGCCCCCTGCGTATCTTGCGCCCTCTCTCCATTTCCCCCTAAACCGGTCGACCGTCCAGACCTCGAACTTTTCCTCCACCGCACCGGCTGCTGGCCGCGGCAAAGACTTAAACAAGCAACGCGCGGTATCTGCAATTCACCGGACCGGACCGCGATTCAAGCTCGGAGTGTCAAAATACCCCTTGCCCAAGCCTGTCTCGCCTGAGAACCTCGAGAAGCGTCAAAACACCCCGGACCATGGACTCTGGGGATTCTTCCCCAAGGACCGTCTCCCGTTGAGCACGCCGGAATATGATAACGCGCATGGTTTGTCTGGAGACTCCCGGATTCAGACGAGTGTAGTTTTGCTTATGCTGTGCAGGCCGGTCCTGGTCCATCCAAGAACTCCGCGAAAAGTCTTGGGAAGACCTCCACTGCTTGTGGTGGGTTTGTCTCAGGGAGAAGAACCGCATAGCCACCTCAAACTTGGAAAGAAAGCGCCTGAAGGCTGGTTACGGAGAGTGGGAAGCCACGCAGCGATACCAAACCGTAGGCTCCCTGGACACCTGTATAAGGATCTGAGCTGACCACACTGCGTAGATTCGTGTCACACAGAACGGCATCAAGCACGTCCTCCGAGAGAGGTGGTATGCTTGGGAGGATGCTCAGAACCTCTATAAGAAGGGGTACCGACCTCAAAACGATGATGCCGAGGAGTCGGCGTAATTCTTCGGAGGTTCCTATGCACCTTTATGAGTTTTCTGCCTTCTAGACCTGTACTTTTTACGTGTAGTTTTAGCATCTGAATAATATCAGTCGTTGGATAAAGCTATATGATTCTTTCCGAGGTTTTGAGGAGAGCCGCATATCCGCAAATCAAATCCTTGGTCATGACAAAGGCCATGGAATAAATTATACTTAATGTAAAGCAGGTAAGAACGGACCGAGAAGAGTTACCGAGAAAACTTAAAGTATTCACCTTCTAGAAGAGTCAATGCAATGATAAAATCACGTTCAGCCAGGCTCCCACGCCTGTTTTGACTCCTCTCGAGAACCTAGCTGATCAACGTCGACTTTGAGAGCACTGCAGAAGACTGAGCATGACCAGGATACCTTTGTGCCACTTGTGGGTTTCGTGAAGGATGGGCCGATAAATTCAAGCTTCGATGTAGCATTCGTATCATTTGACGGAACGTACGAATATAAAGGGTTCTTGCGGGGCTGCATGCGTTCAGCTCACTATACTAGGGCCAGGCGTGGTATGGCTCCAGGTACGTATAAGGCTGCTTGAAACTTCAGCTATATGAGCCTGAGAGTGGAGACAGACAAGTGGTAGAGTTTGAGTCGATGGGAGTTGATGATAGTTGAGAATAGTGGATTGTACATCGAGTACCAAGTAGGTCCTCGGTCAAGCAAATAGCTTCATTCCAAGTACTTGACACAAAAAAAAACCAAAGTATGAGTTAGATAAGAATGAAAAGGTCACTCTTACCACCGACATTCTATCACCTACCAGTCAAAAAGCAAGAACAAATAAGGTGCGAAGCCAGTCGACCATCTAGCAAGAATCTAAACCCTAGCACCACAGGGAAACCCCGTCAGCCTCTTTATGAACCACTGCAACCGAAACCAACATAGATCATTCTGCTCATTGGGATCAAGGTTCGAAAATCCTTCCTCCATTTCTCACAGGGACCTCGTCACGCCATGATATAGCCTGATGATGCGGTGCGAACTCCCCAAAGATAGCATTCTCTGGTCCTGGTCAACTTGGACCACGAGAAGAAAAGTGAATGAGAAAACCAGCCAATACTGCAGAGGGCTGCCCTGGGGTTCAAACTCTATGGTACTGGAAGTACGAGTAAACTTTGGACAGAAGTCTTTGAGGAGTTGAGGAAGACGCCGCCGGACTGCATGGTTTAAGTGTCCTGGCGTTATCTCTAGGGTTTACAACTCGGAACTGAGCTGTAAAGACTGCAGGGTATGTGCCTCTGATGCGTTCGTAGAGAGCCGGTGGGTTTCTTCCTGTGTTGGGGCTTCGAGGGCAAGACATATGTAGTGGTTCTTGCATTGGGAGCACATATTGCCCAAGTACACCGTGTAGCAAGGCATTTCGAAGTTTAAACGAATTTCCGTACTTGAGAGTTAGTAGAGCACTGTTCATTGACAGATCGTGTATGTCATTTGTAGGCAATAGGAAGCATACTCGAGCAGAGCAGACTGGCATCATTCTCTGTGGGAGTCTCGTCATTTGCTTCTCTGTCGAATGTCTGCATCTTAGCAAGATAGAATGAGCTCATATTCAAGGGAACCGACAGTCCTTCTGGATTCCGATGAGTTCATGTAAACCAAGAGCACAATCAGCAACAGCCCAGGGAACATTGATATTGATTTGACCTAATGTCTCATGTTTATGCTTCATCCCCAATCAAAACTACTTCAGGTTAGTTTGGCACTGTGTGCTGAAGCACAAGCACAAGTGAACGTGCGCCTCAAATGAGCGAAGTCCAAGCAAACTCTGGCCACTTCAGACTCTCAAAGTTGCTATTGTTGTATGCTGAAAGAGACGTGGCGCTTTGGTCCGAAAAGGGGCTGGGCTCAGGAGTCGAGGACGAGGGTATCCTGATATTGCCATGACACGATAATAATTTCCAGGGTCAATAGATCGTGCACTATTTGCCGGGAGTATATAGATAGGGCCCCAGTGGAGATCGCAATCTGTCAAGAGTTGCCCCTGGAGTGTGTAAAAGGAGAGGATGATCGTGTATAGTTAGCCGGGCCTAGTCGTTTCCAGTGTCCACCTCACCGCTAAGCTCCCAGCTCACCATCTCCGCATCCTTTCAACTTTATCCCCTCTTTCCTGGCAACTGCTTTTCTTTCATATTTTGAACGGTCCATCTTTTTCACTATCACCTTCATCATGGATGAGATTGCCCCCGAATACGATGTTGTTGTCCTCGGCACCGGTATGTACCGAGAACTACCCCGCTGCTTGACGCAAGAGCTCACAACCCCCCTTCAGGCCTGACGGAGTGTGTGCTGTCTGGGTAGGAATTCTCACTATACCTCGTTGGATTCCCATCATGCTTATGACCATATAGTGTACTCAGCGTCAAGGGCAACAAGGTTCTTCACATCGACCGCAATGATCACTACGGAGGGTGAGTTGGCGACCCCGCTTCGCCGCTATGAAATAGCCCGCTAACGCTCACCCAGCGAAGCTGCTTCAGTAAACATCGAGACCGTAAGTCTAGTTGCTTCACAATTGTCTTCCATGCTAATCGCCCTTGTCTGCTTCAGCTCTTCAAGAAATACGGCAACGTCAAGTCCGGCGAGGAACCCTGGAAGAAGTATGGCCGCGTCAACGACTGGAACGTGGACCTGGTGCCGAAGCTGTTGATGGCAAATGGCGAGCTGACCAACATCCTCGTCTCGACCGACGTCACCCGATACCTCGAATTCAAGCAGATTGCCGGTAGCTACGTTCAACAAGGAAGTGGACCCAAGGCGACAGTAGCCAAGGTGCCCTCCGACGCCGGCGAAGCTCTGCGCTCGTCTCTCATGGGCATGTTCGAGAAGCGAAGGGCCAAGAAGTTCCTGGAGTGGGTTGGTGTATTCAAGCAGGAGGATCCGAGCACTCACCAGGGTGCGTATTGCCGACCAAGGCCCTTGACGACGCTAACGCAGTCCAGGTTTGAACATTGCCACGTGCACAATGAAGGAGGTCTACGATAAGTTCTCGCTGGAAACCAACACTCGTGACTTTGTTGGCCACTCGATGGCCCTTTACCAGGATGACGACTACATCGACCGCCCGGGCATGGCCTCCGACGCTATCAACCGCATCCGTCTGTACGTGAACTCGATGGCCCGGTACGGAAAGTCGCCCTACATCTACCCCCTATACGGACTTGGCGAGCTCCCCCAGGGCTTTGCCCGTCTCTCCGCCATCTACGGAGGTACCTACATGCTCAACACCGATGTCGACGAGGTGCTCTACGACGAGAGCGGAAAGGTCTCCGGCATCAAGGCCACAATGAAGGACCGTGAGGACGGCGGCGAGACGATGAAGTTCGAGACCAAGACCAAGAAGATTATTACAGACCCGTCCTACTTCCCCGGCAAGGTTTCTGTCACTGGCTACCTGCTCAAGGCCATTTGCATCCTGAAGCACCCCATCGACAAGACTGATGGCAGTGACTCGCTCCAGCTGATTATTCCCCAGTCCCAGGTTGGACGTAAGCGCGATATCTACATTGCCGTGGTTTCCTCGGCACACAACGTTTGCCCCAAGGGCTACTACATTGCCATCGTCTCAACCATCGCCGAGACGGACTCCAACCACCACCTCGAGCTAGAGCCAGGATTTGAGCGCCTGGGCGAGATTGAAGAGAAGTTCTTCCCTCCCCCCATTCCTCTCTATCAGCCTCTTGAGGATGGCAAGAAAGACAATATCTTCATCTCCAAGAGCTACGACGCCACATCTCACTTCGAGACGACGACTGGTAAGTTCCATAACATCTGGCATAAGAAGGAGAATTTTTTGTACTGATTTTTATAGATGACGTGCGGGACATCTACCGCCGTGCGACTGGCGAGGAGCTTGTCGTTGAAGGTCTCCGGGAAGGTCAGACTCTCGCGGAGGAGTAAATATATCGAGTCCGTGTGGGATTAATATAATGTCGCTTGGATGCTTTTGAATTGAGCACTAATATCCACCGTTTTCCTTTTTCTTTTGCTGGACCGCACACTCTTTCTCTTCTCTTGGACAGGCTGCTAGTAGAGCTGGTATCGAAACCAGCGAGTGCTCTTGTAAGACGACAAAGCGGTAGACAGAACAGAAAAGACAAAATAATAATCGAATCTAAGAGGTATCACATCAACACTCTATATCTACCTACATCTTAACCTCCGGATCCGTATTCGCCTTCTCATGATCCGAAACAACACAAACCTCCTCTCTCCCATCCTCATGCACCCTCAAGATCTCCGACCTCATAAGCGCCAACCTCTTCCCCATACTAACAACCTTGCTCACAAGCCTGACCCTCGTCCCAACAGGCACAGGCCTAAGGTACGTAACATTCAAATGCCGACTCACACCCCCCAGCTCAAAGAACCCTGGCTTCGAGACACCCAGCAGAATCATCGACGAGAGGACATCGAAGAGCGTCGCCGCACACCCGCCATGCAAGTTCCCCAGGAAATTGCAGTGCTTTGGCGCGATAGTGAGCTCGAATGCTATTGTTGGCTGCGGGGCTAGAGACGCCGAGTGGAATGTTAGGTTCAGCGAGGGGGTATCGATGGACCAAGTCTGTGCTTTGTTAGTATTATCGAGCCTTTACTTGGTTTCTAGGGAGCGATTTGGGAATGTACGTCTTCTCCATCGGAGGCTTTGGACATGCGCGCCGCGATGGCGGAGACGTGTTGTTCGAAGTCGGTTAGGGGTCTTTCGGGGAGGTTGAGGGTGCTGCTGGGGGGCTTTTCTGATGACATTTTCTCGTATTTTTCTTTTGACACAGGCCCTTGTTTGATTTAATGTTTATTTTTGTACCAGAATCAAGGAGGAAGAGGAAGTGTGTTGAGGTCAATTACTCTCCGCGCCTGGGGTCCGGGGAAGTCTTACTGTAAAGAGTTGCCGAGGTTAAGGGCCCCTCTTAATCCTCACCCTTGAATTCCAGCATGGATCTTGGGATGCCTAATATTAGTATTCTAGTTATGAAAGTATGCAAAGGATTTTGCTGTTCAGTTAATGGAAATATTGGGGGAAAGAGAATGCAGAAATGCTGTGCCCACACCCACGGTCCATATAGAAGGGACCGACCCGACCTATAAAACCAAAATTGGATTACTTTGAAAGCAGCATTTCCTATTGCCCTGCATTTCTCGACACACTAAGCGAAGCTATGTCATCAAGAAAGTTACCATGGCGAGCTATGTACGTTGGATGAAGAAGACAGGCCGATATACAGGGAAGGCCTTGACGAAAACATTCATAAACAACCTCGACTATGCCGATGTAGCACCTGGAATGATCGCAGTTCCAGACGCAGTAATAGCAGAAGTAGACTGCGCAACTGCACCCCCTCCTGCAATCAGACTCGGTCCGGGGATCGTATAAGTTAGCGGGTTGTAGATGTCCACCAAGATACCAGGGTCAGTAGAAGTATACAACTCCGTGCCTAGGACACCGTCCGGCTGCGCTGACCCACTTCCCGAAACCAGCAAATTGATGCACTGCATGTAATTCTGGGCTCCGCCCTCAGTATGCGCGCTGTGAAGCGCAATAAGCTCATGGCGTAGGACATAGTTCCCCGGCGCAATGCTCTCGGGAATTTTTACGAGCCAGGCGCTATTATTGTCAATGAGCTCATCTGTGCCCCAGTAGCCGGGGACAGAGGAGTCGTCAATGAGCCCGACCTCAGAGATCTTGAAGAACTCCAACGTTGTCTTGTCGACGGTCTGACAGCTGGTGCCGCAGTTCGCGAGATAATCGATCACAGGGCCGTGGTGCGTCTCTGGCCATGGCGTCCACTGGAGGTGGACCGTGTCGCCCGCATTTACTGGAATTGAGCCCTCTCCATTTGCTGCGTCGAGATGGCAGATGATATCGGGGTCGCTGTATCCGTCTGTGGGGAACCCTCCGCCGGTATTTGGGGTTCCCCAGGAGGCGACCAAGGGGATATTACCTCCCAGGTATGGGAAGACGTTGATGTTCCATCCTTGATAGGAGACGCCGTTGACGATGATGTTGGAGATGTGGCCGTGGCCAAGTGCACGGGAAGCGAACAAGCCTGCGAGGAGAATACGCGACATGGCTTGGTAAGCGTTTTCACTAGGAAGTAAGTGAGATAGACAGAATGTTTGCGATCATGGACCTGGCCAAAAACCCATGTCTCATCTTATACTTACTGCGGCACGCTTCCTGGCTTCCCATGGCGCGGATCTTCGTCCATTCTTCACGGATATCCCACCGTCCGGTCAAGAGGACCGCAAGGAAAACGGAATAATCCTTGTCAGTAAACTCATGACTGGACCACTGTAGCTTGGCATATCTGGGGTCATATAAGATGAAACAAGTTGGCCGTATAGAGCTCGGACATGGGAACGGCATGGACTCCGAATCGAAACAGGTATGTCCAAGTCCATCAATCATTCTCCAGTATCGCAAAAAAAGCCTTATCGACCCCGTTTCGGCGGCGCAAGGGCGTTGTATAACACAGTTCAAGGATTCTTGAGCTCGAGGAGGTCATCTGGACCTGGGTTGCTTCGCTTCTTGCTGCGCAGCTCTTCTCTAAAGTGGACATACGTGAGAAGTCGACCCTCACTGCACTGGTGTAGACAAATCCTAAATCTCAGGTAAGATAGAACACCAAGATTTCTTAGCCATGATTCAAGATTTTGCTGCCACAAGTCACTATCTGTCCTGTCAATGGCATTGCAGCCAGGCTCAGGGCAGATATAGAACTTTCCCGTGCCTGATGATTCTGTTAGCGAGCTGCGAATGAGTGTAGACATATTATTCATCCCATTCTCTCTGTCTTCTGTGTAGAGATGGAAATCCAAACAAGGATGATGGATGTGGAGTGAAGATGAAGTGAAAGAGAAAGCTGAGGTTATGCATGCATATCACGTGATCTGTGCTTTGTTGAAGGTGAAGCTCGAGTTCAGTATCACCATCACATCTCCCGAATCCTCCACCTCGAACCGCCGCTTCGCGAGATTATTCGAGGGTCATCCGGGGTGCCAACCGCTTGCCTTCGACCATGGCTACCGATCCCTCACTCCAGGATCCCCTTCTGGCGCTGCGCCGCGCCATTGCGGCCGGCAGCTTGCCCACCGCGACGACCTCCTCCGACCTCTCAACGGAGAACGCAACCGAAGACCTGGCCAAAGCCACGCATCTATATTTTCAGCACCCCTTACCGCAGTCTCTCGCGCTCAACCTGCCTACTCGCTTCATCTCAAGCTCCTCCGGCTCCCCCGTCGATCTCCGCGGTATCTTCTTCGCGTACCAGAAGAAGGACGTCGCGATTCCCGAGTACATCACCTCAGTACAGGAGCTGAACGAGGCACTTAAGAAGAAGGAGCGTGGGGAGGGAGTACCTGAAGAACAGGCGCAAAACCTTACGTTCGTCGAGCGATTGGATCTTATTACATGGTTGGAAGGTGCTTCGGATGAGAGTGAATATATCAAGCCGCTAGAGGGAGCTACGGGCGTCCCCTCGTCGGCGGCTCAGGCTCAGGCATCTTCCAATGTTGCCTCTGGTGCGGCGGGTGTATCTACTGCGCCCAGTGCTGCTCCTGCGGCGGGGGCTGCTGGTGGGAGAGCAGGGAAGGTCATTGACCCCCGGCTCCAGGAGATCTACAATGGGGAGCGAAAGATGGGAGACCGCAACAGTGTTCTACGGGGAATCAAGCAGACGGTAAGCGTACTCATCACCGAAATTGTTGGTCTGTCTCTAAGTATGGTACCAGGACTTCTCGCATGTCCGCAAAATCGCCGAAACCTTCCTCGGACGAAACCGATCACGAACAGGCCAATACGCTCCAGGCGCAAAGCCCGGAGCCAAACCACACTCCATGATCCCAGCGCCCTCAGCCGGCCTCTCTCAACCCCGCAAGGGTACCTCCAAAACGCAGGACCCCATCATCCTCCTCTCCCCCTCTGCCTCCTCCCTCATCCGCATGTCCAATGTCCGCTCATTCCTCGGCGACGGCGTCTTCGTGCCCCCAGACCACCCAACCCTCGCCATGTCCAGTGGCGCCGCCAGCAACATCCTCTACATCCACCGCCCCCTCGGCATCTCCGACCCTTCCTCATCCTCCCGCGCCATCGGTTCCCAAGGCCACGCCCGCAAGCCAACCCGCTTCATCCTCGTCGACAGCACAGCGAACTTCAAGCCAGACTACTGGCAACGCCTCGTCGCCGTTTTCACCACCGGACAAACCTGGCAGTTCAAGTCATACAAGTGGTCGTCGCCCCCGGAACTGTTCAAGCACGCCTCCGGCATATACGTCGGCTGGCGTGGCGAGGATGTCCCGCGTGACGTTCGCGGCTGGGGCCGTGGCGTGCGGAGCTTCTCCGTCGAGCGCTGGGACGACAAAGGCGGCGTTAACGGGTCAGGGCGCTGGCGGGATCGTGAGGTCGTGGAGGGGATTTGGACGGCTATAGAGGAGGGCATGAAGCTGCGTGGGTGGGGGTCTAAGTAGATGGATGACATGACGGGTGGGATGGGCCTGAAAACTAAACAACGTCTTTTTTTCTTCCTTTACTCCTTTGGACTCTGTACATGGCGTTTTGCGGGTATTGGCGTTCTTACCTTCTTGCCGATCTATGTCTTATCTACGCTTTACTTAACTCTACGTATAACTTACACTACTGCTGCCATGTTGGACGGTAATTTTCGCTTCCATCTGAGCTGTGACGAACTTGGAGGGAATAAAAATCACTAGACCAAAACTCTATGCTATTGAGTCAGACGAGCATATTTGAAATATCACGCTCTATCCACATCTTGATACTCTAGTCACAGCCAGTTTGGTAAAGATCAACCTTCCGAAATATGGGGTAGAACTATACAAATTTAGAGACGTGAACAAATGACAAATAATGAACAAGCCGTGACAAATCTAAACCAATAGAACCACATTTCCTAATGTTTTTTATACTGCATTTCTGTAGGTAGGTATGTAGGTCATAGCATATGTATACAGGAATAGCAGGACACCTTCAGGAGCAGTCAAAAAGGAAATTGGACCCATGAAAATGCAAAACCAGATAGATGCATGTAGATGATAGAAGATTGATGCTCGATCCGATGCACGGGGAAAGAAGCATATGACAAGAGCACATTTACATGGTCAGATGCCCCAGAGACAACAAAGAAAATGGATGAAAATAAGAAACGAAATGGAATAAGGAAATAGAGGTCTTAGCTTCATGCATCAGAAAAAGAGAAAAGAGAAGAAATGGAAAGAAACGCCACTCTAATGCTGCTCAACAATTATGTTCTGGCCTCTCCTCTCCGTGTTTTCTATTCTTGAATAGAAATCATGCGAAAAGAACAGGGAAGAGGTGGATATAAGGGATGACAGAAAAGCTCAGCAAGATCTCGGCCCAGGCGTCTCTATCAACGTGATCCGTGGATCATAACATCTTTCATATCTCGTCATGGCTTGCAAAAGCTCGTCGGGGAAATCGGTATCGTGTATCGAGGGTGATTATATATAGGAAACAATGCGGAGGGTGTTCATATCACAGACGTGGAATGAGAAATAAGACGTATCGCGTGGAACATACTCGTGTCTAGAAAGTAATATCGATATCGATCAATCGAATACGATGGGCGTAGCCATCACGTTCGTAGATATTCACTGTCATGAACGTTGCGAGCGGCTCATGGATCGTTCTGGGACATTTCCAGGCGTAGGCGAGTAAGATCTCCCACCACCAATCAGATCATCGACATCGTGCTCCTGAAGAATGGCAGAATATTTCGGGTCGCGCAGGAATTTGGGGACAGAATCCTAGTACAGATTAGCTACTAAGCAATAATGGACAGAACCCGGTGCCACTCACGCTCGACATCAGCTTGAACACTGATGTTTGCGCCATCTCAAACAGCTGTACTACTTCTTGAAGACTCTTGAGCATTGATTCGTCGTCTCCTACTGCTTTAGTCATGCGACTGGCCAGGCTATTGCGGAGCGCGTGGTCAATGTTGAGCTCGCAGGGAGACCCAGGCGCTAAGAAAGCGTTGTAGAGGCCTTGACAAGTCAGAAAAAAATCAAGCAAGTTGCCGATAGCATGACTTACCATATGCTGCTGCAAGTGTTTCCCGTACAGCGTCAGGCTTCTTGAAATGACCGACTTTGTCGAACTTGTGATATTGTGTAGTAAACTCAGAAACGTCAATGTAGAATGATAAGTTCTCTTCACAGAGCGAAAAGCGGAGGAATTCGCGGAACAGCAGGCGCAACGCAGGGTCCTGTAAGATGTGGTTCAGGCGCGCATTGTTGGAATCTCTGGGGATGCCACGGCTGTCATAAGTCGTCGTGTCGCGGGGCTTGTCGCGAGCGAGCCAGCCGCAAACTCGTTGGCCACGCTCAGTTATGGCGTAGATCGCGTTTTTAGAGGGTTGGAAAGCAACCAAGGAGTTTTCGAGTTGAGGGATTGAACGGTCTTCTTGGAGGACAGTGATCAATCCATACTTGACGAAAAGTTCTGCAATCAAAACTGTTTCCCGAGGCTCAATCGTTGTCGAACAGTCCATCAACCAGTCAACCGCACCCTTTCCAGTAAACGTGTTGGCGCAAATTTTGTCGCCAACTTTGCGCTCGCGTGCCATCTTTACACCAACCAAGCCATTCGAATAGTCGCTGAGGGAATCCGAATCCGAGCTCGAAACACTGCTCTTCACATTGGGCCCGTCTTGTCCAGCAAATCGGCGGAAGATGACCTCAATTGTTGCTCGATCGTGGGAAAGCTTGTCGGTTTCGGTATCCCGCTCCAGATTGACCAGCTGCATCGTGTTACGAGGCGACTCAAGAACATCGATAACGTGGCGCGCCGTAATTCCGTTTCGCTGGCAGAATCGTTGCAGGATGTTAATACCCTTTGGAGTAAGCTGATACAAAGCGCCCTTTAGTGGGAACGTGTGCGTATATTTGCCGTCCACCGACTCAATGAAGCGAGCATCCACAAATCGCTGACATACTGAGCGAGCCATTTCTTTAGCCATAGAGAAAGTGGTTGTTGTGGTCGTGGTTACGATGCGGGAGGGGTCTTTCGGGTCTGGCATCCGGTTCGATTGGGAGAACTTTAGGGAGCCCAGGTTGTTGATGGCTTCCTCTGATGTGAAGGTGTGGTCATATTTCGTGAAGCGAACGCGGTGCGAATCCAGTTTCAAGCTGACCATAAGAGTAGAGAAGAGGTCCATAAAATCCTACAAAAAAAAACACACAGTTGTCAGTCATTGTTCCTTAGCACAATTGCGCTATTGATCGTGTATTACCTTAGTGAAAGGACGATCATCCTCCGTCATGCGCAACAGCCTTGACGATGTTTGATGCATTTTGGTGGGAGAAACAGGTCTTTTTTCGGGAATCGGCGGAACGAGTTGGATGGTCTGGCGGCGCCTTTCTGCTGCAGAATTGGGCTGCTCAGTGACCGCTGACAAGGGTTCGAACGGGGCAGAGCTTGACTGCTCGCTACTGCCGCTACCGTCAGACAATGGCGGGGATAGTGGGACAGCGCTTGGTGTTTCGCCGATGCTCAGTTGAGAGGCCTTTCGCGAATGCTTCTGCAGGCTTCCGGACGAGGCGGACTGCCGGAGAGAGGAATTCGTGGTGGATCCAATGGACGAGAGATTGGCGAGAGCACTGGAAGTCTTCTCTCGAGCAAGAGCAGCAAAAGAGCGTCTGTTCCGTCGCGAAATGGAGCCAATAACCGAGCCCGTGAAGCTGGGTGCGGTTGAGGTGGCGGGGAAGTCGGAGGAGATGAGGGACGAGGTGGAGGTGAAGGATGGGAGGCCAAAGTCGACCGGGGAGGAAGACGAAGGAACAGCGACAACAACAGCAGCAGCAGCAGAAGAAGGGGAGGACTGAGGCTGATAATCAATCTGAGAAGAGGGAGGGGAGCCTTGATTGAGGGGAGCGGCAGATATGGAAGTTGGCATTGAAGAGGGCAAGGCCGAGAGTGGGAGGGTAAGTAAGGTAAAAGTAAATGAAACGAGAGAAAAAAAAAATAATAATAAAATAAAAATAAAATACAGTACGGATGACGAAAATCAGGCTAAAACCAGAGGGGACTGAAAAGGGTAGAAAATTGGGGGAGGGAGGGGGGAAAGGGACAGTGTGAGTGGGAGTGGGATTGGGAGAGAGGATCAAAGGGAGAAGGGAAGGGAAGGGAGGTGGAGGTGGATAAGGGAAATGAAACCTTGAGTTCTTCAGGCTTCATGGGATTAGGACATCGCCCGCTAGGATCCTCCTCTTTCTGTGTGTAGTAGTCCAAGTCTGTCAGCCTTGAGAGTCAGAATCATAATCCTTCCATCAGCCCATATTTGAGCAGAAGTAATATTTATTCCTTCCTGCTCCCTCCAGGGGCACCTAGCCGCTGAGTCTAGCAGAGGTGAAGAATTCGGCCTGTCATTCCCGACCCACCGAGCACGCGGACGGTTTCATGCACCAGCGCAACGTGGGCCAAGAGCAGATGTGGATGGATGGATCGGCCTCTGGCGCGATCAGAGAACCTGGCCTTGCTGCAAGGGTGTTGCTGCTGCAGCCATGTACCTTGTCTGAGGTGCCAGTACGCAGTAGTCCGTACCTGCCACCGTCGAGGTACCGAAGTAGGATACTTTGCGTAGACCCGTGGTATTCAGCGCTTTAGGAGATCTCGCAAGGCTGAAGATAATCTATCTTGATTCTTGAAGAACGACTGAAGAAGATATCCTGGTAACGGGGCTAGACTGGACGCGTGTAATGGAAATACCGTAAATTACCCTTATCGGACGATCAGCTGGGAAAAACTGTTTCCGTTCCTGGGGTTCCGTCAAAAACACCGAGCCTTTCCTTTGTCTCTTCGGGTCGCCCAATTCTTGCTTATTTTGTTACTATTTTACTGACAAAGACCTTCTTACTCATTTACTACTCCGGACAGCGACTGCAGCAGCAAGCCTCAAAACGTGGTCGCCGCGAACTGCCAAAACTGCCCAAGCACCTTCCGTTTCCAGTAGACTCTTTTCTGAGCCAGCCCCATACACGCAAGAGCCAATCATCGGGCGGTACTGGCGGCTCCTTCCCGGGTCGGGACTAGCGCCTTCACACCCCAGTCCAGCAGCACAGTTCAAGCAGGATTTGCGTGACGGTCCGTCTTTCAAGGACTTCCAGCTCCTTGCCAATCTCATTTGTGACTACAAGATTTGATCGACTGGCAAGACGGATCTCCGGAGATGATATACTTACTCCATATGCGTACGACGTTATTTCCCTTGCTCCGACGATAGCGGCCTTTCTGCCCACGTGGAACTCCACGCTTGCGGCTTGAGAACCCTGACCGATGTGCTACAGCCGAGCCTACAGTGCTACCAAAGACGCAAACTTCCGTCACGTGAATCAAGCGCTTTCTAGATGCAGATCACGACTCGGGACTTTCTGCTTTCGCGAGTCATGGGCGTTCTAGAAGGCTCTTTTGAGGGAGTTAATAGTCAGATCCCTTGGCTTGTACAACTGCGCTGACTCGATTTCACATTATATTATTGTTTCCATACATTTGCGTCGCTTCTCGTCCTTACCGTGAGCTGCTGATACCGGCAGCACTATCCAATAATCGACACTTCGATACGTCTCTTACGATACGCTCAATAATACTCATAGTTCGGGGCCACACCAACGCTAAACCCACCTAGTGGGCTCTAGCGTGGCTGAGCGGCTGGAGGGATCGGACTCCTTGGATGATTCTGACCTTCCCAATTGTTGCCTAGCCGAGATCCATGCGGATCCACGTGGACACACGTGGACTCGTGGAGAGAAACGACTCTCGCTCGGGCGCCTTGGCTTAGAGTCCGCCGTTTGACATCGCCGCTTGGGCGGTATCTCGCGCTTTCAGCCCTTGTCATTGGTACGAATTCTCCTCATCAGATGAATCGCCTTTATCGGCCTCCTATGATTCACATACTGTCAACTTGTGAGGAGTGTGGATGCTGCCCCGGAGATTGTGAGATAGCAGTGGACTAAATACTCCGGCTATCTCAGTCTCGGCATTTGCTCGGTGCTAGCGCACTTCACCATCTTTATTTGATCTCGGCGGCAACGCATAAAATTCCGGTCGTTCAGCGAAGATTACAAGAGCCGCGCGGACCGCGACAAGTCTACTCTTGGTAGACGGAGAGTCGGAGACTGGAGTTACTAGTATCGCCGCAATTCTTGGATTGGATGTATCAATTCACCGCATCTTACAGGTGTTACGGCCTACGGAGTACTCGGTCACGCTCCGAGTTCGGCCGCCCTGAGCAAAAGGAAGCTTCCATTATACCTTCTCCGCCAGCCAAAAGAGTCAAGGCTCTAAACTACTTTACATGTTCTTCCCCGGCGCTCTCCGTTGGCTCCCTGGAAGCTGAGGCTCAAAGGGACGATCGGAGATTCAGTTCGTCAATTAAGGTTCGACTTAAGCCATGCAAACAAGCTACGATGACAAATACACGAGTCATGGCTAATCCAGCCTGACTGCCTTAGTGATGTTTCTTGATTCCTTCCTCGGCTTCTCGAGCTTACTCTAGTGTCCACTCAGTACCACTCAGACAAGAGCGGTGAGCGTCGGCCGACGTCCAGCGACCCGTGTTATTCTGGTCCACATGCTTCAGAGACATATTCAACAGGTGACCTTGATTCTTTTTAGAGAAACAGCAGGCTTGCTTGCTTTCTGTTTGCTGTGTACGTAAGCTCCTGACATTCATCCAAGCAGCCGACGCATACTGTTTCTGCGCAAACTGTTTGGATCTGTCGAAGATTCGCGGCTAGCTTGGTCCGGACTCCAATTCTCTACTCGCGGTCAGAGCACAGCAGTGAGCGCGAAAACTTAAAGCATGACGATCACTGATCGCCACGCTCTTGCAGCAAAAATTGCGAGGGTGTGTTCTTGTCCTGTATTACCATGATCTGCCGTTGGTTGGCAAGGGTCGAGACGTTTGAAAGTCTCAGTTTGACGTCAAAAGCTAGATCCTGCCGCGCTTTGGGGACTCGCGAATACGCTCTTCTGTCATAATTGTGGCTGAAGCTGGTGGTGACATCGTTGAAGTGAGAATCCGGAGTCCGGATAGGGCCGTTATCTTGTCCAAAACGACCGAAATCGTTCTCCTTGCTATCGCTCGTGTCCGTCTACGGAGGTATCGGGACAGCATGCGTCGGCTCAAAAACGATTCCGCCTGTCGTAAGCTCAGCCCACGGGTGAGAGCAACCAAGAATTTGATGGTCAGTCCTCGCGGTAATCATTTTAAATGTCACGGCTTAGTATTTCAGGACAAATTCTCATCTCGTTGCAAAATGCCGAGTTAGACTACAAGCAGTGACCAACTACCGACACGCGGGACGGGCGTATGGATGCCTGAAACAACCTCAACTGTGACACACTACTACTGACATCTTGATTTGGGCCTTACAAGGTGTTCGGCAATTCCCGCTGCCATCCACTCTGGATTCTCGCAAGCTCTCATCTGGAGGCTGGGGCACGGACTCTGTACCTGTTTCGTTATGGTTACGAGGCCGGCCCCGTAGTAAGATGCAGCATGGTTTTGTGCCACGCCGTGGCTGCCAGGTGGTATGTTTGCCTCGAGAATTGACACCAATGGCTCTTCTTTGTCTGGGGAGGATGTTTCCAAATCCAGCCAAGTGCATAAGCTGGCCTAGAGATGAGTTTCAACTACGAATATGAAGCTTCCATCGGTCATGTTATTTCTTTTTCAGCTCCCGACTTGGGAACAGCACAGCGACTCACTGTGAGCACTGACCACCGGCCACCGACATGACACCAGTCGGCTCGTAAGGTCCTCGCTGACCTCGGCAGCGCTCCACGAGTCCACAATAATTCTGTACCCGCGGTTGTGTCCGTATCCTGAAACAGATGGAGCGGGCTAACATGGCACTCGTGGGTCATGAAAGCAGGCAAGCCAAATCGTTAGTCGCGTGAACCACGTGGCATAAAGATGGCTAGCCAAACTTAATGCTCCATGGTTTGTCCCAAGCAACCTTGCCGATTAATATACGGTATACACCTTCCCGTTTCTGAGGATCCAAGATGAAAAGCAGGAGGCTAAGAGGCTAAACCGAAGTGTGCAGACCGACAATCTGCGCCGACAACTTGATCATACAGCAGCAGTCAATGTCGAAATGCTAACGCAAGAGTCATATTATTGAGGAAGGCCCTGCGTTGACCACATCTTTGTCAGTTCCAGCCCATCAATAGCTCTAAGAACATTTCCCCCCTCCTATCTCTATCCCAACAAAGGTATGAGACATGTCGGCGCATCCGAAAATGCCGAGATATTTCCTTCACCACATGGCGATGGACCGTATGACCAGGCTGCCCCAGCGAAACGTCATGACATGGAGAACTCGAAAGAAAAGCGGACACCTTCGCCACCGCCCATCAAGGTGGAGCTGCTGGTCTCCAGAATCTAGTAACGGCTTTACGACAGCTCCAGGCTCAAGCCGTTTATTTTTACCATAAACGGCGTAGAATGTTCTTCGTCGCCGCCGCTAGAAGCTCTTGAAGAATGAGGCGCGAACTAAGAGATGTCATATCCATTCTACCCGTGTCCAGTCCAAAACTGCGCTTCTAGAATATGACAGTGTGCACAGATGCACCAACAGACAGCCCGTGTCAAGTTGACATGATATCGCTCAAGGCGGAATGTTTCATCCTTTGCCTATCCAATCCTTTGTTCAACGACGCGTCAACCCCTTTTCTTGATCTCCCTGTGATTTATCCAGAGCAAAACAAAATATGAGATCATACGAGCCCACTGTTATTCCATGGTTCTGGAAATGATTTAATCTCAGTCGCCGAATGTGATATCAATCTAGCCTGTCGATGACTCGTTGATCGCTGCCCGTGACCAGGGATGGGCTCAAAGCGGCAAGCCCCTTACAGGCCAAGAGATTGGAAAACTCTAGAAGGATTCTAGAAGGAAGCTAGAACAATCCCGTGTTTCGCCTTCAGCCTTCCCTATCCATGGACCATCAGGTTTCAGGCGGGTGCATCCCCCGTTTGGTTTAACCGCATCTTGCAAATGCAGGTGTCTCGGCGAGGCGGCCTAGGATCCCGTCCTTCTCTGATAGCTGGGATGAAGGCAAGGCTGAGATTGAGTTTACTCTGGCTCAGTGGCAAATACCAATGAGATGTTTCAACTGTCAACCAGTCTTTGCCGCGACCCCTACCTTGGCGAAGCCATACTGAGTCGTCTGGTTTTACAGGTAAACACGTGAATCTACTTCCAGAGACTGGCTTGTTCGAGAATAGAAGGATATTCATATTCCACCCTGACAAATTAACACCGACTATCAATTGATAATTGATACTACCATAGTCCGCAGAAGCTCGGATCGCCCGAAAATTGGACATGAGAGGCAGGCAGACCACACGTGAGGATCTTCGAGCCTGTTACACCGCATCTCTAATCTTCTGTCTAGTGGTAATCTATGTCCGAACTAGTAACTCCTCTGCCATGGCAGGCCTTCTCTCCCTGAGTCTGAGGCTGGTAAGTCCTGATTTCCAGAACCATGGATCACTTCTGCGCCCGAAAGGCCACGAGGGTGGCAAAGTCAAATCCAGAAAAACTTCTGATCGATCGGGCCCCTTATAACGTCAGCATTATTGTCGTATCGATCACGATTATTGCCGACGACCAGAGCCAGTCAGCCTCAGGGCCGCAGAATACGATCCATGCCAAGCTCGGATACGAGGAGACTGAGTCTTGAGTCTATTGACAGGCCAGACCTTCTCCGGACTCCAGATCTCGGAGCGACCGAGCGACCGAGCGACAGGCATCTGCGCGCCTTAGTCATTGCCACGATATAGTTAGCCCTATATCGGCCACTGTCAGAGCAGAGCAGGGCCAAGGCTAGTGATAAGGATTTAGTAGCGTGGGAGTCGGTCCAATAATGGATATCTGCTGCTGATCCTTGTTGTCCACGCGAGAAGCAAACGACGGAGCTGAAAGACAGGGAGCTAACTTGGTCGTCTTGTAGTTAGGCTAGATCTGATTAGCCCCAACTTTGCCCAGTCTTACTTGGCGCAACGGTTTGCAAGGTGAGCGTCTGACGGCGGAATTGGTACTAAAGTCGCTATAGGGCTGCTAGGTGATACCACCACGCATAGTCTAGGATGAGATTGGCTGTGGGGAATCACAACACGTGCTGTGTCCGAGTAACATGGCCTTTCAGGTATGTATACAGAGAGTCTCCAGGTACATACAGGGTACATCGTCCCTGCCAGCCAATTAATTGCCCAAATGTCGTGCATTAGTGCCGACATGACAGCCCCAGCCACTGGCCAATTCAAACGGATGAAGCCACCGACATAAACTTCCAATTCCAGAACAAGCATCCCTGATACTGTTATTCGGACCCATGTTGTCTCCGTTCCGCCGTTGCACAGGCTTCCTCGCTAATGCCTGGTTTTATTTTCAAGTCCGTTTGACTGTCGTGTAACGAACTATGCCACTAGTCCGCTACTACCGCAGCGTGGATTGGCGTGGCAGCTGCTCCTCTGCAGAGGCGAATGCAGTGTCATCCGGTTCCGGTGCCTCCGGACTCCAACGTGGCTCGGTGGCTTAGCATTTTTGGTCAGACTCGGTCTCGGTTCCTTCACGGAACAGCCTGCTGTTGCTGCAGTACGGTAGTGTTGCTGCAGGCGTGCGTTTCCTTCTACTCGGATGGTCTACGTGCATCCTGGGCGTCTGCGGTTTGCTGAGGATTCACGGCCCTTCCCTGCCTGCATCAGGCTCCCTGATTCTCTTCCCTCGAATTCGCTCATCGGACTGCGATTGGGATTCATCATTCGAACAACCCTTCGGGTATACTCGCTTATGCTTAAACCCAGTGCCGGCCCCGGGGGCTGACTCCGCCTCTAAGCCTGTGGGGGGGCGATGACTATGGTCTCTATGCATACGACCAAGCAAGGTAGGTGCGTCTGTCTACGGAGGCAAGGGAGCCATGCCATGTATCATGGAAAGTGCTTATTCCGGCCCTCGCTCTCGGAAGAGGCGGTCGACTCCGGGCCCGAATTCAATTCAAATGTACTTCGGCGCTTCCTTGCTGATGTTCATCGTACGCAGTATACTTGGGTACATGATGACATCTAGCGACCTCCGGGCTAGGTACTGTGCTTAGTGCTTACCCACCTGGGCGTAGTGCCTCCGGAACCCTATCGAACTTCCAAATCGGAATGGTACCCGGTGCCGTGGTAGTGGTACACTATTGACTTAGTCCACCAACCTATCGATACACTTTCTACACATGTCCTCGCAACGCGCCTGTCCAGCTAGGGCGAGCTTAATGAACGAACTCAATACTCCACCAGCATCTGCTACCCTAGCATTCATCTTGGAGCTATAAAAAGCTTATTACTCGGCTACGACGCCGGTTTTGTGACTAATTTACTTAGCATGGTCTACTCTCTCGCCCGAAATGCGCAGCCCTATAATTAGAGTGATCACGAAGCTGCGTTTCATTTCGTCTCGTTTCAAGCTGACTCACCACGTAGCAAGAAATGCAAATATACAGGGCCGTAATCTAATAGACTTAATATACTGGAAACAAGCCGTTGGCGTGGATTTTCGGGATATATCTGAAACTGAAACGGCCGTGGCCTGAGCTTTCGGTGTCTAATTATCATCTATGGCACCACATCTGTATACAAATATAGGTCATGACATGCATGAGGACTCCGCAAGTGGTCTGATTCAGAGGCAATGGGTCTATACAGAGATTGTTCTACTCTTACGTGTGATGATTTGATATAGGATGTAGATAGGCCATCACTTATTAGGCAATCACATACAGGATTTAACAGTCCGTGTCCAACAAAGATTCAATTGCTCAAGAATTTAGCTATTCATTACCGTGTCCACCAGATGCCGCATATTGGAGCGGCATGAATTACAGCAGATTGGGAAGAAAGAAAGAAATAGACCATCACTCCGGTACTACCCACCCACCCACTCACATAGAAAAAATCTTCCCATACTCATCACGATAGAGCTCCTTGCCAACACGGACAATAAACACCTGACTCTTGCTCGTCTTCCGATCAAACCCCTCATACCCCCAAACATCCTCCATGTCCTTCCGGAACGCCGTCTTGCGCTTCCCATCACGCACCCTCAACTTCTCAAAAAAGACATACGCCGCGTAGAAGACGCTGCTCTGGTTGCCATCCGTAGAGCCGGACTTGGCCATGAACGAGGTCAGAGGTCCCGTCGTCATGGGTTTCCCGTTATTCTGGTTCGGCAGGCACTTGGAGATTTCTCGCAGGAAGGCGGCCTTTTTGCAGGAGGTGTGGTCGAGGAAGGTTTGGATCTTGTGCCGGATGACGTCGCAGGTGTCGTAGACTGGGACGTCGCCTTCGTCTTCGCCGTCGAGGTAGATGGTGCTGACGTCGTAGTTGGTTGTGGAGGTGTAGTCGAGCTCGGATTCTGACTCTGTGCCGGAATCGGAAGCTGCGTCTGAGTCTGAGTCTTGTTCCTCGTCTTCTTGCTCTTGCTCATGGGCTGAGTCTAAGTCTGAGGTCAAGTCTGAGTCTTGTTCCTCGTCGTCTTGCTCTTGCTCTTGGTCTGACTCCAACCTGGCTCTCTTGCCCTTCGCATGCTCACTCTCCCTCCCAATCTGCGCTTCCACCTCCTGTCTGAATTGGCGCAGATACTCAGGGCTCCTCCTGAGCTGTTGCCTCTGTTCTTCCTGCTCGTCCTTGTTCTCACGTTCCAGCTCTACCCTGGCTCTCTTGCCCCCACTAACACCACCAGCCGCACCTCTCTTCTTGCTTGCATTCGCATTCTTCTCCTGCAGCGGCTGCCGGGATCGACCACGAGTAGTACGCGTGCTTGCACTGGCACTTGCACTAGCACCCGCGCCTGCATCCGCATCGGCATTTTCAGACTCAGACTCCGAGATCTCACCCCCCGCCAACGATACCGGCCCACGCCCATTCAAGCGCCGGTTCATTCTAGCCGGGAACTCCTCCTCCGTCAGTTCCTCGCCCGCAATGAGCTTCTTGCATACGTCGACGGTGAGAAGACCGCAGAAGCCTGTCTCCCGGATCGCCTTCTGCAGCTTCCTATCCCTGGCCCTGCTTTCCTTGTCGAATTTCGGCCATGCGTGCTCTTCTGCGTTGCGAAGCTGAGGCATGGTGAGCTCCGGACTTGGACTAGTTTTGCTTAGATCTTGATGGGTTGAAGGTACTTGTAATCAATGGTCGATGACAAGAGATGGATGGTGGATGATGATGGATGATGGTATGGCGATGGTAAACAACACGAACACGAACGCGCGTTCACGTGATCCACTTCGATCTATAGGGGGGTTTGGATCAGGACCACTTGCTGTGCTGCCTCGAATCTCTACATCTGAGCTCGAAAACGAGTCTTGGATTATGGTCGACCTCTTAATTAGTTAGATGCCCTTTTTTGAAGAAATAGCTAGCTAGATGATAGCCATCAAGCCCTTGGTCAACTAAATATATCTGTAGTCCAATATTTGGCTTGATGATATGCAACGAACACAATAATATATTCTTACATCAGTTGCACGGAGCTCCCATTTCTAAAGCAAAAATTCATCCTCAGAAGAGTGATAGTGATGGGCAATTTCCTCAGCAGTCAGTACCAGACGATAATCAGCGCCTCAAGTCAATGGAAGACTATAGGCAGGGGAGTAATCAACAAATGCACAGACGACCTCACGCTCAGCTAATTGCTAAATATAAAAGATGGCCTGTGCCATCCCTGTACCAAGATCAGGGCCTAGAACCCAGCTAAGTCACAAGAAGTCTCATTAAAATATCATGGATACAATGCCGCTAACATCAACGGACATGACTCGAGACGAACCACGGTAAGCCTCCATACATACGAGCTAGTATGTAACGACTAACGGTGCGCCTATTTAGTCTAAAATAGCCAGATACCAGTGTCTAAGAGCAAGCAGCGTCCAAGATCGCACGTAGCAACCCAAAACGCCCGTACCCACGCATTTAAAACCACCCTGCGACGCCGGGCCTGCGCCGCACGGGACATAGCCAACGCCAAACCCAGTCTGATGATGCCTGCATGACCATGCCATGGCGATGATCTCGAGATCACAGCTAGTAGACTAGCAGCCGGGAGTTGCAGCACAGGGCAGTCACTGTATTCCGCGCCTGGATAAGAGCCACGACGCCATATACACCGTATTTCGTATGTGATCAAATCACCTCTGAGACTGCAACGTTCAAGCATCACGCCACCACCTCCCAAGCGACCCCCCAGACCCCACCAAATCAACGACCTCCTCGAAGCTGATTTCAACGCGGAACATGCGTCCATCGGCCGTGCCACTTCCACCACCAACAGGACTAATAAGCCCCCAAGCGACCAGTCGTTCCCACGCCTCGCGCGCGACGTCTCTCCCCCAAACACGTCCGGGCGTGACAGACGCACCAGAGACAGAGGCAGAGGTCTTCGCTGACGTCAGGAGCCGGACGTATTCCGCGTACGCGGCGGGGAAGGACAGCGCCAGTGGGGCGAGATCTTGTGGTTGGCCGGTTTCAGCACCCGGGTCGTATAGGGCTGTTAGGCGGGTTGCGGCGAGGAGGAGGGAGAGAGGGAGGGAGGAGGGGGTTGATGAGGTGGATGTGGAGAGGGATGGCTGGAAGGGGAGGGGCGCTGGGTCAGGGCAGGAGAGCGGGTGGTTTGAGAATGTGCTGGGGGTGGGGATCTGAGGGGACGAAGTGGAAGTGGATGAGGTGATGCTGTGATGGAGCTCGGTAATGGGAATCAGCGCGCTCGTGAAGAATTCCCGCACGGATTTGGTTTGATGGTATATCCGGCGCAAGTGCGTCTGGAACGCCGGATCGGCCCAGAGTGCCTGTAGGGTGTGAGCTAGATTGCTAGTCTGAGGGTGAAACAAGCTTGTGGTCTTACCTGTAGATACGCTCTCCACCCGTCCAGGGCCGTCTTCCAGCTATCGGACTTGGCGATCGACTGGTCATCGGCGCTGAATCTGGATCCTTCGACTCCTTCGTCGAGGTCTAACCCAGCAAGACAGGCCTCGGAGAATACCTCAAATGTCTTCGGCAGCGGCACGTAGACCGATCTGTGACTGAATCGGCTCTTGACTCGTTTTTCCAGCATCTCGGTCACGTCCACTTTCGTCGTAACCCCAAGGACTGCCAGGGGCGCTTTGCGCGCTTGCGCGATATCAAACAGGTTGTAAAGAAGGGTCTGGCGGGGGTGCGTAACAAATAGGTCAAATTCGTCCAAGACAATCACAATCGACTTAGCCGTCGTCGTGCCGTTCTGATTACCGGCAGAGCCCTGCAGCTCTTCGGGATGGGAGAGAAGAGCAAGCAACGTCGCCATAGTATCCGCATAACTGGTCACCTTTCCCGCATCTTCTTCTGTATTCATCTCGCGGCCAAGCTGTCGCCATATCTCACGCAGCGCCAGTCGGTCGTCCGTATGTAGAAAGCCATTGAGCCGGACAACGTGGAACTCGTTTTTGTGCTCCTCCTTCAGATTTGAGACAACCGTCTCTATGATAGCTGTCTTTCCTGCTCCGCGCGATCCAAGGAGAAGCATCGAGTTACCCTCTCCAACGGTAACACTCTGCTGCACGAGTTTATGCACCTTGTGGTACTCGACATCAAGCCCCTTCAATGGGACAAGCCTTTTCCCATTTAGCTTCTCAACCACCGTCCTCGTTAGTAATTGCACTTCTCGCGCGTAGCCGTTGCGCACGAGATTCTGGAACGCCTCCACATACGGAGGCAAAGCTTCCTCCCCCGTAGCATCACCCTCCTTCCCATCCAAATCGCGCCGAGCAAGATCCTGCTGCAGCTGCATGGCGACAAGATCATCCAAGCCATCCTGGAAATCATCCGGAGACGGCGACCGATCTTTTTTCACACTATCAGACCCATCCGCCTCCGTCCCAGTAAACCGCACAGAAGCCCTCTTCGACCGCGGCCTGGCGGGCCGTTTAGCCTTGGGCTCAGGCGTCCCGGACTCCGATGCTTCTTCCTGATCCTCATCCTCAAAATCATCCCCCGTCTCCGATACCTGCGACTGCAACGATTGGCGTGGCCGCCGCCTTACACCCCCCGACGCAGACCGCGTCGGCTTTTCTCCAGCCGCAGTAGTAGCGGCAGGTGTCGGCGTAGACGTAGCCGTAGGCGTAGAAGCAGCCGTATCCTTGGCCGGCGTCGGTTTGGACTTCCTCACCGACCGCGTGCGCACGGCTTCATAGCGCACAGCCTCATCTTCGTACCGCTGCGGCGCTTTCCTCTGGCGCCCGCTTGACCGCGTTCCCGCCCTGGAAGGGGTATCATCTGTCTTCGGGTTTGCGTCTCCGTTGTTGGTTTCCGCGGCCTCCGCGACCGCGTCGTTTGAGGGAGCCTGTGGCGGCGTCGCGGTGTTTTGCATTGTAATGTCGCCGTCTTCGTCTATAACTGCGACATCGGATACGCGCCTCCTTTTCGCTGCCCGTGGGTCTTGCATTGGTTCTGGTTGGGACGGATGGAATGGGTGATCTTTTGATTGGGGAAAGGAGGTCTTTCAAGAAGTAGGATTCGTGCGCGAAGGGTTCCGTATCGACAATTTATAGAGAGTATGACGGACTGAGTGAATCAGCAGGCGGAAAATGTTGATAAAGCATAGAATTGAAGCTAGGGCGATTCAATTCGAAAAGTGCTCGGCGATGATTAGAGGAAATGCCTGGGGGTGCTTTGGACGGACAGCTGCACTGCAATGATGTACTTATTCAGACAGTGAAAAGGGACTAATTGGAATATTCGTTATTTGAGCAGCAAGCCATTGGTTGAGCCCACGCGCATGGAGATTTGAAGGTGTCTGAAGATGTTGGGAGCTCGGAGATGGTTCTCTCATATTCAGGCAAAAGCTGTCGGCCTCAGGCAAGGAATTGGACGCGAAGTCAGGTGCTCGGGGCTCCATAATATATCTCAGTAGTTCAACATATCTACGAATTTAAATGGATCTTTCATTCTTGAGTCTCCATGGGACATTGGCAGAAGAATAGGATAATAGAAAGGCAAAGCCTTTATATCATTGAATGGTATGCTGACGCTGGCTATCAGCTCGATATTGGAGAAAATATCGGGGGAAATAAAAGATAATAAAGACAAATCGTGAAGCAAAGGCTGCGCAAAACACTCGCAGTAACCGTAGTCTCCCATAGAGATCCGTAACCCATTAGTGATTTCCGTAAAACGCGCCGAATACGCCGCTCTCAAACCCATCACAAGAATAAGCACCCAAGCCCACGACGAACGCCAGTCCATTCCAATCGTTTACAAATGAATAAAAGAGGTAGCAGTAATAAAACATAGAGAAGACAAATGATTCGTCAGGTATATCGATGACCAGTTGTGTCTGAAGCAGAAGAGGAAAATGCTGAGTTTATTAGGAGGTTGTCGGAGTGTGTGCAGGTTGCGTTGAGCCAGAAACATCCTTCATCATGACATCTGCCGCCGTGGGACTCGACAAAGAAGAGCCACCTTCCGGGTGCGTATTAACCGCCATGGCTGAAACATCACGTCTGTCCGAAGACTGTATAGGTGGGGTCGGTGGCGGCATCGCAGCCTGGGCCTGCGATTTCTCCGATGTTGGAGTCTTCAGCGAGCCCCTTCGACTGAGATAGTCACCTAGACTGAGCTTCTTTTTCACAGGGCTAGGCGCGGCCAATCCCGCCCCGGGAAGAGCGGTTGCGGCGGAGTGCTGCGAGGTCGGATCCAAAGTGGACGGCGATGATATAGCTGATGAAACTGAATTTGGGCTCGTCGCTGACGGAAGGGATGTGGAGGTGACTAGAGGTACGTGGAGGTCTACACGAGGGCTGGTGGCCTTGCGCGCAGGTATTCGGGCGATATGCGCCGCGCTGGACGGCCATGGTGTTGACAGCGGCACCGCTTTCCCTGGCCCTCGCCCGTGGGACGGTGACATATCCACAGATACATTGCGTGTCTGTGATCGTGCTGAGGATGCTTCACTTGGTGACTCTAGATCATGCATCTCCACATCTTCCTTCTCCCCTGATACACTCGGGGTAGTGGCTGTTGGGGTCCGAGCAAGGTGAGATGACCCTTCGAGTGCAGTTTTACTCGATTGAGGTGAGACAGGCTGTTGACGACTGATTTGTTCGATCCGAATTCGGTCAATATGACATCGCTTGAGCAGACGCTGAGTAAGAGGGATGAAGTTAGGTCGCTTGGAGGAGGGAGGGGACGGTATCACGCCGTTGGGAACCTCAATATCTGCTTGAACGGCAGAGTCGACATACCGGGACGCAGGAGTGCTGGGACCAGAAGGTTTGCGCGGTGATCGGTGATCGCCTCCAGATAATGGGGGCGAGAATGATTGACGATCAGAAGTGCTTGCTCCGGGTGTTTGAGCGGAGTGCCCACTAACACGCTTCTTCCGTCTGTGAGTTGTCTGCTGGTCCTGCTCTAACTGTTGGAATTTTTTTTCTGCTGCCGCGATCTTGCGCCTTTCGCGAGCAGACAGTTCAGAATCCCCGAAGACCAATGAATCGGTGGGGGTTTGTAGGGTCGGAGTCAGATCCCGGCTACGGGTCTGCCCACGTGTGGAGCCCGATGTAGAACGGCTGTCCGCGTGTTCATCATCGTCCAGATTCTTGACGGCCTCACTCCCAGCACGGCTATTGTTGGCAGGCGGCGATACAGTAGACTTGCTCTTTGTTTTCCTTCGCTTGGCATTGGCTTGTTTTGCGCTTCCATCCACAAGCTTCGGATGGCGGCGGCAATCAAGATTTGAGAGCAGGCAGTTGTGTGGCGGAACACACGCGCAACCACCAAAGTTAGCCAGCACATTGCTGATGCAAACAGCAGCAAGCTCCTGCATATTGTCACCAGGCTCTTGCTTAACGATACCATTAGTCGATCCGAACAACTGAGGATCGAGATACCATGTCGCGGTAATCTCCGAATCAGGTGCGATGTCCTCTTTAGCAACGAAACAGAAATGATACTCATTTTCATTTGTGATGTAGGTCTTCATAGTCACGTTGGGGCGACACGAACGTCTGGCATAGCGAAGAATACTGCCTTCTTGCCGACAGTCAATGTATATCGGAAGTTGAGGATGGAAAAACACGAAAGGCTCGGGATGCCGCAATTCTTGCCAACGGTTGTCGGGGTCAAGGCAATAATTGCGTAACAGACCAACCTTGCCTATAATCTCCCCAACGATCTCATCCCTACCAACAGCATGTTGCGTTTTGAGAACCTTCCATGTCGGATGTTTGCCGTCAACTTCGATACTGCTATCCGTTGATGACTCGACAGTGAGCGACGGCCAGTGGGATCGGTCCAAAGCTGCGCCAGACCTAGTAAAAATATCGTCTGCAGAACGACCGTTGGCTACCTGGGTAAGGTAGACAGGATCTTTCACCCACAAGGAGAGGTCGGTGGCGACAGTCAAGTTGCCGATAAGATTGCTGACCATATCGGCATGCCCATGGTCCTGGTCGTAAAGGTGGAGGAATTCGTTAGAGTACAAAGGAATCGAGGGCCCGGGCGGTTTGGTGGGGCTCATAGAAGCTGCGGTGCGCTTGCGTCCATCAGAGGAAAGCCCCGGGTTACCCGGCAACGAACTGATTGAGCCCGACGCGCGATGGCTGATCTTTGTCTTCTTGAAAGGGGGCTGATCGCGACTGCTCGACTCTGATCGTTGATGAAAACCATTCACATGATCCGCATGATCCTTGACCTTCTTCTTGTGGCTCTTCGCCCCTGATCGCTTAGCCTTCCGGTCACCGCCATCGTTCTGCTCTCTGAGGCGTCGCTGTCGCTCTGTAGCGCGCCGACCGTCGAGATGACGGGGCTCACAGTCGACACAGTTGTGGACCTCTGGAACGTCCCGAGCGTGATAGTAGCATTCTATATGCTGCCATGTTTCGCACCCCTCGCAGAAGACCGTGTTCCCATCATCGTCTTCGAACGCACAAATGCATTTGATGGTATACGGTTCCTCCTCTTCAACCGGAACCGAATCTGAGACGGCGCCGTTGATGATGGGTGAGTTCAGAGGGGCGGTGACCGGGAAAGGCTCCGTGGTTGGATGCGTGATGGCGACTGGGGAGGTCTCTGTCATAATCCGACAGAACACCTCCTCAAAACGACTAGTGCAAAGCGCGCTGGAGTCTGTACTTGCAAATGAGCGACGTATGGGATCACTTATACCCCTAACCACATATCACAAGCACCACGAGGAGCCTTGACCCAAGGTAATACCTGCTTTCAAACGAAACAGATGTCTGCGATTCAGCACGTATGAAGCCCAGTGCAAGATGTCAAGCCTGATACCCCTCGCAGATTAACGCGATGACTGTAAGTCGTACTGGCGTGCCAGAGTTGACTGCAGGAAGAGACCCGTCCGACAGCTTCGCAACCCACTATTGTTCCGATAACGAATAGAACCGAAACAGCCGGTACAACAGTCCGAGTATATAGTAGGTCTAATATGGGCGTCGGCCACCGTGCCGTCTGCGACCGTGGGAAAGGAGGAGCTTGTCGAGGGTCGAGAACCGAGGAATGCGAGTAGGCGGGTGAGGCATGAATCGCATGGAGGAAAGAGGAAAGCGAGCGAAGAGACGTCAAGAGGGAGTCAAAAAAAAGAAGTAGGATAGAATAGATAATATGGAGAGTAGGAAGGGTGACTGAGATAGGAGAGAGACAGGGAGGTAGAAGGGCGAGGGTGAAGGAGGATGGAATGTGGGAGGAAGACGAAACGAAACGACGGAGGGACTCGGGCGTAGCAGCTGAGGTGGATCAATGCGAGAGTGAGACACGCGAGAAGGTGATCAGTCGAGTCGAGACGCAGAGGAAGCGAGAGAGGGATACAAGGACAGAAAGCAAGAGACAGCAGGAAGAGGAGGGAGAGTGAGGGAGAGGACAGGACAGGACAGGCTAAAGCCACGGATGGGCCATTCAAGCGGCGCGTCCAAGACCCAAGGTAAAAAAAGAAAAGCGCGGAATAATTTTTCCCACCCGATCGTTGATTTCTGGGGGAGGAGTGCTGGTTGATCAGGAGCTTTGCGCCGGTGAGAACATCTGCACAGTGCTATACAACCGTAAGTTGAGTAGCTGTTAGGGTGGATAATAGCACGGGACAAAAAAGAACAGCAGAATCATGGTGGGAAGGGGGAGGGAATCTGAAAGAGAGGAGGGGGAGTCGAGGCGAGCAAGCAAGAATCCCGTTGGAGGAACGAATGTGAGCTCAAAGCTGAAATGAGTGCCTCGTTTTCGAGGCATCAGTGCTGTTGCGGCCTGGAAGTTAGTGCCTGAGGTGAAAGCGAACTAGTCCTATAGCGGCCTAGCATGGAGCCAGATACCAAGACCCAGGTTGGGCATGGCGGAGAAAGCAACGGAGAGCGATCGGGAGCCAGAAATGACTGGCAGCCGATCACGGTCTGTGTGGTCAGTAGAGACTTGGTCCTGTCAAGTCAGCAATAAGGTAGAAGTCATAATGAGAGCAACCGCCGGGTTGTCTGTCTTGACGAGGGGATTCGCCCCTCAGCTAGGTATAGGTAATGAAACCATCCGCGCGTTCCATGTAGATACTCCGAAAGGCGGAGGACAAGAGGGTCTGGCAGGTGAGACTAAAAGCCCCTCACAGTCACCGTCTGTGAATACAGCAATAAGAGGTAAATTGGGCATGGGACGGTGTAGAGGGAAGGAAATCCAGGAAGCGATGATAATAAATTGGAGACCAGGCAGGAGTTGAGAACACGTGAAATGGATATGCAGAGGTGCCAGGCTCTGAGCCGGCATATTGGGCCTCATAGTGAATCCGGAGAAGCCCAGTCCGGGTTGCCAATATCAAAGGACAGGAGCATCATGTTCGGGTAGAATGTCCATCAAGAAGAAGGGGATGGTCATTCAAAGAGAGACTGTTTTGTTAGGTGTGCAATGAATCGGTGGTTTACGGGGAAAAGAAAGTATAAAAGGAAAGGCAGATGGTGAAAGGAGACAAAGTGATGAAGGGAGGCATAAGCAAGTCATCTGAGCAGGGTAAAGGATTGGGGAGTAACATGATCTTTGATGGGCGGTGCAAAAGAAGCGAGAAACACAGAGGGCCTGAGCAGGTGGCATCGCCTAGTGCAGGAATTATTGACTGTTGGTTGATTCAATGCTGAGAGAAAATCGATTCAAATATGCTCCCGAAAGCAAAGAAGGCAGAATGGGCGGAACACCCAAGCCCTGATAATAATGGCTTTTGACATTTGATAATAAAAAGAGAATGCTTTTCTGCGAGGCTTTGTCCTCCTTTTAGGGGCTGGCTGGTGTGTGGCGAATCCAACAGCGGGGAGGAAACTAGCGGAGATGCACTGCGTTCCTGACGGGGAATGGCCTCAAACTGCCAGGGCCTCAGGCAACTTACACTGGACCCCTACTTTAAGTGCATTCTACATTGCGTTCATATATCAAAAGGAACAACCATAAAATAAAACAATATATCTACAGTCACCCACCTTGCATCAGGTGGAAATTAACAATAAGCGGTACAGAAACAGAACGAAAGGGTGTTCAAAACAGCAATCACTGAGGATATATGCTAGGGTTCATTGCGTGAAGAATTAACCTAGGTAACCACACTCTGTCCTCAAGAAATGACAGGATTCGGCGTAGGAGTAGTCGAACTCTCCTCTGGCCTTTGCGCTTGCACTTCTTCCATTTCAATGACTTGCTCCTGGGGGTGATCCTCGTCCACGTCCACGTCTCCCCGATATTCGACCACAGGCGAATCCAATTGAGCAGCCTTCTTCCGAACGGCAACTATGAATCGATGTCCGCCGTACAAAAGACCAAATAGGTTAAGCGCGACATGGGCGGGAATCCCATTCCGAGGGTTCAACCCATGACGGGGAGCAACGGTGACTTGCGCGAGGTTGAGGGCAATTAGCAAGACACAGGTGCCCATGGCGAAGTACGTCCCAAAGGGCTGGACAAAGGACCTATGCACAGGCATAATTTCCGACTTCCTGACCACTCTTCGGAACTGGAGGTACGCCAGACACGAACACAACCAGGAAACACAGCCGATAGTGGTGATGAAGAACATGAGATAGTTGTACACCTCGGAGCTCGTAGTGGCCATGCAGAGGAAGCAGAACCACGTGAATCCAGCTGAGATGGCGACGGACATATAAGGAACATTCCATCGGTTGCGAATCATGAACATTGCTGGAGCGTGCCCGGTCTCCGCCAACGAGGATAGCATGCGAGAAGCCAAATTGAGAAAAGTGCGTCCAGAGGCCACAGAAGAAAGGAAAATCAAGCCACCTGCCAAGGACGGCAGTAGACGAATCTTGGAGTCAATGAGGCCAACCATGTAAGGCGAGAGTCCAGCGCCACGGCCCTGGTTGGTAAGTCTCTGATCGTCGAAGGGAGCCATCACAGTAAGGGCCAACGTGCTCAAGATGTAGAGTATGAACGTGACGACATTGCTGTTCCTGGTGTACCTGAAGATGCTGTTTCCTGGCTCCGAGTCACGATCTTCGGCTATCTGCACGGTCAATTCCGGAAGAAAGGTGAAAGATACTACACTGCAGAGGACGCAAAACAGCAAGCCGAGAAAGCGTCCAAGGTCGCCGAGAAGTAGAAATTCGGCGAACGGACCGGGTGTTATCCAATACTCAAATCCTCCCACTATCGCCCGGGGTTGGCTGGCACGGATAGCGAGGTAAAAGGAGATGATGATGAGCCCGATCGTCGCTAAGAACTTTATTCCCGTGAAGACTGTCTGCGATCTTCTGAAAAGCTTTTCGGGCAGCATATTGAAGAAGAATATCACGACCATCACAGCGCCCATACGCAACGCGAGACTCGCGCTCGGTTCCCATAGCCCAGTGTGGACCATCCCCGCAGTGATCTCAAATGGGACGAGCAAACTCATGCCAATCCATCGAAGGTAGGCTATCGCAAATCCCACATGATTCGACGTGTAATGATAGTTGTGGGCGAACATCGCACCATTTCGGGTGACGGAGTGGGTTGAGACCTCGGCGATGGCAGTCGTCACACAGTATACCAGTGCTGATAGGAATAAGTAGGCGAAAATGAGCGAGGCAGGGCCGCCGGCCGCGAGCGCCTGGCCGGATCCGACGAACAGGCCGGTTCCCAGAGTTGGGCCCACCGTCATGGCTTCGGTAAGGATAATGACGAAGAATAAGGTTGAGGAATATTATGGACGTATGAGGAGAGATGGTGAGGAGTCGACAGGGAATCAATCCAAGCGGAGGGAGGATTGTGGCCCTGAATTTGCGGGCTGCATAGTACCTGCCTTCGGACGTTCCAAACCGTTAAACAAGGTAGGAGTGCTGTCTTGACTGGTGACGATGCGGTGCATCGAACGGGAAGGAGCGTAGATTTAGATCCGAACAATACCTGTCAAACTCCGTACTCCGTACTCAAGTCCATAGCAAAAGCAAAAGGGTATACGACTCATATACTGAAATGAAATCTTGAGGATGGGTATCACTGTCTATCAGAAGATAAAAAAAAAGAAAGGAAAGGGTGGGAAGAACAACCGCCGTGTGTCTCCACAGGGCGAATGTAGACGAGCCTGTCACTAGTTGTCGCACTCGGGACTCGGGTTTGAACATAGGCGGATGAGCATGTCCTCATTTGTCTTGATCATCAGTCATCTCCGTCTCTGCGTATTCGAGCCATTCCCCGGACAGGGCCTTTTTCCAAAACCTAACAACGCCGTCGTCGCCGGAAGAAATAAGACAATCACCTGCATAGTCATTAGAGGGCGCCGATACTACAGGTAAGCCGGGCGAACTAACCGGCATAGGAGAAACCGACTTGCCAAACATCAAGATGTTTGCTGTCGATGCATGCGACTTCTTTGGCGGTATGCTTGAACTGCGAGTCACCAGTTGCAGGCCGGCTGCTCATGGGCATGGTGGCACGATTTGCGAGGGCCGAGCCTATTCCTGACTGCGCTGTACTGCGGGATGACTGAGATTGTGCTGAAGATTGAACATGGTTGGAGTCGGAATCCCGCGCATTGTTAGAAGAAAGTGAGGTATAAACCTCGAAGACTCGAACAAAGCCATCCTTGCACCCACTGGCGATGAGATCATAGCCACGAACCGAGCCGTTAGCCCAAGATATATCTCGGACCAGCCCACCATGTCCTTTAAGCTCTATTGCATGGTAGAAGCGACGATTGGCATCGGTCCGGAAGATTTTCACGCTATCCATAGCTGCAACCACAAGCGAAAGGCTCTTCCGGTCCCAGGAAGGCAACACGGAGTGAGTGATGTCTGTAGGGTCATGGTGAAACTGCACTTTGAAGCTCGTCTCCTCCCCTCGCGGGGGCGCTGCGCATACCCTGAACTCGTCGACAGTTTGCCAGTCAGCAAGCGAGTCTGGAGTGACAGGTTCCATGACCCTGAGAAAGCCATCGCGCGTTATAACGGCAAGCCAGGATTCAAGGTCAATGTTGCGAAAGTCAAGCGAAACGTAAGGATGCCGCTGTGGCGCCATCAAGCGGAAGATATTCCTGAAGCGTCGGCCAGAGTTTGGCGGTTGAGTAACGTCTTCCTGCCATATTTTCAACTTCATATCCTCGCCTACACTGCCGATATGCTGGCCAGTGAAAGGCCCATTCCAGGTTGCCTGCGGTAACGGACCGTTAGAAACACACTAACGACCACAGAAGAGACGCCTACATCACGGATCTCCGCATCATGGGCACGCCAGGTATCAGTCAATTGCCATTCGCCATCTTTCTGGTCCCAGACCTTCATGCGGTGGTCCGATGAAGCGGTAACTATGCGGTTGCCATAGAAGTTGAACTTGGTCACGGTCACCAAATCGCGATGACCGGCGTCAAAGTCAGAGAAGCCGGCAGACATGTCTGGCCGACTCAGAATCCCAACCGAAAGATCTGGACCCTGCAAGACATACAGCTGAACGCGTACTACGAGTGGACGTCGCGTGGGTCATGTGAGCGAGATCGGGCATACATGCCATCTCACCGCTTCCAGGCTGGGCAGTGTGGACCGGCAGAATAGCATGACGTAAGCTCGAGCCGTATCTTTGCCGTATTTTTGGTACACTCTTGAAGCCAGATTGCAGCAACTATCTCGACCACATCCTGTACTCTGTGAGGAACTGGGACTGGGATGCTGCTTATGGCCTCTACACAAGATGGCAGCCGCAGCATCGAATTACCTCTCCCGGCGGGAGACATGGAGTCTCTTAGTCCTCGCAGGTGCCTGTCTCGGCGTTCTTGTCAATACGTTTGAAGGAGAAGGCGCTCCTTTGGTGCCGTCCGTTGCATTCAGTGGCATTGCATTTGCCGTGACTTTCAGCATGATAAGATGGCTTGGTCCTGTCTTTATTCGAGCGGGCTTGAGTGGAAAAGACATGGCTAAGCCAGAACGGCCGGTTATGTATGTGCTCTCTGTCCATTCTGCCCCAGTGAGACTAATGCCTCGATAAAGCCCGGAAACTATGGGAGCTGTATGTGCTGTTGTGTATCTCCTGGTGCTCATCTTCTTCATTCCCTTTGCTTTCTACAAGGATATCGTGGCAGCTACTTCAGGCGGCGGCAACCGCGATGTTGTCCTTGAGGTTCACCACGTAGAAACAGGCCGGACGCTGCATAGGTTTCCCCACGAGAGGGTTGGTACCTCTATTAACCTCAGTATTTACGTTCCAAGTGTACTGACGCAAGAACTCACAGCTCGCTTCCTATCTTTCTGGTCTTTTATCACTTCAATGCATTGTCATTCTTGGGATCGGCGATGATCTCCTTGATATCCGATGGAGACACAAAGTGTTAATACCGGCTTTCGGTGCCATCCCAATGCTGATGGTCTACTTTGTAGACTTTGGGGTTACGCATGTTGTTGTGCCAGTGCCCTTGCGGCCGTATCTCGGCCCCTTCCTAGACCTTGGTTTCTTGTACTACGTCTACATGGCCGCGGTTGCTATCTTCTGCCCGAACTCGATCAACATGCTGGCAGGAATTAACGGAGTTGAGGTTGCCCAGTCGCTTGTGATCGCGGTCTTACTGATGATCAATGATGCGCTATACCTGATCACGCCGTTCCGGCACCCTGCGACGGATTCCCACCTCTTCTCTCTCTACTTTCTGCTCCCGTTTGTGGGAGTTTCGCTGGCACTTCTGTGCCACAACTGGTACCCGTCCAAAGTATTTGTGGGAGACACATACTGCTACTTTGCCGGTATGGTTTTTGTCGTCGTCGGAATACTGGGACATTTCAGCAAAACCCTGCTGCTGCTGTTCATACCTCAGATCTTCAACTTCGTCTACTCAGTTCCGCAGCTCTTCCACATCATCCCTTGTCCCCGACATAGACTTCCAAAGTTTAATGCGAAGACTGGGCTCGTCGATGCGTCTGTGACCGAATGGGAAGTTCCTCCTTCACCATTGGTCGCGGTGACTCTGGAATTGCTGCACGGCCTTCGCCTGGCACGGATAAAAAAGAACGAGCGTGGCCAGATTATCGAATCAAGTAACCTGACAATTCTCAACTTGTGGTTGGTATGGATGGGACCCATGAGAGAGGATCGGCTGGCGTTGAGCATGGTGGCCGTCCAGACTGTATGTGGACTTTTTGGGCTGTTTGTGCGCCACTGCTTAGCATTGTTGGTGTTCCCGTCAGACAACAGAGCACTCGGGGTTATATTATAGACGTCATAGAATACATGTATATATTTACTTTCCAGTGCCTCAAACCCTGCATTATTATTCATGTCCAGATCCGATTACTATGTGCCTGGCTTCATAGTTAACGCCGCTGCTTACCCCGGACCGGGATCTCCACACTAACCCGCTAACTCCGCGTTGTCTGACTTACCGTCAGCACTCCTGCTCAAGTACATACAGGAATATCTCCGTCACGGTTCCAACCCACTGGGACCGGAGAATGACAGTAAGTTGGGTGACACAACTCCAGAAAGGAAGGCAAACGCTGAGATGGACGGAGATAGTCAGCAACATTCGACTGCTGGCGACCATGGACTCGTCTCGTATAAATATGTCGACTCTTCCCACGAACCAAGGAAAACATTTCTCCCTCATCATTTTCATTTCCCTTCAAATCCTTGATTCTCTACTGAATCCCATATTACCAACACCATGGCTGATTTCATGAAGCCGGCTCCCGAGCCTCGCACCGAACTCGGTCGCTACCGCGTGCTCTCGTCAACCGCAGGAATCCGCGTATCCCCTCTGCAGCTCGGAGCCATGTCCATTGGCGAAGCCTGGTCAGACATGATGGGCTCAATGGACAAGGAATCCTCCTTCAAGCTCCTCGATGCCTTCGCCGAAGCCGGCGGCAACTTCATCGACACCGCCAACAACTACCAGAGCGAGCAGTCTGAGACCTGGCTGGGCGAGTGGATGGCTACCCGGAACAACCGCGACAGGATGGTGATCGCTACCAAGTTCACCACCGACTACAAGTCCTACGAGCAGGGTAAGGGCAATGCCCCCAACTGCTGCGGAAACCACAAGCGCTCTCTTTACATGAGCGTGCGCGACTCCTTGAAGAAACTTCAGACCGACTGGATCGATGTCCTCTACGTCCATTGGTGGGATTACACTACTTCCATTGAGGAACTCATGGACAGCCTCCATATCATGGTCGAGCAGGGTAAGGTACTCTACCTGGGTATCTCGGATACACCTGCGTGGGTGGTCAGCGCGGCGAACACCTACGCCCGCGCACACGGCAAGACTCCCTTCAGCGTGTACCAGGGCCGCTGGAATGTGATGTTGCGTGACTTCGAGCGAGAGATTATCCCTATGGCCCTTCATTTCGGTATGGCGCTGGCACCGTGGGATGTGCTAGGCGGCGGCAAGTTCCAGACTGCGAAAGCCCTCGAGGAGCGCCGCAAGAACGGCGAGGGACTGCGCAACGTGCTGGGTTCTGGCGAGCAAACACCGGACGAAGAGAAGATGAGCGAAGCCCTAGCCAAGGTGGCTGCTGAGCACGGAATTGAGTCGGTGACGGCTGTCGCACTGGCCTATGTCTTGCAGAAGGTCCCCAACGTGTTCCCAATTGTGGGAGGGCGCAAGGTCGAGCATCTTCACGATAATATCCAGGCGCTCAAGATTAGGCTGACGCCGGAGCAAGTGACGTTCCTGGAACGTGTTCGGCCCGTGGCCCTTGGGTTCCCGTACGATCTATTAGGCACCGATCCGAGGGTCAGCGGAGTTCCCTGTCCTTGGGTAGACTTCGGTTCCAAACTGGCGGTGCAGCCGGCGCTCAAGGGGATCGCGCCGCCTTGATCGTGCAGCTTGGGCTGCGGTTTGTAAGCATGTCAAGGGCCTGCAAACTCTTTCGCAATATCTGGTTTGAGGCGAGTGTTGTAATGTGGACGATTCGTCGAGATGTTGAAAGCGTGTATGTAATAATGAAAGCGTAGCGAATGGCAGGCGCATATACGGAGTCCTTCCCCGTTAGCAAGTAGAAAGTGACGTCTAAGACCTAAGCATTTGGCCGTATCCACTGGACCCCAGATGGCTGTGAAACCCCGCGTACTCCGTACTCTTAACTGCGACGGACTATAGCAGTTCAACGTGGTAAGCGGCAATCCGACCTCCACAGCTATCTGTCGGAGTATTCCTCCTCCGCTGCATGATGCCACCAGATCCTTGCATGAACTTTTCTATCGAACCAAACAGAAGGCGCCGATTACACGGACGAGGCTCAGCCCACAGGGAAAACTCCGTGACTAAGCGGCAAAGGCCGAAGGAAGCCCGGTGACCGGAGGCAGTGGGGCCAAGATCCGCCAATCGGCAGCGGCACATTCTCTCTGACCAGCCCCGATCTCGGCGGCATTCCAGAGCCCCTCGATGCTGTGGCCAGCGACATCGCGATTCAGAAGATTCTTAAATGGCGGAGAGCTGTCTTTCTTTGTCTTACGCATCCTAATCTGACTCCTTGTTCTTTCTGGGAGACTCCCTGCTCCTATCTATCTGCGCTTCCTTGACCTAATCCACCCTTTTGCCTCCGTTGTTCTATACTGTTCTCATACATCATCATGCCTGGCGCTGACCGCAAGCCCAAGACCTTGTATGACAAGGTCTTCGATCATCACATTGTCAACGAGCAGGAGGATGGCACCGTTCTCATCTACATTGACAGACACCTGGTTCACGAAGTGACCTCTCCACAAGCCTTTGAGGGTCTCAAGAATGCGAGCCGAAAAGTCCGCAGGCCGGACTGCACTCTCGTCACCGTTGACCACGTAGGTCTCGCCATGATTCTTTATGTCATAGCAGGAACTGACAGGCTTCTCCTAGAACATTCCCACCTCATCGCGAAAAAACTTCAAGAACGTCGACCAATTCATCGAAGAGAACGACTCCCGCCTACAATGCTCCACCCTCGAAGAGAACGTCAAGGACTTCGGTCTGACATACTTTGGAATGGACGACAAGCGTCAGGGTATCGTCCACGTTATCGGTCCCGAGCAGGGCTTCACTCTCCCCGGTACAACCGTCGTCTGCGGTGACAGTCACACTTCCACCCACGGTGCCTTCGGTGCTCTCGCCTTTGGTATCGGTACCAGTGAGGTCGAGCACGTCCTCGCCACACAGACTCTCCTTACCAGACGCAGCAAAAACATGCGCGTCCAGGTCGACGGTGAGCTTCCCGCTGGAGTTACGTCGAAGGACGTCGTTCTACACATCATCGGCCTCATTGGCACCGCTGGTGGTACAGGAAGCGTCATTGAGTTCTGCGGCTCCGTCATCCGCGGGCTGAGCATGGAAGCTCGGATGTCCATGTGCAACATGTCCATTGAGGGTGGCGCCCGTGCTGGCATGGTCGCACCAGACGAGATTACCTTTGAGTACCTGAAGGGCCGCCCTCTGGCCCCCAAGTACGACAGCGCCGAGTGGAAGAAGGCCGTCAGCTACTGGTCTAGCTTGGCCTCTGACGAGGATGCCGTCTTCGACAAGACCATCATGATCGATGCCAAGGACATCGTTCCCACAATCTCGTGGGGTACTTCACCCCAGGACGTCGTCCCCATCACTGGCGTTGTCCCCGGCCCCGACGACTTCGAAGACGAGGCGCGCAAGCTCGCCTGCAAGCGCGCCCTCGAGTACATGGGCTTGACTGCCGGAACGCCCATGAAGGACGTCGTCGTCGACAAGGTCTTCATTGGTTCATGCACAAACTCGCGCATTGAGGATCTGCGCGCCGCCGCCAAGGTCGTGCGCGGCAAGAAGATTGCCTCTAACATCAAGCGTGCTATGGTCGTCCCCGGCTCTGGTCTTGTCAAGCAGCAAGCTGAGGCCGAGGGTCTTGACAAGATCTTCGTCGACGCTGGTTTCGAGTGGCGTGAGGCCGGTTGCTCCATGTGCCTCGGCATGAACCCCGATATCCTCTCCCCACAGGAACGTTGCGCCTCCACCTCCAACCGCAACTTCGAGGGCCGCCAAGGTGCCGGCGGCCGCACCCACCTTATGTCCCCCGCCATGGCCGCTACCGCCGCCATCGTCGGCAAGCTCGCCGACGTCCGTGAGCACATCGCCGAGAGCCCCCGTCTCGGCAAGGTCCAGCCCAAGGTCGACGTCAAGCCCGAAGCCGAAGACGTCGACACCGAGGAAGAACTTGACCACATCCTCGACCAACCCGCTGACAACGAACCCCACACCAACACCTCCGCCCCCACCTCTGCCTCCTCCGCCGGCCTCCCCAAGTTCACAACCCTCAAGGGCATCGCGGCCCCCATGGACCGCAGCAACGTCGACACCGACGCCATCATCCCCAAGCAGTTCCTGAAGACCATCAAGCGCACTGGCCTGGGCACCGCTCTCTTCTACGAACTCCGCTACAAGGACGGGCAGGAAGACCCCAGCTTCATCCTGAACCAGGGCATCTACCGCAACTCCAAGATCCTCGTCGTCACAGGCCCCAACTTCGGCTGCGGCTCCTCGCGCGAACACGCCCCCTGGGCCCTCCTCGACTTTGGCATCAAGTGTATCATTGCTCCCTCCTTCGCAGACATCTTCTTCAACAACACCTTCAAGAACGGCATGCTCCCCGTCGTGATCCCCGAGCAGGCAACCCTCGAGAAGATCGCCGAGGAGGCTCGCGCCGGCCGCGAGGTCGAGATCGACCTCGTCAACCAGGAGATTAAGGACGAGGCCGGCAACAAGCTCGCCTCCTTTGACGTCGACGCCTTCCGCAAGCACTGCCTTGTCAACGGCCTCGATGACATCGGTCTCACCCTCCAAATGGAGAACAAGATCGCTACCTTCGAGAAGAAGCGCACGCTCGAGACCCCCTGGCTCGACGGCAAGGCCTACCTCAAGCGTGGCCGCAACGGCGGCGCGAACATGGTGCAGGCTGCGGCCGTGCCGAAGACGAATCGCGGTGATGTCAAGGGCGAGCCGCTTGAGTGGTAGACTTCTTTCATCCTTCCCCCCTTTCTCTATAATGATCCATTTTCTGTTTTCATGCTTGATATGACCTGCGATTGTTTGAGGCGCATGCATGCATAAAAGAACGCTGTTTTTTTGCTTGGAAGCTTGTTGTTTTAGCATTCGGATGGGCTTTTGGCTTTCGGGCATATACCTTGTTATTACCCTATCCATCTATCAGCAATATACCAGATAGCAGTCGAAGAATTAATGAGACTGATGAATGATTGACTACCTCTCTCCTTACCTTACTGTCAACGTATGTAACTTCCAGTAAATCCGTCTCGTCCCGAGTGTTCAACGGCTTTGAATGCCATTAGTATTTTAAGAACCAACTTAGCTTTGGCAAGTATCTTTTCCATTCCACCTCAGGCAACAAAAGGGAGATCGGAAGCTCAGTCAAAAGCCAAATCACATTCATTAAGCACATTTTCATCCGACATAACAATCAGTAACCAAAAGAAATCCAAATAGTAAGAACAAAAAAGCCACTAAATACATCTCTTCCAGCCCCCATTTCGCACATATATATCGGTGAGGGCACAAAATTAGTTTCAGTCAGAGTTCCATGGAGAAAAGAAGAGACCATATTAACATCCGAATCATTAGCATTATGTCCGACTCATATCGTAGTCGGGTTTCAATATCGTCAAGAAATTGCAATGTATGCACCGGTTTTGGTAGGTAAGGGTTATGGGTGGTGGGTGAGTCGAATCTCGAATATGTTTGTCTGGCGTGGCGTGGCAGGGTTGAGATGACATGCAATTAGGGCTTCGTTAGCTGCTCTTTCCGGAAGAACCTGAGGAACCCAGCACTGGACCAAACCGTTAGCCGAGACCCAAACTCCAAGCAGGGGCAAGAAAACAAACCAGATCAACAGTTGGAAGAACAACGCAATCCAAAACCACGCATTCGCAACAGCGCCCGCCCCGTCCGTAACATCAGGCGAAATTGGCCCTGGCCCGATATTATTGGGCCCGAAACCCCTCGCGCAGATCGTGGCTATAGAGCCAAGTACCTGGCTAGCAAGCAGCGTGAAACAGATATGCATTCGCGTAAGAGTCTGCAGCAGGATCATGCCGAAGCCTAATCCTTGCAGGGAGTCAAGGATGCCTAGCCATAGCCAGAGAGAGCGCGATACTAGGGCGCCGGAGGTGTAGCTTCCTGCCCAGGGGAGGTACAGGCCCATTCCTGAGACACCCCACCAGATCTGGGCCCAGCGCGGGGCGCCGAGGCCGCAGGCAAAGACGGGGAGGATCCATGAATGGGATTTGGAGAGCCGGCCGAAGATGAAGAGGATGAGGACCCAGGCGACGCCGAAGAAGGCGACTACTAATAGGCCGATTTGCCATGCTTCGGCGTGGACGGAGCTCCAGAGGACTGTATCCAGCTGTTAATACAAACTAGGGCACTGAGGGTTTATGACTTACAGCTCCAGTTTCGGCCGTAAGGGGCACTGAGGAAGAAGTTCTGCAGGATGACCACGACAAAGTTCCAAAGGATGATCTTGCGGCGACAGACGGATTGGTAGAAGGATGGGACCTTTCCGGGTGTCTGGCGATAGTAGTTTGGCAGGCCGAGGAAGACGAGGAGGCCAAGGACCCAGAGGAAGACTGCTATCGGCAGACAGATGGCACTGGAAGGGGTTAGCAAGAACATGCTAAATGAGGATAGAAGATACGTACGTCATTCTCCATGTCTCCGTGATATGAGCTTGGACATTAGGGACACCCCTGGTGACTGCTTGCGAGATGGACGTTCCCCAGTACCAGAGACCGATGATGTATGCTTGCTGGGTACCCTGGATAATGCATGCACGCCACACCCAGTCCTTAACGGGGGCGCCGCTTTCGTCTCCGAAATTGAGGGCAAAGAACAATGAGCCACTGGCCGATGCAGCGGCGTAAACACCAGCACCAACGTTCTGAATCCAAGCGCGCGCGAACCCATCGCTCTCGTAATGGGCAACGCCAATCAGGACAAAGGCAAAGCCATAGAAGAGCCAAGGCAGGGACAGCACGACGACCGATCTGCAGAAGCGGAAGAGGAACCACCAGACAATTGAGCTCACAAGGTAAACAGTCGCGATTCCATAAAGCTTCTCAGGCCGCTGTCCGATTTCTCCAGTCAACAGAGTGATTTGGTAGGAGTTCGCAGCAATGATCTGTCCCAGACCAAGAATGAACGAGTAAATGGGCCAGTCGAAAACCCGGACTTGCATCCACTTCCTGAGTCCATAGGGAGGAACGTAGTCGTTCCCAAGACCATACTCGTCCGGTCTCCTAGGAAGCGAGCTTCCACTTTCCCGTGAATCGACTTCGTCGTTTGAGATGACTGCCATGGGTGAAGAGCCCTCGAATTTGGTACGGATCGGAGAGTGGTTGCGGCCGAGTCGTGCATTACGGAATCTGTCAAACCACTTCTTCTCGCTTTTTTCCAGGTATTCTTCGATACAGAGCTGAGAAACAGAGTTGGAACCATTGAGCTTTTCGAGCTTCGCCTCGAACGCCTTGTAGAACTCGCCAGTGCTATCCGTGAACGTAGGGTCGACCTTCTGCAACTTGTAATCTTTCTTCTCGCCGATGATGGAGTCAACTGAGAGGACAGAGGCGCTGCTGAGACGGTTCCCTGGCTCTGTAAAGCGCGGTGTAGGCGGCACGAGGGTCTCGTCACCGTCAAACGTTGTTGAACTGGCCGGAGACAGAACGGTCTGAGATAGGATCGAGCTCTGGCTCGAGTGCCTGCGAGAGAAGAAGCCCCTGAGTGAGCCATGGGTCTGCTCTTCCTGGGGAGCCGCCTCCGCTCGTCGAACCTCCTCGGCTTGCTCAGGCGTAAGCGTGTACTCCTCTTCTCCATAGAAACTTGGGATGATATCGTCATCACTGCTTTCCTCCGTCATGGTGGCAACTCCCTCCATCCCAGCCTGGCTATTTCTTCTCAACCTGCGGCGTCCACGACGCATGATATGGCCGGGTCCAGCTCTCACACCAAGAGACAGGCCGGATCTGGGCTGGTCATCGCCGCCTGGGCTTGGGTCCCTACTGTAGACGATCGTGTTACGCTGTTGGGGTCCATAGGCACTCAGACGGTTGACGTTGGAGTAGCTTCCTGTTCGTGAATGGACGAGAGGGGGTGTCTGGATTCCAGTTGGGGTGACGGTGCCAGTCGACGCAATCGGGGGTGTCATCATGCCGAGGGGGGTGTTGCTTCCAGAGTTGTAGGGCTGAACGTTTGACTTGGCCAAGCCCTTGCTGTGAATTCGCATCGCCGTTGACTGGAGAATTTCGAGGTCTTCAACCCATTGGGCCACGGGGAATCGTTGCTTCGCTGACCTTGCACGCATCTTCGCCCGAACCGACGGTTTCGAGTTCAATGCACTTCCGATAGCCAGTTTGAATTGATGGAGTAGGTGAGCAGTGGTTGTGGATTCAACATTATACCACCAGCCTGGCATCTGACCAAGGCCACCAACACGCGCACCAATACCGAGAGCTCCCTTGCGGCCGAATTCAACGGCAACCAATCCAAACGGTTCGTCACGGGATGGAATCAAAGCGAACTCTGCTCCAGAAAATATATATGGAGGAAGTGCCGTGAACTCGGGCTTCGAGAACACGCGTCCGGGATAAAGTCTCATCATCCGGTCAAGCTTCAAGGCGGCGAACTTTCCGTAGAGGTCAATGACTGGGCCAATGCAGATTAATTGAACGTTTGGCCGGGACTCCAGAACAGCAGGCATTACATCGGCTATCAAATCGACTCCTTTCTGCATTGACCATCGCCCAACAAAGACCATAAGGTCAGCGTTGGGGTTCTGCTCCAAACCGGCCCATTCTTGGGCTTGCCGTTTCAGTTCAGCTCTGCTTGCCTCGTAGTTCGCGTCGACCTGGACTTCGTTATCCTTGGGCAGCTCCTTGTTCCATTCGGCTGTGTCGGAGGGATCAGGATTTGGAAGATTTCCAACTTTCTTGAGGCCCCAAAAGATCGGATAACGGGCATAAGAGCGTTTACCATACTTTCTGGAGACTCCAACTGCACCAAAACCTTGTTGATGGACGCGAAGATAGCTTGCACCGGCATGAAGCATGTTGAAGACTTCTCCGAACTGGACATAACGCCTAGCAATATCGACATCAAGATTGAACACAGAGCATACCTCATCCCTTTCTTTTTGCGTCCGCATGGGCCACAGGCCTTGGAATTCCGCATTGTGGAGTGATAGACACACTGGAATTGTTTGAGGAAGAAGATAGAGCGGAGCAATGGAACCGTGATAATCGTTTATGTGATATAGGTCGATCGGAAAACGCTTGATGGTTTCGGCAATGCATTGATTCCAGGCGGAATAATAAATTGCGCTGTCAAGGTCGTCCATCCGAGCTGGGTAGGGTTCAGCCTTGGACTGTTGACGGAAGACCGGAGCATCGAGGAGAACGTAGGTAATATTGTTCAAGACATGGTATTGGACCTTGACTTCGTAGATATTCCCAAGGACTTTAACAAACATTGGCTCGCCCGGCTGATCCTCTGGGTAGTCCACGCCTCCGACGCAGGGGACAACCCAAATCAAATCTTGATGACCAAGGTTCTTTCCCATGAGTTGTGCCATGACTCCGAGACCGCCAATTTTGATCTTAATGCCCCAGTCTTCAATGTCATACTCCATCGTGGCGATGAGAACACTGCGCCGATGTGAAGATCCTGCTCCGAATGCAGGCGTGCTTTGAAGGAATCCCGACTTGTTGGCAAGGCGCATTAGAGGATTCCGTGAAGACTTCCCGGCAGGGAAGAAACCAAACAAAGACTTCTTTTGGCTGATTCCGATTTGATTGAATTTGACCTGGTAAAATGACTTCATGAAAGCATATACGCATGCGATAGCTGTCACTAGCGGCACGAACCAAAGCAAGAAATAAACAGCCATCTGGATGGTACGTGATCCTGCCGGTTGGAAGTTGATGCTCATGGTACCGTCATCCACCCAGAGGTCCCATGACAGGTGAGATGACGGGGGCTTTCGGGTGACGTTAATTGATAGGTCGCTCAGAGAGGACGGAGGCATGCGATCCAGGACGCCGTCAGAATCAAGGTCACCATACACAAAGCTTTGGTCGGGCTCTCCATCTGGGTTCATACCCCAAACGTTGAATTGCCCCTGGGCTGGGAACTCCACTCGAAGTCGATACTTCCAATACCCGTCGCTGTCCTGCTTCACCTCGTTGTCCAAACCGGCATCGTATCCGTACTGGTTGTAAGGTCCATTGAAAAAAAGATGAGGGAAGCGCCTTTGGCGGCTTATACCGTAGTCCCCTTCTTGGGCATAGCTGCTGCTACCGGTCAACTTGCTCCAGTACTCGACGCGGACGTGCTTTCCATTCCACTTTTGTTTATCAGTTCCGGACCAAGGAAGCTCTTCAATCATATCGTCGCCACCTTTGTACTCGCGCCAGTCAGAGAAGGTGCTACCCCAGTTGGTGGAATACCGGTACTTGTCAGCGCCAGCGGCTTTGTGTCGAACAAAAAGTGTCCCATTGTCGTGCTGGTGGAGGAGATCGACGGAGTAGTTGGCTGCAGTGGAGATCATTGGGTTGTCTATCTGGCCAACGCGGAGGAGGAAGTGGTCAACAGCCTCTGTCGAGTCACCGTCTTCGCTGGTGGCGTTGGTGATGGTCAGGCGATGGATTCCGTTGTAAACACCGGTCAGCTTTGACGTCCAGACCCAGGTGCTGGGAAGCTGGGCAGTCCACTGCGTCTTGCTTGCGTCGACCTTCTTGCAATCCACGCTGTTTTTGTCAATAGAAGCTGTCTTACCAGCCTCTGTCGTGGACCGCAGTTTGATGGCCTTTGTGACAGAGTCACAGTCCATCTCCGTGTTGAAGTAAATGCTCACATCGATGTCTTCGGCCTCGCTGGCTCCGACCTTGGAAATAACTGGTTGATCATGTCCAGGGGTGATTCTGGTAATCATGGGTCCAGGTTTAACAAACTGTGCCTTCGGGACGAAAGCCTTGAATTCGAATGGCTTCAATTTGATGCTATCAAGACATCCATTGAACTCGTTTGAACCATTGAGCCGGAGCTTCTTGGGGCCGTCCTCCAACTCATATTCATCGTGCGGGTAGAACAGATTGACAACGGTCGTTTTCGTGTCAAAGGGCGATATCAGAGCCGTGTCATTGTCCTTGCAATTGAATTTGTAATCCACCGTTTTGTTATCATTCTGGTATACAAGCCAGACCGGCTGCTCGTTGTCAAGCTTCTGAATCCTGTATACCGAGTCTCTCAGTATAGACCACATTCCGGTTTCCGTAGCTGTGCCGTTTGAGCCGGGATAGAAGACTTGACGTGTTTGATTGGATAGCTTCTGGACAGAATATCCGTCATTCAAGACTTGATAGTCTTGTCGCAGCTGATACATGTGTTTGACAATATTCCGCAGAGGATGGGATGGATCGCGATGGTCGTAGGTCACGGTGTCGTCATGACAGCCTTCACGCCCTTTGGTGATGGGCCAGTTGTTATATTGGTCCGCTGTCAATTGGAAGCAGCCATGGGTCTTCCATGCTGTAGCTGGAGACATTGCCTGACGGCCGTAGACATAGTTATCTGCGGTGGCGTCCAATATATAAAAACCTTGCTCTTCGCCCCATAACAATATTGGAATACCAGGGAGGTGCAGGGTAGTAATAAACATTGCTAGAAGTTGGCGTTCAATACCCTGGTCAATGGCTGGCCAACGGAAAACATCCTGATTTGTAGCTCCATACATGTGTCGAGGATCAAATTCACCGGTATTTGCGTTGATCATATCGTTGGTCATCACCATCAAGTTCCAGGCGTCGGTCCAGTCAACAGGCGTATCGTAACCCGCCGCGAGATTTCCGTCGAGGCCGAGAAATCGGGTAAGAGATCGGTAAACCGAGTAGTGGAAGGCAGCACTATCGAGTGCTTGTAGGCCGTCCTCACGAAGAAAATACTGATGTCTAGACTCGTTGTTCATAGCCATTGAATCCATCGCGGAGTCAGGATATTGGTTGGGCTGTCGACCACGCCCTAGATAGATCGAACCGAAGTTGTTTCCACCAGTAATCTCACCGGGGAGGAAGAAGTTCGTCTTGCCAACCTCGCGAGCACACTCACGATAAGCACTCGACATGTCTCCAAGGGCGTCCACGGTGGATTGAGTGGCTTTGTCATAGCGGAAACCATCGATATCCAGTGCTTTGATGATCATACAGGAGTGCCTAATCAACCTTTCTCGGACACTAGGGTTCCATTCACGGAGGCGGTCTTGAACTGATGCGAATTTGGCCAGCTGGCGCTGCCAGTCTGGATATACACCGAAGGCCTCTCTGTCACCATATTGATCGAAATCGCTATCGTAGCAACCCTGCAACTGGTCACGAACATCCTTGTCAACTGGCCAGCCAGTTTCATTCCAGAATCGGGGATATTCGCAAGTTTCGTTGTACGTGTTGCCAATATCGAAATCAACATAATGGCGCTCAGATTTCCAGAGAGCTTTGTGCTCATGGACGGAAAACGGGGTGGTCTCATTCAAGTAGCCTTTGAAACCGATCAGATCTCCCATTCTTGAAGATTGTTAGCATTCGCTGACTCTAATTCGGCTAATCCGGAAAACTTACGTTGCGATAGTGTTGTCAAATAAGACGTACATTCCACGCTTGTGAATCTCGTTAATCGCGTTTCTCCATGTCTGAATGGTGCCGAAGTGCTGATCCAGCAGCGTGGTATCCAAGATCGAGTAACCATCTGCTCCCCAAGGTTGGTTCATGAGGATTGTACCTGCGAGGTAGATTCCCTAAACGAAAAAACGGTTAGCATGGGAATCGGGCGAGAACTTGGAAAGAAGAGAAAGGTCAAACCTTGATCCCCATTCCCTGAAGGTAGTCGAGGGTATCCACCAAGCCTTGTGCGTCACCACCATGTCGCATTTGGTTTGAGTGTAGATCATGTTCAAAGACAGTTCCGTTTATGTTATCATTCGTAGGATCGCCGTTGACGAATCGGTCCAAGAACAGGGTATAAAACGGAAACCTCCAGTTCTCTGGCGAAGGCGTATACTTGTGGTTTCGCCATTCTGGGGCGGAATAGTCTGCTGGGCTGGCAGCATTTTTGTTCACGTTGAGGTTGTAGTCAACTAAGGACTCTTCGTAAGGCCAGCCTGCCGCGGTTGCCGCAAGCAGCGCAAGTAATGAGCTAGAAGCCTCCCACTTCATGGTCGATGGTCTAGAGAATGTTCTCAGATAGCCGACATGTGTTCCAGGTCCCAACAAGTGTGCACGAGGTCAAAGACGAACAAGAGTCCAGCTCAAGAAGTTCTCTGAGCCAATTCAACCAATCGCCCTCACTCAAAGTTCTCTCTTTCGCAATTCCTAGGATATGGCGAAGGGATGGGCACTGGTCAAGAAAGAGCAAGGTAGAAAGCTTCGAAGCAAAGTTGTGGCAGCGGCAACGGGGGAATAAGAAGAGACTGGAGGGAAGAGAACGGAAGAAGAAAGCCATATGCCCGAGAATATGTCCGAAGAGCTGCAGGAAGAAACGCAATCTATAGGCCGGGAGAAAGCATTATTAGTTGCGGTATACCGGTATACTGACAGGAAGGAGGGTCAGCGAGGATCCATGGCGTCTCGAAGGAGGAAAAGAAACGGAGATCTTTTCTAACCTATCAGTACTACCGTAGAGTACAAGCCCAATTGATGGCTTACAAGACAGATAAGGTAGGCCAGATGGAGACTCTGCTGGGCCCAGCTGTGGGAACACAGGTCCCTTTGCTGGCGGGCCACCGATCCCTCCATGCTGACTCGGCTGCCAGTGGCGAGCTGAAGAAAAGAGACGTGAGAGCTCCATTTGGACATGGTATCAAGAAAAATTCAGCGGAGGAAGGGGAAGCTGTCGAAGGGACACGAAGCGATGAGATGCATGCAAGTCAGTTGGCGCGGCAGACAAGCGGGAAATCATGTACTGTGACCAGTGGGTCTGGTAATACCAATACATATAGAGCTGCGATGAAATTAAAGATATCAAGCACGCTCTACGCTATCTCCATATAGCATTGGGGCTTGAGAGCCGTCCTCGATAAACCCATGAAGCTTGCTCAAGAAGCCGTAGCATGTATTAGCTTGCGTAGATATGGTGGTATGTTACACGCTGCCATTCCTCCCTTCAATTACTTTCTAAAGCACAAGAGTACGTACCAAGGAATATACGGGCTAGGCCTAGATATCGTAGTTGAGGCTGAAATATCCTAAATGACTAACCTTTTGCTTATCTTCGTCGTCTTAATATAGTTATGTCTAAATATCTACTTATCAAAGCCCATGTCTTGCAGTATTTCAGGGCCAAACAATCATCAGGGTCAGGAACCCCTGTCAGCGTGCAATGCGCTTATACTGACTCTTTTAGCTTGATCATAAGCCGGTATCTGACAGCAGCCATGACAAGTTGACAACCGTCGCATGCTGATGGCAAATATAGGTCGGTCACCGAAGTATCGCCGGGTACCGCCAAGTACATTTTGTTACGCGGGATACATCACGGTACAGCATGCCAAGCCAAGGTGAACCCTAAAGCTGCCCCCTTGCTGCAAGGTCGATAGGGATATCAGGATATGAGAAGTACAACCCTATTTGCTCGACTCGATGTCTCATATCTGATTCATGCTGGCTTCGGGCCTGACGACCTCGAGCGATTCAATGACGCTCCAACCTCCCAGCTTCTGATGCCCAAAGCTCTTTTACACTTACTACGGATGCACATGCATGAAGACTCAGCGAGCTTTGGAGAGGCTTATCACTTAGCAATCTGTATCACTAACTTGTGGTGTTTCCTCCTGCCATCTGTTCAAGGTGAAACAGGGGGTACGGTCTTCAATATCAATCTCACCTAATTTTGCTTTCTAAACACTTGGCTTGGCAAGCTCTTGACCTTACTCTCACCGCACCGAGTTTCTTATCTACAAATATTCTCATAGAAGCGCGGTTATGCAATGCGAAAGCCACGACAGTCAATCTTTCCATAGTTGGCATGACTCGTCAGAGTGTTGATGCCAAGACATAGATCCAGACTAGCGACAGCTTAATTGGGCTTTCTGATTTTTGATTGGATGACCTGGAACTAGCGTGTCCCACCACAAACCGGTTCGTTGTGGGTCACGGGACTCGGGTGGGCTCCGAGAGACCACAACACTCCGTCCCCTCGCCCTTGATGTCCCTTCGGATGATCGCTGTCAAAGTCCAAGACCGAGCAATAGGATCGGGCTTACTGCTAACTGGGATTATGATTTACTTCTTTACTAGCCACGTCTTATCTTGTGGTGCCACCAGAATTCCTCGAAAAACCAGAAAATTTGACCATCGGCCCATCAACACTCGGCACTTTTCGCTTTCGAAGACTTGATGCACGCATTTTCATCATGAATGCTCAGGATGCTGCCCTTAGTCTCTCTTAGATCTGGGCAAGGCAAGCTAAAGTCTCAACACTGCAGAATGCCCGAGTCCTTTTCAAGGTCTACTTGCTTGGTCATCTCGCAGCTGGATATGGCCACTGATGCCTGGAAATAGTATCCAAGCACACCTAGAACGTTCACGAATACATGAACGGCGTCTGAAAAAAGGAACGCTCGGGCATGAGTCCCAGCGAGCGGAACTGCTTACGCCAGGCGCAGATATCTATGTGCACGTCACCCGAAGTTGACTTCAAAGAGCTCGATCAACCGTATCGTTGACAACTTGTCTTCGGTAGGTAAACACAGTACTTTGCTATATTCCATAAAATCTTCATGCGGTGTGTAAGCAAGCATGGTGACCCTCTTGGTGCTTTGATCAGAACAAAAAAACAAACTACACTGATCTGGCGCGGCAGACGCCGTCAGACCCGCTACATCACGGTGCCGAAGCAGACATTAACGCGGTTGCTACTGCAGATCCTGCAAAGGAAGTTTATCCCGAGCTGAAGACCCTGGGTCGCGCTCATCCCCACCTTTCAGCCTTTTGAGAACAACTAGATTATTCAGTGTGCAGTGGCGGCAGCTCTGTTCTATGTGCATGGCAACATTAGCTGCATCTACGTATCAGACGCATAGATACTGTGGTATCTGCACATCTGACCTGTTATACGTCAACGCACCGCCGATACGTATCACATTAAGCAATCCGCTGCGAGATCTTGGCTCCGAAATCGTGTTGGGAGTCTGCGAACCGTCGCAACTGCGGCGGCAATCTTCGAGCACGGACATCGAGGGCTACATATGAATAAGAGCGTACTCAACTGTATGCCGTGTCTAAGTACAAAGCTCTAGCTTGACAGGCTGCTCGTGGCTATATACGCTCGTCGACATACCTTGCTGCCATTTCCTCGTCGATGCCGCGTTCCTTCAGCCTTAATTCCACAAAAGAGCTACCGGTGACACATTCCGCCTCTGGAATATCATTTTATCATGGAAATCTACTCACCGGTCTTCCAAGCGTCCTAAATTAGGTGTTCGTCAAAAAGCCACACTGATCCGCTGCACCATGCAAACAGATATATCCAAAACAGGCCAACTAGCATAGGCCGGCAGTCGCGCTTCGAGAATTTGTTCTTATACCGCATCGGTGGCCGCAGAAGACCAAACGCAAGCGGCAGGATATTCTGGCCACAAATGTCACTTCGATATCAGCTTTCGACCAGGCAGCCTACGCCTTGAAGGATATCAGAGCTCGGAAAGTACTCCATGATTGGCGATAAAATGTCCAAAGAACCGGTCAGTGGCCACTACGAATGCGTTGACGGAAGCTCGAGGCTGCCATGCCAGCTCTGAAACGCACTATTAGAGCGGTCACCGCCCTTCCTCTGAATTCCGCGACGGGATCTCACCAATAGCCGAGCCTTTTTATCTGTGTGGTCTGATCTGGTATGCCAAACATTGATTTTGAGCCTTTGAAAGGAGCAGAGCATACCGGCCGCAGATCGACGACGTACGTATCTCCAAACATGATTTCGTGCCTCGGCCGTAGAAACAGGGTGAGAGTCTCGAGCTCTGGACGCATGCTGGTAAGGTTGCTGTGAAGTCCAGGGGTTATATCCGGCATTTAGGAACTTGCGAGTCAGCCGAGGATATCAACCTCCTGGACCACGACAAGTACGTACTTCTGTAGGATTTGGGGCTCTATTCAGGCCCCGAAGGCGTCTCGAGTTTATATTCTCTTAATCCCGTAGTCAATCATAAATTGAACGTTTTTCAATATAAATTTCCTCTAAAGCCTCTCCCCAAAAAAGCCCGAGCATGTAGACGCGGACAAATATATATCTTCGCGAGGGTCAGTCAGGCCGCGCCCCTCTAGGAAGACCCTATAAATAACCTCAGCCATTTGGCACAGTTGATATAATAAAGCGTGTACAACTAAATCTATAATCTCCCAGGATGGGAGCGGTAATCTACGAGGTTTCGCCGTCTTCGGTCGGGAAGCGGCCGTAGACAGCAGCTTAAGACTACGAAGCGGATCATCAAGGTAGCAATCATTCATTTGTATTCATAACTCAATCATCCATCTAACCCCCTTCAAAAAATCCATGAGACTACCCTACTCAGCGCCATAACGCGCCCGGTAATCCTTCAACCGCTCAACCTCCTTTTCCCCAATCTCACCACCCAGCTTCTCAATCAAGTCATGCAGCCCAATAACCGCGCGCACAGGAACCTTCTCCCCAAGATCCCGCTGGGCACAACCAACCGCACTCTTTGCCTCACTCTCGCTAACGCGCTCCTCGCGATCCAGCAGAACAACAACACCAGAAACGATACCGCCCTCCTTCTCAATGATCGACACGGCCTCGCGCAGCGCAGTCCCCGCCGTAATCACATCGTCCACAATAACAACCCGCTTGCCCTTCAGCGGCGCACCCACGATGTTCCCGCCCTCGCCGTGGTCCTTGGCTTCCTTGCGGTTGAACGAGTAGCTGACGTTGTCCCAGGTGCCTTGGGGCTTGGCAGCGAGGGAGTCGCGGACCGCGAGCTCGTTGACGACGGCCGCGCAGATCGGGATGCCCTTGTATGCGGGGCCGAAAATGATGTCGAAGTTTGGGGTGGTTGTGCCGTTTTCCGTGCTGACGAAGGGAGGGGAGGAGAGGACGCTGGCGTAGGCGGCGGAGGTGGCGCGGAGGAGGGGCGCAGTGTGCAGGAGGGACGAGGTGAAGAAGTAGGGCGATTCACGGCCGGATTTGAGGGTGTAGCTGCCAAAGGAGAGGACTTTGTTGGAGATGAGGAGGGGCAGCAGGGCTGCTTTTTGCTCAGGGGCGGCAGACATTTTATATTATTTTTTTTAGGGATAGTCGTAGAGATTGGTTTATGCGCCCGAGAGATTGAGGAATACAGAAAAATCAATTTTATTCAATTGCTAGCAAGATAGAGAAGAGGATGAGAATTCCCCATGTATTTTTTTTTCTGGCCGATCCATCTGGAGGGGCGGAGTGGGCTTTCCCACTCGACGAGGGGCGGAGTCCTCCGAGCTTTTTGTCTCAAGTCCCCATCCTCCGCCCTTTTCTTCTTCTCTTTTCTGTCTCTCCGCACTGTGCTTCTGGGGAAGAATCATTCTTGTTTCATTTCAATTGCTGTTTTTGTTTTCTCATTGCTTGCAGCACCGGACTTGTATCGGAGTAAAACACGTGCCGTTGTCCTCCGAACTCCGGTCCTGAGGGGTCCCCATCGCACCGCCTCGTCTTCCTCTGCATACCTTGTCCCACATCTCACGTCTCAGAGCAGGCTCTCTCTGTTGACCTGACTGCGCCCCTCTGTCATTGTGTGCCTTTCGTCTTGAATTGTCTTTCTTTGTTCTTTGTTTCCTGATTTAGTCGCTTCGGGATTGCATGCCCTCGCCCAAAACAGACTTCATTCTCCGAAAAACTCACCGGTGAGCTGATCTGTCAGCAGAACGAGGAGAGTCAATCTTGAATATCCTGGAGTACACATACTGTAATTCAGACAGTTTGTCAACTGTGAGTGAAACAGCCTGATCTTCTCAATTCGCTTTCTTCCGTTCGCTGCTGGCCGAGAACAAGTGCTAATGTCGTTGACTAGAATAAGCAGCTCCCAAGATGCATATCAAAGATAAGCTCGCCCAAAATGAGGCCGCCGGCAAAATCGGCATCTCGTTCGAGTTCTTCCCACCGAAGACCGCGCAGGGTGTTCAGAACTTATACGACAGAATGGACCGCATGCACGCATTGGGCCCATCTTTCATCGATGTCACATGGGGTGCTGGTGGACGACTCTCGGATTTGACCTGTGAGATGGTCAATGTTGCTCAATCGGTCTACGGTCTGGAAACATGCATGCATCTCACCTGCACGGATATGCCCCAGGAGAGGGTGGACGCTGCGCTTCAAGCAGCGTACAATGCCGGTTGCACGAATATCCTTGCTCTGCGCGGCGACCCTCCTCGTGAAAAGGAAGTGTGGGAGGCTGCTGATGGTGGATTCCGTTATGCAAAAGATTTGGTCAAGTACATCCGGGACAAGTACGGCAACCATTTCTGCATTGGAGTTGGAGGATACCCTGAGGGCGCCGATGACAACTCAGATGTAGATCAGTTGATCGACCATCTCAAGGAGAAGGTTGACGCTGGTAGCACGTTTATTGTCACCCAGATGTTTTACGATACGGACAACTTCATCAAGTGGGTTGAGAAATGTCGTGCCAAGGGAATCACCGTGCCCATCATTCCCGGAATCATGCCCATCCAGACATATGCTGCTTTTATCAGACGTGCGAACTGGACTAAGACACTCATCCCTCCTGACTGGCTGGAGGCTCTGGAGCCCGTAAAGAACGATGATGCCGCTGTGAAGCAAGTCGGCAAACGCTTGATTGCGGACATGTGTAGGAGATCAATTGCCGCTGGTATCAAACACCTGCACTTGTAAGTTACTCCGGTCTCCTATCAGTGACCTATGAAACTGACAGATGATAGCTACACTATGAACCTGGCCCAATCGACACAGCTTGTTCTCGAAGAGCTAGAACTCAGCCCAACAGCCGAGGCTCCGATCCCAAGGCCTTTGCCTTGGAGGCCTTCCCTGGGTCTCAACCGGCGAGAAGAAGATGTTCGTCCTATCTTCTGGCGGAACCGACAATCATCTTACATTGCGCGAACTGCGATCTGGGACGAATTCCCCAACGGCCGCTGGACGGACTCCAGATCGCCCGCCTTTGGTGAGTTGGAACTTTACGGTGTAGGTATTAAGGGCACAAACGAACAGAACATTAAACTCTGGGGCGAGCCCAAGTCTCTGAGCGATCTCGCCCACGTCTTCGTTCGTTTCCTGGAAGGCAGTCTCGACCGACTCCCTTGGAGCGACTCTCCCATCACCCCTGAGACAAATGCCATTAAGGACCCACTGGTCGAGCTCAACAAGCGAGGTTTCTTCACGATCAACTCTCAACCCGCCGTTAACGGTGTAAAGTCCTCTCACCCTGTATATGGATGGGGCCCGAAGAACGGTTTCGTCTACCAGAAGGCTTACCTCGAGCTCCTCATTCCTCCCTACGTGATTGATGAGCTCATTGCACGAATTGATACGAATGAAGATCTCACCTACCACGCCGTGACCAAGCATGGCGAACTGCGGACAAACACCCGCGATAGTCCTAACGCCTTGACATGGGGTATCTTCGCTGGACGCGAGGTTGTGCAGCCAACCATTGTGGAAACAGTCAGTTTCTTGGCCTGGAAGGATGAAGCATACCAGCTCGGTGAAGACTGGGCCAAGTGTCACGATGCTGCAAGCCCAAGCCGAAAGTTGCTCCAAGGCATCATGGACAGCTGGTACCTCGTAAACATCGGTAAGTGGTTGAATTTAATGCTGAGATACTGTGCTAATCACACCGCAAGTTAACAACGACTTCCACAACACATACGATCTCTTCGAGCTGTTCAAGGACCTAAATGTCAAGGACCTCGACGTCGAGATACCAGGTGAGACCACCGAGCAGAAGGCCCACCAGAACGGAACGACCAACGGCTCAAACGGCACAACCAACGGCATAACCTCCAACGGGACTGCCGCCGAGGCCGTAAAGAACTAGGCACCTCAACAGCTGTCTCTTCTCGCATTGCTTAACACAATGCCGCTCTCACATCTTTATGCACACGATCAACCATATAATTCAACACCTAATATTCAACACTTACTAACCTCTCAACGATGATACCTGCTCTGCTGCCATGGCAAGTCCCAGACAAGCAAGCAACACCAATGAAACGTTTTACGGCGACACGAATGAAGACCTCTCAACGATTTCTTCCTCTCAGCGTTATTTTAATTCAACATGACCTTTTCAATTCTCAACAATATACCCTCGCATTACGACTTTTCTTTCCTTTCGGCACGGAAAATTCTTCAACACACATCCTTATTCAACATGATTACCTATGATTTCTCCCTTTCTCCTCCCTGGGAAGGATTACGGGGGCAATCTAAAAAGCAGCAAGCATAAAGGGAGCCAGGGGAGCGGTCTCTTAATATTCAACACTATACACAACGGGATGGCGGATCGGAGTTTTTACGAACATGAGTTTTGAGCGGCTATAGCCAGCCACCAAAAGTGAGCGTATCCTCTTCAACATGGGATACGGATTGGCTGGAGTCTTTTGTTTCTCTTTGTTTTCTTCTCGCTTATTTTTGCATGGGTTTTGGATATTCATATGCATTTTTCGTCTTGTTCTCTGTTTTTGTTTCTTCTCTGTCTGTCTCTCGGTGGATGGGCTGTACGGTACATAGTACTCAGTGAGTTGAGTCGATAGAGCCAGATCTAAACTTTTGCGTTGGCTTGGTGCCAACAGAGGAAGACAAAAATCAATAGAAAGCCCAAGCTCCATCGTCTAAGATAAGATGGATATCCCTACAGACTTTCCCTGGAGCTTCAAGTCTACGCATCAAAATTTATCAATAATATCTAGGCAAAGACTCTTCGGATTGCTTAGGTGCGCCAAATAATGCACATGATATCGACCGTTGCATAAGAATGGTAGGCCAATGGATACCCCGGCCAATATTAGGTCTAGACATAAAAATACAAGATGGAAAGACGTGAGTTTCCCGGCCAGACCCAAGATTCAGAAAACGATCTTCCTTGAACAGGATAACATAAGGATGGTTATAGAAATAGAACCCGCGATATTGTACGAAAAGTCAACGCAAACGGCCTCGCAAACCACACTAGCCAAGTGCCGATGAGGATCATGAACCCCACAGCTCGTGCAATCACCATAACGATAAACCCAAGCACAACCAGGTATACTATGGCTTGACCAAGGTCAGTGAACAACCATGCAAGGTCTTTGTCGTTAGTCTTGGGCCAAACTCCGGTGGAATTGTATGCGGAAATGACGGCTAAGCCCTTTCTAAGGACGTGTAAACAATGCTCAAGCATTCCGAGTATACCGTTCACGAACAGCTTGAGTAGAACGACCTTCGAGCCACGATTCTCTTTGATCTCACAGCAGAAATGTTGCACCTGAGCGACAAAGAGGAAGACAATGTCAATGAGCATGTGCAGAGTCTCTGAACTCACTACTCCCTTGGAATTGGGTTGTGCTTTGTTGTTCGTTTGGCCCTGGATGGAAGACGGGGCTTTGGCGCTGGTATTAATCCCCTGGTGATCATCCACTTGGTGTCCATCTAACTCAGCCACATCGGTAATCTTCGCGTGCATCATAGTGCTGCGAGGTTGCGGTGGGCTCTTGGTCGGAGACGAGGTTGTTTGATTGACAGGTTGTGAACTCGTCCCCTCTGAATTATACGGTGTCGATTTCCTGGGTGGTGCATAAGCAGCCTTGGTTGGTGAGCTTGAGACGGAGGATTCGGATGCTTTATCTTCGGGAGGATCGATGCGAGACTCTGTGGATGACCTCGGGATGCCTGGAGTACGGATGAACCCACGCATGCCCCGCGGTTTGTCTGCTGCGGCAGGTCCTCCTGCGGGAATGACCCTGATGTCTACTAGTTGTCTTGCGGCGGGGATGTTGGTGGCTCTTGCTGGGTCTAAATGCACCGCAGATGGCGCGTTTGATTTTACCCATGAATGTTGAGTCGCCCGGCGTAGACCTAAAGGCGAGACACCTGCTTTCGGGTTTGCCGGCAATCTTGTCCGGGCGTCGGTGATGAGCTCGCCGGCGCTGCGAGCAACGGGTTCCCTGATGTCCGTAGGTTTGGGTAAGTGGCCTTTTAGATCCGTCATAGTCACCATAGTACGTGTTATAGTGGGTGTGATAATGAACACATCGTCCGCCCTGGGAACAGGCTTCTGGTTCTCTGATGACCTGGCCCGCCTCTCGGTAGGATCGTGCTCGCCTTTCCCTTCGGGGCTCGTAGACTTCTTTGTCATCAGTTGCTGGCACTGCCCCTCCCGGCATAGCGAGCGGGGGGATAGCTTCGAGCATTGGGCATGCTTCAAATTCCGAGAAATTGGTTCCCATTCGTCTTGAACGATTCTGGTCTCCCCGTTTCGTATCTTCCCTCGGTGCACCACGCCCGGCTTTGAGTCTTTCGATACCCGGGGCATACGAGAGGGCGGAATATTCACGACCTTGGGGCGCTCTGGCATCGAGAAGTAGAGAATCTCGTCGGGATTTCGCCTGTGCGGCCCATTGATTTCCTTGCATCCTAAAAAAGAGCCGTCTGGATTTGCAGGTGGCGGCTTCTGCTTGGGGCTGGAGGACGATTCTTCCCAGATTGTGCTAAACCTTTTGCCAATTTCATCCGGGCAGTAGTAGCGGGGGTGATTGGAGTGATAAGCCAAGCCACTATCAGCGTCATGATCAGAAGAAGATGTCCTTGAATCCTGGCCGTCGAGCATCGCTGGCCGCTTTCCATGGTGTTCAGGGAACCTTAGGATATGCTCCGGTGTCGTGGTACGCGGGCTAGGGAGGGTGTCGGGATCGACCATTGAGCCCCCTTCCTTTTGGACTTTCTCGATACTCCGTTGGTACTGAGCGATCTGGCCCACATTAAGGGTGGGAGGGTTGGGCTCCCTGGCCGACGGCATGTGGACGACGAACCTATCTTCCCAGTCCTTTATCGAAGAAGAGGGTCCAGAGGGGCCGGATATGGGAGAGACGGAAGAATTCGAGTTGTAAGACGACTCAGTGGTAGTACTGCCTGTCTTCGACTTCTGGCTAGATAGTCCACTCTCATTCGAGCTTGCTGAATGGTTACTGTTCATCCGTCCTTTTCCCTCCGAAAATCGATTTCGGTCGATTGAAGTGCTGTCCTTGGAGCCATCTCGTTGTTCAGGAGCCGTAGTACCTATCTCCGCTGCATGACTGTTCCCTGTCGTGCATAATTTGTCACCGGAAGAGCTGCCAGAGTACTTCCACTTCTGCTTCGATATTTCATGTCGCGAGGAATTTGCGAACGACATGATTTTTCGGTACGCCCCGTGGTGGTGTGTCTTCTCCTTCTCGTTATCACGCGGCGATAAGGACTCTCTATCCACCTTATCCCTTATTTTCTGCCAATATCGTTCGCGATCCTGATTGAGGGATTTGGGTGATACATATTCAGGTGAGCCGTCTCGTCCTTTGTCTTCACATGACGCAGCGGTGTCCTTTCGCTCCTTACTGTCTTTATCCGTGGAAACCTTGAGCACCGGGAGTTTGGTCGGAGTTGCCTTGGATGGAGGGGATGTGGCGGGCGTATCAGCTTCAGAGATGGTGCTATCTGAGCCGATTGCTAATTCAACTGCACTAATCCGGGTGCCGCCGGCGTCAGAATCGTGTCTCGCATCTTTGCTGCGACGTGGTCGGGGTTGAATGTTGAGCAGATGCCCATTCACTCGGTCAAAGGCCATGGCCATATCGAGACGTTGACGGCAAAAAGCGCTGGTAGTTTCGACTCTAGAGTCTGCGCCGATTGTTTAGCCAATTGTCTTTTCCATGACTGATTATCGTGTACAAAACGAGAACAGTGATGGAGACTTTGCGTTTAGCTTAGTGCTGAGGGAAGGTCCTTCAGAGCACGGAAGTCAATGGCTTGGGAAAATCGAAGATCATGTCCGAATCAGCACGGCTGGGCCAGCTCGTGTATAAGTGAGCCCGGAGGCGTTGGAATGTAGACCGGGTTGAGTCGCGACGGTCGAGAATGCATCACCAAACAAGCGTGGATTGGAATGCTCACACCAAGTCCCGACGCAGCTTGGAATGGAAGCTGCATCATTGGCAGATAAGTTACATAAAAGGAAGGTGCACCCTCCGATGTCGATCCGTGATTTCCAGAGGCGGGGGCTGAGAGCAGCTTTAACATTGAGATTTCCTAAATCTCGCGGGTCAATTCTGACTGTAGCCTTTTCGACAATGACGTTGATTTTAATCCGCCGTTGCAATGCCTCGGCCAAGGTTATCCCAGCCACATTCCATCTCTGACAGTAACAGCAGTGCAGCACTGTCTTGTGAAACAGCATGCATAAAAATAAGTCCGGATGGATTGCGCCTCCGCGCCTGCAAGGTTGTTCGATGATTCGTGTATTTATGTGCGATGGTATTATATATGCTGCAAGGATGTTCTTGTGGGGTGTTGCTATGTCAACTAGAAGTGTCCAGTCTCACGACGAAGACTACTTCTGCTGGTTCCCGGCGTGATCGGACTCGGGGCGGCGGATATGTTGCTCTTCTTGAGCGGGCTTGAGGGTCGGGCGTTTCTTTCCTTGTAGAAGAAGTCGCCACTGTTATGCAAACGACGATCAAAGTTTCCCGGTGTAGATTTTCGTAGAGGTGAATTGGCATGAGAGTATATCCCCAAACTGCCACCATCCCCTGTGCGAGACGGCGTTGGTCGGAATTGGGGTTGGCGAATAGAGCCCAATGGGGCTTTGACGACTGGCGAGGCATCCCGCAAATGATTGGGAGTTTGCACTGAGTGAGGGGGTCGTGACGGCGTGGAAATAAAGGAGCTGTTCCGAGAAGTGTTTCCCTCGGGATCAATATGCCTCACGTAGTTAGGGTTGGGGCTCGTCTTAAATCCTCTGTTGATCACAACGGCCGGGGTGTATGTGTCGACCTTATTGTATTTCTCCTCAAAGGTCGAATTGGGACCCGAGAACTGGGTTCCGACCTCTCTCATTAACGGCTGGGTTCGAGGATGCACGAATTTCGCATCGTACTCCCTCATCACTTCCTTATGAACGATTTGGGAGTCCTTCGCTTGTTGCTTAAAGAATGACGAGAGAAATGACATCTGCACGGACAGAAGAGTGGTCACCACAAGAGTCGTCACAATCGTAACACTTGGACGAGGGTCGGAGAGCTGTGTAGGCAGGAGGAGCCAATAAATGAGAACATGTCCGGGGCTAAAGAGACAGAAGAGGTCGAGGCAAATCGGTAGAGGATCCCAGACCGCAACCTCCCAGACGTCACGCTCGGCATTTGGATGAGCCCTCGACTCAGCGGATCCAGACAGTGCATTAGCAAGGTATCGAAGCGGCGACGCCGTTACAGGCGTAGAGTCAACGCGAACGCGATGGGCGGATGGCGTAGCAGGCGCTTTATCAATTGAGGTTTCAAACATGCGATAGTGTCGTTTGCGCTGGAACGTATAGAAGGTATTCATAACGGAGGCGCAGATCAAGAAGTGGACAATGAACGACGCCTGGTAGCTACCAGTTAGTTTCCACACATAACCCAGACACTAACGACAGCAGTGACTTACGAGCCAGCTGAGGTATGAAACTCCAACTTCCTCGCCAAACACATCATCGATCGCATCACTGGCTTTTGACCGGCTGTTGGCCCTCGCGATCATGAACACAAGGTTCAGGACAATGCCCAGTGTAGTCGCCCAATCCTTCGCAAACTGGTCCCAATCGTTCGCATCGATCTCTTCCGAAAGCCAAAGCAGGAAATCCAGCGGGTTCAAGTAAGACTTGATACGCTCCGTCAGAGGCTGACGGCGTACAAGTCGCGGCATGGTGATGTCAGATAACGGAGGCTCAAAGAACAGAAAATAAAACAATGATTCAATATGAGAGTCAAGCAGTCCAGAGCCAAGCTCCAAATAAGCAGAATATGGCCAAATATTGACCTCCCGAGCTTTGAAACCAACTTGAGGAAGTAAACAACGTGGGCAACACTAAAGGATAAAAGATGGGGGAGCTTCGGCTTAGATAAGCGGCGCTAGCGCCGATAGTGAGCGAGCAGTGGAACTAGCACCGTTCGGGATGACGATTGGCGGCCGACGGGGACATCGAGACAACTGACAGCTGCTCAAGACAGAGACTCAGACAGGGATCTGTTTGTGCACCTACATCCAGATCGAACCGCTGCCTGGGTACCAACCTCTCCGGTTTCCCCCATCCGCTCAACCACCATGGCGGCAGGTACCGTGGCCTATAAGGTACCGCCGATATCCCCCTCATTCCAGCTGCGCGGTCTATCTAACAGCGAAATTCCCATAACAGGACCGGCAGTTCCTTGCTGTCATCGGCGACGAAGAGTAACTCATCCCCATACGAAGAATCCCCAAAACAGGACCCAGCGCTGATATATCCCCGTCCAGCTCCGTAACTGGTCTCCTGCTCGCCGGAATCGGGGTGAGTATCCAATCTGAGGTCCGCAGAACACGGAAGTAAACTGACTGTCTTATGTAGCACGTCACAGGACCCCCAGACGCCCAACGGAACTTCCTCGTCGTCGACGCAAAGACCGAGAACTCCACGATCGAGAAAGCGTTCCAGAACTTCACTCAGGAACGAAACGATATCGCCGTTCTCCTGATCAACCAACATGTACGTTGCGACAGAGCCGGGATTGCTGTTTATATATGCACACAACTGGGGCTGGAATGCTAACTGCTGGAGCAGGTCGCAGAGCGCATCCGACACGTCGTTGATTCCTACTCCGAAGCCTTCCCTGCTGTTCTCGAGATCCCAAGCAAAGACCACCCATACGACCCTGAGAAGGATAGTGTTCTGAAGCGAGTGCGTCGGTTATTCGGTGAATAGATTAGTCGGTCTCATATCTTCGTTTCTGTTATATATTATTCAGCATTTACATCCCGGGAAAGACATAATTCCGAAATTTGAAGAGAGCGTAGGCCTCCATAGTGGTAATAGTGGGTGGTGGAAGACGTATTGAATATCGGACGCCATGGGTAGTTACATGAGACCAGGGCAGCATCGAATTTCTTGCGTCTCCAAGTGGTTTTGTGAGGCGAGGTCAATGCTACAGGCCTCGGTCGTCGCTGATGCAAGCTAATTTTTACTAACGTGACACTTTATGGGTAGGCATTAGAGTGTAGTATTATGAGCACTGAAACCAGCCGAGCTCTAAAGTCGCTTCAAGAGTCAAAGGGCCTCAGACAAGCTGAGGCAAATGACGGCAATATGCTGATTGCGTACTATGCATAATAAAAGTCATGTAGAGACAATCAAACAAATCCCGAACGCCGCGAAGATGTAGCACTTGTACATTACAGCAGGCACCGCGAGGAGATGGGCGTAAATCGACGTCTGTAGAATATAAGAGCAAAGAAGATAAAATGACTTGCAAGACGAACAGACAAAGCTAATGCCAGATGAGATGTGGTAGATCATGGAGCGAAGGTAGAGTAGCAGATCGTGTAGGCGTTACATAGGTAAGTAATCGTGAGCGTGATAGGGAAAGTGGACATCCGTGATTGCTTAAAACTGAATGTTCTTGGCATCCAAGCAGGTGATCCTGTTGTTGTCCTTGGTATAGACATCCGCATGAACAGTGTATCTGCCCTGTTGTTTCACACGTGCCAGGTTAGACAAAGGCTCTTCAGCATCGGGGAATATAATGATACATACCGAAGGAATCTGCTTCGGAAGATCAACCTGCTTGGTCAGGACCATCTCACCCTCTTCCAAGGGGCATTGCAAGTCGACGTTCACAAGCTGTTCACACAAGTCGGCAGTCTGTCTGAGGAGGGTGATCAAGCCGTATTTGACTTCCAAAACAACGTAGGCGCCCTTTTCAATCTTCTGGTGCAGATTGCCCTTAGCATTGATTACGAGAGTTGTACCACTAGATTGCAGGGCATTAGCATGAAGACGCGTAGAGATAAGAGCGACCGAGTCGACTTACGGCTTAGGAGGGTTGGGAGCCAAGTCCACGGATTCAATTTGTAGAATGTCGCCAGACGGCTCTGATTCTGAGCAATACTCCAGCGGGTTATCGCCCTGAACGGCTTTCCCATCTGCAATAACATCCTGGGAGTATCCGAAGAGCGAAGTGGGCGTGGCAGTGGCGGCCAACGGGGCCAGGCAAAGCAGCGCCGAAGCGGATGATAAGAACTTCATGGTCGCGGAGCAGAAAGAGAATCAAAACTAAGAGCGAGGACGGTAAGGTAAGCGGCAGTTTACTATGAACTGCAAAATATTGAGTTAAGCGTGCTTTCAGTAAAGGCACGCAGTCGTGAGGAGGTGAGGAGAAGGGTTGGAGAATGGACAATGGAGATGCAGATGGATGGGGATGGTGTCATGGGACACTGACCGTTGACGAATGGCTGGGCACACGTGATTGATTGTAGCACCGGCTTTAATTCAAGCCATCTCTTGGCGTCTGCACTGACTAGCCTCACTTTGATAGACTGCTAGCACACATTTTACCTATGGAGACAATGTCCAACATTTGCAACTGCTCGTCGAGTCGTTTTCCTCCTGGCGTTATCGAAGACGTTGGTTGACATTTACCCCTCTTACAACTCTAAGTATATTCATCCGATCATCGGACGGATCCGCCCCACTCGTCTCCATCCATCTCCGCATATTCTGGACCTGAAAGTGTTCGCTACTATTGTTGCCTGACCAATACTTGTGGTAAAGTATATACAGATTATAAGTCGTCATAGTATCTGGTTTAATGCTCAGAAACGAAGATACCCGCCATGCCCATGCCCTGCAAGGATAACGTCAGCCTAATGTTGAGGGTCTAGGGGAAAGCAGTACTCACCGTTCCAACACACATGGAGGTAACAGCCACCCGCTTGTTCGTTCGTCGCAGCTCGGATAAAGCAGTAACGACCTGCCTGGCACCCGTAGCACCGAGGGGATGACCGAAGGCACTAGAGGGGTCAGTTAAGGGGGTTTTCTTGAGACGAAATCAAGCCTTACATGGCACCACCACGAGGGTTGACTTTGGCCTCATCCAGACCAAGTTTTTGAACACAGTATACACCCTGTCGATTATCAGCGACGTCCTCCAAGGATAGGTCAGGAGAAATACGTACCATTGATGCGAATGCCTCGTTGATCTCGAAAATGTCGACTTCGTTGTTGGTCAACCCGAACTTGGAGAGGATCTTGGGAATAGCATAGGACGGGCCAATACCCATAATCCTCGGCTCCAGGCCAACAACTGTCGCACCAGCAAACTTGCCAAAGATCGGCTGGCCGAGCTCCTGTGCACGGGATCGCTTCATGAGTACGAGTGCCGCGGCGCCGTCGGTGATTTGACTAGCATTGCCACCAGTAGTGCTGCTAGGTTTCCATTGAGGGAACGCGGAGCGAATCTTTCCCAGCGATTCGGCAGTTGTGCCGTAGCGGATACCGTCGTCCTTATCAACGACGATGGATTTGATTTCACCGGTCTTGGGGTCTTTAATTTGTGTCTTGACGGGGACAATCTCATCTTCAAACCAGCCAGCCTTCTGAGCGGCCTCCGCCTTCTGGTAGCTCTTGGCAGCAAACCGGTCGTGCTGCTCACGAGAGATGTCAAACTGGCCGGCAACATTCTCAGAGGTCTGGCCCATGGGTTGCGTATTCTGCGAGGCGATAGGGTGGGACAGGATTGACTCGGACAGATCCGGTGCACCACCGTCGGCGTTGGTGCTCATACTCTCGGCACCAACCGCAATTCCAACATCGATCGAACCGGCGATAATCTGGTTCGCAATGTTCTGGATCGCCAGCAACCCAGAAGAGCAGAAACGGTTGGTAACGGATGCAGCGGTGGTCGCAGGGAATCCTGCTGCGAGCACGGCGGAGCGGGCAACATATGCTTGGCCAGGACAGAGAGTGTTGCCGACGCAGACATCTTCGACGAGGTTCGGATCCAACTTTGACTTTTCGCGCACACTCTGTTCAATTCATTAGTCCAGTTAGTCCGGTTTGATGAGCAGCAGTTATCGACATACTGTCAGTAACGAGATAAGCAGGTCATCAAGACGAGTGTCCTTGAGACCACCCTTTCTCGCCTTAGTGAGCGGCGTTCGGACAGCGAGCGTGATTACCTGATCCCGAAAGGTGAGCCTTAGCATTATTAGATGGTGCGAGTCAACATACCACATCGTCGGGGTTCTTGGCCAACAGCTTCTCCCTTGCGGCTGAAGCGCTTGAGCTCGAGAGCTGGTTTGCAATAGAGGAGAGTCTTTGCTGAGGTGATGACATTGTTGGACGGTGTGTGGTGTATGCTTGAGGAGAAAAAAAGAAATCCGAGCGGAGAAGTTCCCCGCGGTATGATATATGAACCAGCTTGGGGCAAGTCTATCAACCGCGGCTCTGGAGAAGAATATCTACGGAGGACTAAATCGACAAACGCGCAAAAACTCCGCTTTGTGTAAATACTGTATACCGCTTTGCTTACCGCTTTTTATCCACCCCTTAAAAAAAAATTTTACCTTTAGTATAGCTAGGTTATTATACAATTCTTAAAGCCTTTATAATAGGTTAGCCACCTATTAATCTTAATCCTTATTAAAAAAAGATTAAAAATCTCTTTATAACTAGTTTTTATATTAATAATATTACTTTGTACTTAAAGCACAAGCACCATCTTAAAGTTAGCAGGCATATAATTTAAATACGCCTTTATAACTAGGGTATTAAACAAAATATATTTTTAAATAATATTATATTTTTAAGTAATAACTTAGCCCTTTATACTTAAATTAAAGTCTTAATATATTAGGTTGGCCTTGGTAAAGTTAATATTCTTAAGGTTTTATATTTTAAAGGGTTTAAAATTTAGGCTTGTACGCTAAGATATATTTATATAAAGCTTAGGATGCTATATTAAACCTAGAATTTAATTTTTAATAAAAAAAAGGTAAATAAGGTTATAAAAACTTTTTATACAAAGCTTGGATCTAGCTAAATTAAAGGTTATAAATAAAGCATGCTAGCAAGTTATTTTTAAAGCAAGGGATTATTAATTAAAAGGTGCAGGTAACTTAAAATATATATTACTTTTATAACCTTTTTTTACCACTAACTTTGTATAAAGATTGGCTCTTTTTAATATATAAAAAACTAGCACCTAAAGCTATATAAAAATGCTTATATAACCTTCAGCGCCACCGGGGTGCTTATATTATACCTAGGCTAAATTTTATTTAGTTTATTAATAACTATCTTAAGCTGGCTCCGTACGGTATTAAGATTTATATAGCTATTAATACCTACTCCCAATATATTATCTAGGTTTATATAGGTATTAGCTCTTATATAGCTATAAGTATACTTAGGCAGTTTTTAAATATACTTAAAGTTACTTTAAGGCAGCCTTGCTTTATATAATTTAATTAAAAGGGGGAAATAGTTTTTCTAGCTAAGGCCCAGCACAAGCTCCAGCAGTTATATTATTTTAAAATCTTTATTAAAAATTATTATTTATATAAAACTAGTACTGCAAACCAGTAAATTAAGGCTTAATAAGGGCAGTTAATTAAGGGTTTACTTTTTTAATATTAAGTAAGTTTTTATATAGTAACTCTAATTTTATACTAATTATACTAATAGGCATACTTTTAAACCCTTGTATAAAATGGGCACTTTTTTAAAAATATTCTAGCTAATTAGATTGCTTTATACGTAATTTACATGCTTATTATCTTAATCTAGATCACATTTTTTATATAAACCTGGAATAACCACCCTATTTACAGGCAATAAAACCAGCTATACTTTATTACTAGCAAGCCTTTTATAAACTATTACTGCCCGGTAGCTAATATACAAGACCATGGTATTAAGTTTAATCCAGAGCTCTTTAAGTTACTACAAAAAAATATACAAGCCTGGGGTAAGTATTATTTTATATAATTTAACCTTAACTAACCTTTGTATACTAGATCCTAATAAGTATCTACTAGCTAAAACTTATGCTTAAACTTATATAGAGCTTTTAAAGCTTGGCTTTAACCCTAAAAGCCCTTTAAAAAGTGCTAGGAATAATAATAACCACTTATTTATCCCCTTTTATATAGTGTACCTTGCCCTTTAAACTAAGCTTAAAGCTTATATTAAAAATAAGCTTAAGCCTAAGCTTAAGCTTTTAAAAAAGCCTACTAGTATATTTAACTAAAATTTATAGTTTATTTTAAATAAGATAAAAGAGGTGGAGTACAATAAAAAGCCTGGTAAAAATAATAATATGCTTGCTTAACTTAGTTAACCTTATTTATAGGTTATTATATAAAAACACAAAAACTTATTTTATTTTAATAAAAAAAACCTTTTTGTACACAACCTTTTAAAATACCTTTATTAAAATTTTGCCCTACAACCGGACGGCCTTATAGTAATATATTAGGCTATAAATTATACCTTGCTTATAATAAGCCTTCACCCCCTTTATAGCCTTATATAAACCCTTAATATTATACAAACCCCTAGCCTTGTACAGGGAACCCGGCTCCCCCTAGTAAAAAGATTATTTTAATTAAAAATAATAATAATATACCTCCTGCCTTTTTTTAAAAAGCCCTCCAGGTCTTTGCCCCTGCTTTTTTACCACTAAAAAAGGAGTCTCCCAAACACTTCCAGCATTTTAACTATACGGGAGGAGCGGAGGATTACTAATAAAAGTTTATTACCTATATAACTTAAATTTTAATATAGGGAACTCCTTGCAAGGTTAAATTTTACCTTCTTATATAAAAAAAAATTTATAAAATTTGGAAGCCTTTGTCCTGTAATCTTATTAGTATATTAAATTAACCTTTAAGGTTTAATCTTATTAATTTAATTAACTACTTTTTTTAAATATTTACTTTATATAAATTTATTCTTATATAATTATCTTGTACAAGGACTTTATTAAGGCCTGCTTAATCTAGGAAATAAAAAAAAACGCGTATAAACTTTAAAATAAGGATAACCTACGCCTTGCCACTATAATTTAATCCTAGCTATACCTGGTCTACCTCTAGTAATTAAATAATAGGATATAAAAAGTGGCTGCTATTCTTAATTAATATAAGGTTTTAGGTAAAAAGGATTATTTAATTTATGTAATTATTATAAAAAATACTATTAAGTTTATACTAAAGCCAGATTAAACACCCCCTAGGAGGTTTACTAAAAAAAAGGCAGCTATATAGGAGCCAAAGATTAAGGTAGAACTAGCTATATAAAAGCCAAAGGTTAAGGCAGAGCCTAAGCCTAAAAAAAAGGCAGCCATATAGGAGCCATAAATTAAGGCAAAACCAGCTTTTATACAAGGCCCTAAAATTAAGGGAGAACTAGCTTTTAAAAAGCATTTAGTCTCTTTCTTAAAGAATATTAAAAAACAGGCTATTAAAAAAAAAAAAGAAACTAGCCTTCTTAATCCAGCCAAGCTTTTTATATAAAAAAAGCAAGAGGATAATAGTGTTGCTTATTATACAAAAAAACATTATTAAATTTAACCTAAGAATGTTAAGCGCTCTGCAAAGTTCAGGATCTTTATTTAAAAAAGAGATTTATCCTATATAAAAGCCTTAACGCCTTATTAATTCCGCTTGTTACATAAATTAATATATGCTGTACAAAGGCCTTAACACCTTGTTAATTTATTTTATATAAAGGCCTTAACGCCTTGTTAATTTTACTTACTTTACTATTCTTAATATGCTATACAAAGGCCTCAACACCTTATTAATTCCGCTTGCTTTACTATTCTTAATATCTTATATAAAGGCCTTAACGCCTTGTTAATTCCACTTGTTGCATAAATTAATAAAATTATTATTTATTTTAATTATTATTTTAGGGTTTTACCTTTTGTTCCTGTACAAAGGGTTAAATGCCTGCTTTAAAAAGTTAGGCTTAGGGTTTTTATATAAAGCTTGCGGTGCGGAACACTTAGTATTTAAGTTACTAGTAAATTTATAACTCTAGGCTTAATTTTACCTTTATATAAAGGCAAGTTTAGGTTTATAGTACCACTATCCAGGCCTTTGTATAAAGGTAAAATTAAGCCTAAAGTTATAAGTGCGGCCTTTATATATATAGAGCGTATAAAAGCAAGTGCAGCCTTTATATAAAGGCAAGTGCAGCCTTGTATAAAGGCAAGTACAGCCTGGTAAAGCTTTAATAAGCTTGCGGAACACTTAGTATTTAAGTTACTAGTAAGATCTATAACTTTAGGCTTAATTTTAGCCTTGGTGCCCGGACAGTGGTATCATAAACCTAAACTTGCCTTTATATAAAGGCAAAATTAAGCCTGGAGTTATAAATCTTACTAGTAAAGCTTTAATAGGCTTGCAGAACACTTAGTATCTAAGTCACCAATAAGATCTATAACTCCAGGCTTAATTTTGCCTTTATACAAAGGCCGGACAGTGGTACCATAAACCCAAACTTACCTTTATACATAAACTCCAGGCCTTTATACAAAGGCAAGTTCGGGTCTATAATACCACTATCCAGGCACCAAGGCTAAAATTAAGCCTGGAGTTATAAATTTTACTAGTAACTTAAATACTAAATGTTCCGCAAGCCTATTAAAGCTTTACCAGGCCGCACTTGCCTTTATATAAGGCCGCACTTGCCTTTATATAAAGGCCGCACTTGCCTTTATTCCAAGCCTTTATATAAAGGCAAGTTTAGGTCTATGGTACCACTATCCAGGCACCAAAAGTTATCTTTTAAACTGCTTGCCTTTAGAAATAGTTAGTACTATATAAAAATCTCTTTCTTTTTGCATACCTTGCCCTGCGGAATACTTAGTATCTAAGTCACTAGTAAGATTTATAACTCTAGGCTTAATTTTAGCCTTTATATAAAGGCCGGGAGTTATTTAGCCTTTATATAAAGGCTAGGAGTTAGGGATAAAGTTGCCTTTATATAAAGGCTAAAATTAAGCCTAAAGTTATAAATTATACTAGTAAATAAAAATAAAGTTCTTAAAGTAAAGTGGCTAGTTTTATATAAAAATATTTAAGGTATTTAGTTAGGTGGTCACAACTAAGCAACATAATATACTAAGGCCTTATTATTCTTTTTTTTTTTTTTTTTTTTTTTTTTTTTTTTTTTTTTTTTCGTTTTTTTATTTTTTTTTTTTTTTTTTTTTTTCTTTCTTTTTTTTTTTTCTTCTCTCCAACCATTATTAATATAATGGCGTATATTTAGCCCTTTACCTTTTATTTCCTATTTTAAAAAGGCATTAGCTAACCTTTTATACACTGGCAATGGCCCTTATAAGGCCTTTTTATATAAGAATAGCTAAGTAAGGCTATCCCTAGTGTGCCGTGTTACTAAAAATTAGTAAGTAACCTTTTTTTTTCCCTTTTAGTTGCTCCAAGACACTTGCTAATAGCTTTATATACTAGTAATAGCTTTTAAAGGTCTTGTATAAAATCTTTAAGGCCATCCTAGTATATAGTGTTACTAAAAACTAGTATATAATTTTTTTTTTTTTTTTAGCCCTTTGCCTCCGCCCTTTAAGCTTTATAAAATGCTAAATACCTTATACCTTACACTAGTTAAACACTAGCTAATAGCTTTGTACGCTAGTAATAGCTTTTAAAAGGTTTTATATAAGACCTTTAAGGCTATCCAGTATATAGTAATTTTTAGATTTATTACTTATCCTAGTGTTAAGCCGGCTTGGCTAAAAATGGATTTAAGTGCTATTTTTAAGCGTATTTTTTAATAAACTCCCGCGGGTTAGCCTTTAAAACTTTTTATTAAGGGTTAAAAGTTAGCCCGGTTCTACCATAATTATATATAAAAATAGTTAATAGCCCGTCCGGGCAGGTTAGTAATTATTATACATAGTAGTATAAGGCCTAATTAAATAATATTACACTAGGACTTATACACAAACACCCTTTTAATTACTTCCCAGGGGGAGAAAGTAAGTATCCCATGCAGGTATTATTAACACCCGGGTGGTTTTTATTCCTTTATAAAATGTATTTACCTTTCTAGTGCATTTAGTGGGTGCTATGCTAATTATAAATAGCTAAATAATACTTTTGCGTGCACTATATAGAATAATTATTAAAGGGCAGGACTATAAACTACTCCTAGTTAACCCTAAGGTTATTATTAAAAATAAGTTACCCGCGGACCTATACAAAAAGGGCTTATTATAGGTAGTATAAAAAATCTAATTAACTTAAACCTAAAGAAGGGAGAGGCGGAGAATCCAATTAACTTAAATTAAGGATTTTTTTTATTTTTATATAATTAGTTAAGGGACACTGCACTGCGGGCGTTTAGGTGTTTAAGTATTTAGGTGTTTTTATTTTACCCAAGCGTTAGCTTGCACCTTTTTATAATACTTAAAATAAGTAGCCGTATAGTAAAACTAAGCAAGTCATGGTGTATCTAATTTTCTGCCAGCAAAATACTAAGCAAATACATAGTATTACACTATAAGTAGAGTTTTTGCGCATTTGTCGATTTAGTCCTCCGTAAATATCAGCCGAGACTGGGCCAGGGGTAGGTACAGCCGAGAGTCGGTCGGCTTGAGAACGGGCATTTCTGCCGATCAACGCTTTGGGAAGATCTCGATGACGGCAGGTTTGACGGCCATTCTTGAAGCCTTAAAGACCTCATTCATGGATATATTACCATCTGATGCGCAAACCCGAGGGACAGCGTCCAAGTTGTGATCAAGGAAGACTGGAAAGCATCGGGACCCCAGCCAGATGAGCTGCCGAGTATTGTAACAGGGGCGTAAGATACGGTATTTCTGGTGGCCTCGGCTGCCTCGGTGTGGGCCTCCATGTTGACAGAGCAGATCTCGACTTGCTGGGGAAGCGATCTACCTCCGACATGGACTCATGGATAACGCTGGACAATTCATTTTTGGTCATCATGATCCCAGAGTACGAAGCTCGCACAGCTTGTTACACACCGGGGAGTAGCTGTAGTGTAACAGCTTGAATATGCCGGGAATGAATGCCCTACTCCGTACAAAGAAACATGTGCGGGGGACTTCCGGCGTGGGGAACAAGAGAGAAGAATGCCTCAATGCCTGCCCCTGTTAGCGCCTTTGGTTCTTGGGGTCATGGACCAAACAAAGCTCCGGTCTCCGCCATAGTCATGCAAATGCGTTTGTCGGCCTTCGGGTCTGACATGTCACTGCACTGCCGGCTTTCGCCCCAATGACACGTACGGAGCTGGCCCAGCGCCAGTTCCCGTCCCCAGATTCCGTGCCTACGTTAGGCTCGCCAGCGTTCCTTGCTGGATCCAGTTCTCCAGACCTGGGATAGATAAAAGGCTTAGCCTGGCCGCTCAAATGATTGCGGGGCTGATATTGTCTACTTTCCTTTGCGTTTTGGTAGTGTTCGCCATGGACCTCCTGTCTGAGATTGGCGTGCCCGCCGTGGCCATGGCATCAGCGCTGTCAGTCGCGGCTGGTGCTTACCTAGATGCCAAATTCTCGGTCTCTACAGATTTATCTACTATGCTTGGTGACCGGGCTTTTGGAAAACGTCTGGCACAGCGCATGGCTCAACTGGGGGACACGCCTACCGTCTATGGGATGCTCCATCGAGTGGTTGAAGTGGAAAAACGTGGCTCAGCTGAAGCGATTTGGTTTGAAGGAAAATCATGGACATATGCCGAGCTGAAAGATCGTACGTCCTGCATCTCTAAAGTTATTCTCAATGCTGATACATCGCGTATAGTTGCGGACCGATTGGCCACTCTGCTCAGCGAGCGAGGCATCAACGCAGGCGACTTTGTCGCTGTCTTTACCACAAACTCGCCAGAGATGGTCGCCATTATCTATGCGCTTTCGAAGCTTGGGGCTGTTGCTGCTCTGATCAACGTCAACCTGCGAGGTATTCACGTTCAACCCTAACTCTCTCTTGAACAATCGTGTCTAACCAGTTGGCGGCCAGATGACACATTTTTACACTGTCTGAATGTCTCCGGCTCCAAGCTTATTATTTCTACTCCTGATCTGTCACAATTTGTGTGCTCCGAGTTGCCTCACCTGTCATTCAACATATCCTCTTTCGACGGCATCTCTACGGTGTCTGATTTGATCACAACAGCGGAATTACAGCAGTACTCTCCCTCCAGGATAACAGCTGCAAAACGAACACCAACAGATTTATCAGCACTTATATACACGTCAGGAACTACCGGAAAGCCAAAGGCCTGCGCCATCCGTAACATGATGGCCATGATAACATCGAATCCATTGTCTCGAGATGCCAACAACCCGTCAAGATACTTCCCGCTACGAACCTACTGCTCACTTCCACTTTTCCACGGTACAGCCTATTTCACCGGGCTGTGCTACTCAGTAGGAAACGCAGGCACCCTGTGTATCCGCCGCAAGTTCTCTGCTTCCAAGTTCTGGAAGGACGTACACGACTCACGAGCCACTCGCATCCTATATATTGGAGAGCTGTGCAGATATCTCATGGCTACGCAGGCGTCACCGTTCGACCAAAACCACTCCTGTATTGTCGCCTCCGGCAACGGCTTGCGAGGAGACATCTGGGACCGCTTCCGCGAGAGGTTCAACGTTCCCGAGATCCGTGAGTTCTATCGCTCAACCGAGGGCGTCGCCAAGTACGACAACCATGGCTTTGGATCATGGGGAGCCGGGAAGGTTGGTTTCTCAGGACCAATCAGACGGTTCTTTGAAGACGACACAATTATCGTGAAATACGATCCGGACACAGAGCTACCCTATCGGGACCCCAAGACGGGATTCTGCGTCAAGGCAAAGATTGGCGAGGAAGGAGAGGCAATCGGTCGTGTTAGAAACCGTGGCATGCTCACCGAATACTTACGGAATGAAGACGCTACCGAGAAGAAGCTTCTTCGAGACGTCTTTGAGAAGGGAGACCTTTTCCAACGCACCGGTGATCTACTTGTCCAGGACTCGGATGGGTGGATAAAATTCCAAGACCGGGTGGGCGATACCTTCCGGTGGAAGGGCGAGAATGTCAGCGCAGGAGAGATTCGAGATCACATTTCCGCCATTCCTGGTGTTCATGACGCTGTTGTTTATGGCGTTAAGCTTGGAGCGTATGATGGACAGGCAGGCGCGGCGGGCATCACTCTTGAAGAGCACACAGAGGCCGCGGCGAATGAGTTCATGGGCAAGCTTCATGCGGAGTTGAAGAAGAAGGGTGTGCCGTCGTACGCTGTGCCGCGGCTTGTCCGGTTGACAGAAAAGTGAGTCTCCCCAACTGAAACTGTTGTATATTGTCTAATTAGCTCGTGATAGGGTTGCGACTGGAGTCACGTTCAAGCAGGCCAAGGGCGAGTTGACGAAGAAGGGCTGGAACCCTCTCGGCGACTGGAACGGCGACAAGCTGTATTGGTTGAACGGCACAAGATATGAGAAACTTACGGAGCCAATTTGGGCGTCCATTGAAAATGGGCAGGCTAAGTTGTGATTTTGTTTGTATAGACTTGGATACCTGGTCATTGTATATTTAAGCGTATATATTCTGTACCCTGCAATATTAGACATTCTGTCAGCGTCCAGTTTTTGCCTCCGCACTCCACCAAGATCGGCATCCTGTCCCATTCCCTGTTTCTCAACCCCAGCCGTCTAAAACTCGTGCTTTAGCAGCTCCAATGGCTCTCCATCTCGGTCTAGCCCGTCTAGCTTATCGCTTGCGCCGGGACTGAGGGGTCAAGCCTTCCGTGGCGAGATTGCAAAATTTCTGCCCCTCCATCTTTATGATTCAGATTCTGGCAAAGGAAACGCCAGTCTCTTTTCAAGCGCACTCTCGGCATGGCTGTCGCATCCCGAGACATGGATGGGAAACCCCAGCCTATTGTCCGAGACATCGATGCCGAGGCGCAGGCCGAACAACCAGCAGCTCCCGATCAATTCGACGAGAGCTACCGGACCACGCGATCAGAGATCTGGGCTTACTACGCGTGCGTGATATTTTAATCCAAGAGAACCCTCGCTAAACAGCCCCTCCAGCTATTACATAGGAAACAATGGCCTCTCATTGTTCAGTAAGTGCCATCTCAAGCCATCACCTTGGCAAAGCTTAGCATTGTACTGATACCAACCAGATTTTGCGCCAACTGCGTTTCAGAATCTCTTATCACAAGCAGCGAACGAGGACGGACTGCTCCTCTTCGCCGGCCGACTCCGCTCAGTGGAGAGCATCGTCCTCCTCTGCAACGGCATCTCCTTCGCCATCCAAGTCCTCGTCTTCCTAGTCATCGGCAGCTTCGCGGACTTCGGCACCTGGCGCCCGAATATCCTGATCGGATTATCGCTCGTCGCATACGGCATTGGTTTCGGCTGGCTAGGCGTTCACGATGCGGAGAAATGGCATGTCGCCGTGGGCCTGTATATCGTTGGTCTGATCGCCTACCAGACAACCCTAACGTTCTGGACGGCCGCGTTCCCCGGTCTTGCGCGCAACACGCTCGAAATGAAGCAGAAGGCGGACGAGTACCAAGCTAGTAGTATCACGCGTGAAGAGTACGATTTTGCGGACACCATGAAGCGCAGCCAGCTTGCGAACATCGCGTTCTATGTCCAGTCTGTTGCGGAGATCTTTATCCTCGCTGTTATTGTCGGCATTATGTTTGGCCTTAGGGTTGATGATAGCCAGGCGAATAACAACTGGGGGCTTAGTGTCCTGATTGCGTTTGCGAGTGGTGTCTGGCTGCTTGTTTCGCTGCCTTGGTTCTTCCTGGAGAAGAGACGGCCCGGTCAGGATACCGGGGGCAGGAGTATCTTTCTGGCTGGGTTGCGGCAGATCTACGTGGCTGCGAGGCAGATCTGGAAGCTTAAGCAGAGCTTGCTCTATCTTGTTGGTAGGTTTGAACCGGCCCCGGCTCTGTCTGGTCCACAACCCCTCGTGGTGAAGTCTATACGGAGCACTAACAACGTGCAACAGGATACTTCCTCCTCGGCGACTCCCTAAACACCACCGTAACCGTCATCTCAACCCTCCAAAACAGCATCGTCGCCTACAACACCCTCCAGCTCACCTACCTGCTAATCGTCGGCATCGCCGCCCAAGCAGTGGGCATCTACGCCTTCTGGACCCTGCAAACGCGCCTCTCCCTCTCCCCGCTAACCCTCTTCCACGCAATCGCCGTCTCCATAATCATCCTCGACCTCTGGGGCATGATAGGCATCTTCACCCGCCACTTCGGCTTCCACAACACCTGGGAGATCTGGGCGTACCAAGCATACTACGGGCTCTTCGTGTGCCCGTGGTACAGCTACAGCCAGATCATGATTTCCGAGGTCACGCCGCGCGGCCACGAGTTCCTTTTCTTCTCGCTGTTTAGTATCGTGGGCAAGACGAGTAGCTTTATTGGCCCGCTTGTGAGCAGTGCGATTATCGATGCGAGTCCCTCGGGGAATGCGAGTCTGCCGTTCTATTTTTTGCTTGGCGTTAGTGTGCTTGCTGCCGGGGGGTTGGCGCTTTTCTTGGATTTGGGGAGGAGTAAGAGGGAGCAGGAGGTTTTCTTGGAGGAGAAGAAGCTGGGGGTTGTAGATAGGGCTTAGGTATATTTGTTACTCCTCTTGTTTTGACGATTTTTAGAGAGATACAGAGAATTGCTTTTGCCAAACCCGTATCAGACTAGATGCTTCTGCGCTTAGGCGGCGATTTATGTACTAATTGAAACAAGCATATACTGATGTACAGGGCGAACGGGAGCTGGATTGGTTCAAGCCAATTTATCTATGATCTGGACTGAGATGACTGACTGAGATGACTGACTGAGATGACTGACTGAGATGACTGCCATGAATAGATAGATAGATTTTGATTCTGCCGTAATGTTCAGACAAAAAAGTATAACGCCAGCCCATGCCATGCCTAGCGCCTATTGTTGGGAATACATCAGAAGGGGTCTAGGAAAACAACGCAACAAGCCAAAAAGGACAAACAAAAGGCAAGCAGGCATCAAGCCCTGCTCACTCATTCGTCGTCCGAGTCTGCCTTCGACTTGCTCTTCTTCTTCTTTTTCTTCTCTTTCTTTTCGGACGCATCGACGTCCGCCTCCGCCTCCGCCTCCGCCTCCCTCTTCCGCTTCTTTTTCTTTTCTTTCTTCTCCTTCTTGGCCCTCTCTGCCTCTTCCAAGTCCTCCGGTGCAACGAACGCCTTCTCCCGCTCCTTCATCTTCTCCTCGCGCTTTAATCGCTGCTTCTCCATGACCTCTTCCTTCTGCGCGCGGTCCTTGGCCTCCTTGGACAAGAAGTACTCTCCAGACTCGATCTGCAGATCCACCTTGCTCTTCTCCGGCGCCGGCGGGAAAGGAGTGTAGACCTTCTTTGTCTTGTCGGTGACCTTGAACGGCATGCGACGCTTGGACAGTGTGCGCTTCTTGAAGTTAGGGAGGAATCGGTCCCATGACTCGGCGGCCAGTGTGGGGTCCTTGGCGAGTTCGCGCTTGATCATGAGCTCCTTGATGTGGTAGATTGGGTGGATGTTGGCCATGCAGTCGTCGACGATTCTCCGGACTTCCTTCAGACCTTTGTAGGGGCCCATCGCGGCGACGGTGTTTCCCTGCACGAGGATGTAGGTGCCTGTTAAGAGCTCGAGGGCCTTGAGGGTTGAGCCTTGCGGGCCGAGGATACGTTGGCGACGCTTGACGAAGCGTTCCTTGTTGCGGACTTGATTTCTGATCTTGATGACATCGCATGCGACGCCGTCTTCGAGGATTTTAAGGGCCTGTAAAAATACGGTGTCAGGATGGAGGGACGAAAATGTAGCTCTGAAAAGTGATACCCACCTGCTGAACAGGAACACTTCGCGATAACAGCTTAACCAGATCACGAGCCTTGAGAATCGCCGCCGGATCGAAAGTCTTCCGTGTCGTCTTAACTGTCATGCTACCCTCGACCAAATCCAGAGTACAAGCGATTCCATGCTTCTCCAGCGCCCTCGTCACAACCGGCCATGCTTCCTTCAGATATACCTCTCGATACTTGGGGAATAGCGTGGCGAATGAGGATTCTTCGGCGAAACTACCGGCGGCGTTGTCTTCTGGTTTGAATTCATCGATCTAGCGGACAAGATACAGGTTAATTACAAACAGCGGAGACGTAATCTGTCCCATCCGAAAACGCACCTTCCACTTGTCGATGTCGTCCGTATCCCACGGCTTCTCTTTGTTGTTTGTAGAAGGCATTTTGAACGAGTTCCTGGTGGTCAAGATGGACCGCAAGATTGAATGATGCGAAATTCTTTTGATGGCGGAAACATTTTTGGTCCGCGGCCACTTACCCGGATAGGAAGGATACTAAGCCTTAAGGGTAAGGCACAAATCAGGCAGACACTACTAGCACCCATAGCTCTCGACGTTCGACCCTTACCTCACTAAACAGTTGATTTCCTGCATTACGCATGGACCTCATCTTATGCTTAATTTACTCCAAGTTCTAGACTGCGTCGACTTTGGGCGAACTGCGGAGCAGCTCCGACCTGAGATCGGCCGGCCCAATTTCTGGCTGATTCAATTCAACCCCTGGATTACTGGAATGGGCGCCGGCTCTTAGATAGTACGTATGTGGTGGGGTGTAACACTAGCCATACCAGAATCTCACGATTTTTGGATTGCTGATGAGTGGGAATCGGCGGCATTGCTCAAATATGAGCTGAGGTGAGACCGGTCCCCTTGTCTCAGAGATACGTGTTCCGAAGATACCGTGTGCTCCCAGCCTTTTGCCGCAGTACTTTTGCGTCCAAGGAAGCTTGGGCTCCAAGCCTTAACAGGTTGGGTATCTCTTTGGCCTTGTAGGTGGACACCTAGAACATTCAAAGCCCGCCGATCTAAAACAATAGTTCGGCTCAAGTAAACGATTTCAGCTTCAAGCACTGGAGCAGCAAGCAGGCAGGCAGATACTTCATAGTTCCATCATTAACTTAACATGGTCTTTGTTGGTTCAGACGTAGCTTACTTGGCTTGGATGCGATAACATACGTATCAGAGTATCTCCTTGGCCGGAGGGGGGATTAAGGTGACATCGATAAGTTGCTTGGGGTATCTAGCGTAGCTCCTCTTCAAGATATCAATATGTCTTCCAGTGACTCTTGAGTCTCAATCAGAGAGTAAATGTGGATTTGCTATCGAATCAGGGCTCGGAGCCAAAGATCGAGGTGCTGGGTCGTTGAGAGGTCGGAGTATTTAGCTGGTTCGGTGTTAGCCAGGTGCAGAAGCCAGATGGGAAATACTTTTGAGAGATTACCTGAGTACGAGTCGAGGTGGAGGGTTCTTTAAAGGTTGATTTGGTGTAAGGTTCAAGCGCACCCGTGATGTTGGGGCTTCTCCTTCCACTTTCTTTCATCAACATTTCCCCCTCCTTTCCCCTCTTCCTGTCCATCACACCCTTTCTCTGATCAGACTCAAGGACTCCTATTGAGAAATGTGAGTTATGCTGGTCTTTGTTACTGCTATCACTGTGCCTTTCGCCCTCAATTCCTTTTTCTCTCCGTGGAATGCTATTGCCGCCGATCCCGCATGCTAGTTTCAGTGATAAGCAACTCACCAGACGCGATCTCCTGGGAGCTGGTCTTGCTTGGGCAACATAAAGCAGCTTCTTGCTGAGACGGGGACTCTTTGTTTTATTCTTAGGCAGTGGGACCGGCACGCCTTGCCTCTCTTGAGTTGCGCATATGCAGAAGAGCTTGAAACCACTCGTCACAGACTGACAATGCGGGAGGAGTCTAGCGATTGGGACTCCTAGAAGCCTTCTTGTGATATTGGGAAGACAATGTAGGTATTCCGATGATCTGATTTTGTTTGAACGGCAACAATGGATCTTGAATATCACAGTGTTCAATCAACTGACCACTCTCGAGCTGAAATTAGGCACTAACTAGCGTTAACCTCATCAGTTTTGTTGGCGGTACTGGACGCTTCAGCACAGAATACCCAAATCCAGCAAAATCTCATCACAAACCAGGCTCCTATGCTATCATGGACTGACCAAGCAGCCGGACACCGTTCCATTTCCGGTCAACACCGAGGCTTTCGTCCGATACAAACATACCTATACTATTAGAAGACTGCGTCAGACTTTTGGGGTTATGGCCTTACAGTGGAAAATAGGCTTTCAGGCTTCGGTCGCCTACCTCACCCTGGGCTTTGGATATCAGATCTCGGTATTGCGCTTGTGGCATACGAAGGCGCCGAGTCATCGGGAATAGGGACGAGGAGGCAAGCAACCTCATGATATTCTCACTATTCATCGCACCTATGTCTCGGCTCGTGGGGTCTGAGGGTTATTGTCAGCACAATGACCTAGACAGGCACAAGGTTCCAACCGGCTACATACTGTCAGGCCACGCGGAAAGAGGCAGGGGAATCATCTTTGCATCAACTTCTGTAAACCCTGCTGCAGTCAACAAGGTCTTCAAGCGGGTCCCAACCCTGAGATCCTTGATGTCTTCCATTGACCTCATGAGGTGCGAGCTCCATTGCCGCAATGCGTGGTTCTCGGTAATGGAGCCGTTGTCTGATTGGACATTGAAGTATATTTCGATCAGTTGAACCCATCCCCCGGGCTTGAGTACTCTATACCATCCAACCGTTAGCCCTGTGCCATCAACAATGGGCTTGGTGGTACGGCCCCACCGTCAAGAACGGAACCTTTTGATGTCTAGAATATATGATGGCCAACGGGACCGGTTGATGCCCGCCGCTAGGAGTCGAGAGTGGACAAGGTCAAAGCAACTCGGAGAGAAGGTAAAGGGGCGGTTCAGATCATCTACCTAGCGAGAAGGTCGTCAGCTTTTACTGCTTGATTCTGACCACCACTAGAAGGATGTACTTTTGGGAAACAAGAACAAGTGCAAGACAGCCTCTGGTATGTTGGGGATGAAGGGGTGTTCGAGCGCGGGGTTGTGCACGTATTCCGGTAGACGAAGGTATGGTAGCTTACCTGGAGCCAGAGGTTTTCCGGTGTATCGTCCGGGTTCATGAAAGGGTAAATGTCGATTCCAATCACCTAACAACGATAGAGAGGTTAGTTAACCAAGTTTTAGAGTCATGCGTGTGTATGGATATGAACCTCGCAGTCAGGATTTTGCTCTGCTACATCAACGGCCCAAGCTCCGGTGCCATATCCACAGTCTAGCACCCTTCGAAGCCGTGGGATAGGAGGAAAGACCAGGCGGTTATCAAACACTTTGCTGAGAATACGATGCTGAAGTTCCAATCGCTCAGCTTCATCCTATTGACATCAGAGATGAGCTCAAAAGCAAGACACGAAACCAATCTTACTTCGTCCACCGGTTCAAACGAGACCTTGTTATCGATCGAATACTGCTGATACTCACGGCCTTGGATGGAGATAACGCGGAGGTATTCATCGTCTAGTTCCTCTGTCTGCGAGTTCGGGCTCCTTCGGAGACACCAAGTCAGAGTCTCCCCACAAATATCTGGTCAGGCTGGAAGGACGTACGTCATGATTGTACGGCAGGCCCTGTATTAATTCTGTGTCGTCTGGCGAGCCGGCTCAGAAGGAAAAGACAAAGGCTTCATAGCAAGGTGGGATGTTGAAATTCTACCTTGTGGCGGGTGACGCGCGAACTTAGTGTGGTTCGAGTCTTTGTCGAAGCGATCGATGTGGCAGAGCAATCCGTTGGCCTGGGATTACCGCTGGGCACGGACAAAGGACCAGTTAACTTCGCTCTTGAGATGCCCTAGCAAAGGACTATCGACGGGGCACACATTCTTACCCAGGTACGAAACGAACAGATGGGAGAAGACCTTGTTCGGCCTAGAGCCTTTCGCGTCTCAGTCCGATGGGAGCCCACGGCGGGTACATGAAGCAATGCATATGAGCGTCTCTTCGCAAGCGAGGCGAAAGAGAGCTGCAACAACAGATCCGTGACTCAAGGCTCCCGTCCGCTGCCTCCGCATAATTGCCGCTCCTTTCGTCTAACCAAAATACATGTTTACCTTTACATGTATAAGATGATTACATGCAGGCAGATGGCAGGGATAAGACCATGGAGGGGTCGGCAGTGCGCCGCAGAGTGGCACAGTTAACGAATCGCAATGGAGGAATATTGGTCTCACCGGAGAGATCGCCATGGTATGGCCCTAGTCCTCGATCACAGCCCTAGATGGCCAAACTAGTTGCCTGGGAATCGTCTCTGCACTGCTTACTTCGAAACCCCTGACCCCGAGGCATTGGCTGCCCTCGACCATATCCTCGGGGCCGGAAACATGCAGCAAGCCGCCGTCTCATTGTAACGCTCCGGCGGCGGTGGGATGTCAAGCATAGCGAACTCCAGTCAACAACAAAACAACGAGCCCGCCGCATCAGAATTCACGAAAGATCCATTAGTGGGGTTATGCGAGCTTTACAGTATATTGGTGACTGAGAGATATGCACGTCACGAAGTCAACTAGACCCCAAACAGAAATTGGATGGCGAACGAGGGACCAGCCATAAGTGACCGGCGTGTCTTGGAGGGGCAGCGATTTGCAAGGAAAAATCCGCAGGCTCGGTCAGATTCAAAAGAAATTGACCGATCTAGCGATTACGCAGCTGAAGCCTTTTAGGGCTTGAAAAGACCCTTGTCTCTGTGGCTTGATTCAGCTTCCATCTGTCTCTAACGACCCGTTGGTACTCTGTACATGCCGAGATCGAGGAACATGGAATGCAATGATTTCTGTGCTATTGATAGATGTGGCGCCATTGCGACAATAGTCAAACGCGATGGAAATTTTATCTGGGACACCTTTATGCACAGGTTAGTGGGCAGCCCGAAAATGGAGATACTCACATAATCTGCAGCGGGCCCATGGCGTACCGCGAAACCCAGGAGTCTCTGCGTCGATCCAATCTGCAGGATTTCTTGAATTCTTCTTCCCTTTCATCATCTCCGCTCCATGCCTTTGAAGTTTGCTCACCGCTCCTCTGGGCCTTACCTACTGCTTGCATCTTTACTCTGGGCAGTGACACTACTAGGTCTTTCAGATGACCACTCAAGCGGCGTCAAGTCAAATCGAGGACAGCAGGGAGACGAATCTACCTGGAAAGCCAGCCAATGACATCAGTGGGTTATCCTGCGAACCCTCAGTTAGTCTTAAAAGTTCAGAACAATTCGAGGCTTCGAGCGATGGGGCGCTCAAGGATCAATGACCAACGGCTGTGGAGACCTGAAACGGGCTAGTTCTTAACGAGCAATCTCCGCCTGCAAGTGACCTTATAGTGTCTCATTGCATACATTGAGTACAATAACAAGAGCTCAGACTACGGAAATGCTTAACAGAATTGCAGATACTACTTGTCCCGTTAGCCCAGACATGATTGAAACCCACCGGTTGGCTGCAGCTCTGGCCCAGGGACATCGATGGCAAGGTCATGGCTGTTCAGGCGGCATGCTGGGTGCATGTTAGCATGGAGCACTGTTCCTGATTCGAATTGCTGCATAAAAGCGGGACACACTATCCTCAAATCGATAAAGTGCGATAATGGACCAAACGCGCCCTCTGTGACACGTTGTACACACAGTCAGGGCGTTCATGCACGTCCTGGTTCGAACTTTGTTGTTTGGATGCAGATTATACCCAAGTGCTCGGGCCTATACAGAACGAGTTAGTAGACGTCGAAGGAGGGTTTGGTAGGGAACCCAGAGCCACGGTTCACCTTCGGGAAGAGCGCGGCGAGCACAACCTTCTCATTGACCAGTGGTCCACTGTGTGGGACTCCGCCGTGCAACTCGGCGGGGTGTCAATCAGGCCTGCTTTCGGCTAATGCCCTCTGTTGAGGAAATCGACAATTACCGAGTATACTCAGTCCTGACTCCTGCGACTCCTGCCTGCTCTGGCTTGCAGTGGATGCTTCATCCTTACAGGAGCCAAGAGTTCTTTCCACCATTCAAGCAGCATCAAACTACGTAAGTTGTTTGGGAATTGAAACAGCTGAGCTAGAGTTTCTAGGTTCTAATAGACCATCTACTATCACCAAGTCAAGCGTACAGTAATAATGCAAATGTATGTTCTCAATTCCCCAGCCCAAACCGCGCTAAGGAAACAAATCAAGAAAGTGAAATGGCCCAGGCATCCTCCGTCCCAAAGGAAATCATTCCTTGCCCTAGCCTAAGCGCCCAACCCAAGCGCCTCGTAGCACAAAGAGTCGTGAGCATGCATAAAGTTTTGCTAAAACATAAAAGAATGCGTTGAGTAGAATCGAGCCGAACCCTTCACGCTCTCAGATAGTCAAAGGAGACGGGGGAGGATTCGAGCAACTTTGAAGGATCGCTTGGAGCACAAATAGATATCTGCCCCGGTCGTCTGCCCCCAGGAGGACGTCACGACCGCTTCCGCGGAGCGTACACTCCGGAAGTGTTGTTGGGTTGGAACACCTGTTCCGCGCGGAAGCACGAGTAAGGGTGGGTGGGTAGACCTCGCTACATAGGGCATTTGGTAAAAGGCCGCCCTCATGCAATGACGGGTAGATATGACACCGCTAAGTATATCATGGTCGTAAAGCTTGCCCGACGCCTGTAGTCCTGGTCTAACTCAGTCCTCCTTACTGATGGAGCTCAGGGCATGCGCTAGTTTCAGCAAGACGACGCTCTCGGTTGCGGCGAAGTAATTCAAGCTGCGAGAGACATCAGTAAAATTCATGAGGAAAAACTGGTAGAGCTTGTTTTACCTATCCATGAGAATGCGAAGATGGCGACCAAAATGGTCCTCGTATCTCTTCAATACGTCCTCGAGCTTTCCGAGGCGCGCAGGGTCGTAGCCCCGTCCGTCAGACGTGGCGGGGCTTGAGCTTAGCTCTGGGTCGGCTGTGGCGAGGGCGCGGCCTAGTTGTGCTGCGGACCAGGAGGCGAACATTGTGCAGCAGGTCAAGAGTTTTGAGTGGATCTAATTGAGTAAGCTTTTGAGTACTCCAAGGCGGCGAGGGCAATATTATATCAGCGCAACGTACCTTGAGGAGTTTCGCCTGCGTCAGCATGCACTCTTTCAAACAAGTATCTAGGAAATCGACGTGGTCCTGCATCAGTTCGTCGACTGTTCGGTTGACCTGCTTGGTACCATTGTGTGTTACTTCCGACCCGTCTGCATCGGTACCATTCACACGATCCATGAGGTTCTGCCAGTTCGGCTCAATTACTTCCGCCGTGCAAAAATAGAGTAGTTGCTGTACGAATACAAGCATCTTTGACCGCAGGTTCCAAGCGCGCCTCTTCCACAACTCCAGCCGTCGGTCGGATGATTTATGGCGCCAGCCTAGGACTTTGCTTTGGTCCAGCCAGGCGGACGAGAGCATGGATTCGAGATGGCGGAGAGACAACAAATGCCGGAAGATGAGTTGATATCGGAGGACCGTCTTTCGACTGATGACGAGGGATAGCGGGAAGGGAACGGTGTAGTCGAGTTCCAGGGCGTCGAAGCCAACAATATCCTTGTCGTCGTCGCTCCCTGCTTGGGGTGCTTGGTATTTCTCCAGGGCGGCTTCTGGGTTGTCCTGGTCGATACCAGAGACACTGACAACCTGCATGAGCCATTTGGTCAGGCCGACCTTGTTCATCCGGACTTTGACGTCTTCCTTGAACGGATCTTGCGCGGCAATACTGCCCGGTTGGCGCAGGACTAGATCAAGGAGTGATTGCAGTTTGCTTTCGTTGACGCTCTTGGCTGGCTTGCGGAGCTCGGATGCCCCAAGCTCAAGGAAGTAGGAGAAAAAATCGGATCGGTCAAGGAAGAAGTAGTGTTTCAGGGAACGGAAGCGAGTGGTAAGAGAGTTCTTTGTTAACAGGAGGTTCAGTAAAGAGGCGTTGGCATATGTATAGGCGGCATTAACGTTTTCCAGGAAGCGAGGGTCATCGAATGTTTTTGGAACATCCTTAACCGCTTTGCTGACATCCACTCCTCCACACTCTCGCACCACGTTCAGGTATTTTCCAGCTAGAAGAACCTTATCTCGTACGCTATCGAGCTGTGGCGGCACTTCGTTATCGCGGATCGTATATCGCTTCTCCCAGTACTCATCCGTGTAGTCCTCCTCGAGCCTCTCTCGCTTGATCCATTTCTGCTCCTTGACGAGAAATTCTCCATGCGGATCTTTGATCCCTCCGTGGTGAAGCCATTCGTTGAGCATTGTCATGTATGGCCTGCTAGATTCACGAAGAAGAGTTTCTAGAAGCGTTTTTGTGGTCGGATCGCCGGAGAAGGTCGCCAATCGCTCGGTTAATAGCCGCAGTACATTGCCTCCTTTACATATCTTCTTGCTAGACATCGCTCCAGGGATCAAATCTCCTCCTTCTCGAAGTTGCTCCAAGATGTTGTCAACGTCGTCAAAATCGTCAATTGACTCATCAAGATCCTGATCCAAAAGACCGTTACGTCGGAGGAGCTCCTGGCCTAATGAGTACAGCTGAGCTAGACATTGGCCGGTCGGCATGGTATGAAGATGGAGCAGGTGGAGAGTGAAATTCGGATTGTTGAGCAGGTGCGTCTCTAGCTGAGCGACGAGTATCAAATAGTCTTTTAAGAGTTTTCGCACCGCGGCGCATAGGGCATGGCTTACTGCGCCGTATTCCGCGCGACTCTGGAGTTCCACGAATGCCTCTAGGGCACTGTAATGTGTAGCCATCTTCAACATGGACCTTGTAAGGTCCCTTAGGGTAGGATCAAGCCCGGGCGGTAGTTGGAAGGCCGGTCCAGCCAATCGGTCCTTCTCCGTGGTCGGGTCATATTGAGCTTGATATTGGATGTATTGGCCCTCGAATCCCATGAAGACAAACAGCAGGTCCTCCAAGATCGCCTTCTCCTGCGCATCGGTCGACAGTTCGCGTAGGGGTGTAGGTTGAAGTGATTGCGGTAGTGTCGAGGATAGCGGAGGTACGGATACGCGACTAGCTAGGGGCGCAGTGGTGTAGGGCATCAAAGAAGCGTGCGGATTCCATGGTGCTGGTGAGAGTCAATATATTGTTAAGAGGATCTTGAGTTTCGGCGAATGTCTCACCATCTGGAGCCTCTTTTTCCTTCTTCCGCAGATTGGGACTGAGAGGGCCCGCTGTATTAGCTCTTTTTGACCGCGATTTGTCGCCCTCTCCACGATTCCCTGCGCTGGGTGACTCCCTCACTGGGTTCCTCGTTCGGCCTTGTGCCTTGTCTTTGGTCTGGACCACAAGGCGTTCGGTTCGTTTTTCGGACGCGACATGATCCCTGGGGACTTTGCTCTTCTGAGTGGACGTGCTCCCGCGATGATCCATATTTTCTGCCTGCAATGGAGAAGCTGTGCCGCCGCGTTGACCGGGCTTTTCAGCATCGGCGACGCGACTGGACGCAACGCGGGGTCGTGGCGGGTTCATGTGGCTGGCGCGGCGGTCATTGATGGACATGGACCCCCGATAGACAATAAAAGGGGCAGATTATGCATAGATAGAAGAGATTGACAACTTTAGGCGCCGAAGACGAGATCTGTGCTGGTCCTGGTCTTGCGTAGTCCCGATGTTTGGTCGGAGCGGTGGGTGTATGCTGCTGCCTTGATGCCTGAGATCTCCGCCAGGCACTTGCGACTTGCGTAGCAGCGTAGCCATCATCCTCAGAGCTTCATCCAGAGCTTCAGCTTCCTACGTCTTCCCATCTAAACGCCCTGCACCTTAACTGCTGATTCCGAATACTCACTCGGTGCTACACTCTACATTGCATCTCTCGGTCTCCATTACACGTTTCATATAATTCAAAATGTTCATCGCGCGATCGGAATACGGTAAGCTCCATCAGACCTCCTCTTGAAGCCCAATCTGACTCTTCCTTACTAGACCGTGGAATCAAGTACGATATTCTCCCCGTCTAACGTCCGATTTACATTGCAACCAGTCTAACGGTGGTCATTACAGCACCTTCTCCCCGGAAGGTCGTTTGTTCCAGGTTGAATACTCGCTCGAAGCTATCAAGCTCGGTTCAACCGCCATCGGTGTATGTCCTTCGCCCTTACCAGCGTGTCTCAACATGGCTCTTCGTCTATACGAAGCATTTATGAGCTTTTCAACAATATCCGCAGAAAACCCGCTGACTACCTCAACAGGTAGCAACATCCGAAGGTGTCATTCTAGGAGTCGAGAAGCGTGTCACATCTACCCTGCTCGAAGCGTCCTCCGTTGAGAAGATCGTTGAGATTGACCAGCATATCGGATGTGCTATGTCCGGCCTGCAGGCAGATGCCCGGTCTTTAGTTGAACATGCCCGTGTTGAGACTCAGAACCATGCCTTCCACTACGCTGAACCTCTGCGTGTCGAGAGCTGCACGCAGGCGATTTGTGACTTGGCCCTGCGATTTGGAGAGACTGGAGATGACGAGGAGAGTGTCATGAGCAGACCTTTTGGTGTTGCTCTTCTAATTGCTGGTATTGATGAGGATGGTCCTCAGCTGTACGTCGCTTTCCGGCCCTTTGACTTGCCAGCTTTCGAGCCGTTTGGCAATGTTTATCCTACGAATAATATGCGCTGACTCCATCGTTCTTACTAGATATCACGCCGAGCCCTCCGGTACATTCTACCGGTACGACGCAAAGGCCATCGGGTCCGGAAGTGAGGGAGCGCAGGCCGAGTTACAAAACGAATATCATCGTTCTTTGACGCTTCCCGAGGCGGAAACACTTGTTTTGAAGACGCTCAAGCAAGTTATGGAGGAAAAGCTGGACGCGAAAAACGTTCAGCTGGCGAGTGTCACCAAGGAAAAGGGCTTCCGTATCTACAACGATGAGGAGATGGGTCGCGCTGTTGCGCAGCTGGGTGGAAACCAATAAGCGACTAATCAGTCCGCTAAGTCTGTGATGAGGCCGTCATGAAATTTATGTGCTATACATCACAGGGTTATTTTGAACTCACATAGAAAAGAACAATGACCTCGTCCAATGACTGTCAAGCAGTTTATATCTTCATTTACAAGTAATTTGCTAATGCTCAGGAATCAGGTTGTGTGGATAGATGCGACTTTTATATGCTAACCTGGTATCATAGAGGGCGACTCATATATAGTTCTTCCAAACAAACCAATTACCGAATCTTATAAACACAGGGCTTCAGCACACCCGCCTCATCCTCCGGCGACAAACCATTATCCGCAGAAACTGGTTTTTCAATAAACCTCTTCTTCCCAGCAGCGGGAGCCCCAGTGGTAGAGGCATGTTTACCCTTCGTTGGCGCACCGCCCGCCTTGACAAACTCAAGTTTCACAAACATCTTGTTCGACTTATCCACAGTCTCAGACTTGAGCACAAACCCGCGGGTCCTGAAGACGTCGACGAAGGCAGAGATATCAGTCTCGTCGTCCTGTGAGGGACGGGCGTCCTCGGCAAAGATATCCGCCTCGTCAACGTCCGATCCGGCGTCGTCGTCGCCGCCCTTCTTCTTCTTGAGCTTCTTCTTCTCGGCCTTCGTGAGGGTTCGCTTCGCGCCGATTTGGGCTTTCTTGCGCTGCACTTTGCCGAAGCGGCTTTTCACTTCGCTGACCCAGCATTCGCCCTTGCCGTCGCCGCGGAGCACGCGCCATGCTTCTTCGACGAAGGACACCCAGTTTGTGCCCATCAGACTCAAGCAGAAGATTGCGATGTCGGCGGAGCCGTCTTCCAGGGGAAGGTTGGAGATATCGGCTTTGGTAATGGGGGAGTCTTTGGGAGCGTGGAGGTCGAAGCTGTGGAGCTTCAGGTTCAGCTTCTTGGCGGAGGGGAGGAGAGTGCTGTGGAGTTTAGCGTCACCACAGCCAAGGTCGACAATGGTGCATGCGCCGTTCGGTCGTCGTGGTAATGGCAGGCCCCGGGCTTTTTGGTCCGGCTTGTTGCCCTTCTTTGGTGCGGCGATGGCTCCTCTTGTGCGGATGGCGCTGATGTAGCCGTCGACGGGGTTGGAAGGCCAGGACTCCTTGACCTGGCGGGAAAATCCGGCGTGGTATTCTTCGAAGAGTTCGGGGTTCGCGGTGAAGAGCTCAAGGGCTTTGGTTGACGGGGTTGTATACAGAGTTTCGTTAAGGTGACGGAAACGGGATGAGATCAGCTTCTGCCGCATAGCCTGCTGGAGAGGGGTCAGGGTAGCTGTCGTGGGAGGAGGTGCGGCTGGCGCTGTCTCAGTAGCGGCGGCTTCAGTGGAAGTTGCTTGGGTTTCTTCTCCGTCCTGGCCTTGCGATCCTTTGTTCTTATTCTTGTTCTTTCTTCTCCTCTTCGAACTCTTGCTCTCTTCAGCTGCACCATCGACTACAGCTTCTGGTGCCTCGTCCTCTTTTGTATCCTGACCCTGAGTTTGCTTGGCGGCACCGTTCTTCTCTTCCCTCTTGCGCTCCCAGGGCTTTTTCTCCGGCTTGGGCGGCGCGGAGTTGGGCTTTGCGGGCTTCGACTGGCCCTTTGATCCTTCGATGTGTCGGCGATACATCAAATCGACATTTTTCTTGGTGACATTGTCATCTCGCTTGCGCTTGTTTGACTTTGCAGTGTCATCTGCGTTCGGCTTCTGGGACTGGTTGGCTTGGTTCTGGGGCTGCTGCTCACTCTGCTGTTTGAGCGCAGAGGCCGAAACAGACCAGCCGGGGACCGCGAACATGGCTCTGTATAGGAACCGCGGAGTTCGCAGTAAGTATATTGACAGGAATTCGGTCTACTGCCGGTGCCTTGTTGACAGACTTGGGAAGCAACCGTTGAACGAACCAGCAGACTGCAAGAAATTTTTGGTGCTTGCAATTTCTGCCGGATTCTAAAGGCGGTACCATAGGTAGCGCAGGACGCTCCGCCTTTACTCCCTAGTAGCCGAAAGTCCGAGACTACGCCGACAGTCCTGCCACTTGAAAATTCCCACAGAAGCTGGAAAGTGATATTGGGGAGGTCGCCCTATAGGAAGCATTATGTGGTGCTTATCTAGCTCTAGCATGGAATATATGCACAACTGAGATCCGAGCGATCTTAGAATGCACTGTTGAGTGTTGACCTGCCTTGAGGCTTACAGGAAATCTCGACCGCAATGGCCAAAGCAGGGTTCAGCACGTGGCGGATTCTGGACCGTGCACTCAATCTGTTTTGAGTTGACGTTCAGATCAGAGGTCGATCTCCCTCCCCGCAAGCCCCGTGTCATCCTCCATTCCTCCTGGATCAGAATCTCCCCCTGTCTGTTCTGTTCGTCGAGCGCTCTTCCAGATTGACTATGGAACCCGCCCTTCAGAGTGACTCAATTAGCAATCATGGAGACCGGGAACCATATCAGCGCAAACCCGCCGAGTACATTACTGAATCTTGAAACAAAAGTCCCCGATCAACCCACCAACGTAGTGGCGACGCAGCAGCTAGCCGTTGCGAAGGTCCCCAGAAAGCGCACCAAGACCGGCTGTCTAAGTAGGTTTATCGATGAATTGCGCGGGTAAGCCACTGACAGAATGTAATCAGCTTGCCGACAACGTCGCATCAAATGTGGAGAAGAGAAGCCTATCTGCAAAAACTGTACAAAGTCGAAACGCGAGTGTAAAGGCTATGCGCAGCGATTGATCTTCAAGAATCCCCTGGGAATTCCTGGAGTACCAAGCACCATTCCAGCACAACCTGCTCCTCCCTCCAGCCAATTTGAGAGCCAAATCGACTTTAGCCAGACGTCGGCTGGCACCCATGGGCCAATATTGGCCCCAAAAATCCCTGCTGCCTCTAGTATAGAGCACCGGCAATCACGGCCTTCTGTTGACATATCAGCAGATATTCTCAAAAGTGATGCTGCGTTCGCTGATCAGGTCCCTGGCCTACCACCAAGCTACCAACCGGCAAACCTGTCAGCTAGGTTCAGCCAGCCAGGACAGGAGGCATCAGCTTTCGCCCAAAATGTCTATCCTCACTACAGCGTGCATGACTGGGACTCGCCCCAAACCCAAAATCAAGGATTGGCTATCAAAGAGTCGTCGTCGCGCACAGAAACACCACCTCAAGTGTACCAGAATGTTAAGGTATGCCACCCTGCCCGCAGTGCCAATCCGTAAAACTAACAGTTGTATCAGGTTGCTGAATCACCTCCTGCAGTAAATCTACCAACACAGCACTCGGCCGAGCATCAAGCAAGCACGCATGACCAATATCGCTCCCCTTCATCTCAGTTACTATCGCCATTCCACTATATCGAGGATGAAGAGGGCGACTACTACGATGTAGAATCGGACGAGGAACCGGATCAAGTGGCAATGCAGGATTTCAACCAATTGAATATGGTTCTGGCTTCTGCGAATCGCGATGCTACCCAACATCGTTCTTTCACCACATACTTGAACGAGGCCAATATGCTGGCCACCTACCAGCCGGATCTCGGTTCTTCTCCCTTCAACAATCCCAAGACAGCCCGAATTTTCTTACACTTTATACACGCTACTGGTCCAGTACTATCGATATTTGAGCGACATGGAACCGATCAATCGACCATGCTAGGTGCTCCAGTCCCTATGGCGCAGCAAGGACTGTGGACATACACGCTTCCGCTCAAGTCTTTCCAGAATCAAGCATTGCAACAAGCTATACTAGCATTGGGTAGCTTACATATTGCGTACCTCCAACAAGCGCCATCTACTTCCTCGCTCAAACATTACCAGTTTGCGCTTCGGCGGATAGGGAAAGCTGTCGGCCTCCCGATGCAACGAAAGCAATTGGGCACACTGGCGGCTTCGCTGCTTCTAGCTTACTATGAAGTTATGGTAGCTGATCATACCAAATGGAACAATCATCTTGCTGGATCAGCTCAACTAATTCGCGAAATCGATTGGGCTGGTATAACTCGAGACCTTCGCGCTCAAAGACGGAAACGATGGCTTGAGCGGAGCAATACCCACAGCTTTTTTCAGGATGTCTACATGTTCAACAACCCGTCTTCCAGCGACGATTCTTTCGCTGAATTGGAGACCAGGATTGATGAGGATCTCATAGGGTGTTTTCTAGGACGTGCCGTCAACTACGACGAGTTCGGACAGGTTGAAGGGGAGCATGCCCAGCCTCGAAACAGACATCTTTCGCGCAAGGACATTGAGACTTTCCGGACTCAATGTGACCTCTACTGGTGGTATTGCAAGCAGGACTGGTTACAAAGTATTATTAGCGGTGGCCAGTTATCTCTGCCTTATTCTGAATGGGGTCTGTGCCCTCCACGTGCGGGCATAGGGCTGAGAAACGATCTCTACGGGACTGCAGATCATTTGACTCTATTGATGGGCCGACTTGCGGACTTTGGAGTACGGGATAGGAAGCGAAAGATAAACATGGCCAAAGCCACAGGGTCGGGATGGAGGCCGGACGCCAGGTTCGGTCAGTTCATGGGTCGATTTGCACCCAGACCAGGAGGCCCAGGTCAAGGTCCTCCTAATGATCGATCTGGACCACCTGGTGGGCCTTTTGGGCCTCCCGGGCATGGGGCTCCCGGACATGGGGCTCCCGGACACGAGGCTCCCGGACATGGGCTTCCTGGACATGGGCTTCCTGGACATGGGCCTTCTGGACATGGGCCTCCTGGACATGGGCCTCCTGGACATGGGCCTCCTGGACATGGGCCTCCTGGACATGGGCCTCCTGGACATGGGCCTCCTGGACATGAAGGCCCCCAGCGGTCTTCCAGTGGTTCTTCTCCTGAACCACCTCCCTTCTATGGTATGGTTCCGCCATCCNGACATGGGCCTCCTGGACATGGGCCTCCTGGACATGGGCCTCCTGGACATGGGCCTCCTGGACATGGGCCTCCTGGACATGGGCCTCCTGGACATCAAGGCCCCCAGCGGTCTTCCAGTGGTTCTTCTCCTGAACCACCTCCCTTCTATGGTATGGTTCCGCCATCCGGGCCTACGCGATTACCTGCTGCTTTCGCAACTACATCAGACAGAAATGATTCATGTCCTCGCCCCGAAGAGGATGTCGATATGTCGTACGAAGAAGCTGAACGTGAGTGGGAGGGCATTTATGCAGCGTTCGAAGTATTTGCTCAGTCACTTGGCCCCGACTTTGAGCCTTTGTCACCCGAAGCCAGTAGGCCGATCTACTCTCCTTTTGGTCTGGCGACTCAGTACTATACACTCAACATGGCTGGTCTGATGGCATTCTACTATACTGGACGCATGCTTTTGTTACGACTACATCCTTCAATGCCTCCTTGGATGCACGTGGCAGCAGGGTTTGCGGCCGCGACAACAGCCGAGTACGCTCAGACCATTGGAAAGATCGCGGCGGGCATTTACGGAGCACAAACCGGTCAAGGTGGCATTGAGGGGTTCAGTCCAGTAGTTGGATCATGTTTGATAGATGTCACGGTACCGATCTTCTTTGCAGCAGTGCAATACACAGCGCCGGATCAACGCAAGTGGATCATTGCTGTCCTACGCGACATCTCCCGCTATACGGGATGGAAGTCTTCCGATGCAGTTGCTCACGGGTGCGAGCGGTCATGGAGAAACGCTGCAATGCAAGGACGTGGTCCTCCCTACAACCAAGACGGGGGTGTGCAGAAGCCACCGGTCTGGAAGTATGCGGAGTACGAAGCCAACAAAGAACGGCGATTCATTATGGCCGAGCCCTACGTTTGGGCAATGGGGATTCTGAGTCTGGATGATAAGGACTTTGGGGAGTGATCAGGCCGTTTGAATTCGTCTCAATACTCGGTATAGTGGCATCGGGGCGTTAGAGCACATGTTTAGGAAATCTCCAGGCAGCTTTCGGTCACTTGACAAATCATTTACTTGCTTATCGCAATGCATTCGATGACAACGTGGATGAACCACAAGCCATGCAGACGGATGTGCTGTCGTATTGATTCCTTGCTTCACTGACCGCACTGTAGTTGTCCTCTCATAGCCGTCAGTCCGCTGCTACTTGGTACCTGCAGCACCGCCATGCCGGCGATCTCCACGCCAATAATGGCAGGCGAGGTCATGGCGCAGCCACATGGCCGAGGACAATTCATTAGCCCTTTTGGTCTCAGTGCAGTGCCAGCGCTTACCATGGAGCCAGAACCAGTGGGTGAAAAACGCCCCCGGTCCAAGTCTCAGGTACTAGCGTAGATCATGACTGCGCGAAACAGGACATGCATGGGCCAGCGCTTTGGGCAGCGTCTGCAAGGGCCGGTCGGATGTACCGGTGCGGGCCTATGGATGCTGATAAACAGTCAGAGTTTGGGTGCGTGGGAGACTGTACACTGCCTTCCATACGGCATGGATTGAATGAGGAACAAAGCAAACCGTGAGGCGCAGACGGAAAGAGGGAAAGATTACCGTAACAGATTGTATCATATTTACGCCTGTGGCTCTATATTTAGTATCGAGGCTCCCCCGGACTCAGGACGTCATCGCTCGATTATAAATTTCTCGACCAGGCAGCCTCTACGCTTCTGCTCGTCAGCGCTTCTACCTTTTTTGTGTCCTCAGGCCTGTTGGAAATATCGTCGTCGCTCAGTCCTTTGTGAGCTGAACAGCCCCTCTCAAGTCGAACTCCCCATTGTCCTTCTCGTCCACGGTTCTTTCTACCCCACCAAGTCACGCCAGCCTGCTGCCTACGGTCCGTTCCTGTCACCCGCCAGCGTCACCCACGGTACGCTCACACTGACCCCTTGGGTCATCCGATACTATGCCTCGCTACTCCGAGCTGGACAGCGAGACCGACTACTATGCTCGCGAGTCGCGCGGCCGTCATCACTCCCGCGGACCTGCGGTACTCGAGCGCCCAACCCGCAAGGATGAGTTCCGCTGGGACTCTCGCCTACAGGAAACCGATCGCTATGGGCCTCCTGCTCGCCGGCCAAGCAGACACTACGATGATGACCACCTCCGCCACGGAGGCGCACTGGTCCGCCATGAGCGCCGTCACGCCGAGAGCCCCCCTCCACGACCTAGGATGCTCAGACGACAGTCTTCTTTGGATACATATGATCGCATTCCCTTGCGCAAGATAGACGAGTACTACCGTGGCTATTTACCCAAGGGTGCGCCTAGCCCACCGCCGCTGCGCCGACGAGCTCATCGCGACGAGATCGAGACCATCCAGGTCCCAGCGCGGGAGACGCGGTACAAAGAGACGGTTGAAGAGATTAGACCCTATCCGCGCAAGGGAAAGACTCGCATGCCGGATTATCTCGTCAGTACTAAGGCAATTCGTGAATTTGGTTATCCCTATGAGAGAGAGGTATGGCTACTCAGACCGGTGGGGTTTATTGATACTGACAGATATTAGGGTGATCTGGTCATCATCCAGCTCGCTTTGTCGAAGGAACAAATTGACGCTATCATTGAAAGAAGTCGCGAGTTGAAGCGTCAACCGGAAGGTACCAACCACGTGCACTATTCCCTTTGAGCATATGTGCTGACCCTGCTTAAGTCATTCCTATAAGAGCACGATCCCATGTCCGGGCGACATCCAGACGCAGAAAGGTAGAGACAGTCACCATGGGGCCCAGGGCAAGCGAGACTCTGATTATCGAGCCATCGCCTGAGCGATACGTGTCGCCGTCCCGCCCCTACGACTACTCGACGACTACAACGAAGAGGATTGTCTCACGCTCGCGATCAATCTCGGTCAAGCCACGTCGCCGCCGCTATTCGTCACCACCCCCGCGCATGGTAATGGAGCGTCGCTCCGGCCACATCGAGAACCCAGGAGCGATCATGATTGTGAGCCCGCGGGATAGCGATAGCGATCTTAATGATTGGGAGATCGACAATTACAGACCACCTTTTGACCCGACCACTGCGCTTTACGGTGATGTGGATGGCGATGAAGAGGAAGTGCTGGAAGTTAAGCAGAAACGCAGAGGTATGCATTCAATGCAGTTTCCAGATTTATAGATCATTCGATTGACATTTGAACTAGGTCCGCCCGCTCGAACCCTGCGTCGCATGCTTGCGACGATGACTTAAGATGCCTTTGGTCTCTTTGATTTTTGACGATTTTCCTTAAATGTTTGCTAGATTTCGTGATTATCTTCAGTTTTTCTTCTCCGTCTTTCTTCGGCATGCTTGATGGATGGGAGTATGTATATGATACCAGGTTACGGCCATGACTGCGCTTTTTTGCTTCTCTAGCCAATGTACTTTGATAAATACTTCATACTACGTATGTCTCGACTCTCGAATAATATAGACGTCCAAAGTAAGCATTTATAGTAAGCTGTCACTTGACATAGTGTCCGCATGTGACAGTGGCGGTGCAAGGCGGTGCGGGAGGCCTCGACTCGCTGTGTCCACACCAACCATTCTCCCTAAACAAACTACGCACAACAACTCTATCACTACTGCAAGCCGAACCCTTTCATTCCCTTCATTAACCAGCTGGACTGTTGCGACCTGTATCAAACATGGATAAGTTCCAAGCATTCGGCAAGAACTTCAGGTGAGATAACGGCAGCCTACTTGTTTAACTGTACCTCCCGACCAGCTTGCAATGGCCTGCGTTACTGACATGAACTTAATGGAACTGTTTTCCGGGACAGTGCGAACTTCACGCCCTTCGCTGCGCGCACACAGCAGTTGATCCGAGAACAACTCGGCCAGGTCGAAGACAAGACCCAGCTCCCTGATGAGTACATCGAGCTCGAGAAGCGCGTGGACGCCCTGAAGCTGGTGCACCAGAAGCTCCTCCAGGTGACGTACGCTGCTGCCTATCCGCCCAAACCCAGTGACAATAAGTAACGCTGTATCTGCAGCTCCCAATACTCCAACGAACCCTACGACTACCCACCCAACATCCGTGAATCCTTCAACGACCTCGGCCGCACCATCAACGAGAAAGTCCAGCTCCTCTCGCAGGCCAGCACCCCCGCCGAGGCCCAGGCCGCCCTGACCGCTCCTCCCGCCGCCAAACCCCAGCCCAAGACCTTCAGCCATGCCATCGCGCGCGCCTCGCTAGCTGGGTCCCAGACCCTGTCTAGCACCACGGCCGGCGAGGACCCGCTTGCGACTGCGCTGGAGAAGTATGCGCTTGCTTCGGAGAAGGTGGGCGAGGCCCGTCTGGCGCAGGACGCCCAGATCCAGTCGCGCTTCCTGGCTGGGTGGAACACCACCCTCAACACGAACTTGATGTTTGCCGCGAAGGCGCGCAGGAATGTTGAGAATGCTCGTCTTATGCTGGACTCTGTCAAGGCGAAGCATGGTGGTGATGGGGACCACCTGAGCGAGGAGGCTCGCTCTGAGATCGAGCAGGCGGAGGATGAGTTTGTCGGACAGACAGAGGAGGCTGTGAGCGTTATGAAGAATGTACGTTTGCGACCGCGAGTTGAAGATAAGGTTGCGGTTAAGGCTAACTATGCTCTTCAAGGTCCTTGATACCCCTGAACCCCTGAGGAACCTGGCGGACCTTATCGCCGCGCAGCTGGAATACCACAAGCGATCTTACGAGATTCTCAGCGAGCTGGCTCCTGTCGTTGACTCGCTTCAGGTTGAGCAAGAGGTATACCACTGATCTCGCTTGCAGAGATGCTACTTCACTGGCAATACTAACTTGGCTTAGGCCAGCTACCGTAAGAGCCGCGAGGGTGCCTAGGCGGCTGATTGGAGTTCATAGCTAGGATCAGCGAGCATCGTTTTTTGTCTACTTTATCCCTATGTCTCTTTTACACGTGTGCACCTCCGTGATCTACGTATTTGGACTTCTAAGGACGTTTGATATCCCTTGACGATAGGCTCGTGGTTAATCACCGCAATCCTTCGTCAATTATAATCCATCTCTCATGTTACACTCTATCCAAAGTCTTGAAGTATGGAACTGTTCCCTAATACTATAGTCCGTAGGGACGCCTCTGATAGCAAAGTCATCGCGTCGGCAGAATCTTGAACCCGAATTTCACTTAGTCATTCCTCTATACGCAGGAACCGTAGTTCATACGTCCAGTGCAGAGATCTCGAATGCTTTATCAAATTTAGAGTAAAATATAGACTCACATATTACATGGTAGAGCTGCGTATACCGGTAAACGTACCGCACCGCCACACACCGCCACACAGCGGGAGCCCCATCCGTCTCGATGTGGCAGCATCGGGGAAGCTCCATCAGCAATTGAATCCATTATCCGAGACCAACGTCAACTGGTCTCACAAGAAGTACCGAAACACCTGCCTAACATCCACTAAATCCCATCCGCGCGCAGCTCTCTACCCGCAGACGAAACCGCATTCGAAGCCGAAGGCGTCGACAGCCTCCGCTCCCGACGAGCTCCATCCGACGCCGCAAAGCAACCAGCTCACTCCCCCAACCATCAACGAACTTAGAGCCGGAGTTGACGATTCTCGCTACCTGACTGACTAGGCCGGCCCAGTCCAGTCCAGTCCATCCCGCTTCGAACCTCCCTCGTCTCCATCTGTATTCCGAGCCGATTCACGAACAGCATGGCAAACGGGTACGAATACCTCTTCCCAGCCGGTCCGATCCAAACCACGAGACCGGGATGGAACAGGAAGACATCGTGGAATCAAGAGCGGAAGCGGAAGCTAATATCTTTTGTCGCAGCTGGAGTCTCATAATCGGCCTTATCGTCGTCGTGGCCGCCGCCGTCGCGGCTTGGGTGTTTAGTCCGAAGGGCGATAACCAGACGTATGCTTACCCTGCCCATCTACACATATGCCATATGCGTGTGATATATTGGCCAATGGACAAAGGAGGGACTGGACAGTGCTAACGAACAAATAACGCAGGCTCTGGCGAAGCACGCTCATCCTCTCGATCGCGAGCTGTTATTTGATGTGGGGTATGTTTTCTCCTACGCCTTGCTTCGCTTGGTTGCATTGAATCTAGAAGGGTGTACTGACTGTGAGCAGCGATTACGTTCCTGGCGCAGTGGCATCCGCTTATTGCGCCGAAGAGGGCGGATATTCGGCCTGATCGGGTGCCGCAGTAGGGGGTTGTCTGGTTTGATTCGTTGGTTTGGGGACGGGTTGGGAATTGCTTTGGTCTTGGTGGTTGGATGGGTGGTTAGAGGGGGGTTGGATGGGTGAGCGTCTATGTCTACAGCGTACTCTGCATAGAAGAGCCAGATGAGGACGGTATGGATGCATGTCCCAAGGGACGGTATTATGTTATGTATAGTTATTTTCTATTTCGTTTTGATAATCTATATCCATTGGCGTTTGGTGCTTTGATTAATATAAGTAGACGGGCACTTCACGAACTCTGGAGTGTGATAGTTGAAGGTCATCCGACGCCCACAGCTCCCAGGATAACCTTCTGGACTGTCCACCTAGCCATCAACCCCGCGACCGCCAGCGCCATAGCCCGAAAATATCCACATCCCAGGAGGATATATAAAGCCTCGATGTTGCTCAGCAGCACAAGGTGCGCATCCGCAGCGCCCAACGTGAACAGCGAACTCACCAGGTCCACGAGACTTATTACGTAGCTCGTGGGTATCCCGGATGGTATGACACGGATCAAACCTTCTAGTAAGGATGCGGAGACGGACGACGGTGGCTCGACTGATGTATTGGAGCCGACTGAACTAGGTATCGCAGAGACTGTGCCGCCTAGCGCTCGCTGTGCGATGTTCGACTGTGCTGTGGATGCTGCACCCGTGATCGAACCCGAACTGTAGGTCGAGCTGGAGCTGGAGATGCGACCATCGGGTCCCCATATAACAAGAAGGATCGGGAAAAGTTTCGCGCAGCTGCTCACGAAGAGCGCGGTACTAATTGCCGTCGGAGTAGTCTGAGATGGTGGGGAAAGAGGCTGAATGGTTTGTACAGGCGCCGTCGACGCGCGGCGTAGGGGCGGCGGCAAGCCGCAGAACGAGTCGCGGGGGCTGGAAGGGGACGGCTGGAGGGGCCGTTGGTTCTCAACACCTGGGAGTTCTTGCGCGGAACTCTGCGGCGTACCTTTTGGTGGGCTTAGCGAGGAATGTTGAGCTGGCGCCTGTTGCGGGGGAAAAGAGGGGAGGACTGGAGTCGTGGGGTCTGAGACGACGGCGGGTTGAGGTTCGGTCGCGGCGGCATTGGGGGTAGTGGTGGGTTGTCTCGTTGGCGTAGGTGAACATGATGATGCTGGAGCGATGATTGAAGCGAGGAGACGGACTGTGAGGTGGTGGGCAAGGGTTGCGAGTGCATTTAATGTTAGAAAGAAAAGGTATTGGATGATAATGGGAGTGCGCTCGAGGAAGGTCCCCTCGATTGACGGGGACTTTTCGATCCGCGCCCATGTGAGATAGACATCGAAGAGGAGGAGGAGGACGCCTAGGCGGGTGATCGAAGGCTATAGCGGAGATGGGTCAATAACATGTCTATTTCTAAGATCTGAGGGAACCATACATCAAACTTGCGCTCGTCGCTTTCGAGGCGATTGAAGAGGAGATGCCGGTATACCTAGGTTCAAATCAGTCCGAGCCCGAGGCATCGTGGGGATCCAAAGTACCTGCGGCTTGATCAAGACGAGATCAATGAATATAACAACGAAATCATACTCGACGTATTTGTCGGCGAATCGCTTGCACCGCGGACATTGCGTCAAGCGTACTCCTTTGCCCAGAGACCGATCATCGGCGCGGCTGTAGGCGCTGTACAGGTGGGAGACCGGGTACGAGCACTCAATGCAGATCGGCATCACGGGCAGCCCATCATGAGCGATTCAGAACAAGAGAGAACACGCCGTGCTACGCAAAGGAGAAATGTGCTCGGTCTCGATTGTTGGTGGACGATAAGCCGAGGGCGGTGAAAAAGGAGTTACTAGGTACGACTCTGGAGTGTCTATCCGGGTATACAGATCTTTCTTGCATGGTCGACCCACTCATATCTACTCCAAAGTCTTAAATAATTAGCGGTTCGAAGATCGAACTCAGTGTGCTAAGCGTATTCCTGGATTCGTTGCTCATAATCCGTTTGAGGCCTTGCCCAAACTTAGAGACTGTGTCTATACCAATCAAATGTGAACCCAAGTTGCTCCGGCTCGTCTGAAGAGAGTACGCGAAGAAGTCCACGTTTCTCCAAGTCCTGACAAATTACCTTTTTGGAAGTCAAGTCCTCTTCCAAGGGGTTCTGATCCACTTTATAACCACTGTCATGGTTAGCTTGCCCGGCGGTTTTGACCTTGTTCTTGGTGCTCTGGAATACAAAAGCCCACCAACCCTCAAGGCCGCACCATAACGCATGCGTTACGCGCCCTAAAATCATACACCATTGGACGATAGAGATGGCCTTGATAGGGGCTCTCACTTCTTCCTCTTTTCTTTTATCCTCTCTGATTTCCACACCTCTGCTCTCTTCCTCTCTGCTACCCAATCCGTTAGCTACCGTATGGGTACTTTCACGCAAAAGCTTTTCTGTATGAGCGGCCAGTTCTGAGACTGTGGCATATTTATTATGCCAGCACTTGTCGATGATGTCGTCGATCAACGGGTTGCCGTCCAATATCGGAAACTCCATGTTCTGCAGGAGCTCCACGACCTTGGGCCCATGCTCATAAGGATCCTCAGTAAGACATCGGTCTCCATAAACCTCGAAGCCATAATTCATCAGATAGTACAAGGAGCCAAGGGCAAACTGCTCCGTCCGAGAGCCTAGAAAGCCAAAAGTACCACTTTTCCCTTGGTCTGTGTCGTGGCTATTAAGTATTCTGCCATATGGAGCCATACAAGCTTCGTAATCTGCTCCGATTTCTGCCGTGCAATCAAAGTCAGATAGCTTCAGTCGATTGCGATCGAGCAAGATATTTTCAGGTCGTAGGTCACCATGAGCGAGGTTAAGTGACTCTAAGTAAGCGACGGCTTGGGCGAGATCGTTCATCCATTCCATTCGTAGGGGCAGAGGTTCCAGCTTTTCCACTTTTGTGACCACCATGGTTTGCTGGTCCCGAATATGATTGTCCTGTATTCTAGAAGAAAGCGACATATCTATTAGGATAATCAGCTGATTAAGCCGAAATTGCTGATGGGACCCTACCTCTCATGTATTCGAGGAAAATGCCGTTTTCTGAAAAGTAAAAACACCGAACGATGGACGGGCAAGGCGGATGTTGCGAGAATAATCGATATATCTCGAGCTCTTTATGGAATTGCTTCCTCTCAAATTCTCCAGATTTTGGGACTTTGACCACGATTAGAGGGTGGACCTCGTAGACAAAGGAGATACCTCCTCTCCAGATCCAATGCACGGTAGGGAATTGTTTCTGAATGTTCATGACGAGATGAGAGGTCTCAAGCGATAAGTGAGAGGCAATGTGTTGAGAAAAAGAACAGAAGCAAGGCTTGGGTACAGATGTTTGTAGAGAGGGCGAGCGAAGAGGGAAAAAGGAGAACTAAGAGGAAGCAAGAGCAGCGGTCTAGTTCTATTGGTGCAGGTGTTGCCTGATGTTGCCTTGTTTCTCGGCACGAGAGCATCCTCGACTTGAAGCAAATAACCAGTTTCATTAGACTTTTCCTCTGTTAAATAGGATACAATGTAGCCACTGCAATTTGTACTCCCTAGTTCAACGTAAATTCATAGCAGGTTGTTGTACCTAATTGTAGATAAGATCCACAAACTCCGCTTGTGGAGACCAGCTCTTATCAACATCACAAAACTAATAGATCCACTGCTAGGCCTTTTCCCAGCGTCCATCTATTTTCACGTATGTACCATTGTCGATACAGTCAGGGCATGGATCTCTTTTGGTTGTCTTGCCAAGGTGCATTGTTTTCTGCACGATGCCGCAATTATTGCAGCCGTCAAGTTCCCTGAGACTTCCAGGAGAATCAACTCTGTGTCGGCATAAATGTTCGATCGTCTCGATAAGCCTCTGACACATGATCTTTCTACTACATTGATCTGTCAGCCAAACGATTCCTCCTAGCGATAATCAACTCACTTGGTAGTGTTGGATGCTGGGGATAGCAGAAGAATGCAATAGGGTAGTTTTCAAGTCGCAGTGATGGTGAATGGACTACTTGAGGGAATCAGGCAGTATTTATGGGCATTCTTGGCTTAGGCACCGAGTTGATCCAGTGCACCTCAAACATATCCCTGTCAATATGTTCGTGTAGAATAGCCTATGCCATTCAGGGTGACAGGATTAAATGGCACGATTGGCTGTCAACCCAGGAGGCTTGGAGGGCTGTGCAGAGGCAAGAACTTTGGGCAAGACCTGGAGCGGGGTAGACCTGCTCGGTGATTAGAATTGGATGTTGGTCTGGGGAATCGGGATTATCTTGGTCTTTTCCAGTAGTGGCGTCCAACTCATTATATGATTTTATATACCGTCTATGTGCATATATACATATAGATCAATCAACAACTCCTGTATCATCCGCCCAGCTCGGCTGGATGCTCCGGCAAACAGCCTCATAGTCCCGGAACATCTGCGGCTGGTCGGGCAGATCAGGAGTCGTCCAGAACATAGTCCAGTTGGTATCAGCGAGCTTCCAAGTTCCCAATGACCGCTCGAAGTACCACTTGTTCACCGGGTTGTCCTTGCGGCTACGCCAACATACTCCGTTGGGAAAGCATGTCCGTACCATGGCGTTGAACACAATGTCCGCAACGCCGCCGGCACCCTGGCTGCGCTTGAGGACCGCGAATTTATCGAGGTATGGCACCATCCTAGCCGTACTGGCCTCGCTTCCGTCGTCTGGCACGCCGGGAGGAAGCTCCCAGGTCAATATAGCACCGCCTTCATATTCACCGGCAATGATCAAACCAGCCAAGCGGCCGTTTACCCGGTTGAGATAGTCCTTCACGTCAAGCTTGCGGTTGAATGAGTCTTCAATCAGATGTAAGAGCCGAGGCAGATCGATTGTAGGATCGTCCAGGTTCATGCTCGGGCGCGTCTGTGCCGTCCATATCTGGACTCGAGGGTCCGGAATAAGGCTGACAGGCATGCCTCGCTTGACGAACGTGGTTGGAGGAGCAGGGAGATGAAGCGAGCCGCGCGCGCGTCGACTCAGAGGTAGAGATGATGAAAGCAGAGGCTTGTCTGTGAGAAGGTTATGGATCAGAGGGTTTCTCTGTCGCCGGGTGCCGACTGACAGCTCAGATGGGGACATTTCGGGTGAACGCGCGGAATTCGCAACCTCGACCGGAGAAGTAATGATTCCAGATGATGCGGACGGAAGCATAGCGAGTGTTTGTTGTGATAACCGCAAGTTATCCAAGTGGCCGTCGATAGTATCTTCGCCAACACTGAGAGATAGTAGCGCTTGTTTAGCAGGCGTAGACGCAATCTCAGTGCTGGTAAACTTTGAGAGCGGGTTACTATCTGAGATTGGATCTGCAGCCGTACTCGCCCCCTGGCTCTCAGTTGCTGGCTTGCGAACCTGTAGCAGCTCACGCTCAATGTTTTCGAACTCTTGGTCCATATTAATGAAGGCGTGGGATGTTTGGGGTCCCCTAAAAGCTGGAACGCCGCCCAGAGGATCCAAGAGGATAACGCGGTCCAAAGACACTTCCTTTTGTAAGTCACCAATCTTTTGAGCTGTGACCATAGGATCCTCATCAGGATCCGGCATTGTAGCCAGCCCCGCCAGCTCCTTTGTCAAAGCAAGAACGGCATCGTTTGCGGGAACAATCACGGCCTTTGGTGTATCCTCGGTGTAAGCAATTGGCGCAACGATTAGAATATGACCGTCTCGTAAGGGACCCAGGAGCTGTTTTCGGGACGAAACTGTTGGTACGTCTGGTCTATTCGCCGAGAATGACAATACCGAGTAGAGATGCGAGGATTTCGAGTCTGGTTGAGCATCGACAGCTGTCGCAATACGGCCTATCTGTTCTGTAGCCACCTTTCGCAGGGCATGCGCATCGCCATCCGGGCCGGGATCGACCACCACACAACAGGCCAAACCCAGCCGGTTGATCTGTGATAGCGTTCTAGCCACCCCATTCAAGGTGGTATCGTCCAGCAGCTGAGGCGTCTTGATCTTGACCAAGGCCAGGTGTAGTCGTTCTGGTACGTCCTCACGCGCCGGCGCTGGCGTTGAATCTTGTCTAAAAACAGGACTCTGGTACACAGATCGCGATGCGCCGTAGAAAGACCCCAGATTAACTCCGGAAGGTAGTGATTCGACGATATTCTGCTCGATCGGTGTGTTCGACGGTTTCTTCTGCGATTTCGCCGGGTGTTGGGCCTTGAGCCGCGCAAGGTAAGATTTGGCTTCCCGCTTGGTAGATGCCGAGTTCAACAAGCTCATGAAGAAATCCTGGATTCAGAGCAGTCAGAATCACGGCAAGAGCGCAACCCAGGAGCTGAATAGCATACCCTATCAAGCAACTTCTCCTTCGCTCGTCGGCCGAGGCGGTCGTAGCTTTGGCTGGTGGAGGAGAACTCGGCGCTCTGATTAACTCTGCGATCGCATGACGAGGAGAAACACCGGCGAGGGGTCGGATGGGCTTCATCACCGGTACCTACAACGGCTGGATGCCGCTAGAGCGAGGATTAGCGATAACTGTACTGAATGGGGCTCTTTCATTCATACCTTGAGAGGGGCCTGCGCGGCCCGCGAAGCGAGCACCCTCGAGCTCATGGTTCAGTGCTGGAATGCTGGAAGCCCGTCCAGGCACAGGGACAGGCAAGCTACCAAGCTCCTCAAGGAACCGGAATGACAGAGAACATTGTGGGGAGCAGTTAGCGGTCGGAAGAGAGGAAGAAAAATGGGTCGATTATATCGCGAGGGAAAAAGTGAGTCAATGACGATGCTCCTCCCGCTCCGCTCTCGGCTGCGTCAATTTAGACCGACGCCGATCGCGCTCTCTTCTCTATACCTCTACATGAGGGATTTTGGAAGTATGCTGCAGGGATGTTCATCAAATATTGAATTTGCATGTCGAAATAACCCTCAAACGGATACCGATAGCCAAGGTGGTGACTGGTGAGCTCCGAGGATGCGCACTCGCATTCCCCGGGGGATGACAGCTGGCTTCGGAATCCGCGGGGTGTCCGAATTATATACAGTTTTCTAGAGCATCATCTCAGAATCAGTACAATCGCTATCAACTGCCCAACTGCTTGAGCGATATGCCGCAACGTCAATGTCCAAGTAAAGACTCCATTTACTCGTATTCTACAGAATTATCTTTCCGGCGAGGCCCTTCTCCGCCGAGCTTGTCATCAAGATTCAAGAATAGTCGGGGTAAAAGTCGTAAGATCGACAATGCCCTATCAAATCCAGCGCTCGCTCACATGCAAGTGAACGTTACACACGTCGACTGCTACTATCATCCGATTGAAGTTCGGCCTGACCTCATAAGCCAAACATCTCGCATGGCCCATACATACGTGAGCACAGCTGGGTCCGTAGAGGTATCAGAACCCCCTCTAGCTCTAGGTCAATGCTACTTCAGCACTGTCAGCCCAATGAAAGGACTTGAGTCGAATTATAGCTTTCTTATCATACCACTCGGTAGGGTGCACTCTCTAGACAAATGTCAATCGGACACATTTAACAGCCTCTTCGTGTGCTATAGGGTGGATCTTTTCCCCGAAACAGGTAGTTTGTTCAGACACTTGTCTACAAGCTTCCAGCACGCGGGGGTTTGGGACACAATAGGGCTGGTTACGAGAACATTGACACCCGGATTTGTGCCTCAGGTGATGTACATATTTGCGTACGCAAAAGGTGACCGCGGATGTTGCCATCTTTCTGTCTTAGGTCTGACCACGCAGAGATTCCTTGAAGGTATTGCCAAACAGTGGATGCGAATGCAAGACTCCCTTTGGCCGCGATGCCGACAGCAAAAATCTGGAGGTCGTGGCATTGGAAGGACGGGACAAATAAGACCTGCTATGCGGAGACTCTAGTTCAAAGGGAAGCTGGTTTATGAGAACATTGCAAAGCAAGCGAGGGCTTTGGGGTGATCAACATATATCATGGCGGTTCGAGGCTTCCAGAAAAGGAGCATGGTGAAACGCCCACCCGGTGGTCCAATTTTGCACTTGTCTTTCTGATGGAATGCAAGATATGAGAACTCTGACGAACAGTTGCAGAAATCTGGTGTTGTCAGCATTAACCTACCTTTGACCGCTGCAACACATTTCCTTTTTCAAGCCAAGGATTCCGAAGATGAAGAACGGGGCGATTCTCATGACACTGCACGCGGGCCGCTGCTAGACGAAGCACTGGTGAATGGGATACTGGATGGACAAACTGATCTCTGTTGGACTTGGTGTTCGTGAAATGAGCCAAGCATCCATCTGGAGCTCATCGGTAATAAAGGGCTGATGTCGCTCCCTCACAATGGCGCGATGACCGTAGAAATGAAGCCGGAGGTGACAAATGAGGACTAGGAACCTGGAGAGCCAGGGAAGCGCCCTGAACCGAGCTCCTGGACCATATTCTTATGTTTGCACCGATCTCAAGAGGTTATTTGACGGCATTTGGCTCGAGGATGTCGAGTCTGACTCTGGACTTCAGGGACGAAGTCACTAAGTGACTAGATAAGCAGCGCTGCAGCGAGAGTGGGGAGATCAAGATAGGCACCAGGGCCGGTCCAGATAACTGATAACTTATGGCTGCTCTTATTCCACCGACGTTCCCCACCGCTCCCGAGGGCCGCTATTTCTAGTAGGGAGTTTATTTAAATTTATATGGTAATATATATATAATTTGTAATAACGCTCCTACTAGGGCTAGTCTTTGTTAAAACTTAGAAAATTTTAAATTTTACTAAGTTAACCGCGCGAAAAAAAATAGTAGCCGTTAAGGTACTAGTACTTAGTTTTTTATAAAAATTTATATATAAATTAAAGTACCTGCACTTATAAAGCTATAAAATTTATTTACGCGAAGAAAAATATATTATTAACATGCTAGTTTTTTATAAGGCTGTTAACGTGTTAAAGGGCTGTTAAAATATAAATACTTTATTTTTTATAGGGAATTGCATATAAATTAAAGTACCTATATTTATAAAGCTATTTAAAGGTTTATCCGCGTGGTGTTAGGCTAGGAATAAGGTTATTAATATATTAAAAAGCTATTAAAGTACAGGTACTTTGTTTTTTATAAAAAACTATATATAAATTAAAGTACTGTTATCACTGTTATGGTGTTGCAACTGCGTAGTGTTGCAATGACGCAATCCGGCGGCCTGAGGCCGCCGGGCGGAGGAATGTTAGCGCCAAACTAGCCGCGCGCTAAGGCAGCGGCTAGTTACATAATATATAAAATACTAAGTTTAACTTTAAACTCTAACTTAAAGAATTAGTAATTAATTCCTACTATAAATATATAACACCTTTTTTATTATAGTAATTTATGTTTTTTTAAGCTTATTATAGTATATAAACATGACTTATAGTTTTAATTACTTTTTTTTTTAAAAAAAAACTTGTTTTACATAATAGCTAGGTAATAAACTTAATTTTAGGGGCCGGCGGATAATATTTTAAAAAAGTAATTATAAATCCTAACTTAATATTTAACTAATATACCCAAGAAGAAATTTATAAATTTTAAATTAAAAAATTTTAAGGGCGCCCCTGCTATTAAACCCTAAATTATATAAAAAATATTAAAATATAAAAGGCCTGCCCAGGGGCAAGAAAACAAAAATAATAAAAAAATTATTAAAAAACTATAGGTAATACTAAAAGTAATTTTAGTAAAAAAAAAAAATTATAAGAATAAGAACGCCGTAAAAAAAAAAAAGAAAAATACTAATAAATTTATGCTTAAATTAAAAAGGCATGCTAATAAATTATAAGAGCTAAAGCTAACTAATAAATATATAATATATTTATTTAATTTATTAAGTAATTAATAGTCCCATGTTAAATAAACTTTAATAACCTTATAATTTTAAAAAAAACTATTAAAAAGGTTATAATAATAATAGTATAACTTAAGAAAAACTTTTTAAGAAAATTACTATTTATAAAACCATACTAGGCAAATAATATTAAAAAATTTAATAATTAAAAGTTAAACATAAAAACATATTTTAAAACCTTTTTAACCTACTACCTAAATAATAGCTATAAAATATCCTAATTTATTAAATTTCTAGCGGAGGACCGCAGGCGGGAATAGTTTAATATTTATAAAGTAAAAACTATATTTATTTAAAAAGAATTTTTTAATATACTAGTTAAAATAATTAATAATAAAATAATGCTAGTTAATAACTTATTAATTAAATAAGGTAATGCAAAGCAGCAACCATGGTAAATTATTAGGTAATTTATATAGTTATTAAACTAAATTAAGAAATATTTATTTTATAAGTATAAAAATAATTAACGCCAAGAACACCTATATTAAAAAATCCTAAAAAATATATAAAAAAAGTTTTTTATTTATAAATACTAAGAGCTAAAACACTATAATAATTATATATTATACTTAATAAGTGTTAAAAATAACATGCCCNAATATAAAAAATATAAAACCTTAAAGCTTTATATAATACAAGCTTTAGGGGTTTATATAAAATAAAAAAATATGCTATAGGCCTGGGTAATTTAGGTAAAAATAAAAAAAAAAATAAAAAATAATAATATACAAGGGTTTTTATTAACTTTAAAGTAAAAGTAAATTTTATAAACTAGTGCTGGGCAAAATCCTACCTAATATAAAGTAAAAAATTAGCTTATAAAGTACGCGTAGTTAATAGCTATATAATAATATTTTATAAAAAATATATACTTATAGTTTATACTAGAAATTTTACGCGTAATATATAGTATTATTAATAAAACTTTAAAGTTATTAATATTAATAATTATAATATAATTTTAGGATTTTTATGGCTACTAGCCGTGATACCTATTTTAAATTAGTAAATTAATAATTAAATATATAATTAAAAAGTAAAGTATAATTTTAAATACTTATAATATATAATAATAATATAAGAATATACTACAAAAATTACTATAAAAGTTAAAGTACTTTTAGTATAAATTTTTAAGTAAGAAAACTATATTATAATATACCTTAATAAAATAAAGGTTAAAAAAATCCCGCTGCCTAAATAATATTATAAATATATAAATATATTTTTTAAAGTAAAAGTAAATATTTTTATATTTTATTAATTTTATAATTATATAATTAAGTTATAACCTAGTGCTAAGCCTTTAAGTAAGTATATTTACTTACTATTTTTAAAGGAGCTTAAGGTCCTATATAAATATATTAAAAAAGTTTTTAAAAAAAGCTAAATATACCTGTTAAAAAGTCCTGCGGGAGCTCTAGTACTATTTATATTAAAAAAAAATAATAGCCTATATTTTTATATAAACTATTAAGGCCTAAATACTATTATAATTAAAAATATATACCTATTACTATTACTTAACACAATCCTTAACTATTTTAAAATAAAAAAAATTTTTACGCAGCTAGATTTGCAAGACACGTACTATAAACTTTAAATTTATAAAAAAAATAAGTAAAAAATAGTATTTAAAACATAATTTAAACTTTATAAATACTAAGTTATACTATTTAAACTAGTAAATATACTAGTAATATTTTAATTTTATATAAACCGCGCCCTAGCTAGGCTAATTAATATAATTTAT